GGTTGTCGTGTTGTAGGGAGCCGCGAACCGCCTCGAGTGGATGAGCCTGAGGTTGCCTAGTCTAGGGTTTGGAGAGTCTGCGGTAACGGTAACGACATACGTGACACACCGCGCGGTCAACGTCAACGCACTGTTGGGGAACACGCACGACGCAGTGCTCCGCAGATCCAGTTTACCAGAGGAAAGCAGTGCGGCGAAGGCTGAGGATAGTTGGCGGTCGTCGCTATCAGTCAACGTGCGTAGACGCTAGCCACCACCACAAGCGCCGGCGCGGTGGCGCGCGATTGCAGCAATGCTATTCAACTCCTGGCGGAAGACCGCACTCCCGAAAATCTCTCTGTACGCAGAATGCCTGTTTTATATGCAAAGAACATATCTCCGAATTTTTATTGACTAAACCCTCAAGCTGAGAGTAGGAGGTGGGTTAAGGCCGCACTTTGCGGGTGCGTCGGCAAACACGATCACGTGGACAACGCGCGTCACGTTTGTTTAACGCATGCACGTGTGGAGCGCCTCGGCACTTGGGCCATATAAATGGACCACCCAAACAATGCGCCCTCTCACCGCGCCCCATCGTAACAGTAAAGACATTCTGTCCGGCGGGTGCGCTCTTCTTCTCCCCCTGATTCCAACCGACCGCCGTATACCGCAGCAGGTGCTCTTGCACCCATAGGTAATATTTCATTAGCTACTACGCGCGTCGTCAAGTGCGCGCATACTGAGGTACAATACAGCTACAGCGTCGTGCAATGCCGGCCATCTGGCCATGCCGCACACTTCCGCAACACCTACTCAACAAGCGAGGCCTGCCTGGAACGTTAGCTGGGCCGGGGTAATGGCCCACAGGTGGTAGGGCATTGAATGCGGCCGACGTTCACGCTCTGCACGTCTGCCACGCACCTCCACATCAGGAAAAACACTTCGAACTTCAGCAGTCTTGAATGAAGAACACCTGGTCTTATTCAATCTTTCACAACTTGTGTTCCTCAATTAAGTGCACCATGTGCATGAAGACTGCTGAAGTTAACTATAGTATCTTTGAGAAATTTGTCTTGTCCCCAAGTTGCAAGATATGCAACTTTAGTTCTACAGATTAAGACACATAAGTACACATTAGTTGGCAAATGACCTCTTAACTAAAAATATGCATGATGAGATGTCAGATTGCTCAATATGAAGACTTCACCAAGATTTCACCTGACAAGTTAACACATACTATATCTGGCAACAGTAATGGGGTACAAATAAAGATTATTTGTTTTTCCCTGGGATTATGAGTATATTACCCTACTTACAACAGATGCTGTGGTCAAAGTCATATTGTCAAGGATTTGGACATATTTGACCTGTTAAGGTTGAGAGACAGCAAAAGAACACTTAAGCATGCAAAGTGAGACAAGAAGCCTGCCCTTGAGCAAATTATGAGTCTACACAAGGTCTGCAAGGCAACAGATAGTGCCAAGAAGAAATGAGGCCAGTCTGAGAGCCCAGGGATGCACAGGGGCTGGGCTAACAGGGGGCAGCAATTGCAGATTTCTCTAAGTCCAGAAAGATAGTCAATATAGGTTATTGTAGAAGGGAACAAGCACAGGGACCTATGGTGTAGTGGTCACAAGTTTGTGCTGGGAGTGTGGGAAATTAGTTTAGCAGGTCAGGGGTTCAAATCTGGGAAATGGCAGATTATTTTGGGCAACATTTTTGCATCTGGGATGCCTGTTATGACAGCATATGCACAAACACAGCAGAATCATGAGAGAAGTCACCCCAGTAATGATGAAAAAACATCATTCTTGCTTGGAACGAGTGTTTACTTTGGTTACTTAATGGAACTTAAGTAAGACAATTTAAGAAATCGACTTACCTTAAGGCTCTTGTGGCACATAGTGACACATAATGTCACTTTTGGCTCTCCACAAGACCACTTAAGACACGAACGTTTTTCCTGATGCACCGCCAGCGCCCTCCGACCACCGTTCTCATCGCCTCCGAACGCGTCTACTACGGGACCTTGCTTGTCCTACTTGAGATTATACGCCAAGTCTCAGCGTGCCGCTCTGTCTGACGAGCTCGCCCGGTTGCTGACGGACACTGACACGCACCACGGAACGCCTGACATGCACTGCTAGACGCTGTGCAATGTCGTCCTCCGACCTCCACTCTCTAGCCGACTCGCTCGCTGCCGTCGGGGACTTTGACGGCTCGCTCGCCTCCACCCTCACCCTGCCTGGCTCAGTGAACACCCAAGCATCCATGCCTGCTACCACTCTCGGAACGACAGCCCACTCGCAAGGCGCGCATGACTTCAGACCGCGCCCATCGACGTCCGCATCGCGCGAACCCTCCCCGCCCGCGCACGCCGGTCCAAGTTCCAGTCAAAGTCTCTCGCCGCGCACGAAACCGTCTACGATCAAGCTTTCCTCGCCGGCTCGCGACGGGGGCGCCGCATGGGTCCGTGTGCGCTGCGCGGGCACACCGCACGCGCGCTCCGCCGTCCCGTCGCGAGCCGGCGAGCGCGCTCGTGGCCGCCTGTGCGCGCGAGTTGCCGCCTGCACGTGCTGTTGCCGCCACCCGCCGCCGTCTGCGCCCTCGCGACCTGCCACTCGCCGTCCGCGACCTGTCACTCGCCGTCGTGCGCGCCCTCGCCCACCCGCGCCTGCACGCGCCGTTGGCCCACCCGCACCGCCACCGCCACCCGCCGTCCGCGACCTGTCACCCGCCGTGGTGCGCGCCCTCGCCCACCCTCCATGCCGTCTCTCTACTCCGTACGATGTCACGGTTGCCTTGGCCCCTCGCAGAGGCCGGGTGATGAGCTGCCCGTACCGGAGCCCGACAGCATCGACATGTGACATTGTTACACAACCATCGGTATGTACCAGGGACTTCTTTTTACACCGAGTATCACTGACAAATGCAGATGCCATAATCGCCACGGGCCACACAGCCTGCCCACAACGTTGCCTTTTGCACACCACGCCCCGCCCGTCGCGCATCCGCCAACCACTATCTCTGGCCACGTCGTGTCGCCCGCACCCCGACTGCATCCCTCACCGCGTCGCGTCGGTCGCCCGCATTCGCATTGCACGCGAGTCGTTACGCCTGCGCACTGTGGCTCCCCGGTACGCGCCCGCGATCGTCCCCGTCGCGCACCTGTCACTTTCGTTGATTCCCAAGAGGCCATTGGGAAGCTCGCCCGCCGCCGCTGCACCCAGAGCGATGCCCCCGCCGCGCGCTGGCGCCCGTGCAGGCGTCCGCACGAGCGCCACGCGTTTGCATCACGTGCCAAGTCATCCGCGCCGCCCGCCGTCGCGCGCACAACCGCGTCGCTCCCGCCTTTCGCGCGCGCATTCCTCACGCGACACGCCCACGGCGTGCGTCGGACCCACCCACGCCGCGCCCGTCCGTCGTTCGAGTCGGCTACCCGCGCCATCCCGCCACGTCCCCGCCACCTCACTCCCGGCGACAACGACGCTTCGCCCGCCACGCGCACGCTCGCCGCCCGCCACGTCGCCCGCCACGTCGCCCGCCGTGCTCCCCAGTCGCCTACCCGCCACGTCCCAACACGGCGCGCCGCCACGTCCCAACGTGGCACGCCTACGCGCCACATCCCAACGTGGCACGCCCACCGCGCCACCACCCCAACATGGCGCGCCACGTCTCAACTTAGCGCGCGGCTACATCCCAACATGGCACGCCTACACGCCACATCCCATGGGCCCGCCACCGTCCTCTCATCACCGCCACCATCCTCTCCTCACCGCCACCGTCCTCTCCTCACCGCCACCTCCCCCTCCCTCCCTCGCACATACACCCCCACCCTGGTTTGGACCGGCTAGCCAGCTGGACCCTAGGGCGGTCACGTGTCACATCCCCCCTGGATTGGACCGGCGAAAGCTGGACCCCAGGGGGCCGCCTTTCGCGTGCGCATTCCGCACGCGAAACGGCCACGGGGATGGCGCGGTGCGCTGCACAGCACCACATCCCACGCGCCACATCCCAACGTGGCACACCTGCCACGCCACCACTGCAGACGCTTCGCCCCCCGCGCTTGCCTGCCAGCACGCACCCGCCCCCGCCCACCAGCTGGCACCCTTGCAGTTTGTTCTGCGCCACGCCGCCGCCTCGCGCCGCCGTCCCTCACCGCGTCCCGTCACGTACACTCTCGCCCGTTACCGTCCAGCGCGCACGCACTGGCGCCACCCGCGACCTACCAGGGGGTGGATGCGCGACACGGCGCGGCCTTACACGGCCTGTACAATGTGGGCCTGTAACGTGCCACTGCAGTCCGCGATGCCCGACTCGAAGGGTAGCGCCTCCTCTAGCTGCACAGCCACATGGCGCTGACGATGAGGGGCGAGCGATTGAGCATGTCTGGTGTGCCGCGGCGTGAGTACTGCAACTATCAAAGATAGTTGTTTCTCATCTTGCTCTCAGCCATCGATCCGCCATGCTCCTTCCTGAGTGGCGCGACTGACGGCATATACCCGACTTCGCCCCTCTTCAGCAGCCGTGCGCGTCCAGGAGGGTTACCTCCGGTCGCCTGGCAAGCGGACAATCGCCGTGCTGCCTTCAATTGGCAGGTGTCTCGTGCTCGCAACCGCCCGCAGGCAGCGCTGATCTCTATGACGTCGTGAGACAGTGCGCTGCCCGCTACTGCACGTCATACGCAGCGTACTGCCGCTGCATTTCCCACACTGCGGACGACTCCTGACCTGCCACGCAAGACACCTGTGACTCGGGGTGGTGAAGGGCCTAAGGCTGCATCGACCCGCCGAGCGACCTCAAGCCCGAGCCGCCATCGCCCTAGCCGCCACTCGAACATCCTCAAGTCCCGACATTCCTATTTCGCGGGACGTGTGCGGCGAGCGGGATAAGTGGTGAGTCTTCACGTCACAACGCTCCATATGCAGGACTTAAACCCAATATGCCCCGCTCAGCGTATTCGCTTTCCGGCGACATCGTCACGCTCAGCTGCAAATTCGGGCTACGCGTTTCGTCACAACATGCACGCCATTCATCCTCAACCTCGCCAGGAGCCCGCATGGTCGTACCAGATCCACAGTGCGTCGCCGCACGGCTCGCTTGCGGTCATGGGTGTGAACATGTTCATGTTCGCGCTTGTGATCGTCTTCGTGGAAGCGCAGGGGGCTTGTGCAGCTGCTTGGGTGCAAGGTTGAAGAAGTGTTGCTGGAGAACGCGGTGATACTCGTGGGGAAGGCGGATGCTTTGGTGTGCGTCTTGCCCTCTCATGCCCGTGTCTCAACAGCTGACATGAAGTGAGCCAGCCTGCATGCCCTCGTTCGATGACCACACTCTCGCAGGGTTCGCAAATCACCAATCTTCACCAGAGCGCCTGCTCGGCGATCACGCGCCCACACTCGGGTTGCTGTTGCCCGCCCGCTACTCCGCCAAGCTGTCGTATCGCCCGTTTACAGACGCCAGCAAGATGGTCTGAATCGCTCTCGCATACAGCGTCGCTGTCGCACTCACGCACGCACAGCGGACGGCCTGACGAACGGAAACGTCTTCTTCGTGTCCTCGACCGACGCCGGCAAGGACCAGCTCGCGTACGTCAACGACGCCGGGGACACCATCATGATGGTCGACAACTCATCCACCGTCACCGTCGGCCAGAACTGCAACTCCGTGTGTCTGGATCCACACCAAGGACTACTTCACGGTGGGCAGCCTGTGGGTGACCGGCACCGAGCACACGTACCGGGTGCTCCGTGTGGCCCGCGTTCTGGTCATCCGCGGTGAACTGCCAGGCCGAGCGGCAGAGAGTCGTATCCGCGAAGCGTGTGCGTGAGCACTGACGCGGGGGCGGCAGGCAGATCAACACGTCCGAGGGCATGAACCAGGTGGCGATGAACCAGATGGTGCTGCACACTGGCGACGGGTGCACGCACTCGGCGAACGCGCTCCAGACGGACACGCTCGTCAACTCGACCGACTGCTCGAAGGCCGCGAACGAGAATGAGGGGTGCATGGTCACGACGCCGACGAAGAGCTTGTACGGCGTGGGCTTAGCGGCGGACGGCGGAGGCGTGTTCATAACCGAGTTCGCAAATGAGGGTATCTCGTGAGTGCATGCCTCGCTAAGTCGCGGCTGCGCGCTGACGCCTGTGCCCGCAGGATATGGTTCTTCAACCGCTCCTCGGTGCCGACCGTGCTGCAGAGCAACGCGTCCACCATCAACCTCTCTGACCTCGGCACACCCACCTCTGTCTCCGCGGCGGGCACTGCATCGACAAGCTGCGCCTCTCGCAGTCGTCCGCGTCATCCCTCGCCCTCAACTTGAACGACCCGCCGCGTGACCCTGCACCGCCGCAAGTTGCGCCACTGTGCCCCCAGCGCCCCTGCCAGAATCGCCGACGACCCCCGAACGCCGTGTCCGCGATGTTGCCCACACTGATCCGCAAGCAGCACACGTGCGAGCAAGCACGCTAGTTTGAACTAGCCCATGTCCCATGTCCTCGTGGATGGAGATGGTTGGGAGCAGTGTCGGGCGGAAGTGGGAAGAGTGGCAGAAGGGCGATACGTGCACCATCTCTTTGTTTTGTACACACACGCTGGTGCTGACTGATACCGCTGGCTATGTCTGACGGTATATCATAGGTTTGCAAAGGGCTAGAAACACGCATCCGTCCTGTTCTCGGACGCGTCGTAGTCACTCTTCTCCGCTCGCGTCGCCTGGCCAGGTGTCGAGCAGCGATACCAACGAACCCATTCGCGGCGATGCTTTCCCGCTCTTGACGTCGCCTTCACCCTCACCCTCCCCGGTTGGCAAGCAGGCTGTGTTGTTGTTGTTGTTGGAGGAGGATGATGGGATGTGTGAGATGTACGAGAGGAGGCACATGTTGCCGCCGTCGATGAGTCCACGCGCAAACACAACCCGTTCATGCACTGTAAACACATATTATAGGATAGTACTAGTCTTCAAATACATTGCTTCAGCGTGCTATTGGACCTTCTGGCACTATCTGAGGCGAACTGAAATGATCTGATGAGGTATGTCTGGAGTGTCCTGAGGATTCCGGTTTGTTGTTGATTCCGAATCCGATGATTCGACCAATGATTCGCCAGCAACCTCACCTGCGCACAGAGTAGAATGTTGTTTCATACTGTACCCACCTTACTTATGTTGCACTTAATAGAGGGATAGAGCATCTACACATACGTTGAACACCTCAATGCCACTCTCCAGAGCAAGCGCCCACGCGGTGGTGCACGCCACACAGTCACGGCTCACTTCTTACTCAACTTGCTGCAGTAAAATTGTCTGCCAGCACATTCTTACTGGATAGAATGTTTGTTTATAGGTCCAAAAGCACTCTCATCAAATCTTGTGGCTTGCGTCTTGAAGCTGAAAGTAGGATGTGTGTTAAGCCCCGCGTCTTGCGTGTCACAATGAGTGACATTATCACGCTCGTGTCACAGGAGTGCCACCGCCGCGATGGTCAGTACTTCCGCCCCTTGCAGAAGCAAGCACAACCCAACCCATCCCAGAGAATGAATGATCCCGGCGTGGGTGTGTACAAGTCAATGACGGGTGTCTCATCATCAGAACTGAGCCAAGATTTTGTACTCTAGGTATAGCAATCCCGGCAGTGGGACTTCAAGATGGTAACACCGACGGTAACACAGATAGCAGCAACGGTGAGGGTGAGTTGAGCCAACCTACGGATCTAGGATTGTCAGCTAATGAAGAAAATGTTGGTCTAATTCAGATACAAGCCTCGGGTTCAGTGTACTGGATGCACAGAATACCTGGCAGCGCCTTGTAATGCTCTGTGGGTCTCAGTTCCAAGCCCCAGAGAATTATCGCAAAGCCGAAGCCAATAGTGTGTCAAATGCCGGTATGTATTTTGACCTTAGCATGATTGACATTCCCTGATTGCAAATCTGGCAGCAATACATGCCGTTCTGGACGCCCCTCAGGCTCTTGAGAATGAAGGCAGGAGCGTTGAACTTGCCGGCCAGCTGGCACCGACAACTTTATCAGACAATCCGCCACCTTTTGCGCTTCCTGCGGGCCCGCCTGAACAGACGTTGTTGGTCAATACTCAGGCTCAAACAACCGAATCGGTCCTGACCATCATCCTCGCTGGGTTCGATCAAAGTGTCCTTGATAATCCGACTAGTTACCTGGAGATTATCCCGGTTGGGCTCCCTTTCACGTGCGAGCACTTGGTTTCTGGCCTCATCAATGCTCAATGCCGTCCTGGGCGGATTTTACAACATCTGATTGCCCAGGGGCGCGCCTCGACCATTCGTTTTGGCGCCTCTCGTCATGCCCTCGATGTCGCGGAACACTCACCGGACGAGTACTTCAGTTACCAGCGGGGCTTTCGCGAGCACGGAGACCTCGCAGCCATTCTGAACACCACATCTGGACACACTGGGATCGAGCCCTGTGGAACAGGCCTCAACTTTCCCAGTTGTGTCGAAGTGTATGACCATGCTCGGAACATGGATTCCACTCTACCCGACGACGTTCCTTTGTATTCTGTTTACTTCTATATTGATCAGGTGAGTACGGTACATCATCTTAGCGACAATCACCGTGACACCCTCCTGACGCTGTGGCAGATGGTGAATCCATTGCTGTCATCATCTGCACGGGCAATACCAGTCCCGGTCCCAGTCCCCGCCCCTAGCATGAATCCGCTCAGCAACAGCAATGTGGATTTGACAAGCACGCATCATTCTCAGGCAACCATCCAGTCTCTACACCCATCTCAGTCTCTGGAGAATGGGTCAACCAGCCACTCTCATGGGCTCTTGGTAACATCTTCCGACGCTCGGCTCCTACAGCAGTATCTAGACCAGCACTTCCCTGACGAAACCGACATCATCACTGCGATTCAGAGTCGCCAGGAACAACTCCAGAGCAGCGCTAGCACCAGCCGTTCGCGCAGTACCCGGAACCGCCCCCTACCGCTGAACCTTTGGTTGTTCCGATTCCGACAGCTCAAGAACATCCTCTCGCATTTTGGCATCCCGGTCAACAGTCCCGTGGGCACCTTGGAGTTGCGTGTACAAGGGCATTTGCCTCAGTCGGTGGGATCTAGAGTTCAAGGACGGTCAGCCCGTGTGAAGTATGAAGACATATATGAATGGGCGGGAGTGGAGAGAAGCACCGCAGCGAACATTCGCCCTATCTACCTGCAGCTTGAAGCCGCATATCGTGCAAACCATCCTGTCAACCGCGCCCACATCTTCGTCTCCTTACCTGAAGCCCAGCAGCACCTGATCAAGCTTGCTGGCTCTATCATTGAAGGAAAATTCTTCGTTGGGATCGAAGACGAACTGGATGCGGATGAGCAGCTTCCTTGGGTAACGATGAAACGGGAGACCTGTGTAGAGGAATTACGTGTCTTTCACAAGACCTCAGGACGTGAGTCCCTCCGACTCTATCGTGACATAACAGTGGCATATCTCATTATCTTTACAGAATTTCTAAGTGATGCTGTGAGCGGATCTTAAGGGTAGTATTTGCTCTATACGCAGATGCTGTATTCCATAGATTACTCAGGATTGATGGTGTACATCTGCTGGCATATCCTAAGAGCCTCCACCCACACTAAGCGGCAAATCCCCATATCCCGAGTCGTGCGGTTAACGCGGAGTGCAAGCTCTGCATCAAAAGCAGCCACCTCAGCGGGCGTAAAGGGGCAGTTTGGTGCCTCGCATTCGACCACAGACAACTCGCTGGGCCGAGTGTACCCTGGAGAGAATGGGTTTGCCGCCTCCCACTCGTCCGGGTTGTTGGCAAGATGGTGCGCCATGAGCATGGGATCATCCAGGACATCCCAGTCGATCCCATAGGCCTGTGGGTCATCAACAGTATCAGGGAGTGCTTCGCGTCGCTGGACACGGAGTTCCTGGTGATTGCTGATACCCCGTGGCCCATTCTCAATCATTCCAAAGATGAAGCGGTCGCGAGGGCTGCGGGAGCGGTCTGCAACGTGCCGCTCATGGAGGGAATGATTGTTCCAGGATGCGGCCCAGTCCTGGACATCCACGTTGATGTTTGCCAAAAAGAGATGGTGAACAAGCCAGATGTGTGCAGGGCGCGAACAATGGAGACCGGCGTTGTGTTCGAGCTGAAGGAAAAAGTTCTTCCACTTCTGGCCTACCCCACGGGTGAAGTCGTACCATAGGCGCTCAACACGAGTGTTATGGACGCTCCTAAAGTCATCGTCTCAGTACAATGACAATGACAATGAGATCATTGCACTTGCCTGCCCCATATGTATGATCCCCGTCCATGACCTCGATGCTCATCCTGCCACCGAGCAACTAGCACATTCTCACCACCGTGATCGCCCCGGACACGGCTCGGATCGCCACAATCTGCGCGTGCACGGTGGAAGAGGAGCAAGACTGTCTCGGCACGGTTATTGTTATGCACGCGGATGCCGACAATGTACCGGGACCAGCCGTCAATAAAGCAATGAACAACGAATTTCCACCGAATAAGACCTGTAAAGAAGGCTGCTATGAGTATCACAACGAGTTAGATGCCGCATGTCACGCACCATGCTGACCATCATGGTGCCACAGTGCATTTGGGCCAGCAACCTTGTATACTCGGCGGTGAATACGCCGATCAGCGAAGATATTGCCCGTTACACCATGCACACGAATATAGGCCGCAAGGAGCCGGGTGCGCGGAACGCGGTGGCCCTGAGCACGCAGACAGCCAGCCAGCATGCGACGCCCAAAGTTGGGAAAGACCGAAAGGATGGAGCTTACTATGACGTCGAGCTCGGTATCAGTGAGTGTAGAGACCGGCAAGGTTGTAGACGTATGAGTGCGTGTGACATTCCCAGCATCATCCGTGGCCTGCTGAATGACAGGTGCACCAGGCTCGACAAGGTTGTGCTCCAGGGCTCGTCGGCGAACAGTGCGGCTTGAGCAGTTGAAGACTGGTGCCAAGCCAGTCGGTCCTCGCATCTGTAAGCTAGTCTCCAGGAACGTAGGGTTGATTTCGACACGTGGACGTCCTCGGCGTCCAGTTCTTACACGTTGGGCAACAACCATGGGTGGTCCTGCTGGCGGATCCGATGAGCGGTGGACTGCGTCGTCAAGGACATCGACCATATTGGAGACACCAAGGCGGAGGTCATTGAACTCTGCGGGGCGAAAGAGTGCGCAGTGCTGTGCAGAGGGAAGTTGTAGTGTTAGCTGAATCAACGACTTAAACAAGATAGGAAGCGTACGAGCTCTGCCTCAGCAAGAAATCGCAAAACCTCCTCCCTCTGTAACATCAACCTGTCTGCATCGCCGACTTGGGTCTGAGCGGCCGTCGTTACCCGATCACAGAGCACAAAATATGCTGATCGGATATTGTCGACAAGGGTGGTAGACCGGGCAACATCCTCGGCAGTGCTGTCGATGTTATCAACAAGGCTGGTGAGACTTGTGCGGAGGGTTGCGAGCTCGTCTGGCGGTATGAGCGCATGACTCTGCGCATGTTCAGGCCAAAAAAACTAATATGAGGAGCGGATCATACCTCTTCTGCTTGTGCATATAAGCGCAGAGCGGATTCCCGGTAAGCAGGCAGCATTTCGGTGTAGTCTGCCGTGCTGTGGAGTAAGATCCAGGCAGTGCGGTCACAGAGAGCTCGATGTCGGAATCGTATTGCATGTAGTGTGGCGAGATGCATGACAATCGCACCATCGAGTCCATGGAGCATGGTAACGAAACTGTGTTGAAGGTTCCGAAACTCATCCTCCGGAATAGACATGTGCTCCTGCCAGGCCAGTATTAGTCAAAGACAATAGTACCAGAGGTAAAAGGACGAAAGGCGGACCTGATCTGCATAAGTCTGAAGGCGGAGAACATCTTCCTGCCGCTGAGCGAGGATATCAACATCAGTGGCGTCAGAATCAAGCGCAGAGCGGACATCTGCTGCGAGAATTTGGAAAGCTGTACGTATGTTGAGGAGGACAGCAGCCATGAATGAAGCGGGTGATACGAGCACGAAGAACGAGCCTAACCGGCCACCTGAGCAACACCAAATGGCTCGGACTTGCTGACTCAGTGAATTCGCAGACAATAGGTGACTTTTATTCTGCAGCTCGCCGTGGCGTACAACACAGAAACTACGCTGCGAACTGAAGCGGGCGGTACAAGATCTGACGTGAAGTTAGATGGAGTGACAGGTAATGACAGGACGGAAAGTGACGGGAGCGGACGCGAAGGGACGGGAGAGGACGCGAAGGGATGGGAATTAACAGGAACCGACGGGAACTGGCAGGAACCGTCAGGAATGCACCATTTCGTATGGGATACATGTGCATAGCAACTCACTCAGTCTAGACATAACCCATTTAAGTCCAGGCCCATGGGTAATGCTGTCATGGAACATGAACGGACAGGAGAGGCGTCGAAGTGAAGGGACAGGGCGGGACATGAAGGGACAGGCTGCAACAGGACATGAACGGACAGGAAATGACGGGATTTGGCAAGATATGACCGATTTCCTTTGGATCCCGTTAGATCCGATCGGATCCCGGGACCTCCGAACGGAACACGACAGCTATGACAGTATTGGAACAGCTCTGACGGTATACTATGCGCCGAAGTAAGAATCCTTGTATTCTGATGGGATTCCGCTACATACGGTGGACTCACGTGGTCGCGGCTCCCTAAGGGCTATATAGGCTTGCAGCGAAGAGGTTTTTGTCCTGTGCGGACCTTGATACTAAGGACATGTCTGCTCCAATTCAAGATACATTTACTACGGGCCCTATCATGCTCGCTCGGGTCTGGTAGCAGACTGATTATGACTCGGGGACGCCAGGGCATGACACAAGCTGGCAGCCCATGTGTGTAGCTCACATCCTGGGAGGCTGTTCAGCGGCGTCACAGGCTCTCTGTTCCTCAATAGTTGCTGGAGCCTGACACTATCACCTTACGACGACGCACAGATATCATGGAACAGGCCTCATCTAGCGGGTCCAGAGTAGCTTTGAAGCCCACCTCCAACAAGTTCCGTCGCCTAGGCCGATGGGCAAGGGCTTCGCCGGTTTCCGATTCAATAGTAGCCTCTTGGTGCGGCGCGAGCATATCCTTCCTCTTTTCCGGATCCTACCTCAGCATACGGACCGGCGAGCGTACCGAGCGCAAGGACTCGTTCAATGGCGGGACTCCTATGATCGCATGTACTATCAGTGCTTATCCGAGACGCAAAACAGGCCCAGGCATCGACAACGATCAAGTCAACACATATGACTGTGGACCGTCGCAGGAAGTTATCCTCGTAGACGCGGACACTCTGATTACTGGGGCTCTTCCTGTGAGGCTCACGCTCACGCTCGTGGACTGGGCTTCTGTGTTTGGGCTAGACAGCCTTATTGTGGATAGCGTACGTCCGGATCGTTCAGGGATCGACACATCGCTGAGTCTATCAACTTTAGGAAGATGATGTGCAGGCTGACACCGATGACCCTCCACCGGTCAGGGTACTCGCTATCGGGGACTCTATCACGGCTGGGTACTCTGATGGCTCGCAGCCGGTCCCTCTGGGCTGCCTCAATGCCTATCCGCATGTCGCGAGGGAACGAATACAGACGGATACAGGCACTGCGATCGAGCTGGAGCTCGTAGCTTTCCCTGGTATCACGCTCGTAGCGCCTACGCTTGAGGAAAGAGACGAAGGTGTTGGGCAGGGAATGATAGACAAATTCTTCAACGTGAGGAGCCATCTGTGCGAGTGGTATTGCAGCTCGTGTGCATGGCCCACTCACGCGTTTCAATAGGTGTCTCAATGGTCTGACGAGCCCGCTAACCTGGACGAACAGCCTTCGATCATATTGATCGCGCTCGGTCAGTGTCGTAGCTATGCGCACGCTGTTTCATTGACGTCGTTCCGATGTAGGTACCAACGATGACGCGCAAGACGTTTCCCCTGAGCGATTTGCGTCCAGCATGCGCACCTTCATCGAACGTGTGCTTCAAGCGTACCGTGCCTCTGTCAAGCATATCTGTGTCCTGGTAGGTATCTACCTCACGGTGTCTCCTCTAAGCTCATTGGTGACGTCCGTAGCACCCCTTCCCCGACTTCACTGAGGACTCCGAGTTTGGATCCTTAGAGACTTCTGAGCAGGTGCCCATTACGCGAGACTTGTCGTCGGTCCTGGATGCATTGAGATCGGTCACGGAGGAAAGTGTCGAGTTTCATGAGTGGAACATTGGAGGGGATCTGCGGAGGGAGCACACGATGGATGGACTACATCCAACGCTTTCTGGGCATCGCACTCTAGGAGACACGCTCGCGCGGATGGTGGTGCCGCTCTTGTATCGGTCCGGATGCGTCTTGACCTGATTCATAGTGTTCGGTGATTGACAGAACTATTGGGCGAACCAGAGACAGCGCATAGTATCGCGTGAGTAGCAGCATGCTGGAGCTTTGACATTCAAGTTTGCCGTCCGATAGGTTGATTGCCATGCCCATATAGTACTGCCTGCGATTCCCAAGCAGCTTTGCGAAGCCCTGCACAATAATGAGTGGATACGCTGAATCTTGGCTGCATCCGACCCAGCGAGTGTCCTGGTTTTGTATGCTCAAAACGCTCGTTCACAGGTCTTCAAGTGAGCAGGGTTAGAAAAGCTGTAAGAAGTCTACGGTGGTACGAAACGTCAGATCGGTGCTGGAGAAAAGCAGACGAGGCGAGCCCAGTGAAAACACATTGAAGTTTGTCAACAGACACATTGAGAGTTTCCTTCGAATCGCTGCAACGGACATCGCTGTCGCGTCCGGAGTCGTGGACGGAGTGCTGGCTTGCAGGTCACCGTCTCGATGCAACAACATACTATCCGACCGCTCGATACGATCATACAGTATACAGCGCCATTACAACTCTGAATGCGAGGCCGTGCGCGCCGACCATGAAACAGCGGTGACCATGCGCCGACTATCCTAGTCACTGTCCGTATCAATGGAGATCTTCACTCGCTTTCGTGGTAGTGGCCCTCCAACTCCAAGTTCGTCGTCCGAGGAAATTTCTTCGGAGTCCGCAGCGTGCATCGCCCACCTCGCCCGTATTTCCCGTCTCCGCCGGCTGTCTGGGCTAAGATCGTCCGACATGGTCTGATTCGACATATCGGATTTACATTCAGGTGATGTTTCGGCGGGCGGTGGAGCTTTCTTATGTAATTCCTCGTCGAGGCGACGATTGAATCCAACGCACTGATAACCGATGACTTCAACTTGCATGATGCCTTTGCTGTACAGCTCGGGTAGGGTTTCCGCCACCGCATTCGTCTGGGGAGCGTCACAGGCGGTCTGCTGTGCCAGCGTTGCCGCCACGGCACTCTCCGTCTTTCCCTAAGTAATAGACCAGATAATGTGAGGACCTAGCAACGTTCCTTGGCCGGGATAAATTAGTGCAGTAGTGCTCACCGGGAACATCTTCCACATGATATCTCCCAGTCTGATCTCCCGTAGATCCTCCACCACCCGATAAGTTCCGACGTAAGAGATTTGATTCTCTTCTGCTCGGAAGACTTCATACGGGCGTTCCGAACTTCCTTTTTCGGGACAGCGTTCCGACCAGTTGCAAATACAGTCGATGGGGTCATATTCATGCATCTGAACAACCTGCATTGCATGATGCGAATTCGGAAACCACATTAGGTCTTCGCCTCCGATCAAGTCGAGTTCCTGCTTCAGGACACCTTCGCGACGTAACTCCGCAAGCCAATTTTCGAGGATTTTTCGCTGCATGAGGCGGTTCAGGAATGAGAAAAACCGACCATCATGATGTAGTTGATGATACTTACGGTTGCTTGCATTGGTACCAAACTCGGGTAGTCGATTCTTTCCGCAGGCTCGGGCAGTTCAGAAAGCTTCGCTTTGAATTGCTTGAACTACAGAACAGTTGATTGCGAGCATCGACGATGACAGTGGGTGACTAGTACCTTGTGTGTACCAACATCGTCACGGTGCTCGTCAGAGGTTTTGGCCTTGACGCTTAGGTTGTTTTTCTGAGGCCTAGTCAGCGACACGTAAGCACGATAGCATATTGACAAAGCCTCACTTTGTTCGCGTAATTCAACGATGCAGTGGTCTTCGTCAGTTGCTGTCTCAGCCGCTTCTCGGTAACAGTGGCCGCGTCGCGAGCAGCGAGAGCCACAACGCGGGCGTTCTCTGCTTTCGCGAGCTTATCCTGCAAATGCGCGCTGTCGACGAGACGCCGTTGAAGATCGGCGTTGCTTTGCGCTAGTTCGCCGCTCACGGTTTCCAACTAGGGAACACGGTGAACAAACCGACAGAGCACGCGGAGATGGGATCCGTACCTTCGCTCTTGCCTCCGAGAGAAGACGTTCCTGCCATGTTAAGAGATTCATCCACTTGCCACGGGAAACAAACCTCGACGATTCGCTTACAGTTTCCTCTCTGCGTGTCCGTTCTGAAGCGAAAGAGGCTGCTGACACTTGTTTGAGCTACGGCCCATAAGTTATCAGGATCGAGTCTCGGATCAATCTTTAGGGATTAGTGGAGGACAAACGATAAGTGCTTACTGCGTTATCATGATCACGCATATCAGCCGCACTTCGCCGCAACTCCTCCATTTCCTGTGTACGTTATGCATCTGCGTTCACACAGTGCGCCATTACGCGTGTTCGGAGTCACGCACCTTATTGGAAGCCTCAAGCCTTTTCTTGGTTTGCATCAATGTTGATCGCAACCCATCTCGTTCCTGGCACAGTCATGCATTGGGCCAACATTGAGGTAGGAACTTTGAGCCCTAGATAGACTTACCTTCTCCGATGCATTCAACTGTGACTCAATGCTCGAGAGCCTTTGTTCTAGGAAGTGGAGGAACTCTGTTTGCAGTCTTGGGCTTGCGGTTGGGAACGACATGATGACTATGCGAGGTCTGAAAGATGCGGATAGTATGAGCTAGTAGCACGAAGGTGGTATGCCTGCAATCCAAGTGGCTGCAGTAGTGGCCGCGTCACGGTGTTCACGCGCACGTTCAGTGCATACTATGCCGATTGATCTGCGCAGCGTGCCGAATTACATAAGCAGCCACAATGGATATGTCTCAGTCTGATGCCTCGATATGGCGGATTTCGACATATGACGGCCACTTGTCCCACAACTACACATTCACATCGTAACGCGAGTTTATGACAGGCAGTAACTACGCCCATACATGCTTCCCAACCTTCCCATGTGCTTGCCCCTATTCTCGCCCGCGTATTCTCGCCGCTGAATCTGCCACTTCGGACTGGTTCACTGCGGCTGGCGGCTTCGTCTCCACCTTCACTCCTGGCTTCACCGCCTTTGTCGCTGCTGAGGTCGCACCCGTTTTCGCCTTCTTCCGTGGATCCGCAGCTGCTGCTGTCTCGCGCTTGCGCTTCTCCAAGACGCGAGCATTGGGCGTTGACTCTGGCTCCGACTTGACAGAGTTAGAGAGGAGCGTCGCGTCAACACCGGAAGGCTTCGTCAGATTGGGCATATACTGGGCTCGGAGACGTTCGTCGAAGCCCGCTTTGTAGCCAATGCACTGTAGCCCGATCAGTGCGACTGGCAGTACGCCCGTCGCATACGCACTCTCTACTGCGCTGAAGAGTGCATCGTTCCTCTCCGACGTCTCCAGAGTCCGGCGCGCCAGCCTCTTTGGAGTACCTTCCTGCAAGCCTCCATCAATCATGAGAACGGCAACAGAGTGGAACGCGGGCACCAACCTTCGCCCTGAGGTCACCAAGGTTCTGGACGCCCACGAGCTCAGGACCCTTGATGAACTTGAACGTCCTCGCGTAGAACACGACGTCACCTTCGCGGTAGAAAAGCTCGCGGACCTGTCCGTTGACTTTGTTGCGCAGGGTGTTGCGCGTCCATCTCGAGGTCGGTGGGCTTGCACTTGCGTTGTAGTTGTACACATGCATGACAGATACCCCGTTGCTGGACGACTCTCTCCACAACGGCAGATCCGGCAGATACAGAATAGCGTGAGATTTACTGTGCATTCCCTGGTGAGTCTCGGAATGAGAGGATTTGGCCTGCAATGACTCACTAGAGCTGACAGATGGCCTATGATTCAACAGGTCAGTCAGGCGACACGAAGTGTGGACGCATCAGCCACTGACCTCTGCGACCGCCGGTGTCGCGCCAAGACACCGAGTGTCCAAACATGGGCGCGCTTTGTCGCGGATCGGTAACGGATCAGCAGGTTCAGGGAGATCGAGCATGATTTTCACAAAATTGCCATACTGACGACGGTGCACTATGTTAGCGTGGATCGGGCACAATCTCACGAGAAGGGGCTCACCTTCTCGGCCCAAGTCTGTTTACTCATGATTTGCCTAGCCTTGCCTGCCTCCGCCCGTTGCTCTGCTTCTGCCTTGAACTTCAGAGCCTCGGCCTTAAGCTTCTCTGCCTCGGCCTTACACTTCTCGATATGTGCCTCAAGCATCTCATTCGATTCCTTCAACTCATTCCTTTCCTAAGCACTGCTCTGTGAGTGCGGTTCGTCGTCTCTAGCGGACGTAAACTCACCACCTTGAGCACCTTGATTTCGTTGCGTGCCCTTGCAACATTGGACACTCTGCTCTTTGCAGCACGTGCCTGGTTTTCCTTCTCATGTAACAGACCATTGATCACCTGCAATTGCAGCTCGAGTTTCTTCTCCCGATCCTGCACCGTCTCGTTTAGCTCTGTAACCTCGCCCTCCAACCGCGTCTTGGCCTCTGACAGGTGCTTCATAGGATGAATGTCAGGCCATGGATACAGATCACACAGCAAGCGAAACGTACCGCGATGATGCGTTGTTTCTTCTTGAAGGCGTCCTCGTACACGCGGAGCTTCTTTTCGTGCTCCGAGGGTGTGTCCTTCGGGGCGGCGAGCATTTTGGCTTTCTCGCCGAGTTCTCCATCTCGAGCGCGCAGTGCTTCGCGTAACTCGGCGACGCGACTTTCAAGCTCGGTCATTGTCTCCGTCAGGTGCTGAAAGGGAAATATAGGCGTCAGGAGAGTACGGCCTAGGGTGTAACGAGCAGACGCACCGCGATGATGTGCTGTTTCTCCCCGACAACCTGCTCCTTCTCCTGCACGAATTGCGCAAGCTGCGTTTCGAGGGTTTTGGCCCTCTGCTCGTGTAAAGCTAAGTTGCACAGGTGACGGGCGTGGTAGGAGATGAATACTCACGTCCGCCACTTCCCCAGTGTGTGCACGCTCAGCTTCTAGCTCTTCCCGCCGCCACCTAAGCTCAGACGCAGCGTGCAGTAACATCCCGCCCGCAGAGTATTTCCCGTCCGACACATTGAAGACTTGGTGCAACCTGACCAACATCTTCGAGCAACATCCCTCGCCTTGCCCTTCGCAGCCTCTCACCACTGGCAGCCTCTGCGCGTTGCGCGTCTTCTCCAACTCCTGCGGCGTTAACGGTGAGCATGGCATGCCAAAGCGCGACGAAAATGCGGCAGCCATACCTGTTCTGCGGCGCGAAGCTTCCCCCGCGTCTTCTTCAATTCCTCGCCGAGCAACTGCACCATTTCTGCCGCAAGCTCCGAGTCGACCATGACCGGCACCGTAACGTCCATCGGGATAGAAGCGAGAGGCGACGGTGAATCCTCCTGCAAGTCGAGTGAATGTGGACGCTCGAACGCTCTGGGGTACGCGGACGATAAGATATGGTCGTAGCAATAGAAAGGTAACCAGGGTCGCCCAGGAGATCTCAACAGTTTTCGGCCAGGGGCCGGAAATTTGGGTACAAATCGACGGGTAAACTGGTAAATTCCCGATCAGGCAACTCCTGGGGAACCTTTCGAGCTCACGTACCCGAGTCTCAACGCTCTATGCATTCTGGCAATTGTCCGTGGTGCCGGTGGGTACAAGTTACAATGCCGCGCTCAACGATGAACCTTGTGCTGGATGGTCAAAATCGACAATGAGAATTTGACTAAGTAGAGACGCGCCTAGAAGTGTAAATCCGGATTAGGAAGGTAATCAAGAACTCAGTCTCGCGACTTCGTCAGCTCGGATCCCAGAGTATGTGAGGTGGGTTTTGGTCACAACGCAAATTCTCGCGCATTGTACGACGAGTTTTGACAGAACGACCTGCGCGTCTTGTGAAAGGGAGGGAACACCGCAGATCCACTCGAATAACATTGATCACCGACTCGGACCGAGTCCAAGATTGAAGCCGCGAGTCCTGATCGACGTAACGTCCGAAGTTATACAATTCAGAGCGCACGGTAGTAAAGTTTGTAACCAGTCCGCTATACCTGGACGGACGCATAGCACAAGATCACCTCGCTGACAATGGGTGGGTATGCGCTTGCTGAAACGGGCCTCCGGCTTGACCGACCTTGCTTTGTCGCGTCCGATACGAGTGCCACGTCAGCACCATTTGTTCCAGGGCCAATCTGCACAGAGATTGCCTTTGAGCTTCGCTCGGTACCGTGGTAAATTAGGCTTCGAGGGACATTGAGTGAGGAGCGCACACACGGGGCAGGTAATTCTCAGATCGCAGCTTCGCTGAATGAGATTACAATTCATACGCAGGCCCACAGACGTGAACCGCGGGAGAATCTGCAGAGGACCCACAGAAACATACACCTGTCGGTGCCGCTGCGTGAGACTAGATGTAAGGATTATTCTCGGTGCATATATCAGGACTTGTAGTACGCACCTACCGCTTCGTGGCTTGAGATGCTGGTAAGAGCGTTGCAGAACACCGTGCGTACAGCGTCGACAGGATCCGTTACATGCTGCGGAACATGTAAGTTCATCGAAGCTTGCCAACGAGCTCAACGCCGTCAACGCCAGCGCTGCGTTGACGGCCGCCACCGATGTGCCTGTGACACAGCGAGAATACGTGAGAAATCACGTTCTTATGCAAGCATGGAGATTGCCGCTGGCACACTTGGTCAGCATATCAAATTCGAAGCTCGACGGCCGCCGCAATCGAGATTGGGATCTCAGCTTCCTAACGTTTGGTGCCGGCGGGCCCACTAAGTACGGTGCCTCCTCTCAGTGCCTGTCCTGGTCCACTGGCCTGGTCTGCCCACGCGGCCGCTGCGCGTCGTGGAAGACAGCAACGCAATAGGATCCCAGATACAACATTATAATTTACTGCGTTTCGCCGCCGGAGATCTATACCATACATCATACGTTCTACATCTCAGGCCATGCTCCAGAACACGTAAGCTCACGCGCCGTACACCTTCACGCGCTCTTCGATGGGCTTGAAGCTCTTGTCGCCGTGAGGGCCGGCGGGCTCGCCGAAGGGAAGCTCTGCGATGAGGTTCCACGTCTCGGGGATGTTCCAGGTCGCCTTGACCTTCTGGTCGATAAGGGGGTTGTAGTGCTGCCGGGTGCGTGTCAGCGATGCGCCATGCGGAGAAACCGGCATACGGAAGGCTCACCTGCAGCGAAGCACCGAGGCCCTCCTGCTCGAGCGCAGTCCAGGTGGCGAACTGGATCATGCCGCTGGTGTGCTACAGAAGGGCGTTAGGTGAGATAGGTGAGACAGAACGAGAGGGTAGCACGCGCAGACGCACCTCAGACCAGACGGGGAAGGACTCCTGGTAGAGGGCGAAGTTCTTCTGGAGCTCGCGGATGGGGACCTGGTCCTCGAAGAAGAGGACAGTGCCGTAGCCCGCCTTGAAGCTCGCGAGCTTCTTCTCGGTGGTGGCCCACTGCTGCTCGGGGACGATGGGCTTGAGGACCTCGCTAGTGATGTCCCAGAGCTTCTCGTGCTCGGCCTTGAAGAGAACGACGACGCGCGAGCTCTGCGAGTTGAACGACGACGGGACGTGGAGGACAATCTCCTTCACGATCTCCTCAATGCGCGCATCGGAGACGGTCGACTTGTTCGAGAGGGCGTAGTAGGTGCGGCGCTTCTTGATCGCCTCGAGGAAGGTGGTAGCGGAGGCCATTGTGCGGGTCTGTACGTGCGTGCGAGGGAGGGCGGCTCGGAGTGGGATAGAGGGGCGGGCTGCGAGAGTCCTGGATACGGTGGTTGCGGTGCGGAAAGTCCTGCTGAACGACATGGTCAGCGGCGAGCCTATATATGCGCGCGCGGGCTTATAAGATGCCCCGATGGCTGAAAACGGCAGACGATTAACGATAACGCAAGATGATTAGTGAGATTGTCAAGCAACCTGTGCGGAGACAAATACACAGACGAATACTGGAGACAGGCGGAACATGGATGTTTGTTGCGGTCCTCTCAACGTGGGAACGACTTACCCCGCTAGAGGAGGACCGTACCTCTGCCCGCAGCCCGCAGCGCTCGACTACAGGCTTGCGTAAACCCGATGATGCCGCACATGCGGACACCTCACGATGATAGAAATTCGCCATCCAAGACGACCGCGGAGTGCTCGCTGCTGCTGAGAGCATCTGCCTGCAAGAGGCAGGCAGGGCGAACCGCCAGGGCATTGCCAGGGCCCGCGTTATCGGAGCCTCTGCTGGCAAAATCTAGCCGAACGCAATCAGACGCTCGTTCCTCAGTTCTACTGAACGTTCGAACTTCCGATGTCAGTCGTTTCATCTGCAATAACTCACAGCAACGCGCGCAAAGGTTGTCGTTTTCCCCGCCACGTTTACACCGCCCACGAGCTGCATACGTAGGCTGTGTTGCTCTGGCTGGCATAACACAGTCGTCTGACCTCCTCAGTGCGCGGCCTTGGAACTCTAAGTCCGCGACTCTGTTCCAGGTCCGATCGAGAGACTTTTGGAGTAGGTATGTCGACGGTATATGTGACTATTCTTGGCCAGATTGACTGAATCCCGATTACTCCGTACTCAGAATAGGACTTCTTGATGAGGGGCTCCGCAGTCGGCCCAGAACATCATCGTTCGCCCGGACAATTCAGTTTCAACTAAGGCACGCAGGTAAGCCTTCATGATATCGATGGCGAACCGTTCTTGCGCCGATGGTCCATCGTCAATTCAAACTCGTCATGCTTGGTCATCGTTTTGCTGGCATTCGCTTTTGTACAAGCCCGTACTGTGGTAATCCACCATCCCAAGTACGTAGGTCATATGTGAGTAGGCGTATGCATTGACTAAGATGAAATGACTCATATTAGGAGAAACACTTCGACGAGTGATGACCAAGCACCTTGTTTGAACTTTGCGCGGGCTTAGTCTTGCCGGTTTGAAGGGCATTCGGGTAAGTATACGCTGACAATGCAATATGATAGAGATTCCACAGCTCGAGACAAAGGTCACAACTCACCTGAGTCCCGACCTCCGCCGCTGCCATTGTCAACTCTCTAGCGTACGTGGCTTCATAAGCAATCGGATTGCAGCGTCTACGTAAATCATCTGTGCAGGACGTCACGCTCGTCTGGTGTTTAGCTTGATTTCATATGTTCAAGGCGTATAAGACAGTATACGTACCTCAAACGTACAGGCTGCGCTGTATTAAGCTCCGCGACAACTTGAAGAACGCTGCCAATTACACTCTACCGCGACGAGTGTATGGGAATATTGATTAAGAAATTGTAGAACGGAGTCATGAACTGTCTCGCCTGCTTTTTACGACGTCTCCGGAGTATAGAGTAACGGCTTAGGCCGTGAGTTGGGCATTGGATGAGCGGCGGGCGCGCGTTCATCAACAAGAGCACGTGATCGCGATGCGGCGTGCGTGTTCCCCGTTGTGTTAAGTTCAAATGATACAAGCGCCTTCGAGTCGACCGTTCGACTGCAACGGCGGCGTTCCAGACGGGATACGCAACCCAGCTTGAACGCGACTCGAACATCCACATAGGTAAGTGGTCCATTGCGCGCTGAGACGGATGGACTGTGTTACTTACTACTGCAGCCAGCCAGTGTACTAGGAGAGCAGCTACGCCAATTCTTCGGGTTGCGAAAAATTTGACAGCGAGTCGCCGCGGTCTTCGATACGATGGCCTCTCTTGTGATTGAGAACCCGAGATTGCAAACAGAGTTCCTAGAATTCCTGCAACAAAAGCTATCAAATGTAGAGTCACAGCTATCTGACTCGGAGAAGGTGAGCTTGAACACTCAAGATGTCTAGCTTACATGGTTACAATACTCAAGCGGTGCTCAGGACAAGGTCCAGCTGCGGACTGCGTTGGTACAGGTAGAAGACGAACTTGCCGGGACAAGATCTGTATGGCACAACAGACCCATACACCTACGGTACGAGTACTCATCTAGTCACAGGCTCTTGAGGAAGTGCGTCGGAACAAGGTTGAGAACACGGTGTGTTTCCTTTCACGCCTCGCGTTGCCTCATTCAATTGTGGTCAGTTTTTGCAGAGATCAGAATTACTAGCCACCACGGAACGCCATCTGGCAGATGCGAAAGCAAAGGTATACACGCATTTCGGATACTATCATGCCGCGCCGTACCTCATAATTAATTGTACAGTTACAATCAATGGAAGCTGAACGAGAACAAACACGGGACAAGATCAAGCGGCTTCAGCGGCACAAGGATACCGAACTTGAAGTGCTGCGCAACGAGGTCACGAAACTGAAGGAGGCGGCTGAACTGCAAGAGACGCAAAGCTCACAAGTAACACCATTATTTGTTTACGCAGCGAGAAATGATTAACGTATGATGGCGTCTGTACTCAGACGCTGAATGACTTACAGGGGCAGCTATCTGCGGCTCAAACGGCCTTTGAAGAAGCTGTCACAGCTCGCAATGCGGCCGTTGCCGCTGGGGCAGAGAAACAAGAGCTGATAAATGAGATGTCCAATAAGCTCAGTAATGCGCAACAGGTGAGTGTTTGATGGAAGTTCTGCTTTTGAATAGTACTCACAGTGACATTCGGAAGTTTGTATTGCTTAGAGATAAGCTTCTTGGCTCACCCGCTCCGGAGAATATGGCCAATCATTTGCCGTGTCCCGTCCCCTCTGGTATCTTAGTAAGTGACGTGTCATAGTGTCACGAAGGCGGGATTTCTAACAATGGTGCATCATTGTAGTGGCCCAAGGTGTTCATACGGATGATGAAGTTTCGCGAGACTGAACAGTCTGCGGCATCGCCTGCGCCATGGTATTCCCTCCGCTTGAGAGACAAACACCTGGTGCCACTTCGGAACTCCCATCACGCCCTCACCGTTGACCCCATGCATCGGTATGAATCCAGTGTTCGCGACCGGAAGTTCACGTCGTATCCGTCCGGATCCCAGCCTCGGCGGGATGGAAGATATGAAGTCTTTCATGAACATGGTGGTAAGATATACTATATGGGTACATTTCTGCCTTTGGGCAGTCTACAGAATGTTGAATTGGACCATATGCAGTTGGATTCTTACTGTGTGCGTATATCTGACACTCACAATCTATTTATTCTGGTACTGAGAACCCCTCTCACAAATTAAAAAGGCTCACGGGAGCGCGGTACTAGTGTCTTGGCTAGCACAAGAGACAGCTGGCTCGGCGCCTTCCGGGAACGCTGTCAGGACTGCCCTCCCTGAGATGTACCGGAAGGGCTTCATGCGGTTGAATGTGACTGGCCTGCAATGTGTTGGCTTTAACCATGGTCTCTACGCATCAATTTGCAGGTCTGATAAACCTATACCTGACTGTGTTCTGGAGTCCGAGAGCCAATGCGGATCGCGCAAGCGAGCACGCGATGATGATCTGACTCGGAACAAGGAGGAAGACGATGAAGATAATGAAACAGACGATGATGAAGACGGCAAAGATGATGAGGACGGCAAAGACAGTGATGAAGACGACGAAGACGATGAGGAGGATACAGAGGTAGTAGATGCTGAGGGACCGGTATGCAAGAAAGCAAGGGTGTCCAAGTAGCTGGTGAATGTCAAGCACGCCGACTGAACCAGCTTCAAGTTGTACTACATGTTCGTGCAACTATATCAGCTGCAAAGTTCCTGGTCCAGCATTCTTCATGGCTATTAATTCATGTACTACTCATCGTATCGTACACGCTTCAAGTTGTACTATACTCGTAGTAAGTACCAGGCGAGGTCGATCGGGCTGTCGATCAGGGCGTAACGAGGCAGTCATGATCTCTTAGGCTGAACAGTAAGAATGCCAGGATGAGAACGGGCGCGGAGAGATGAGATTGGCAGCGTTGAAGAGGCAAATCCGAATAATTACGGACCTACTAGTTGCCTACTAGTACGGTACGCTCACGAACCGCGCTCATCCATGTGCAGCCACGTGACCGTAATGTAGGCCGCGGTAGTACCCACGCGGCCGCCGAGGTCCGCCAGTGGCCACTGCTACTGGTAGACTCAGGCTGCCCTGTTAGCGACTCGCTCGACGAAGCAGGTGAACGCGACTCGAATTCATAAGCGGGTGCGTTGGTCAGTCATTTGCCCAGGCAGCCCAGCTCATAAGTATTAACGCGCATCTCATCACAAAATCAACGATGGAATCGCAGCCAGTCGGCGTTGCCAACTTACCTACTAACTTAGTCGGATTGTGACAAGTCCTGGGCCTGAGTCCGAGTCGTGTGGTTATTCCTGAGTATGTCACCCTCTACTTCCCATCCAAGTTTGCAGTCCGAGTCCGTGGAATCCCTTAAGCAGAGACTGGCGATTGTGGAGCGAGAGACAGCTGAGGATGTCAAGGCAAATCCGCCTTATTTTTTCACGTCGCAACAGCTGGAGTTGGGCGTTGAGAGGGACCAGCTGCGATCTGCATTGGCGCAGGCACAGAAGGCCCAGAAGGCATCGAAGTCCGTGAGTCATACCACTATACCTCGCATAGCAGACTGATGATCTGCGCGTATGTAGGCAACGCAGGAACCAGTACAGAGCAACGTAGATGATAGGTCGAAGGTATGTCTCGTAGTTCAGATCTCGCTATTGTTGGCATCGATCCATATCAACCTACACTGGGCGTTCAGTCAAGGAAAGCCAACTCGTCAAAGCGTGAAGTTGGTTCTGTTGTCTTCGATCTGAATTATGTGCTGAATATATTCCAGCTCACGAAGAAGTCGGACGTGCTATCCGCCAAGGAGGACCGTCGCAAGGTGGAAAAGGTGCATCTCATAATTAATACGGAAGTCTCACCTCATGTCGAACGTTCAATGCAGCTGGCAAAAGTGGAGACTGAGTTGCAACGAAGAAATGAAGAAATTCGACAATTGGATCGGTCGAGCAAGACCGAACGCGAAGCACTGCACCAGAAAATCTCAGACATAACAGAAGCTGCTAGATTGGAAGCGGAGGATAACGAAGAAGTGACTCGTCGTTTTCCCTGCATATCGGAGGATGACTGACTCTCACATCAATCTCACAGCGATTGAACGGTCTGCGGAAGGAACTCCAGGCCGCTCAAGAAGCCAGTGCGAAAGCGATCGCAGAGCGAGACGCCGCCATTGCGGCTCAGTTGGCGACATTTCAGCAGGCCAACGACGTCTTGTTGAAGCTCACGTCCGTGCAAGAGGTCAATGTTCCATCGTGATCTCATTACAGAGTACTTTTTGCTGACTGTGTCACAGGAAGTGCTCACGTTGTCCAGAGCCCGTAATCATGTCGATAGCAGCTTCGACAGACCGGCAGACAAGGGCAGATATGGCGAGGAATTACAGGTAATAGTAGACCATCTAATTAAGTCTGTACATTCAAAGTTGTGACCTACTGTGCGCGACAGCTCAGGTCATTCATGAACAAGCTCCTTAGCTTGCCGAGTCCTGGGGAAATGATCCATCCTTGTCGTGTCCCCAATGATGCGTCGGTAAGCAGTCTGAACATCAATATTGATAGTCTACTAATAGTAAGAGGCTATGCACACATGTAGTCGTACCCGGCGTTCGCGCGAGTGTACGACGTGTACAAGGCACAGTCCTTTGGCGTTATGCCGTCGTTCGAAGGCTGGCTGAAAGTCAGCGGCAACGGCCTGATACGTCTCAAGTATTCCCACCGTATTCTCCTCATTCAACCGGCGTATACATACGATTCTCGCGGTCAAGAGAAATTTACGGCCTGCCCATTCCTGTCCGTCAACGATCAAGCCAAGGAGGTACTTTTCCAGGACGGCGACCACCTCTACTACATTGGCACGTACAAGCCGTTGATGCCTTGCGAGAACGTCCAACTAGGCCACCTGCAGTCCGGCTCTTACATTGTACGTGTTCCACTCCGAATCATCCGTATGACGATGAATCACCTTGACATGTGCTTCTTTGGTCGCGAGCATGGCAGAGAGTCATGGCTTGAAACCGGCACAGTCACCTATGCGGCTGCGCGGAACGCAGTCGCGATAATCCTCCCCGAATTGTACCGGAAGGGATTCCTAAGGTTGAACGTCATCGGCTTGCAATGCGTGGGCTTCAACCGTCATCTCTACGAAGCTATTCATCAGAATGGTTCCGTCTCCGACGAACCGCTGCCTGGAGATGTTCCGGATCCTAGCATCCGAGACAGCTCGCAGAAGCGCAGAAGCGACTGCACGACGATGGTGCCGATGAGTGGGAAGTGGAGGAGTCAGAACAACCAGTCCGCAAACAGACGAGAGTTTCTGAGTAGGTGCTGAGCGCTGAGCGGTGATGACATGGACCTTGCTACTGCGTACCTCGGATGTACTAGTGACTGGGATAGTACTACTAGTACCTTGTCAGCTGCATTTAGTGTATTCAAATCGTACCAGCCTGGCTTTCTGTGAAAAACGAGAAAGAAGAACGAAGAACGAATGAAAGAAATACACAAATGCGTATACCTGGTGTCACGTGCCACTTTGTGGCGCGGCGACAGCCACACTGTACTGGCCCGGGTAAGGACTCGGACGTCTTGCCAGCCCCTTCTCACTTTCGCTGCCTAAAGACTAACGTTGGACTAACGTTCCAATCTTGCGCCGCGGATGCTATGTAACTGAAGACATAGTGCCATTTGACGTTCCCGGCGACAGTGACTGATTGTGAGTACTGCGGTTTGCATCGTGGACCGCATTATCGTTTACGTTGGGGTTGGGTCGCGTAACTTGAAGAATCCTGTCTAACACCACCCAGTCAAATTTGCCACCCGGTGACACCCAGCAGAAGAGCTCCCAAGTGCAGACCTGTGTGAGCGATCCGGAGGATTGAGCTTTGATATGATAGATATCCACCGGCGCCCAAGGATACTTCCCTCTCTGAATTGTACGCGTCCCCTCTGTCCACCACGTAACGTCCAGACTCCAGAATAAAGCAACATGGGCTGTGGAACGATACCTCGCGGTCACGCGTATGTCCTCGCGCCTTTCTCATCGGCGCCGAATTCGCCTGGGGACTCGGCAGGTTCGGCGGGCTGGCCATGCACCCTGATAGGGTGTAGATAGGCCCCGCAACATATTGCACAACTTGACTCGAGGTTCTCCGGTGTGCTACCTTGCAGCGTGCCCGCCTGCTACAAATTTGTCTGGCATGCGGCACGGCGCTGCAGTGTTCTCCCCAGCACTGTCGCTCTTGCCTTCACGACTCGGTACGAACGCCGCGATGCCTGCCAGTGCGATGCCCGGACAGGACGACAAAACACGCTCACGCGAGCATGATCACGACTTTGACGTCGAAGACATGCTGACAGCGACACCCGCGAGTCATACAAGGACCACCAACACCATCGAGATCGATGGCCCGCAACTGGAGCATGGGTCGAAAGCCAAGGCTGCAGATGTGATCTCGCTGACGGACCAGACGAACCTCCTTCCCTTGAAGAAAGTTATTGCGGTCTTCTGTGGTCTCTCCTTGTGTATCCTTGTATCGACTCTGGACTCAACGATCGTAGCCACCGCTCTACCCACCATCTCGGATGCATTCAACGCTGGTTCCGTCGTGTCCTGGGTACCCTCGGCCTACCTGCTCACGTCGACTGCCTTCCAGCCGCTCTGTGAGCTAATTTGTTGAGTATATGGGTCGGATGTTATGCTCACAGATCGACGCATTGTTACGAAGATGGCCGGTTCAGCGACATCTTCGGTCGAAAGGCTAGTCTATGCCTGGCCATGCTACTCTTCATGCTTGGCAGCATTCTCGCAGGCTTCTCGCGTTCCATAGTGCAACTCATCATATTCCGCGGAATCGCCGGCGCAGGTGGCGGCGCCATCGTGAGCGTTGGTCAAATCGTCATCTCCGATGTGGTGACCCTACGTGACCGGTGTGTAGTGGACTTACGTGCGATCGTCGCCCGAGACGGATTCATTGACTGTGTCCTCGCGTCTTCCGAATGCCTGTTCGTTTTGATGCATCTAGAGGCAAATATCAAGGTATCATTGGTGTCGTGGTCGCCTTTGGCTTTGCCATCGGCCCGCTTATTGGCGGTGCGCTGGCCCAGAAGGTCAACTGGAGGGTGAGTTTTCATTCGCTTTTGGTGTATCCGCCCCGATGATATATACCGCGTCTCGCTACTAGTGGTGCTTCTGGGTTACGCCCCCTATATCGTTTGTGGCGATGTGCGCCGTGCTGCTGGTGCTGCCTCTCAAGCCCGTGGAAGGCAACCTCAGGAGGTATTCCTCTTCCTTTAGTCAAAGAGGTGCAATTGACCCACTGTTCGAATGATGACAGGAAGCTCATGGTAGTCGATTACCTAGGAGCAGGGCTCACCCTTGCGGGTTGTACGCTGCTGCTCTTACCGCTTATCTGGGTAGGTCTTGTTATCGCGTGTACATTCCCAACTGCAGGCTGAAGCTCACATTGTGCCGGTTGCAGGGCGGCGTCACATTCCCGTGGACATCTGCGGTGGTCCTCGCCCCTCTGTTCTCAAGCTTCCTGGTCGTGTCTCTCTTTTGCTTCTGGGAATGGAAAGGGGCTCGCCTGCCGATCGTTCCAAGTACATGACACTCCTCCGTCGGCGATGATAGATGTTGACTCAGCCATATCAGTGTACATATTCAAGCATGTGACCGTCACCGGAGTCTACATAACGATGTTTGTCAAGTACGTCGTATCTCTCCATCTCACTCATGGCTCTAGTGAGCTCATTTTGGCTACGTGCATGTCGTAGCGGGATGATCTTCTACTCCGCACTGTTCTATCTGCCGCAATTCTTTCAAGTCGCCCTAGGATACTCCCCCATCCGATCCGGTGTGTTTCTCTTCCCTGTGCTCGTCAGCCAGACGACTGCAAGTTTCATCGCGGTAAGCTCCAACTCTTTACGCTCTCTAGAACCATCCTCATGCTCATTTCCCGTCAAATTTAGGGACAACTCGTCAGTAGGACCGGACGTTACAGAGTATGTTTCCATGTGTGCTGTAGAGTCGCTGTGAACTTATGATCCATGAAATCAGACCATCATCCATACGGGATTCTCGGTTTGGGCTATCGGATGTGGATGCCTTTCCACGATAGATAGCACGACCCCGAAAGGGCTGCTAATATTCTTCATGCTACTCTCGGGTCTCGGAGCTGGGCAGGTGCGTCGAAATAACCTGAGCATTTCATACGAGATGGTGACACTCCATGTAGACGTTGCAAACGACAACTGTGGCGGCCCAAGCCAGCGTGTCACGTAAGGACATGTCCGTCGTGACCGCAGTGCGAAACGTGAGTACAATCGCTGAGCTAGTCCCGTGCGTGCTGACATTGTGGACGCAGTTTGCGCGACTCCTCGGAGGCACACTCTCCCTCGCTCTTGGAGCTACCATTATGTACGTGCGCTACCATCCCGTCATATTAATCGACCACTTAAACCGCCCTTACCGTAAGCAACAACTCTCTCCGAACCTCGATGAACAACCTCGGTCTTTCCGAATCTGCCATCAAGGCAATCATCGACGACCCCACCGTCCTCGGCGACCGCCTCTCCTCCGCTTCTTCCAGTAAGCTCACCTCGCTCGGCATCTCCGACGGGATGGCCATCACCATCCTCGATGGCTACACGCGCGGCTTCCGCACGCTCTTCATCATGAACGCATGCCTCGCAGCGACAGCGACACTTGCGAGTATATTCATGATCCGGCACAAGGAACTTACGAGGGGGGACGAGGTCCGTTTGCAGGCGGAGGCGCGTGCCGACGAGAAGGCGGCCGAGAAGATGGATGTAGTGCCAGTGGGGCAGGGGCAGGACGTCGAGATGGGTGTGTTGTGCTCAAATGATACGGATAGAAAGGAGCCTGTGAACAGAGCGTAGAAAGCTTTGAAAGTAGAGTACGACAGGGATAGAGCGTACATCGGTTGACGACTAGTATCGGTAACTTGTTAATCCATTGCGTTACAGTCATGCGTGCGTGATTGTCATGTAGGTAGAGTGTCCGAGACCCGATGATTTTGGGAAGATATGCTAGAACAAGCCCTGCAGGGAATCGTCATCTAGTGATTTTATTGCCTCTCTTGCTTCCCGCGCAGGTCGAGCGACAGATGGCCTGTCACTGGATATGCTCTCCAGTACCTTTTGAGTGACGCTGCGCATGAGGCCGAGTGCTTGGAAGACATTTTGTTGATCCCTGTGCAAGTGCTCATCCTCATCAGGGACAACGACAGCCAATATACATCCGGAAGAGAGTGTAGAGGGTGGTGTGCCAGCGGCCAAATGTGACCTAGATGTGCGTAGTGAATACTAGTCCGTTTGGTGATCGTGGGTGTCAATGCTACTCACTCGACGATCGGTTTGAGCAGCGAGGGATATGGCGAGAGCGCAGCAAACAGTGCAGCAACGGCCTGCCTATATGACTCTGGAGCACATTCAGCAACTGTGTGGCCATACGTCAGCCAGACAGTTCACTCACCTTCATGTGTTTCCTTGAACGCATCAGCCACAAGCTCAGCACACGTCTCTCTTGCTTTTTCTCCTACATTAGACCCCGCATTCCTGACCACTCGAGCGAGAGCAAAGACGAGACTGCTTGCAATCGTGTCCTCATTGCTCTTCGCACCAGTGATCAGTTCCGTAATGACTGGATCGACACGGGGCTGACTGCGCATGAGCATGCCCAGACCTTCTGCAGCTTTGTTGCGAACGGCGAGGCTCGCGGGATCGCTGGCGCTCTTGACAAATGTTCGCTGTAGCTGAGGGAAGAAAGGCTTGACGAAACCCGGGATACGCTCGAGCATAATGCTGAGAGCGGAGAGGATCGCGACCTTGACACCAGGGGGATATGTCGTGGCTTGCGTTGCGACCCGGATGAGCGGGCCAGTGAACGACACGACAAACGGTTTGATAGCGCTCTCTTCCGTGCGTTCGACAAGGTCGCCAATAGCGTATGCTGCCTGTTCTCGCTGTTCGTTGCTTCCGGTGGTGAGACCGGCGATAATGATAGGGACAGTCGGCGCAACACCCTTCGGCAGGCTGAATCCAGGTACGTGTCTACCAGGAGCGCCGGTGCCGTCGATAGTGCGCCGTAGCGGGACGACGAGCGGCTCCAGCTCATCCTTGGGAACAGATTTGACGAATACACCAAGCGTTTGTAACGCCGCCGTATGCACCACGACTTCATTGTCGTCGAGCAGGGACACCAGCTGTCGGACCCAATCGACGCGGTAGAGGGAAGAATCTAGTTCAGACTCCTCGCAGAATATCGCGAACAGTTGGCAAGCAGTGACGCGACGTTGAACCGATTCATGTTTGGCCCTGCCCGACCGTTGTCAACATCCCAACTATAGAGAGACTCGAACTGCTTACCATCCTAGCAGCAATAACATCAAAGTGTTCAGGCCTTCGGCGTCACAGATCGAAGCGAGAAGGGCACGCGTAGCTTCATTGACCGCGTCTCTTAATTCTTCTTGTTCACTGAGCTCCGGACTTTCTCTCATCTTCGAGAGTGCATTGAGGATGGCGGTCAAACGTTTGCTCAAAGCTGTGCCAGCAACAGTTACGAGGGCTGCCAATGCTCGGGCATTGAATATCGTCATCGGGATGGCCGTCAATGTCGGAATCAAGACAGGGAAGACAGTTGAGGCGCGAACCTGAAAGGCGGAATGCTGAGCAGTGACGAAGTCACCCATGAGTGATGACTCACTGCCATAACCTCTCGGAGGGCTTGAAGAGCCGTTCCCGAGCTCTGGCCAGGTTGCCGCAAGGCTTCTAGCAGTGTTGGGATAGTTTCATCAATCGCCTTCGCCCCGATGTGCTCCTGTAGAATATCGAAGGCCTTCGCGGCGGCCGCCCGGACATTCGCTTCGTCATCAACAAGGGCAGCACGGACCATCGATATGATTTCGTCTTCGTGGCCTTCCCGTTGACCATCGGTCGTACTCTCCCTGACACGCTTTAAGTATAGCAGGCGACTTGCAGAAATATACAACGTACATCAGCTCACAGAGAGTCAGGCAAACTCCTTCCCGTGTCTTCGGATCGGTCGACGTAGACTTCGATTTCAAGATAGAGACAACCTCGCCCAGAATCTTCTCGCCAGACTTGCGACATAGCTCCGCGACTGTTCGTGCCGCTGTCTGCATCTCAAAGGTCAGACGCTGACAAAGCCTTTCACGAAAATCGCACCTCCTGCTGGTCGATCTCCGGACCCGCAAGCAGCGGAATGATCTGGTTGATGAGTTCAGGAAGAATCTCCCGCACTACAGCTCTGTCAGTCGGTATACCACGGGTGAAAACCCACAGATACCTTACCTGTTCTTGGAGTATTGTGCACCAGAGCCTTCCAGATGTGGATCGACGATTGCCGAACAACGCTTACCGCATCCTGACGAGCGAGGTACAGAGCAGACAATATCCGGTCTCTGCGCTCAGCACCGAGGACCTCCACAAGCGCACGGCGTGAAGACTCAGCCATAGCGGTATCAGCTACTTCCTCCTCCTCCTCAATCTCGGCCTTACCACTGATACCGGAGACCTTGAAGAGTAGTTCTCCCACAAGAGTGATCGATGATTGCTAAAACCAGTGTCAGCCATGATGAGCAGGTTCGAATGAACAAAACACGCACCCTGATGCGCCAACCAGAATCGAACATTCCACGCTCGAGCTCCGGCAATAGTAGATCGATGGCTCTTGTAGAATAGTTCGTGACAATCATCCGACCTGCACGCATTGCTGCATCACGAACGTAATCCTCGGAATCCGACAAACCACCCAGAATAGGAGGGATGATCTTCGGCAGATGAGGCTGAAATCGAGTACCAAACGTTGCTGGAAGGAAGACAAGGAGGGACATGAAGCCTTCCCGGACAGTGCTGCGCGGCGATTGCGCATTTACGATGATGTCTGGAAGCAAACCTTCCATTCGTTCCATACCCAGTCCCGCGAGGACCTCACTGAGACCCTGAGCGGCTCCTTGCCTGTCAACACCCGACGTATCGGTCTTGAGAGTCCGTAGTAACCCGGGAACTAGGTCAGGGAAGTGGACTTCACCGAGTCGCTCAACCAGCGTGCCTAGTGACTTGGCCGCAGTGGCTCTAGCTTCCGGAACTGGGTCGACAAGGACGACGTGAACCATGGGTAGCAGTTGTCCCAAGTATGGAACGAAATCCTTCGAGTCGGTAAGTGAAGCTAGATTGCCCACGATCTGGGCTGCTTTCCTCTTCGTATCTGCGCTGCGCTCCCGTAGTCCTCTCTCTATGATCGGGACCACCTGGCGTACGTGTAAGCGAAGGGACAATGTGGGCGTAGACGTGACTCACTAGCGCCAAAGAAGAATGATCGATATAATGCAAGAACGACGTCTTCAGTAGTGAAGAAAGAGCGTTGGGGGTCTTCGAGGGATCGACCATGGCTTTGAGGAAGACAGGAACGAGAGACTGGATCTCGGGGTTACTGATAACCTCTCCGAACTGTTTCAAGCTCTTGTTCGAAGCCGCGCGCACTTGCGCGTGGGAGTCCGTAAGGACATCCGTCAAGCGAGGGATGACAATAGGCAATGACTGCGAGAGCTGCTTCGGAGCACAGTAGGCTATCATACCGAGCAGCTCGATAGATCCTTTCTTCGTGCGCCACTGCTTTTCGTCAAGCCCAGACAACAGGTCAGGGAGGATGGTCTTAACGCCATAGCCAGACATGTGAGCCATGATCACTCTGGCTGCGTCGTGGGTGGCCTCCCGGACGTCGGGTGTCGTGTCGCCGAAGGAAGACAGAAGCACTGGTAGTATGTGGATGATATACGGTTCGAAGAGCCGGCCTAGTGTGGAGGAAAGTGTCTCCAAAGCAAACATAGCACCTTGGCGTGCTTCATACCGCTTCTTGTCTTCAGTAGCACTCTTGAGGCGCTCGAGGATGTTGTACTCCTTCATTGCAGCGATTCCTGCTCCTTGCACGACACCGGCGATCCCGTAGGCAGCCCCTCGTCGAGCTGCATACTTCGGCGCGTCGAACAACTCGTGCAATAAGCGATCCACGAGATCGGAAACGGGCGATTGCATGACGTTCACCAGTGGTGCAAGACAGTCTGATACAGCGATCTGCACCTGCTCCGCAGGTGTCTTCAACGCTTCAATCAGCCGTTCGACGATTTGAGGTATGCGCTTATCCGAGGGGTCTAGGTGTCGAGCAACGCGACCGAAGAGGATGACTGTGGCTTCCTTGATCTGGTCTGCGGCTTCTGTGGCTGGCGTGCTACCGGAGAGCTGGGCTTCGAACATCGCAATGAGTCCGGGCAGATGTGCTTTGCCATGCAAGTCGATGACAGTTGTGCCGGCATTCAACATGCATCTGCGAACATCGGCGTGGCGGTCACCAAGTGCTTCGCCTTGGATCAGGAACTTGAAGAAGGGTTCGACGTCTTCGCCACCAAAAGCAGGTGCAAGCAACTCGAACGCGCGCGCTATTGCAATGCGTGTAGGCCACGGGTCGGTACGGTCAAGGCTCCGAGCGATGACCATCCCCTGCAACACTTGTGAGACGGCGGCGCAACGATCGAGCAATCACTACCCACATATTCGTCGAATTCGGGGGCTAGGACTTTGGCCTGTGGTACAGGTTAGAAGGTGCTGGAGAAGCATGGGGGAGAAATACCTTTTCCCGGTAGAAATCCTGCAGAGCGTTAAGCACCTCGCTGATCATCTGCGGCCATTGCTCGATAACGGCTTCAGCTAGCGCAGCAGCAGCGCCTCCCCGGACATAAGCAATTTCATGTTCTATCCTTCAATCTCAGTAAGACGGAAAGAGCCGTAGAAGAACAGACATACCAAGGAACGTCAACATGACTCCTACAAACTTCTTCGGTACGTCCATTCCGTTGTCTTCCCAGATGTGACGAGCCAAACGAGCGTTCTGCTCGTCGTCATCGTGACACGCAATCCATATCTCAGGAGACCAGTCGAGATCAGTGAGATCGAAGGGCTTTCAATTGCGTTAGTGTTGTGCTGAAAGCCGTACGACCGACGCTTCTCACCTGGAGTGTTTGCAGGCATGCGTTCCGTACATAGACTTCTTGCTGAAGAGTACCACGTAGTAGTGCCTGGATCTCCTCAAGTGTCGCAGTTGAGTGCATAGATTGACCGATGTCAATCAAAGCGGATGCCGCATCCTTGGCAAGTTTCGGTTGATTCTTGATGACATACAACAGATCTTCGCATGTCCGGCGGCGAGGGTATGCTGGATCAGAAACTGAAGGACCAGAGTTAGATACACCCTGTCCAGGAGAGTTGAGACGTTCTTACGTTCCCCGGCATGAAATTTGACAATATCCACTGCAAGCGTCACCTGTTCCAGGGGGTCATCATCTTCTGCCAAAGCGACACCACCCTTCGTCAAAACAGCGTTCAACAGTGGTGATGCGTAAGAGAACGTGGCCGCATCGAATGGACTCTGCTCGGACAGGGTGCGCAGTCTGTAGAGGACGCGGATCACAAGTGCTGAGGAGACGATCAGAAAAAAAAGCGTAAAGTGTCAGAGTGACGCCCACGCACAGTTGAGTGGCTCCAGCTGAAAGTCGTCAGGCACGCCCTCAACACCCAGACTTCGTAGCGTCGCAACTCCAATCTGGCTGCGATAAATCTCAAGTCTCTCCGAACACGCTTGAGCCAATTCCTGCATGCGCTCATGAGCAGCAGTCAACGCACATGCGAAATGTCACGTACCAAGTAACGCTCAAAGAGTGCATGGCCGACCAGGCGTACTGCTGTTCCCGTGAAGCTCCGCAGCAGGGCATCGGAGATATAAGAGAGATACGAGCGTAGCTCGCTCACTGCAGCGGCGCTGACACTGTGTACCAGCTCCAAACCTCGCTCGAGCTTAATTTTGACGCCGGCCACTCGCTGCCTGATCCTTTTCTCCTTCTCGAGCTGCGCTTCGACCAGTGCTTGATCCTGCTTGGTCAAGGTAGAGGACAGGGACGCCTTCTTGCTCGCAAGAGACCTCCGGACTTCGGCCTCCCACTGTGCATCCTTATACCCCTTGCCCTTCTTTACTGGCTCTTCCGTCTTCTTTAGCGACAACACTGAGCGATGATGAGCTTGATATTCCCCGCAATACCGGACGGTCTGCCTTACCATCGACATAGGTCTGGCCCTCGGGGGTCGACCAAATCGCTAGATCGGTCTCGCTCAACGAGTTGAGTTCATTGACGTCCAAATCACCATTCAGTTGTTCGACGACACGAGGAAGCACAGCCTCCGGCGCGACGAATGTGACAGTGGTTATCGCGTAGTAGCTTGCGCTTGTATAGTCTTCGCCGGACTGTCGTTTCCGTGAGACGAAGGAAATCAACGTGCAAAGCAGGGGAATACGTTACCTTCAACTGTGTCTCTGATATAGTGAGGGTGTCGCGAAGAATCTCGTCTAGTCGCTCAACGACTAGATCGTGCGGGTCGATGCGAGACTTCTGGCAGAGTTCAATCCATAGTTGTCGAGAAGTGCCGCCTATTTGGTCGTCAGTACAAGTCAGACAATAGCGACAATTGACGTGCCTATGGCTGGATAATGTGCGGGCACCACAAACCTCAGGAGGGCTGATTTGCGTATCTGCTCGTCGCAGGATTCGCTTGACGTGACAGAAGCCAGACAAAATGTTGCTAGACGACCGCCCAGACGGCTGGGTACATCATTCTCATCCACACTGCTCTGTGTCGTCGAATTCTTGTCCTTAGATAGGTACGCCGAGAGCGCAGCTGTAGCGATGCGGTTGACGACTTCAGGCAGCTTCGCCGCGTTCGCTTCCAAGGAAGCGAGTGTCGCCCGGCGTACTTGCGGGTGCTGGCTGATGCTGGCCAAGTGCAAGAAGATCATGCCAAGCATAGCACTAAAGAACCGAGATGGAATAAACACCTAGGTAGGATATGAACAGCACGGACTACGGACCAAGCTTGCTCGTTCGGAAGCAGCTCCTTGCTGTAGTGGGCGAGGGTCGCCTCGGACGCCCGCAGGAGCCAGGCCTCATCATCGGCACCGCTCAGCTTCTGATACACCTTCTCCCACAGTAGAAAAGATGGCTTCACGCCTGCTGCTAGAATGGACTGGAGTGTTGAGTTGCGGGAGATAAAGTCGTCTATGGTGATGGCGTCAGAACTGATCTGCGTTTACAAGCACAACAAAGAGCCTCACCGAATTTGCCAGACGCAGCAAAAGGCCCAAGTAGTACCGCAGTAGCGGTGTACCCTTCAAGAGGTCCGGCAGCAGCCGTCAGAGGCCCTGACGCTACGGTCTTGAGATTTGTCTCGAAAGCAGGTAGTAGGGCACGACCGAGAGATTCGGACGTTGTGGTCGGCAGACTCTGCAGATCCCAGAATGCACTTGCTACCAGAACACAGAACGCTCGTCGAATGACCGGTTTTGAACTATTCATCTCCTTCACGAGTACCGACGTTGCATCAGGAGGAACGGCGACATCCTCGCGCAGACAGTATCCTAGATGGGGCGTCAACGAAGACGAGAGCGCAGACACCGCCGCGTCATGAGTCTCTTTCGCCAGCAATGGCAATCCAGTCTCGAGTATTGCGGCTGAGACAGTCGGGGAAGGCTCCACATAGCCAAGCATAGTATAGAGAGCGACGCGATGGTCAGGGCCTGCAGTCTTGCTGGCTTTCGGCAGCACGAGCAGTTCCTTCACTGCGAGATCGACATCCGACGGTTGTGGCGTTTTCTCTATGACGATCTTGAAGAGCAGCGTAGCGTTCGACCGGACATTCGCGTTACTCGACTTGGCACTGTTCAGAACGGGTGTCAGTAATCTGTGGAACGAATCACCTTCTATGGGGTGCGAGTATGCGCCGACGAAGCTGTTCACGACTGGGAGTTCACTGTCTCAGTAACACTTCGCGAGTAGACGGACGTATGCCTCCATACCAGCTAGCGATATCTCCGGCGAGCGCAAAAGTGCCTTGTCCACCGTCGGAAGGACTGATGTGTTGAAGTCTTCTGCATCCACGAATGTCGAAATGAAGTCGTGCAATGCGGCCTGGACACTTCATTAGCATTGTAATAAAACTCCTCCAGTGCATGCCTACCGCTGTGTGAGGAGAAACGGGTGTCTTCGACATCAAGACGTTGCTTCCATAAAAGTCCAAGATATCCGTCTTTGTATCGCAGTCAGCAAGTCTCCAAGGGGATAGGATCGCTTGTACCTTTAGAGCAGGGTCCAGAGTTCTCAAAGTCTCGTCCTTGACGTTCTTCAGACGAGTTTTCACATCCACGCAGATGCCGAGCAGCGGAACCGTAGACAGCGGGCTCGGACTCGTCTTCGGCTTTGATATCAATGTCTTCATGACGTTGACGATCGCCTTCGGGTGCTAGAAGCTATATTGAGCCCACACATTCAGTCATATGAACGGATCCGCATACCGATCGCAATGCCCGCCGCACACGAGTAAGCGCGCCCTTCTGGATGGGGGCCTTGCTGCGAGTCGACTTGTCAAGAATCATGTCGATGAGGGTGGCTATAACGCCAATGAGAGGCTCCCATGCCGACTTGGACGGGAAGTTGTCATCGCAGGAGAGACAAACAGTGTAGATGCCGCAACACCATCCGAGCAGCGCAAACATGTCGGATGCAGCATGAGAGCTACAGTGATGATAAACGTCACGCACAAGGGCATCATGGGTGGAACGTACCTCGACAGCTTTGAGATGTGCCCAACTTCGTGGGCAAGCCAGCCGACTATCTGCTCCGTCACCCCCATCGGCTTCTCGTCCAGCTCTCCCTCCGGCTTGCCACGGATCTCATCCCTCTTTACAAGCTCTGCTCCGACTGCCTCGACCGCCTCTCGGGAAGGCGCATCGACATACCGCGAGTATGTCAGAGTCAGGAGCTTGAATATGTCGAGTGTTTGCGACAAAGTCATATCTTCATATCGCCATGAGCATATCTACACCGTTGGCACAACGTGCAGTGCTTACCTCCGTGTTTGGCTAACACCAAGAGCTCTTCTTTCAAAAACTGTGTACGGGCTTTCGTACTGCTGGTGAGGAGACGAGTCCGTGCCACCTCCAGAGCTTTTGGCCAATCCGTAACAACGTAATCCCTCCTCCATTGCCCACCGCTGCTTGCGTCTCCATTCAGGTCCACATCACCGGCAGCGTCTGAAGTAGCAGCTAGCCATGACTGGATATCGGATTTGCCCATTGCGCCCGGGGCAGTTTCGCGGGCTTTAAGTCGTGCAAAAGTCGCTTTTGAAGGCACCTTGGTCGAATCTTGGCAACAGAAAGAGAATGAAGTTGCGAGATTGCAGCAAGAACAAGAGGGCTGCCTTTGCGAAACGTTCGTAGAAGGTAAAAGACTTGCGAGCAGAGAACAGTTTCACCAGGCCGGGAAGCGTGAGTAGCGCCCGACGACTTCAAGGACGCGCGCGAACACTGACAGCCGCTACTTCGCCGCTACTCGCTCGAAAATGTTTGTTAATTGACTACAGCTATGCTCCTCTCACATCCTACGCTTGACCACGACGACTGCTTGAACGCACCGGTCCATCTATCTGCAAAGTATTACAGTGGGTGGGCGGCTAGTACGCGATGTCCGAGTCAAGCCACAGGCGCGGCCGGTACCGCACTGCAGTGCTCAAGCTTCACCCTCTCATGTCCACAGCCGCCCCCTGATCTCATATCTGTACGTGGTAATCGTAGCCTAGTGATAGTTGCACTGAACAGTCGTGAACTCACTGGCAGAGCAGAGGAACCGCTTCGATATCAGTGGCATCCCTCGCACCTTCAAGCGAATCATGGAGTCCAGCCCATCCGCGGATACATTCGATGCCTTGCGCATCCTCGCGGAAGGTCGAGCGTGGTCTGAACGCAATGAAACGGTATGATCGTCCTTCATGATAGGGATGGAAGGCTCACTGATGCTCAGGCTCTACTAGAACCCTTCACGCATATCAACTCGGTCCCTGGCAAGGATATCCGAGGACTCATGCTCGCGGCTTTCAACAACTGGCTACAAGTGCCCGCAGACAAGCTGAGCACAATCACGAAGGTCGTTGGTATGCTTCACACTGCTAGCTTGCTGTACGTGTATTCTCCGTCGTGTTGGACGCACCGTAATCGAAGTTCAGTATCGATGATATCGAAGACGACGCGCAACTCAGGAGAGGTGTACCTGGTAAGGCTGCGTTCTATAGCGCGATCATAATGCATTCTCATCTCTGTCCTTAGCTTCGCATAAGATTTACGGCATCCCGCAGACGATCAATTCTGCAAACTACGTGTACTTCCTCGCATACCAGGAGCTGTTCAGCCTGCGATCTGGCGTTGGTATGCCGGACAACCCCGATGGTCCAAATGACCGACTCATACCATTCATCGAGTTGGATCGCATTGTGACAGGTCAGTATTCACTTCCTATGCTTGCGGTTGTCCTGACAGTGCTCGCATTGTTTCGTAGCTGAACTGTTAGCCCTCCATCGCGGCCAGGGACTTGAACTATTATGGCGCGACTCTCTACAATGCCCGACAGAAGAGGAGTACGTCAGAATGGTGAACCAGAGTGAGTAGGTGCGCATACACGATGGCAGTATACTGAGTATATCACCAGAAACCGGTGGCTTGTTCCGGGTTGCTGTCAAGCTCATGATGGCATGTGCGACAACGAACGCCAACATGTATGTATGCCTCTTTCTCGGCTTTCCCTCGCCGACGTGCTGACAATACACGCTCTTCCAGTGACTACGTTCCCCTGGTTGATCTGTTCGGCGTGTTCTATCAGATACGCGATGACTACATGAACCTGCAGAGTTCCACAGTACGCGTCTTGTTCTACGAAACCATGCGCATCTTCTGACACGTTTTCTTTGTCAGTACGCAGACAACAAGGGTTTCGCGGAAGATCTCACGGAGGGCAAGTTCTCCTTCCCGATAGTCCACGCTGTCCGCGCGGACACCTCAAATCGCCAAGTCCTGAGTAAGCGACTCGTTCCCGTGCGCTACCCGCACCTCCTAACGCTCTGCAGACGTACTCCAGAAACGGCCGACGACGCCTACACTCAAACGGCATACGGTCAACTACCTTCGGAATCACACAAAATCGTTTGACTACACTGTCCGGGTGCTGCGTTCTCTGGAAAACCAAATTAGAGAAGAGATAGCGCGGTTGGGTGGAAATGGCGGACTCGAGCGAATCATGGACGCGCTTCACGTTGATGAGCCGGCATGAGCCGTCTGTTGTTGTCTACTGAATGGCACTGTCGGTATGTTATGTGCTTATTGTTGTGTGATACCCTGGCGACCGTCTACCCATAACACAAGGCATCGCAAGTACTCTGAAGCCATCGATCTATCGATAACCCGCCATGGCGATGAGCTGTGCTCCGTTTCTGTTGTATTCCTGAAGATCTAGACCTGTCCCTTTTGAGCAGTTCTTATCGAGAAACAAGGCGGTTCTCGTGTCATGTGTTAAGCACAGGATCGCGCGGCCGCCTGCCCTGAAGTTCGTATATAAGTCGCTCACTCTTGCCGTCCTATGTTTCTTCGGTCTTCACCCCGTTCGTGGTCGAAGGTAACCCCATCCGTGAGTGCTATCACTCTGTTGACTCGTTCCCTGATTCTGACCCACTTCGACTGTTAGAGCTGCGACGTCGGGACTAGCGTATTTGCCCATGGTCTTGCAGCCCTCGAGGGCGCGGCCACGATACCTACAACAACAGTCTTGACGGTGCCCGCGCACCTCTGCCCCAATAGAAGTGTCGGCCGCGCTGGATCGACGGCAGCTGGTACGTATCCGCTCGTGTTGCAGTACTTACCTCCGGGAACTGACTGATGTGGCACAGGCGACAGATCGTCAGCTGCTGCTACGGTAGTCACACAAGAGTGTGTTTCACCGGTTTTCGGTACTGGCGAGTCATAGAGGCTCGTCATACTTACTCGACCGACCATATACATGGACCCGGTCTGAGCAGTGCAAATCAAATAACCCAGGACAGCAACAACCGCCTCTCCCAGGACACCGCAAGCCGCTCGGGATGCGCGTCGCGTCCTCGAGCGCCCCTAGGGATGTAGGCGGGACGTTCACGTATACCCTATACCCTATATAGCCGAAAATCCATACGTATGATCCATGCCATTGCACTGTGCCTGCGTTATCACCCACGTTTCTGCGAGGTAAGTTCTGTTTCAATTCATGCATTGGGGAGATGGGCTTGCGATTGGTCTATCGCGATGCGACTCTCCGCTAGTACTCGGTTCAGAACTGGTGAGTTATTTCTTCACATGAACGGGCTGTGTGTGCGCATTAGTATGCCCCATCACTACTCGTATTGCATTCTTCTCGCTTGTCCTCTAGGGCTGCGCTGTTCATTTTCGTCGGAGCCTCTGCTCTTTCCACCACTCCGTGCATTCCCTCGTTGTCAAATCGACATCTCCGTTCGTCACGGGATGTAGCTTTGGCTCCGCGTGCTGCTATGACAGCATTCCGAATGGTTGGACGTTACTTCCCGCCGATTGCGAACTGCGATTGGACAAGTTCAACAGCCAAACATATTACCGTTGAGAATCCTGTCACCCTTGTCGGGACACGGCGTCGATGTCCTGTGTGCATCCGGCACTTCAGCAGGGTGTGTTCGTGGGCATTCGGAGTCCGAGTGCTCTAGATCCTTGCAGCCGCAATGTTCGACCTACGCATAAAGGTACATTTATATTTCAGCGTATGGCGGCGCAAACATTGTCGTGGTACGGATTGACTCTGCGGACGTCGCACTGACCGACGAAGCGATGTCTCCGCGTCATGTGCGAGACTCAAGGTTCTGCTCCCGCTGTCTGCCCTGAAGTCCGTCTATAAACTATGCGTCCTTCCCAGAGCACTTCTCTTCGGCCTTCACCTACAGAGAGGTCGAAGTTAACCCACGATCCGTGCGTACCTTCTGTGAATGCCTCATTAACCCTACTCACTCATCTCCGTGATAGAGTTACGCGTGCGGGGTGAGGGTTCCATGAGTCAATGGTTACCCAAGCGGCCGACTCTGTGGTCCCATCAATACCTCGTTCGTACGCGGTCCCTTCCACGCGGAGGAGTGTTAGGGCCGGGGCTGCGCTGGATCAAGAGCAGTGGTATGTGTATGGTCACTTGTGGCACAGTACATCTATGGGCTGACTGCCATGAAGTCACGCAGGCTTGTTTGTGACGAGTCTGCTGCTGCATAGGTGGCTGTGTGTGCGCGGTGCGGAAGTGTGCGACATCCACCAGTTTACGGCGTGGTCGATCGGTCTTCAGGTTGTGGAACTTGGAGACTTATCGATACCGCGTCGGCCGCCGGCGGTCCTTGAGGAGATTCATGAGAGAAGACCTAAGGAATGCCGGCGCACTATGTGCAAATCAAATAACCCAGGTCATCGACAATTCCGCCTTTTCCGGGAGACTTCAAGGCATGCTGCTGCGGGTCCACTAGGTCGGAATTTGTCATGTATGTACTTTGCGTAGCTGAATTGACTGCGTATCGTGCTATGCCGCGTGTGTATGCTTCTGTCCCACCTAATGATGTCCCCAAGATGTAAGAGAGGCCAGGCCTACATTTCCGCTGTGAACAATGGGCATGGGGCCTGCACGTTGAGGCTTATCGCTGTGCTATATAACGCTCAGGGCTATGGGTTCCCGGCCTTCTGTACGCGTTGGGTATGGCAATGCCAGCTGCAGTGCGAATAGAAGGCAGGAAGGCTGCCCTCGTGCAGCCATGTGAGAGCCCAGGTGCTTGCAGGAGATGTGGGCATTGTCTGCTGACGTCCTCCATTCAGCCCGTCCTCGAGGTATATAAACCGGATGTGCGCCGCCTTGCTCTCCCTAACCATGTAACTCAATTTCCGGCGCCAGACAGCTGTGAGTACCCTCCGTGATCGTGGGTACCGACAGCGCTGACTGTTGCTTTCACCTACAGCTGAGCGCGTTGCGGTCCTGGAGGCCGACGGCTACCTCTTGATCAAAAGAGATAGCCGACTGCAACGCTGAAGAGGTCTGCACGGGTCCAGTTGGACCCTCGTAGAGCCTTGCTCAGAACATCCCAGCGTGAGTGCCGTCATTCCGCCCAACGTGGCCAGCCAGCGGGGTCACTGACAACCCATTCCCCATTGCGCCGTTGGCGACATCGGTTGACCGGCGCTATGCGCTGTTGAACTGACGACGGCATCGGTTCGTTCTGCGGAGACGCGACTTCGCGACGTCCCAGCTTACCACTTGCACATCGACATCCCCCGACGCACGCAGACATCTGCGATCACGTTCGCCGATATCGGCGATGTCATGAGTAGGGAGGTCCTGGGAGGTTACGATATCGTGATGACCGACATTCGAAGCACGCAGATATCTGCTCATCATGTTCCCTGAAGGGTTTCGTGGTTGCGAAGATTTGTGTATGACTTGTATGTGCGTCATTTGTGCTTCATACATGTGTTCTTCCATCAATGGAATGAATGTGTTCAAGTTCATGTCGACATACGGGTGATCTACAACGACCGAGTGCTTAGGGAGGGCCGATCGCGATGGAGAATTACTACAACAGGTGCCGGATGGAAGGGGCTGCGAGATCTGCTTGAGACAAGCAAACGATGGATGCGCGTGTCATGAGCCTGAGTGTGTTATTACACTTCGGAGACGTACGCCAAGGCGATGCGGGGATCGCGTCAGCCTCCTGCTAGCGCTGGTACATATATGCTTAGTCGAACCGCCATGATAACACGTCGAGGACACTACCTCCCGAAGGCGGACGCCAACAGGTGTCTGCTGTACTAGTGTACACTGGCAACAGCACTGTTAGCCCAGGAACAGCGTGATGCTGTACTATGAGTGGCCCGGGTGCCGGTGAGGTAGTACTTGAGTACCAGTGACTCGTACTTGGGTTTACGAACTGACGCCCTGGGCCTGATCATTGGCAGGTCCGGTCGTGCGTCGGGGCTGGCAGCCAAAACCTTGAAAGGCCAAAAACAAGATGCTCGTCGCGCGCATGCGACGACCGTTACTGTATGAAAACGACTGCAATTTCATGTATTGCGATGCGCAGTAGTTACACTGCAAGCTCGACTCGGATGTCAACATTCCAGTCAACGTTCACTGGGTCGTTGCAACGTTAATCGCGCATCTGCAGGTTGATGTACTCCTCGGGTCTCGATCCGGATTACGGATTGCATTCGATCATCAGTTCCGCGCGGGTAACTTGAACCGTAACCGCCTGCGACTCGCGCGGAGCTTGCAGGGATATACGACCTTATACGATCGAGGAACCAGGCTGGAACGTTAACCGCGTTGAACTGAATACATCCACAGCACAGCCCACAGCGGACTGCCACCAACGCAGTGCCCCCGCCTCCGTCGATACATCTCCCCGAAGCTTAAGCAAGCCCAAGCTCAGGGGTCCGAGGATGTCGACTCGAAAGAGGCTCAAACATGCTGCGCGTGCGCAGTGCCGCCCCTATCCCTGCGTCCCGACTGGTCCCCTCGGGGCGGACACATTTTGTGCGTACTATGTTTTGTGTAACTTGCTGCGTGAGGCGCTCACTCCGTGACATTCGCGCAGAGACGAGAAATCCGCAGCCGCGCAGGTTTGAACGTATAAGAGCGTGCTGAACAACTTGTCAAACGTTAACGCCCCTTCCCATCTGTCCCGTCTTGACATAGTACTGACCTTTCCGGAATGTCATCTACTATCAACTACGCGAAAGCCTATGGCATCGACTCAATAGCGGGAGCGATCATCTTCACCATTCTCTACATCCCCTTCCTCGCGCTCTATGTCTTCCAAGGTATTCGCAGACGGACGCGCGTGTATTTCTCGCTCACGCTCTTCTGCCTCAGTGAGTACTTATCTCCATGTCTCGCAGCAATACGGTGGACACTTACCATGTTATCTGTAGTCCGGGTGGTTGCGTTCGCTCTGCGCTCCGCCTTGGCAGGCTCGACGGCGGCTGCGACGGACGAAAACGTCTTCATCGCCTACGAGGTCATCTACAATATCGGTTTCTTCGGCGTGCTCTACTCCGCCTATACCCTTGTCCTCGAGAGGTGTGTCTCATAAGCGGTGGTCTCGATCGCCCGTCTCACAAGTACCGATACGCAGAGAGTCGCTCGTAGACATGGATACCATCCTAATGTACTGCCCCGGACCCCTCCAGCTCATCTTCCGTATCACGCGCCGACGATCACTCGTCCGCATCATGCTCATAGTTGCCGTCGCTATAGGCATCGCTGGAATCGTGCGTCTCGTCTCGTGTGCTCTACGCTGTGCGCTTACACTCCGCATCTTCCCAGACGGATATCACAAACGCAAAGTCCGAGGCAGACGTCAACGAGGGCACGTCGCTCCGGAGCGCGAGCGTGTACATCTTCCTCGCGGTCACATGTCTGCTCGTGGTGCAGGCTCTCGCGCTCAGTGTTGCGACGATGCGCACGCTCGGTATGTCCGCCGTTCCAACATTCGCACCACGAACTGACGGCATCTCCCCGTCCCTCCAGACAAAGAGATTCATGCCGGGCAGCAGCAGTCCTATGGCCGCGGCGCACCTGGCGAGACGTTCGGGATCTTCGTCCTCCTCGCGATCTCCGCGCTCCTCCTCGCACGGGAGGCATTCTACGCCGCGACGACCCACAAGACCGCTCAGGTAAGAGATCTTCTCCCCCTCTGTGTCGCAACAAGTCACGCTGACTCCCAACGCACAGCAAACGAATGAGCACCTCTGGTACCCGCTCTCCGCCTTGACGGAGTTCATCGCGATTGCCCTCTTTGCAGTCCCGGGCCTCATTCCCGCGCAGGACGAGCTGCCGCAGGAGGAGCGCGAAATGAATCTTTTGGCGTGAAGTCGCGCGAATTGCCAGGACTGCTGATGATACCGCGATGGGAGTTGATGATGTGACGAGATTGCTCGGTTTTCGCAGTATGTTATTGACCGTGCTCCGTATAATATACACGATACCCCTGACGCTCACGCTCTGAGAGGAGATCTCAGGATGCCAAAGAATCGGCGTTGGGTTGCAACCGTGAATCAGTAAACCGACTGCTACGTGTTCACCAACTCATTTCACGCAATCTCGCATGCAATTCGAGGTCTGGGTCATGAGTAATTATACCCGAAGTTGATCACGACCTCCCGACTGACAGATTTCGGTCGTCACAAACGGACGGCGTGAATCGAAGACTATCACATCCCACTCTGTACACACACCGAAGATCGCACTAGTTGAACGAGTGTATACTGGCATCTGCACAAGTACATGAAGACAGAGGCGCCGACGGCGCGTCGAATCGGAATGACATTCCGATCTGTAGTATCCAAGTTGAAGTTGCTTCGCACTGACAGTGCGTATGTCCTGACAGGACAATATGCAGACGTCGTCTGCGTGTGCCGCGCGGCACTACCACGACGTGGTACGCTGGTGTCACCAGCTCTACAAATATTGGGTGTTCGTCGGGTCAGTCACTGTTCAAACGAGACATCTCGGAGGACAAGAACTCACGTGTGATGCTCTTGGGAGGTTGGTCCGACGGACCGTCGGTCCCTCGTAGGCCTCTTCGGCACCTGGGACGCCAGTGTCACTGGCTCTATAAGTCATCAAACGTACGTCATATCAGCTATGGCTCCTACAACACAAAGTAGGGGAAAGAACACACGTCGAGATGCTCTGAGCAAGGCTCTATCAGGGTCCGACGGACCCCTGTAGACCTCTTTAGCATTGCAGTCGGCTACCTCGTCGAGGTAGCCGTCGGCTTCCAGAACCGCAATGCGCTCAGCTACATATAGGTGAAGGGGTCAGCGCGGTCGGTGGTCACGACGCGTGGAAGGTACTTACAGCTGTCTGGCGCCGAAAAGTATGTTTAATGATTGGGAGGTAGAGACAACGCACCATGGGTTATATAGCTGGGGAGTCGAATGAGGGGCGGATGTCAGCAGACCGAGTGAGCGTCTTCCGTGAATAACTGGGCTCTCACAGAATGCCCTCCGCGCAGCTTCTCTACCTTCTCTTCGCCTTGTGGTCGACACGGCCGCACCCCTGATCCATTTCAAGTATGTGATGCCCTTGACCCTGAGAGTTATATCGACATAAGCCGCAGGCCTCGAGCGTAGAAGAATGGTAAAATCACCTTCCTGAACAACTTCCAGACCGTCACCCAATAGCAACTCCGTCTTTGGGGCCTGAACAATTGCGTCCGTCTCAAGACAGACCTTTGGAGTGTTGTCGGTGCTATCCTGGGACGTAGTCGCGAACAGAATGGGCCTGGTCGGCAGGAGGTCAAGGACGTCACCACTCAAGTGACAACGCTGTAGAACGACAGTCACCGACTCGGAAATGGGTACACTGTGCCCAAAGACTGAATACCGCGATGAAATCGCTATCTGCCACGCCACTGGTCGCTTGGATGGCACGGAGGGAAGTCGACACTTCCACCTTATAAGTCTGACTGGTCGCTTTTCGAGGAACGTGGCAGTGAGATTACGACTTGCGGTTCAGTGGACCTCCTATCGCTGGCAATGGTGCGAATCTTCACCGCTCTATCACCTATGGATAGGGGAATACGTAGAGTTTACGTACGAAACGGGTCAGCTGCTGAGAACCATCCTATCGATAGTCACAGCGCACACCCTCTTCTCATCGCCAGGTCGGTTTACGCTAGACGTCCGGTCGATCCAACGATTCAAAGGCCTCCTCGACCTTCGCAGCGTCTTGCATTCTCACCTCCATGTTTCGCCAGTTCATCCGGTAATTCTCGCGCAGTAGCCATATGACGTGGGCGGCATCGACACCTAGCTGTCGCGTCTCGTCGAGAGACAGCGGCTCAGCACGAGCGCACAGCTGTACACCCGCAGGCCCTACGATGTTCGGCAGATGGAACTCCCGCGCGAGAGCGATTTGTTCAACAGGCGTGGCGGTAGTAGGCAGCCAATCGCCCACGAGCGCTACGATATTGTCGAACTGCCATCTATGAGCAAGGCGCAGGACGGATGTCCACTCCTCCGTGGTCCCTAGCTGCCACTTGACGAATGAGCTGTACAAAGCAGTGTTCAGTGGGGAACAAGATATCTGCAGATGATGACACTGAAAACTGACTCTGGATAGAATACACGGAGTAGTCGTGCGAAGTCTACTGCACTGGTCTGCTCGAGCACGATGGGCGCATCGTCGGAGCTCCCTTCTTGGGGCACGCCCTCGGTAGGCTTGCACAAGAACATGCCATAGAAGCTTTGCGAGTAACGCTGGAAGAAGTAACGGTGTACGTTGAAGAGAACATCCTCCACCTATGGGAACGGTTTGACATCGGTTTGCTGTAGTTCAACAACATGAGTTGCCATACCTGAAAGATGACATTTCCGTCTTCAAGGTATAATGATTCATGCCTACGCGGAGAGGCTGCCGCAGCCTGAGCATCCGGACTTCTGGCATCTGACTGAAGCATGCCTGAGCAGTACGTGGCGGGTATTCGGAGTGAGGGTTTACAAATAAGATAGAACGAGCCAGCTTCCGAGAGCTTCAAGTTATAGCGTGCCGTCAGTGCTTTATAAGGTATCGCGATACAGTTCAGATCGAAGAGTCGGAAGACCACAAGCCACGAGCGAGCCTTGCGGCTCGGGCTTTCGTCTCGAAAGATAGAAGAGAGGTTGCATTACTATTTACCACTCGTGTAGTTCTCCGTGAGTCGGCAGTCTCAATGTCGGCCAGCACAAGGCGTAGAGTCGTCGTAGGCAAGTGTTGGACCAAGCACAAGTCCAACTTTTGCGTGGGCATCCGAAGCGGCGGAGCCGCTTTCAGATCTCAGATCCCTCGGAACAGATGTGATCGGGCGCGCATCGGGGGAGGTGGACTGCCTTGTCAATGCCGTCGTCCGACTGGACCATGCACTCGCCGTCAGATCCTATCTCAATGTCGCATCTACGAAACATAATAAAGAGCAGTGCGACGTCGCAGCAGCACTGGCAAGAGCCTTCCACAGCCAAGGGACTTGGCCGAAGCACCTGATATCGCGGTCGGATGGAGTCTGGTCTCAACCCGTTACCCGGCTTTATAGATCACCAAGCCACATTGCAGTCGTCGCCGACCGTCCTTGCCACCGACACGTCAACAGTCCACACTCTTTTCGTAGTAGAATTCGCGCGCAAAATGGCTGAAATCATCGGTGCCGGACACCTCGCGCCCATCCCGGATGACCTCACCATCGTACAGTTCATGCTGGATCACCAGCACTCGACGCGCCCGGTGCCGCCATCTCACAGACCCTGGTTCATTGAGGATGAGAGCGGAAGGAAGGTTGAATTTGACGAGGTGCGTGTCGACTCTGGTTACCCATTTGTGTTGAAGCACTCATCGTCGCGTTGGCTGCAGGTCAAGTTCCGCACAAACGCATTAGCCAACGCTTTCCATCTCAAATGGAAGCTCGGTGAGTCCTGTTTGGATGTCGCGTGTATCCGTGGTCGAGCTCACTCATTTCACGCAGGCGAAGATGACGTAGGTACGTTATCATGTCCGCCCGACTTACTCTCTTTTGCAACGCTCACAACATGAACTAGTCTGCATTTACAGTCCAAACCATGTTGGTACGTATATCTTGTTTCCCCCTGTCCGTTCGTATCGCTAATCCGAGCTCTAGACTACCCAATCACAATTTGGTTCGTGATACAATCTATGCCCCAGAATCACTCGCTGAGAGCTGTTCCAGGGCCGCTTTCCGCCTCGGTGTCACCATCACGTTAGTTGGGCATTCCGTGAAGTACGGATTCTTGTGACTGACGCTCGCTACGTAGTGCTGCGAACCCTTCGTACACCGCCGATGAGCTTGTGCACACGCTGACGACTACCAAGGCGAAGCTGCTCGTCGTCCACCCCTGGAACCTGAGCGTCGCGCTCGAGGCTGCCAAGATTGCGAAGCTCCCAGCAGACCGGATTGTCCTCCTCGAGCCGCTGCCAGAGAAGGAGAAGGCAGCTGGGGCGCGCTTCACGACGGTCCCACAGCTCATTGCGGAAGGCGCAAAGGCAAAGAAGGCCTTCACTGAGAGGAAGCTGAAGAAGGGTGAGGGCAAGACAAAGCTGGCGTTCTTGAGCTTCTCGAGTGGTACGACTGGGCTGCCCAAGGTCAGTAGCCTCCGTGCGGGCAGCTGCGCGAATCTTGCCCAATTCTGACCCATCGCAAAGGCCGTGAAAATACCGCACTATAGCTTGATCGCGAACGTTGTCCAAATCGCGTCTTACTCTCAGGCGGACACTCGTCCAACTGAGCAGCGCAAGATAAAGTCTGGAGATATCGCCATCGCTGGTATGCGGACTCATTCAGTTCAGTGTATCGTGTACTGACTGATCATTTGCGTTAGTGTTGCCGTTCTACCGTACGCACCGCTACCAGCACATCCTGCTACACAATACTGACGCGAGCTTAGACATATATGGCATTGTCGTCATCATGCACTTCCAGACATACTACGGAGTGAGCATCACCATGGCCTTGCCCGGCGCATGACTGACCCCGACCAGATATCCGTAGTCGTCACGCCGAAGTTTGACTTCCTCCAGTTCCTGAACAGCATCCAGCGCCATCGTATCAACTTCTTGCCGTACGCGCATATTCATTATCAGCGTTGTCTCATCTCACGCTCGTGCTCAGGGTCGTACCGCCGATGATCGTCGCTCTGTGCAAGGTAGGACTCATCCCATTCTGGTGTTTTCAAAAGCTCTGAGGACACGTCACAGCACCCTGCCGTCAAGAAGTTCGACCTCAGCAGCATGCGCTTCATCGCAAGCGGCGCGGCGCCCTTGTCCGCTGAGCTCACCAACCAACTCGCGAAGCTCTTCCCCAAAGTGCAAATCGGCCAGGGCTATGGTACGCACCCGTCTCCGTAGCTTGTCCGTTGCCATTTTTGCTCATCTTTTACACAGGTATGACGGAGACGAGCACGGCGATCTCGTTCCCGCAGCTTGAGCAGCACGTCTGCACACCCGGTAGCGCCGGCAGGCTCCTGCCCGGCGTCGTCGTCAAGGTCGTACGCCCAGACGGGACACTCGCTCCCCGTGGCGAGACAGGCGAGCTTGTCGTCAAGAGCCCGTCGAACGCGATTGGGTATCTCAACAACGACAAAGCGTCAGTCACAGACGTGCACCGTGCGGTACCGATTTGCTTACTTCTCTCTCCTGTTAGCACGAAGGAAACGTTCAAGGACGGGTGGGTCTCTACCGGCGACGAGGTGTACGTGAATGACGTGAACGAGCTGTTCGTCGTCGACCGCATCAAGGTGAGCGCCCGCATGTCCCGAGCTACCATTGCCGTTCTGAGCTCTCTTCAGGATTTGATCAAGGTCAGGGGCTTCCAAGGTTAGGGATCCGTAGCTATGGCAAAGAGTTTGGTGCTAATCTTGTGTACACGACGTAGTCGCACCGCCAGAGCTAGAGGGCCACATCCTTGAGCTCAAGGATGTGTCCGACGTGTCCGTCGTAGGCAAGCCGGACGAGTACAGCGGCGAGGTGCCGTATGCGTTTGTCGTCCCCAGCGCCGACGCGCTCGAGCGGATCAAGAAGGACCCCGCGGAAGGCGAGAAGATCAAGGCCGCGATCGTCAAGGTTAGTGTGGTCCGCCTCGTATTGCGAACTTCGGACGTCTTGCTCACTGCAGTCGCAGCACGTCGCAGACAACAAGGTGAACTTCAAGCGTCTCACGGGCGGCGTCGAGTTCATCGACGTGATACCCCGCAACCCGAGTGGGAAGCTCCTGCGCCGGGTGCTGCGCGATCGTTTGCGCGCTCAGCTGGCGGTGCAGGCTAAGCTGTAAGGCTGAAGGTAGACTTCGGCAGAGATGTGTGGATGGAGTGAATCCAGATACCTAGGGTAGGATCGGAGGGAGCCGCAGACACCGACCGTGATGTTCGTTTGAACTTCTCAGGACATTGTGATAGCATCATACAATGACGCTTGAATCGAAAGCTGCCCGCCCGTGGACACCCATATAGGCAAGAATCTGTAATCTATGCGAGTGACACAGCAGCCGCTCCGCCACCAAAACATCATCTCTCGAGGCTCATTGGTTTCGCGGCAGCAGCTCCAGATGATCCTTTACACTCACAACGCAGTGAGCTTAAAGAAGGGTGAGCTGTCAGACTTGGCTGCACGTTGAGCATCTGCTGAATATATGAGACGGACGCACGTCAAGATAGTCATAGTGTACGGTATTCCGCTCGATGGCAGCGTCGGAGGTCACCAGACCAAATGGCACAAGCAATCGACGAATTGTGATGCCGGTTCTGGCGAATCACAAGGACTAGACAGCGTATGTCCTTTACTGATGAGCAGCCACAGTCCGCTTCAACTTACGGTAGGAATGATTAATGAAGGACGTACACATCGGTCCGCGCGGCAGGGCTGCATGCTGCGTCTATTAAGCATGTCATCATACCATGATCGTCGTGTGGTACGCCGCACGAATCGCAGCACGACATGACGCTTTGAAGTGCACCATAGGATCATGAAGAGAATCTACCTAAAGCAAGCGTCATACAGCTCTGAGAAGGAATACTAGGCGATAAGGTCTGGCCTTCGCTGATCCTAGTGTACGTTGGTACGGTAGCTCGAGTAGCAGACGGTCATCGCGGCCGCCCCAGTCCTCGCGCAACAGGATGCTTCGAGGGTGTAGTTAGAGTATGGCAGAAGATCGGTATTCTGAAAACTACACCCCTACAAAACAGGCGCCAGTGGGGCTGTGAGACGTGGCCTTCCGGTGCCGACACTACAGGCCAAGGCAAAAGGGCAGGGCAGAAACGTTCCGAGCAGCGGCCCGCCGGGTGAAGGTGGCGTGGTTTTTTCCCCGATGCGCAACGCGTTGCGCATCGGGGAAAAAACCACGCCACCCCCTCCCGGCGGGCCGCGCTGCGGGCCGGCACGGCACTTGCTCTAGGAGGGTAGGGAGTGCGGAAAGCGCACGGCGTTTTGCCTTCTCCAAGGTCTGCATATGCTTAGAACGCGTAATAGCTTCATCAAAGATTGTATACTATAGCCTGCGTGGCGGGTAGAATGTACAAATGACGATACCGAAACAATACCCTACACGAGCGAAGGCACTACGAACGACTGCAAGATAGGACGACTGCGAGATACGACAATACCGAGGGTACGAGAGCACAAGATAGCGTAGTCAGAGCGAGATGCATACAGTGAGCGCAACAAGAAAGGGCGATGTCCACGATGCACGTACGAAAAAGGATATGAAAGCGATATGTACAGAAGCGACATGTGAATAGTGGTACAAGTACAACCCTGCTGGCAAACAGTGGCGAAACGCCAACAGGAATTCACCAGCAACTTACTTTTCGCCCTTCCGAGCACGTTTCTTGTCGCAAATCTCAGCATGTGCCAACACGGCATTCAGCCTGAAGCCGGCATTGCTAACATGGGAGAGGGTTTCGCTACCAGGGACGGGCAGCGGCCCTTGTGGGTTCTTCCCCCGCGGCGCCTCCAGCTCATACTTGGACGCGAGGTCATAGACAAAGTTCTTGAGGCGGCCTTCGGCTGTCTCAGGAGCCCCAAATTTGCCCGCTTGACGCATTTTACCCATCGCGTCGTCCAGTGAAGGCCGTCCTGGTGGCTTCTCTCCCTGTTCAGCTTGTTCTATTCGTGTTGCAAAGCGTGTCAAATCGTCCGCGCTGATGTCGTATTCATCCAGGAATTGATCCGGACCCGCATCGTTGGCCTTGAAGAAGGCGCTGACGCACCATTGGAAGACACGATCTGTGGTGTTCTGCATTCGCGCGTCCCAACGTTTACTGAAGGTATTGTAAGCGCCGAGTTTGACGTGCTCCGGCCCTGGCTTGGAGGCGAAGACCGGCTGGTACGTTGTGTATCAGCGGAGTGCGGTGCATAGAACCACGAGCACGTACAATCGCAATCTCTTTCTTCTCCCATTCGGCCGTAGTCACTCCACCGAGCGCTCCCAATTCTCCCACCAACAGCCTATCCTCAGGCATATTGAGATCGGCGCACAGAAGCCAAGAACGGTGACGGTGCATGAAGATGTGATTGTTGATTGTGTACGTGGGAGTGAGCCAATTCTCGCCTGGTGCACCCAGGTCGTCGCCGCAGACAATCGTAATTGCAGGGTCCCGCCTGATGTACAGCTTGTTGTAGACGTCGATCCAAGATTGTGCCCAATCCTTTTCGTCCAGCTGCACCCCGTCTGAACGAAGGTTCCTGAGGTAATGCTGGTACTTTGGAGAACCGTACACCTTCTCCTCCTCGATCTTCACAAAGACGATCAGGGGATATTGGTCGTTACGGTGGTCGGCTTTCATGTACTCAACCATCTAGAAGGGCCATGAGTGTTGTCACTTTGAACAGGTATGAACGTCACGGTATACTTACGCTGAACGTCATGGAGGTCGCATCCTCGCTTTTGCCAATCTCGCCCAAAGCAACGAGAAGCTTGGGTATGTCCAATGAAGGAAAGGAGACACAGATGGCGTTGTCGGGGATGTGATTGAGAGGCTGCTGCGGAGGCGCGACAGGTTGGGACGATTTGGCTTTAGCTCGGGAACGCTGCGGCGAGGACGGAACAACAGCGGACGATTTGGATCCCGAGGCACCAGAGCTTCTGGCGTGGTTGGCCGCGGCGTGAGAGTCGTCAGGCTCAGTGTCGGTGGCACAACCGTCGGACTGCGCATCCTGGCGCTTTCTCTTGCCCTTGGCCGACTCGGAGGATTTCTTGCCTTTCTTTGACTCCCCTGTCGCCTTTGCCGCCTTATCTGCCGCCTTCGCCTCCTCCCTGGCCAGCGCTGTGGCTTCTCTGTTCTTCTTCTTCTCGTCCTCCTTCCGGGAGACCGACATTGTGAATGTCGTTCCCCAACGAGGGTCGTCAGAATCAGGTGTCGGCCCCTTTAAGGCGTAAGCATTGTTCACTATGACCCTAGGCGCAAATTGCCCCATCGTCACGACCCCTGCCTGTGTTGTCTCACAGGCAATCTCATCCGCTGCTTGGACATAGGCCTGGTGAATTTCGCTCGCAGAAGACATGTGAATAGTGTGTTTTTCGGGGTCGTACGTGAAACTATCGTTTCATTATGTTAGCATCCGTGCCCTGGCTGACGTGCCATACTCACCTGAAAAGCTTGTATGGGTACGGATCGGATTGAATGTGGAGATAGAGAGCGATCCAATCGTTTAAACTAGCTTCAACGGTCTACGCAATACTTAGCGACCGACAATACCCGTAGTCTTGCACACTTACCTTGTTAACCCCACAGATGTTAGGCCAGCGAGGATCGTCGAGGAGGTGCCCAAAGATATGCTGCAGCGGATTGATCTCAACAGCTATGTCCGGGAGTTCAAGCTTGCTGGACACACAGCTTGAGAAGTTCGAATTGGGTGAGAGGTTCGAGCCGGTTGAACCATCTTCAACATTGTAAACTGTGTCAATGTTACCAAGGCAATGGACATGAGCTGATGTGACTTACCAGGTGGAAATTCCTGAGTGTCGGTGACAGGGATCCCACCGAGACTCTGCAGCTGAGACTCCGGACTGTTCTCGTCGACATCAGAGTCGGTGTACTTGATATCCTTGAGATCAATGTGACTCGTCACAGGGCTGCCACCACCACTCACATTGTCTTCAGACATGGAATCCTCCTCAGACATGGACTCCTCCTCGGGCGGCTCGGCGTCTGAAACTTTTGCAGACATCAAATTGTCAGTGATATGACTGAGCGACGCCGGCAGGAACGTACCCGAAAGACAACGGTCTTGAACCTCAACAACATCCATGTTATCGCGACTCACAAAACCCTCAGAATCACTGTCCAGAGACATGGCGTACTCTTCAGACGGCAAATCAAGCGGAAGAGGGCTCTGGGCTGGCGACGACATGAGGATTCGGGACGAGCGTGAGGGCGCGACAAGGGCGCGGAGGCGCGAGGGAGACGCCACCTGCCACCCGGCATTGCCTTATGTAAGCAGAGTCGCGCGTCTCCGCCGACACTCTCCTTGCAAGCGCATCGCCGTCCATTGCATGCACAGGTCTGAGCACTGTTAACACCATCGACGACGGATGCCAGCTCAAGACACATTAACCGGCGGGACTCGGACGGCCACGATGTAGCAATGGATGCTACTTCGCGATAAGTACCAACACTCAGCGATTATGCTCGGTTACAGTGGACTATTACCTCCGTACCTCTCTCAAACCGAACACTCAGTCACAACATGATTTGGCTATCGCACGAGGTAGTCAAAAATCACTATGTTGATGATACTTTAAAGGTCAATGACAACAACAGATAAGAGTAGCTCGTGAGTAAAACAGACGGAAGCGTCAGTCCGAGTCGTGTCCGTGACGAAGAACATGTATGTAAGCTGGAAGTCCCGTAGAGAACATGCAACATGAGCGACATAAGCTTGGATGCAAGGTACATGCAAGGGGCAAAGTCAAAGTTTCATGCAATATTCCACGGCTCAGAGGCTCGCGGCAGATGCGAGTAGGGTGAAGTTCGGCGTGCCGAGCCCCGTAACCTGCGAGAAACATCATCAGAAGTCCACCACGCACAAGACGACACGTACCGCACTTACAGGAATCCATCCCTGCGTGGCGTGAAACCCAGGCGTACCCCCGTTGCACGCGGGTTGTTCCCGCTCACGACATCATTCAGCGCGCCCATGCCCGCCGCGGTGCTATACACCCACTGGAGTACGCTCTTGCCCGCGCTGGACACTTTCATTCAGCAGCACAGCGACCGCAGCAAACGTCGGCGTCGAGCAGCTCATCCCGCTCACGGCGAGCGCCGCCGCGCCGGACTCGATGTCGTACTGCGTGCCGTACGCCGACACGTCCGGGTACGCGCGGCCGGTCGCGTTGAGGAGCCCGCTCGAGTTCGACCCGAGCGCGCTGAGGTACGACGCGACGGCGGCAGACTGGTAGGCGGGCTGTGCGAAGTAGTTCGAGAGGCCGCCCCCGGAGAAGCTCGCTCCGATCTCGGTGGGCTACTCGGTCGTCGCGCCGACGGTGGTCACACTAGGGGAGGTCAGAGGAGGAAGGGTAAAGCTGGGGTGCACGTACTAGGGACAGCTCGCAGGGAAGACAGGCACAAATTCCGTGCGATTGTCGGATGCCTTGTTGCCGGAGACACCGCCGTCGCCAGAAGCATAGAGGATGGGGACGCCCCGCGCACCCAGCTGAGCGTAGGCGTTGCAAATGGAGCTATACATATAGACACTGAGTAACGATTGGTGCGTGCTCATTCATAGAACTACTGCGAGCTTCTCACAGAGGAGATTTTTCGTTGTCGCCGTGGTTGGTTAAGACGACTTGCGGCGGGATGTCCATGCTAAGGAGGTAGTTGCAGCGTCGAGCAGGGCATCGTCGAAGGAGCCGCCGACAGTAATGAAGTGGGCGGGAATGTTAATTGCAAGACCCACGGCGTACTGTATATCAAGGTTCCAGCCCACGTCCGGTCTCTGTTCCAATGATCGAATCGCGCAGCTGGGGTACTGCGGGTGGTCTCAGCGCCGGTGCCATCGTGCGTGAAGAGTGAATACTTTGCGGACAGGAGCGAGTTGGCCTGTGCGACTGAGACGTTGATCCCGAGGCCGTATAGCAGTGGCGTTTGGCCAATTCTCATTCAACCATGCTGTTACAGCTGCAGTCCTATTCGACGTGGGTGAGACAGGCCTCGACCTAGGAGGATCAATAAGTCGGCCTGCGCTCATATATGATCTAACGCCTCACGTACCTCCTCCTTCGACAGGTGCTCGCCGTACTTGTCACTCGACAGGTCGCTCACATCACCCAACGCGTCCCTGCGACCCGTGTCGCCTTTGGGGTAACTGGGAATGACTTACGACGGATGAATCAAAGATCATCACCACTACTGTAGTTGGATTAGGCCAACGTTGACAGCTACCTTGCAGCTACCGTCAAGGGTAAAATTGCTCGAGGTTATCGGTAATGTTGCCGCGGCCACACGGCTCGTTACCAAGGTAAGTTAGTGCGCACTGGCGGTTGGCTTGTCGCTGAGGGAGCTCGGGGACCTTCGGGGACATGCAGCATGCTTTACTGAGAGCGCCGTCGCGGCCGAAGAGAGTGAAGAGGCCGCGGTAGTGCCGGGTGCGCATGCCCGGGACTTTGCTAGGTTCGACACAAACCCGTCGCACGTAAAAGTGAAGGTAGTCGCGGCGAGACGGGCCTTCTGGTGGCCCCATGACGGTGAAGAAGCCAGTCACCCGCGAGCAGCGAGCCAGAGAGAGTGCGGTGGGTCAGTCCGCCTCAGAGCTCGTCCCAAGGAGCCAGAGTGAAGTCCGTCCCGCACCCGCTCGCTAGTTGCCCTGGGGGTGGGGGAGGCAGTCGCGGGGGCAAGGCAGGTTGGCCGCAGAGGAGGGGGCGCGGGCCTCGACACAGAGTCGGACGACCTACCGACTCGGACCGAAGCACCATGATCAATGCCAGCGCTGAGGCTCATCGTTGGTCAAGTACTCACCGAACACCTAATACTCAGCTGATTTACACAGCCCGTATGAGCATGAATCGTAGTCGACTTCAGGCAGCCATATGCGACGAACAGGGTTATAGTCTGAGGAGGCTGTGGCGCCTTCAAGTTGGTGGCGGCATCGTGATCTTACGTAACTGCATGCAGGCGGCGGACCGCTGCATGGAAGGTCTCCTTGAATCCTTCTACTACTTTAAATAGTACTAAGCTGACAAGTCTCGTTATACACGTTGGCACGTTCCAACAGTTCAATTCCTCCCGGAACTCTATCTCAAAACCAAGTCTGCAGTGTCGTACATCATGACACCGTTTCAGCCGCGCCTTGACCCCCGCGGCCGCGGCGCTCAGCTCCTCGTAAATTATGTAATAGCTCTCAAGTCCAGTTCGCATTCCTAACACTGCCCAGCAGTGCACGCTACCACTGGCCCGCCGTTACTGTAACTGCCAGTGTGTCCGACCTATCGCAAGACGAAAGCAGGTCCATAAACCATGTCTACGCAAGGATCGCTTCTAAGACACGAACGATGCTATCTCGAGGCAGTACATGTTCCGCACCTGCTGGCGAGTCATGCCCACACTTACGACCCCCGATACCGTGCAAAGCGCCCTTACGCACGCGTATATAGCTTCAACGGCTGAAGCGCTGATACCACGCCTATAGTACCGTGCTGGGACTAACAGATCTAGTACAGCCAACTTCAAACCTACTCTACTTCGCCGCATTGATGGCTCCAACTAGGCACGAGCGCTTCTACTTCGACGATGGGAACGTCGTCTTCCTAGTACGTTCTGGCACTTCACCGAACTCAGGACACATGTATTAAGAGATATGTGGCGCGTAGGTCGAGGAGACGCTGTTCAATGTCCACCGTTACTTCCTCAAGCGAGAGTCTCCTTTCTTCCAGGAGATGTTCAGCATGAAGTCAGACGAGGGGCGTACGGATGACAATCCGATCTTGCTTGAGGGCACGAAGAGTCAGGAATTCGCGTGCCTGTTAGCGTGCTTGTATCCACGGTACGCCCCTTAGACAGGAGTTCCATGTGGCATCATCACGCTGACGTCGCACGCAGCACCGTTGGAAAGGTCGACGAAATGCTAGCCACGGAATGGGCTCTTGTCCTCGACTTCGCTATCAAGTGGCAGTTCAACGACATCCGCGACCTTGCCGTGGAGCAGCTGAAGTACGTCCACACGTATTCGCCCACGCTCGCGTTGCAGATCGCCTCCGCGCGCAAGCATGGCATGGACGGATGGTACTTCCACGCGGTCGTGAAGATGTGCGAGCGCGGCCGCGCCATCACTCCCGCAGAGGCCGAGCAACTGGGTTTGACGGAGACTGTCCGGATCTCGGCGATCAGGCATAAGCTGCACTCTGGTGGTGGCCGTCCTTCGTTATACGCGCCGAGTCAGTCTATTAGCGTCGACAGTGACCAGAAACACGACATCGCGTCGGAGCTCGGGCTATCCCGCACGTTGGCCTCGCCGGTGCCGATTGGATTGGCTTGCAACTTAGTTTTCTCAATAACACCACCTCCACCGTCCATTTATGATTGAACTGCCCATCCGACACGTACTATCACTGAAACAGGCTCAATGCCCTCGCAAGTACATCACGTACAATGGCATGCTCAATCCTAAAGAGGTGCCCAGTCAGACAATAATAAAACAACATATCGTTCACGCCCACTCACCTCTGCTTCACCATCATTGTCACGCCCTGACACACAAATCCCTTCACGAGCTGTGCCCCGAGCCCATCATACAAGCCGTGCCAGCCGCGCCCCGGGTCCGCACACGCCGCGCGCCATACATCCAGCATTGTCGGCGCGCTGCCCACGGTGCCCGAACCTCCAGCGCGGCGCCACGCCTGCACGCGCACCTTCGCGAGGACGAGCGGGTACAGTGCGGCCAGCGCGAGCGCGTTCGCGCATGCGCCGTCTAGAAAGGCTCTCAGAGACTGGTTGTTTCCCGCGGAGGTGAATGGGAGACGGAGACGGCGGAGGAGTTGGTAGAGCAGTAGAGTGAGCGCGGGGGTGAGACACAGCGGGAGGGTAGGGGCGAAGCCTACGTAGTTACCGAGTTAGATCATCCGTGGCGGAGAGATGACCGAACTGTGCGACGCACCCGCCCAGAAACCCGCGAGGCCTTGTTCGGAGTAGATGCCCCGCGCTACTTCGTGCAGGCCGAGACGTCCTGTACGCTTCTCCGAACCGTCGACAGTCACTGGTTCCTCGTCTTCATCTTCGCTGTCGTCGGAGCTGCTCTGGAGACGGACGGTAAGCACGCTGAGGGGCGTCGACACGGCTCGGCTCGCGACGCCAGCGACGAAGCCGACTGCGAGTTCTGTTGGCACTCCGAGTAGTACGGGAGCGGTGGACGAGGTGATAGCCTTCTGGAGCGTAGCGAGTAGTGGAGTAGAATCGCGCGATACTCGCCGACGCGCGACAAGCGCGTGCAAAACGGTGTAGAAGTAGAAGTACAGGAAACTGTTTGATACATTTAGCACATCTGGGATGCATGCGACGAATACTAGTAACAGTGCTTACTTTGAAAGTATTGTTGACGCAGTGTCGGTGGACAGGCCGTCATACAGCCCGGAGAGCCCTTGCGTCTTGATGACGTGTGTCAGCACTCTGAGGGCACCTCTGAGATCTGCGTGCGTGCGTAGTAGTAAGGAACTCGGTGGCAATCAGGGATAGATAGTATCTCGGAAACGAGACATACCCTTGAGGTGCGGGTTCCTAGTGGTTTGCACGCGCGTCGCGACTAAATCAAGAGGATACGTTATGGCGTTGGCCGACGCACTCGCGAGTGCACCTGAGAAGGCCTGAACAATGGGGGGCCGGGCGGATGTCATTCAACGGGATTGTTCTGCTGTCGGCCTGCGATTCAAGACCTAGCTAGTGTACTACGAGGAGGATTCTGCGGCCGCGCGGGATTCAGCTAGGCGCGAGTGTATGATATATAGTGCATACCCAAAGTACTTGCAGGCAACAGTATGTAGTAGACGACAACACTCTTGTCTCAAGAGAGTCGACGCGAGATCAACATGTACTACATGACGTCACGCAGATGTGGGCAAAGTCATGTGATTCTGTTTCATGACTAATCCACAAGGGTCAGGTGCTGTATTACCAAGCAGCTGAGTCATTGTTTTCAAACTCCGATGCCCCAAGGGTATATATAAGCCCCAAATTCATGACTCATCCTTTCCCCCTTTGTCTCTTACCACCATGGAGACCAAGATAAAACTCCGTTTTTACTTGCGCAGTGACCTCGTTCGCAAGGTGACGTTGACGACCCCTCCTTCCTGGGCGGACGTCAGTCACTGGTTGTGGGTGGTCTTCAATGCTCCCGTAGACAGCGCTGTTCCTGTGTACATCAACGACGATGGTCAGCAGGTCGCCGTATCCGATGACGAGAGCCTGAGCCAGTTGTTCACCGCCATATCAAACAAACCTTTTGTGGAGTGTCGGGTGTGTATGAGACGTGTCCACGTCAACGATGCCGATGAAGCCAAGCAACATTCCGTGGACGACTTCGTGGACGATTCTCCCGACGCCAGTGACCATCGCGGTCTGAAGATATCGGTTTCATCGCGACCTATACCTGCGAACGTACTTTCTGAGCCCGCCAACGCTGCGCCTTGCTCACCCATACCTATCCGGCCCGCAAATGACAACTCCCCAGTGGCTCCGGATCCGAGTCAGGACGTTGTTGAAGACCTCGTAAACCGTCTACAAGCCAACCCCTACAGGCTATTTTCGCATAGAGAGGGTGTACTAGTTAGTGGAGCCCCGTGGCGGCTGCACGTCGCGCAGCTCCTTCGAGGTCCAGAGGGTGCTCGACATGCATCCGACATCGTGGCGTTCATGAGACGCAACGGCATTCCCATCGACATTGAGGATGACGGTGGCTTGGAGTTGAATCGTTCGCCAACCCCAGCTGATCGTCGTCGGGCTCGCCGCCATTCTCGCAGCCCATATCCTCCTGCATACGGGATGCATCACCCTGATCGCCTCTTGATGGCATCGAGCCCGCCTCCTGCCCATCGTTCGCCGTCTACACTTTCGCTCGTCTGTCAAATTCCTTCCGCACCTCGCAATCCTCGCACGACACAGGACACCACAAGCCCCACGCAGTACAGTGCCCATAGTGCTGCAGCGTCTCGACACGGTGCAGCCCGTAGCCCGCATGGTCCTGCGGGAGATGGGCGCATCCCGCGCCACCCCCTTGCAACTCGGACGAGCACGCTCACCCCTCAAGTCGCTGTAGCCGATGCGGCGCAGCGATGCGAGACCCCGCCACCTGTCACGCACAAGGTCATTGTCAAGCTAGTCAAGCCTGATGATGACTTGACCCACATTCGCGTCCGCCAAATCGCCTTCAACCGCACACCGACCTGGGAACACCTCGCAGCTCTTCTCGCCGCATCTTACGACACATCGCCTCGCCTCCTCATGCTTTCCCACTCTCCCCTCGACACCACTCTTCCTTCCTGGTGGGCATGCGAAGGCCTGGAACGGGTTCGCGGACCGACCGGGCTTTCCAACATGCTCCGCATCGCCTTCAACGCTAACGAGTCCACTGAGTTCGCAGTGCTCGAAGCGATGGCGGGTGGCGGAGACGCCGTCCTGGGATTTGGTACAGTACGATTCCAGAGTGCCAGTACCAACGTTGCAAACCCTGGCATGGACGTCGACGCCTCCGCTACAAATACCGTGGAGCAGCATGCCTTGCGCCACACGCGAGACCTTCAGGCGGCCATCGCTCGCTCTGGCATGCGGCGTGTTCGACCAGCAAACAGGGCCCCGCGAGTTTCTTCAAACACAAACACCAAACCTCGCGCGGTCCACGACACTCCTCCGAACATCGCCATCCACACGTCCCGCGTGCTCGACAACGCTTCCAACGCGCGCCATCCGTCTGCCAACTCAACTGCCACACGCTCACTCCCGACCCGAGGGCTCGCGATCTCCCAACCAACGACACACGCCTCCGTTCCAATGCGCCCTACTCCGACGAGATCATCCAATCAACCGACATCCACGTCGCGAACCGATAACGTCCAGTCCGTCAACGAGAACACCCCTTTCGTACGCAGCATGGCTCCGAGCCCCGAGCCACGTAACGCCGCGCACACGGTAAGGACCGCTCAAGACAACCGTTGGAATTCGCTGGATGCGGTGGTGGACAACTACAGGAATCAGCTACGTTATTCGGTTATTCGTTCTCGGGAAGCTGATGTTCATGGCAATGCACCGACTCGGCAGGTCAACAGTCGCCGGACCCAGGCCCGCGCTCATCATCCGTACGCGCGGGTCATGACAATATCTATGGAGGGCATGCAGCCTGCTATTTGTGAGCTGCATGTTCAAGACCTCACGCAACAAGTTGGTGATTACGCTGCGCTCGGCTCAGCCCGCCGGAGCAGCGTCGCACCTCAGATCACTTACAGTCAGAGGCGCGGACGAGATGAGAGAGGTAGGGATCGTCGTCGCGGAGCTACGCATTTCCGCAGTGCGGCGGGAAGGTGAGGGCATGGTGGATCCGGAGGTCGTCTAACGTGATGGCGGCTCCGTAAATTGCGTCCTGTAGGGCGAGTTGTGTTCTACAGTACGAGTACATTCCTGACAATCCTACATATTTATCTTTGACATTCTGCTCCGACTCCACTATGCCTCCCCCTTCTGTATTTAAATGACCCTTCTTATATTTATGGACTTTTTTCTAAATCTATTCACTCTCGTCAATGCGTCAGGAACACGTTGTCGAGTGGTGCATTCTCAGTTGTATAACTTTCTTTCCCTGTCTTCCTTCTATCGATCTATCTTACGTTCTTTGCCCTGTGTGTTTTCCTGCTACGTCGTCGGTGTGATTATATGGCAGCGGTATGTCTTCTGTTCCTGTGATAGAGCCGCTGTAGCTGATAGTGCCATCTTGTCAGTGCTGTATCATAGTAATACAACATCCGTTGCCAAATACTCGGTGTGAGTGTGATCGACAAATCAAGATGCCTGCTGTACGTCTCCTTCGACAAATGAGTGTATCCGCTGCGCCAACTCTGCAGAGCGTCTGAGCCTGAGTGATCGACTCACCTGCCCTGTACGTTTCATCTCTTCACTGGCATCGGTGCTTTGCGATGACGGATCCGCTTAGCAGACTCGAAAGAGGACCCTGCGCTTACTTGACGCGGCGGGTGCCTCAGCATAATACGCCCTACTATGTACGTTGAACGAGCATGGTCAGACGAAGACATCCTAGCGAGAGCTCGACTGTGGAGGCGAAGTAATGCGAGAATGTTGGCACGCACCCTGGAGTTACGGTTCAACGATGTCACGGCGGGGCGGCGGGGTGAGTACTACCTTGCGCTCCTCGTCTGTGAAGCTCGCTGTTGTTGACGACACTGCGAAAGCACAGACGCTTAGACGATCGAACACTTCACATTGCTGAACGCAAAGCTGTGGTCATGCACTAGCCCGAGACACCGCATGCCCCTACGAGTCGAAATTTGCGTCGAGCTGCCGTCGAGGCACATCTTTTTACTACGCTCTTTATGACTAGCTTGAATCGTTCTTATTCCTCTTTCAGACATAGCATTTGATTACTCGGCGGACGTTACATATACCGACATTAGATTATGCCAGTGCCTAGTCACATCTGTACTGGCCCGGATAGAAGCTTCAATCTCATTGTACACTCTACGAACATGAGGGTGCAACCATGCTTATGGAGCCGATGTAGATGGGATACGTATTGCAACACAGGTTTGGTGAGCACCACTCGTGATTTTCCAAAATGTATCGTACAGTCTTCACCTTTCCACATGTCCGGGAAGTCAGGTAGCATTCCCATCGACGTTGTGCAATGTACATCACTAGAACCGAGAATTACACCATACGTAGCAAATGCGTCAATCATATAAGCTTGGAGGAGGAGCAGGAGAGAGTGGCCGCCGGTCTATGGGCGACCCGGGTGGCGGTACTGAGGGAGAATGAATTGTAGGCGAAGGCCATGCCTCTGATGAAATACCGAGTTCGTGCATTATGTTTGTCTGTTCAATAGGAGGTATGCTGATCGCAGGCATTGTGCCGTAAATTGACCCAATAGAACCACGCTTTCCACTTCCACTGTGTAGCTTCTGCCGCATAGCCGAGACACGGATGGTCTCCAGTAGACCAAGCTGTTCTCCTTCTTCAGGAGAAATTGGGCGGCTACGCTCGCACATCTTCAGGACAGCCTCCACATACCAGGAATCCATGTTGTGTCTGCGGGCGGTTGCGATTTGCAGCGCCAGCGTAGGCGAATTCATATAGGGCGACTTCATTTGCTTCACGGCCAGTTTGAAAACAGCGTCAAACTGCCACTTGACTGCGAGATCGATGACAGCGGCCCACTCCTCGGCGTGCATCTCATCGACTTCCCCAACAGACCTACAGGATGTCCTCAGCGTGATACACGACGCTAAGCTGCAATTGAGCGTGTGCGTTACCTGGGATAGAGGCACGCTAATAAGCACGCAAAGTCTACACTTTTCGTGCCTTCGAGTAGGATCGGACTATCATCTGAGCGCCCCTCATCGGAGTGCATGGAGAACATGTCCTGGAAGACTGGGGAGTCACGCTTGAGGAAATAGCGATGGATATTGAAGAGTGTCTCCTCGACCTACGATTGTAATCGAAGATGTCCGTCAGTACAACCACGCCGCCAAGATGCACGATCGCAGCTGGAGCACGTACCAGGAAGATAACGTTCCCATCGTCGAAGTAGAAACGATCGTGCTTGGTTGGGGACATGGATCCGGAGTGGCCGGTATCAAGCGTGAGCGCGGGCGTAGGTGAAGTTATGAGTGTGAGATGAAGTGGCTCAGGACTTGCCATCGATGTATATGACTGGCAAGACTTACGGCTCATGGACTCAGACTCCGGCACAACGTGTAACGGGAGACGCAGCGCTGATCCGACTGTGTGAACGTACGTTTTTGTGATGATGCCTAGCCCTCTGATCTCTTGACGTCAGAGTCTCGCCATTATAGTAGAGCGCATCCATCCATTAAGTTAGTAGAAAAGAAATATCCAGGTACGCAACAGCGAGCGCAGTAAAGAGTAGATGGCACATTCTCCTACATCATAGCTTAGCCTTGGCACCAGACACCTTCGCCTTCTGGCGCGTGCTCCTCGCCTTGTCGCGCAGGAACCGTCTGAGCAACTTCCCACTGGGGTTCCTCGGGATCGCGTCGATGAACTCGACGCCGCCTGTGAGCTGCTTGTAGTAGATCTTCCCATCTGCAACGTACTGTTGTCCGCCGCGCAGATCGTCAGTGCACCAGACGGATGAAGGCAGACAGAAGTCGACGAGCATACCTTGACGATCGCTGCCTTGATCTTCTCTGCCTCGGCGGGGTCCTTGCCCATGCGCTCCTTGGCGCTGGCGGTGGGGACGACGAACGCGAGCGGAAGATCGCCGTTGAAGTCGTCGAGCAGGCTGACGACGCAGACGTCCGAGACGTCGGGGTGGTCGAGGAGGAAGCCTTCGAGTTCCGCAGGAGCGACTGGGGCCATACGTACACGTATCAGCGAGACTGCTGAGAGCGGAGATGCAGATAACGAACCTTGGAAACCCCGCACTTTCAGGAGCTCCTTGATGCGGTCGATGACGAACAACTCTCCCTGGTCATTGATGATCACTTCGTCACCGGTGTTCAGCCAGCCATCCACGAACGTCTCTTTGTTGCTATAATCACCGATCAGCATTCCTGAAGCCCATTGATGCTGTGGCGTTACGTACGCTTGCTCGTTATTCAGGTAGCCCTGCGCCAGCGAGGGCATCTTGACGACGAACTGCCCGGGCTCGTCGGGCGCGCAGTCAGTCCCGTCCGGGCGAACTACACGCGCTTCGACGCCTGGTATGAGCACACCTGCGCTGCCGAGCGTCCCGACCTTCTGGTCGTGCCGTTGGAGCGCAACGATCGTGAAGGTCTCCGTCATGCCTGTATGGCAAAATGCAGACCCAGTTGTGAGTTGCAGACATCATTGATCGGGAAGAGGGTGAAACGCACCGAAGCCCTGGCCGATCGTGGCTTGCGGGAAAACGTTCGCGAGGGCCGATTGCAGCTCGGGCGAGACGGGCGCGGCGCCGACCATGAAGGACTTAATGGAACTGAGATCGTATTTCTTCACGTCCGGGTGCTACGTCGCATGAGTGGGTGAGCGAGCAGCGTAGCACGCAATCGACGCCGACGTACCTTAACGAAGAGCACAGCCATTGGGGGCACAGCGCTGGTCGATCACGTCAACTACTGAACGGAGGGGCGAATGCAGATGATACGGACGGCAATGTGGTGATGCGATAGCGTTCAATGCTCTTGAGCATGTCGGTGAACACGAACTTCTGAGATATCACCAGAGGCATCTGTGGTCGATGTCAGCAAACCAGTCCGCATACAGTCAGTGGGAACGTACCCCAAGGAAGAAACCAAAGTGCATGATGAATGCTAAGCCATATGCGTCTACAACTTGTTACTACACTTCACATTAGAGAACATCTGCTGAAAGCTCACGATATAGTGGAAGCGCTGAAAGGTAACTGTCACTTCTATACAGCCCGAGGCTAGATGACAGAAAGAGACGAACCTGCATAAATCGTACGGCCAGGCCTGAACGACCTGTCCTCCCATGGCTTTGTGTCAGTCTCAGCCCAGACAGTGCACTGGATGATATTTGCAATCTGCGCGTAGTGCGGGATCATCACAGCCTGCAAGACGTCTTCAACATTCACGCGCGCCCACGAATAGCGAGGGACATCAGACCTTTGGGAGCCCAGTCGTCCCGCTGGAGAAGTTCAAGAACGCGATCTTGGTCTTCCCTTCGCCGGGCTTGAGCTTCCGCTCAGTGTAGCTCTTCGGCGTCTTTGAGCCCTGTTGGATAAGCTGCGGAATATCTGCGTACGAAGCCTTCCCGCTTGGTAGGCTGTCGACCAGGACGATGCGTTCTGGTGTGAGCCCGACTGTGCGAGCGGCCGCTTCTGCGACTGCCAAGCCGGTAGAATGCGCGAAGATGAGTTTCGTGCCGGTGGTTTTCAGTTGGTGTACGAGCTCGTCGTGTGTATAGGAAGGATTTGCGGTGCTATGGGGGTGTAAGACAAGATATCGCTGAAAGACTGTCACTGAGTATGTGTACCTGACGATTGCACCCAGTCGGTGAACGGCCCTATAACGCGGACATCAGCATAGCCCCAGCAGGTACCATAGGACGCAACTCACCAGACTATGACTGGATAGTCTTCAGGTAACGTCAGTTATTGAACGCATATAGACGTGCGAACGGACTCGGGCGTACCGACATGATTCGAGCTGAATACGCAGACTGAGAGGCGCCGTCAATCAGTATGTCCACTTGCGCGAGTTTTGTGCATAACGCACCAACATCTTCGTCCCCTAGGCGCCGAATGATTCTGCGTTAGCATGTCTGAGATGCCTTGCGTATGATTGCCCACCAATATTCCAGCGGATCTTGAGCGCGTTGGCCAGACTGTCCGTGCGCGATCGAAGCTGTAGTACACATGATGAGCTACTGTCCAGAACGTACGAGATAGTCCAGCGAGAAGACTCGGACGACGCGTTGGGTCATCGCGAAGTAGAGCTGTGACGAAACTGAGCCCTCGTCCTGAGAGCGGGAAGGCGCCGCTGCCTAGTATGCCACCAGCATGACTGCTAAGAGACCATATATCGACGGCTATAACAAACAGATCGGCATTGTGATCCCATTGCAAGTCTGCAAGTACCTTCCAACGCTGCAGACACCAACGAGGTTTGGAATGAAGACACTGCAGATCTCAGAACCTGAGGCCTGAGACATGGGCCTTCCCATCCACGTGCCAACCTTGGGTCGCCGGTCGGCTCGAGTGCGACCGCGAGTATACTCACCTCTTCTTCTCCCACTTCCCTTCCTGTGGCCTCCTCAATCATCCATGGTCGGTTCTTGTCCGTCTTGGGTCTGCTGGGGTGCTCGATATCGAGCATGAACTGCGGGATGGTCAAGTCATCCGGGATAGCTGGGAGAGGACCTCCGGGACCGTGGATTACGCGCATGTTGTACGTTGAAGGAGCGTCAGCGAGGGCGGAGTGGATGCGAGTGAGCGACGAGGACTCTTATTTGAGTGAGGTGAGTAGCGGACGATTATGGTTGGTGCCTTATTGCTGACGCTGATACAGGCGGGTTTGGCGTGGGCGGATGTTGATGGCCTGCGCGATGTGCGACACAAATTCTCGGGAGCCGCAGCACCCAGCGCGACTCGTATTTATACCTCGGCCTCCATTCTGTGTAGCAGCTCTTCTCCGACGATACATCACAGTATGGAATGTTTATCCCCTGAGTGCCGGTACCCGGCATGCTGTGTCCCTAGCATGTTTGGAGACGCCCGGAGTGACCGAGCCACGTCGTGGGACATCGCGTCGGGGTGCTATCAATTAGGTGCTATCAATATCCCAGTCTTGTTGCAGTCTTGTCTCTTGCGTCCACCGCCATGGGCAAGAGGACCTCCTATTTCGATGCGTCTGCCTCTACGCCTCGGAATCGACACGAGAGGTTCTACTTGCCGGATGGGAATGTGATATTCCAGGTAAGTACGTCGGTTGTCCTTTCGTTGTGAAGGTACAGTAGTTCGGGGATCGGGGATGGAGGCACCGGCAATAGTCATTATGGGGATTCAGTCAGAACTCTACCACTCCGACCCTACCTTCTATCTTCGCAGAAGGCAATCGCATATTGTACATTGGTTCACGCATCTCACGAGTTGATCACAGGCGGAAGGTACGCTGTTTAAGGTACACCGTTACTTCTTCCTCCAGGGCTCGAAGGTATTCGAGGACATGTTCTCCTTGCCTTCGCCACCCGGCGAAGACTACGAAGGCGGGTCAGACGACCAGCCAATCTACCTCGAGGGCACGACCTCCCTCGACCTCGCCCGCTTCCTCACCGTCTTCTATCCGAGGTGCGTCAGCTCCCTCATCCACGCCCTCACGCTGCTCACAACCAGCTCTCGAACAGAACCGTGTGCAAGCCCGACCTCGAGACGACGGGCGAGTGGGCGTCCGTGCTCGCGCTCGCGGTGAAGTGGCAGTTCGAGGACGTGCAGGCGCTCGCCGTCGCGCGGCTCTCGGCGGACGCGCCCCTCGTGGACCAGATCCTCCTCGCGCGCGCGCACCGGCTCCCGGAGTGGCTCTACGACGCGCACGTGCGGATCTGCAGCAGGTACGAGCCGCTCTCGCTGGACGAGGGCCGCCGCCTCGGCGTCGACGAGACCGTGGTCATCTCGGACGTGCGCCAGTACAATATCCGGTGCAACCGCGGGAACGTCGACCATGACAAGCTGAGAGCTGCGCTCCGGCTTTTGCAACAGGGATGAGGGCCGAGTTCCCGTGTGTGCGGCCTGAGGTATACCCAGTTGACGGTATAGAGGTTGCGTTGTCTTCTTGTTTGGACTCAGAGCTGCGTATGATCTGATCTTAGCTTACTTCATTCTCCAATATACCCCCTTACTACGGATTTCTATGACATTTCACCACGCCATGCCCCAAGCATTCTCAGCAAGAACAAGGCCCAAGAAGACGCACATATTCGCTAGATGCCGGTGCTGCCTCGTGTCTTCTCATATATTAAGCTCGTCTCGAGCGGAGCACACCCCTCCTCTCATCCACGTCGCTCCTACAACCTCATCCGGCGCCATCGATGGCGCCTCAGCGACACGAACGCTTTTACTTTAAGGATGGCAATGTCGTCTTCCTCGTATGTTGTTGGAAGATGATCGTCTGTCCCTGCACACTGACTATGACACACTTCGTTGCAGGTGGGAGATACGCTGTTCAACGTACATCGCTATTTCTTCGAGCGGGATTCGCCGATCTTCCAGACGATGTTCTCGCAACCATCCGGCAAACCGGGAGAAGGGGAGTCCGATGAGAACCCCATCCTCCTCGAGGGTATCGAGAGCGGCGATTTCGCTCACTTCCTCTCGTGCTTATACCCAAAGTGAGCCGTCTTCTGTGTCCTTTACAGTATTCGCATAATCGCATTGGTAGGAGATTCGGCCACGGCGACCTCACAACATATGCTGAATGGTCTGCCGCCTTGAACCTGGCTCACCTGTGGGAGTTCGACGCTGTCGCTGATTGGATCGCACAGCGGGTGGAGGAAACGTGCACTCTGGTGGAGCAGATTGTGACGGCGCGCAAGTGGAACAGGCAGAATTGGTGCTGGGATGCATGTGCGAAGCTCTGCCAGCGCAGGCAGCCTCTATCATTGGAGGAAGCCATGTTCATGGGGATAGAGGAGGCAGTGAGGATTTCTCATTTACGCGAGAGGAGTCGCGGGCACCCAGACTGGTCCACGGACCGCCCCGATTTCAATTGGGGTATGCCCATGGAATTGAAACCGGTGTCATACATAAGCACGAGTGATTTCGAAGCGATCAAGCAGGTCCTCTGCCTGCCCGACGCGACGCTATCACGCGATAGATGAAACTTAAATTGTCTTTATTCCGCACAACTGATTGACCTACGCTTGACACTTCATCTCAATCCGGATTACGCAGGATAACTCATACGAACGTTGCTTAAGGCATCCTCGCACTCCAGTGGACTACTTAACATCAAGGCATATGTTTGGATACACGAGTATGTTCATAACCTGCGCTTGCGCCGTACCTGCTGACCTTCTCAGCAAGGACAAGGTTTATGAATGCGTACACGCTTTCGCAAAGAAGCGAGGCTGCCTCGTGTTCAATATATAATGGTCCTCTTGAGCGGAGCTTACCTCTGCGTCCCCGTCTCGTCTACTTCCGCCATTATTCCACTCCAGGAACGATGGTTCCCCAACGCCACGAGCGATACTACTTCGACGATGGCAATGTGATCTTCTTGGTGCGTCGCGATCTTGTTGTGATCATGAGTTGCGCTCAATGGGGAGTAGGTGGAAGATACGTTGTACAACGTCCATCGATACTTCCTCAAACGCGACTCGCCTGTCTTTCAGACGATGTTCTCGCAACCATCGGGAACATCGGGTGAAGGAGAGTCAGACGACAATCCGATCACTCTGGAGGGCATCAAGAGCGCCGATTTTGCCAATTTCCTATCCTGTATCTATCCATCGTGAGTCGCACGATCGCGTTGCCGCCTCTCTGTCTGCTTAATGTCCGGTTTGGATGAACAGGAACCTTGGGCAGGGTGACCTGACAACGTACGAGGAGTGGTCCGCCGCTCTGGAGCTGGCTGTGAGATGGGAGTTCAACAGCGTACGCGACTTCATCGTGCGTCGTATGAAGGATACGGGGACTCTTGCCGAGCAGGTCGCGATGGCTCGTCGGCTGGATATGCAGCAGTGGTGCTGGGACGCTTGCACGAAGCTTTGTCAAAGGGCCAAACCTTTGACTCTAGAAGAGGGCCAACGTCTCGGCGTGGAAGATACAGTCAGGATCTCCCAAGTGCGCGAGAATCTGCGTGTGCATCCGCGAGTTGGCAAGAACGGAGACTTGCAAGGGTATAGAGTGGAATGGGGAAGCCCCATGGAATTGGAGTACGATTTCAACTCCAAGAGGCATGACAATGACACGCTGTTCGAAGTGAAGCAGACACTTTGTCTACCTGAGCTCCCCTACGTATACCGTTGTTTTGTTACATTTGACTTCTCGTCACATTGATAGTACTTCAAGTTACTACTCCGTGCATAAAATCCATGAGCCTGGGCTCGGCCCGTCCCAGTATAGTTCAAGTTCAATAGAATGACACTACCGCTCAACAAAAGGCTGCTACATATTCAAGCAACATCGGGTAAGGTTATGATTACTAGGTTCTTCAGGTACAGGGGAGTACACGACAGGCAGCGTTACATCATTATTGCGACCTGAGATGAAACTGCAACTTGCTGAAGCCTGAGGCTTGTAGCGTCAGTTGCCAGTCATGTAGTAAGCATTAACAACAGCGAAGCTAGTACAATATTACGGCAATTGCAGCGCCGCTCGCGCTAAGCTAGTACTACATAGTTCTTGTGCAGATTGGCCCGAGGCCTGAGTGATTACTACTATTATACGCATATCCGGTGAATTCGTTGACGTCTGTTTGGCATCTCCCACATGCACATCCGCCGTCTTCGCCTTTCCCTTTATGTTCGACATTTGCCTCATCTATTGACCTTCCCTTTCAAGGATAGGTTCATCACGGTCAGCCTCATGATTTGCCTTAGCTGCTCGCTAGGAACCTAGTACTCCTCCTCGAGCTCCGCATAAGGGGCCCGGGCAGCTGTTTAGATTGTCGCCCCTACGTGTGCGCAAACACCAACTATCACAACCTCCGTCACCTACGGTTTTCTCATACTCGTTCAAGCAATCCCTTGTACTATCATATTATTACTACTTATTAGTATGGGTCCTTGTGTGGGTTGCCGGTAATCATGTGATTCTGGGCTGCTCCGGGACCGGGGATTGCGGGGGTGGCTGTCGCGTCCGACTTGTCCTCCCCGCCTCCGGGTCTCCCTCAGCGTTCACTGGCACCACTTTCGTGTACCCACTGCTCTCATCTCCCCAGGCTATATTTTCAGCAGAGCCCTTGCGATGTCTGTCGCGCATGGAGTGCGAAGACTTGGTGTCCTCGGAGCAGGTCAAATGGGTACGTCGATTGTCACGACTCACAGGCTCGCCCCGGCGAGGGTACACTCTCAAAGCATACTATTATGCCATGTCCGCGGTTCATTGTTGAACCTCATCACTTTTTGCCGATTTCAAAGACATTGTCGAGCTTTCCCTGCAAGCGTGGAACGGGTGTGAAGTGAAATTCACCTATCTTGGTCTAGGACGTTTTACATGACACCCCAACGATGTCAAGTTCCTTCCTTCCTTACGATGGCGTGACTGCTCTGTAGCGTCGCACTTGCAGTGCGCTTGCGCACGATCAAATTTACGAATGTTCTGCACCGACTAGACCAAAAGGTTGCGAAGTCGCATTCGCAGGCTCTCCTCCTACTCAGCCTTTGGCTGAACCTGAGACGATGCCCTAGACTAACGTGTGTTTGAATAGGTCTTGGAATAACCTACGTCGCGGCACTTCACGCACGAGTTCCCGTGCTGCTGTATGACCGCTCTACATCACAAATACAGAATGGCCTCAACTTGATGGATAAACTCCTCGCCAAGGACGTGAACAAAGGGAAGCTGACCGCAGAGCAGGCAAAGGAAGCTCGTGAAAGGGTCACCGTCGTTGATCAAAATAGAGGAATAACAGCCATGAGAGATGTTGACATGGTCATCGAGGTGAGACTTTGCTTGGCACGACGTGTCCTCAGCTCATGGTTTCTGTAGGCTGCATCGGAGAATCTCCAATTGAAGCAATCGATCTTCCGCAGTATATCGGCGGAAGTGTCCCCCAGTGCCATTCTGGCCTCAAACACGTCCTCGATTAGCATTACGAAGATTGCTGCCTCTACCATCCCTGAAGGCAGCTCCGCTGCAGCTGAGGCGGGAAAGAAGAGCGCGTCGCGTGTCGTCGGTACGCCCACCTTGTATGATCCACTGTCTCTCGGCCGAACCCATTACCACCAGGCTTGCACTTCTTCAACCCTGTTCCTGTCATGGTGCGTTTCTTGCCATACAGCTGTACATGATCGTCTCCACTGACATTAACCATTCAATAGAAACTGGTGGAGCTTATATCAGCGCTGCAGACGTCGCAGGAGACTCTTGATCGAGCGCGCGCTTTTGCTGTTGCGTGCGGAAAGGGTGTGTGCGAACAGCTCAGCTCTTACAGGATACTACATTCGGTTGATACGTCGCAGAGGTCACGACATCACAAGATGTCCCCGGCTTCGTGTCTAACGCACTCCTTATGCCATTCATCAATGAGGTGAGCGGAGCGTGCTTGGAGCGCACGGCGTGGAAGCGCTAATCGCTCCCTCTCCCTGCTCTTTCAGGCGATTATGTGTCTCGAAAAAGTCGGTGCATAGGATCAAGCTGCCGTGCCTCTACCTTCCTGACGAAAGATGCACCGTAGGGCACTGCGACTCGAGACGACATTGATAAGACGCTCAAGTTGGGCATGAACCATCCTATGGGCCCGTTGCAGCTAGGTTCGTGTCCCAATCCAACCTCTAGCTGTGCCCCGCACTTACGTTGAATCCGATGTAGCCGATTTGTAAGCCAGCCTTGTTCATTGTCTAAACACTCCGTTCTCAATCTTAGATTCAATCGTCGATCATCTGTGACGCCTGCTTCTCTATCGATACACCCTGGTTTCGCGTAATCCGCCGCATCTGAACCCACCGCGCCGCGCCGCAAAAGCATTGGACTCGACACCTGCCTCGCAATTCAACAGACGCTCTATGCTGGCACCGCTGACTCCAAGTATCGGCCGAGCATACTTCTGGAGCGCATGGTGGACGCAGGCTGGTATGGGAAGAAGAGCGGCAAGGGGTTTTATGAATACCCACAATGAACGACGTGTTGGCGGACTACAGTGTGAGTGCCGTAGTCTTTGAATTGACGGGGCGCCAGGAGCTGAATTGGACCGTTTGGGAAACAGTGTTGGGTCATGCAGACGCATGGTAGGAGTGCTTCATCTGGAACGTGTATCTGGCCTTCACGTGTCAAGACGTCTTCTCTCGATTGCCTCACCGGGGTCGCATGTTTTTGGCCTCGGCTTCGACGAGGAGACGTAGCACGGCTTGTAAACTCCCATGCAACCATTGTTATCGGGACGCTGCGGCGCATGGATCAGTACGTCAGTCTGTGCATCGGATTGCTGATTGCGGTACCTGCGAGGCTGGCCGAGTGCCTCCCATGGTCTGCTCCTCGCTTTCATGACACCCAGCAAGCGGCGCTGTACATCAAACCATCGGCAATTGAAACTTGGAAACTACATGTGTTTAAAGTCAATGTAGGCACGGCTTGTTCGCCGCCATACAGCCATTTCAAAGCCAGCCTAGACGACTAGGTCCTCATCAAACCAGCATTCAAAGATTACAATGCTCACGGAACTTGCATCCTATCGATGCCCGCGTAGCTCACGGAGCTTCCCTCAACCTCCGGCGAGCGTAAATGTAACTCTGCGAAGCGTCCGTTTGCGGCGCCGGGGCGGAGTCGGACGTTTGGCTTGGGCCCTTCTCGTGCAGGCCGGCCCAATCACGACTGCTCCGGTGAGGCCGATCCTCCAAAGCTTCAAACTCGGGACTGACCTGGCTCCTGGCTCTCCGTTCTTGTATCGTAACGCCCTCATATTCTTTCCGTGTTCCCACAAGAGCTCGGTCCGAAGGACCTATCACCGTAGGCGCCCACGACGATGGACTACGCGGTCCTGGTTCTTGGCGGCGGTGCGAAGTGTGGCAGGGTGCAGGCCTGTTTACGCAGCGCTATTTCCGCGGCCACACAGCCCCGGGTAGGTGGCAATTGGATCATGTCATAGTTCCAGAGTCATCCTTAGAACCTCCACCTGCACCCACAGCCACGGGCGTTGCGGATACACCCATTGCGTATGCTTCCGTTCGTCTGTATTCGGATCTATATGACATCCCACAAATACATCAGACAGGGAGACTCATGGCGATCGTTTGACGCTCATGGGTGCGGTGAGAGCGCCGCAAGGACCGTACACCATGCCGTGCTGTGTCAGACCTCTGCGTTCTTGCCGGTCTCCCACTGTAATTTTAAGACATGCATAAAAGCCCCCGTCCTTGTACGCTTCCTTATACTCGCCTTTCAGCCTTTTGTTCACCTACAAATCCCGACACCGCTCTCTCAACTCACTAGCGGAATGTGTACCACTGAGTGGTGAGTTGTCTCCGTTGTCGACACTCGATCTGAGGGGGCTGATACACCGATGTCTCACAGTTGGGGAAATCAGCATCGCTACGGTCGCTGCAACGTAAACTTTGGTCTCATAATGAGACAATGCCCAGCTAACCGATGATCTGCTAGCATTATGTCAAGCAGTACGAGACCGGCATCAAGAAAGACTGTGGATCACCGACGTGTGGGCTCAGTAAGGCCCACAAACATACAGCCCGGCAATGTAACTGCCCAAAGGTTCGTGGGCATTGCTGCTAGCGCGACTTGGGGGTCCTGATTAACCGCACTAGGTGTACCAAGAAGAGCAGCGGATCCTTAATCTCATCCGCTATTACTGCGACGCATGTCAGTCGCAAGGATGGAAATCGATCGAGCGCGAGTCTGGTCGGCAATATTGAGTTTTGCTTGGCCTCGGTTGATCGCTGTGGTTCCAGGGTTATTTATGACAGATGTACGACGACCTACTGTATTTCTTATCATTTTATGGCCCAACCGTGGGCAGTGCAGTACGGCTTTCCGCTGCGTTTCGATCATGATATCTAAGCTTGGAGCCCGAGATTGGCATTGGTGTCCGGTAGTGAAATGTAGCATATTATACAGAGGGTCTACGAATGGGAATGGTCAATCAAGTATCGGTTGCGGTTGAAGAGTGTTCATAGCTACAACAAGTCCATCGTACAATACTTTGAATCGCCCCTGCGTCCGCGATAGAAATTTCCTAGAGTTTTCATGGCTGGCCCGAACGTTTCCGTGACCACGGCGTTCTTGGCAATCCATTGAGGGAGCTTCTCGCGAATACGCGGCGACCCATAACGGCAGTCGACCAGTATGAGAGCAGCCCAGTCGTTCCGATGCCGAATAGCCCGTCCTACATGGCGTGAGTTTGTCATATTGTGGTCACCAGTTCATATGATCGTACCTATACTCTGGTTCACGGCGTTCATGCACATGTTCTCGTATAACTCATTAGCAGCATCTTTACGGCCGTTCGCTGGTCTAGCAGGAGCGTTGGCTTTGGCGAGTTGTTCTTGCAGGCGGTTCACGTATTTCATGCGTTCCTGGAGCTCTGGGGAGGCCAAATTGGCGTAGGGCAGTCCGATGATGACCACAGCACGAGCGAGATCATCCGTGAAGTTGAGACCCTCGGAAAGTTTGGCCCCAATGACTGCGAATAGCAATGCGCCACCTTTCCGACTTCCTTCGCCAGCGGTGCTGGCTTGACTCTAGAGTTCCTTCAGCAAGACGTTCGACCTGATAGTACAATGACCTTACTGACCTCTACAGCGCGAACCGCGGCAGAATATTCTCTGAGCACTGTGTCCACCTCCCCGCTATCCTGGGGCTCAGAAAATACCTAGCCTCCGTCCTCTGCGTCGGTACGTCATCTTACATGATCAATACTGAAGACGCACCCTCTTCTTGCCGTTCAGCTTCGCAACCAAGCCGCTGTTCTTCCACTCTGCCATAACCACGTTCAGGAAACTATATGAAGGGAGGAATACAACCATCCCCGCCGGCACGATGTTGACGAGATTAAGCAAGATTTGGCCTAGCTCTGCGATCTGTAACAAAATGATGATGCAGCCCTGGACGCACGGAGGGAGAACGTACCAGCGGTTTTTGGCCCCTCTGTTCAAATTTGAACTGCAAGTCTCCTCCTCTAGGGCCTCTCTTCAACACCAGGGTTTGGAGGCTCGTAGGCGGTATGATATGTCCGCAAGAAAAGGTAGAGAGCCGTTCAACCGACACTTCGGAGAAAAGTTGCTGTACGACGTCGGATATCTAGCACGCCATGACTCCGTTCAGAGTGACCCATCGGAAGAGCAGGCTGAAGGGGTAAGAGTACTCACAGGAGACATCGTACCTCCCGCAAGCACAACCGCCCGAGCGGAGTCGACGACATCTTGAAAGTGCGTGGCAGGGTTGAGCTGCTGATACTTGATCTCGAATAGATCATCTGCGACTGATATTGTTATCCGGCCATCTGTTCAGAGGAGTCGGGGTCGTCAGGCTACGCGGCGGCACCGTGGCAAAATATTGTACTGACCGTCGTTGGCAGAGGTCAGCGACGTGATGAAGCTTTCCACTGTGTGGAGGGGTGGGGTCGTCGTCACCAGTCGCGCAACTTTGGCTAGCTTGACGGGATCTGAAGTGAAGGGAGGTAGGTGAGGTCAACGAACCCCGAACATCAGTCTTGTCATGCAGATACGCGTGTTGATGGCTGCGGTTGCTCACCCTCTCCCGCAGCCTTCTCCAGCGCCTTCGCCGTATAACCAGAAATCTTCCTCGCAATCTAGTGCAAAAGATCGATCTCTCAGCACCTCACAGACCAATACGGGCTTGACGCATCGTACCCTACTGCTCCGGAGATACCTCTCTACCTCCAGCAAGTTCACACCCTCTGACTTGCGTCCGAGCCTCTGGAGAAGCTCGCTGGGTGTCATGACCTCCACGCCCTGTACACGCGGTTTCCCTGGTTCCCCAACTTTGGGCACTTCCTGCTGGCTCGATCTCTGCCCTGCCTTCTGATCGGTGCTCAGGTGACCAGAAGTCTGCCCCTTGCGGGAGGCCTCGTCCTGTATCTTCCGCCACTCATCGGCGTACTGCTGAAGCGCGTCAAGCAGGCCCATCAGGCGTGTCAGGTGCAACGCATGATCGGTTGAGAGCCTTGTGCGAAAGCGTGAGAGGTAGACGGACAGTTGCTGGCGTGCGGAAGACAGGGTGCGGACGGGTAAACGGGTGGTTGACAGCGAAAGGAGGGTGGATGTGAGGTCTGCGTGACGTACAAGCTGAAGTTGGAGTCAAGACTATGCAGGTATCAAAACTCACTGTGTGCTTCATCTACGATGATGACTTGGTTTGTCAGGTCGACTCCAAGGGCTTCTCGGGCGTTCTTTTGAAGAAGCAGATTGTAGGGAAGTAGAACAAGCTGTCGGTAAAACGTCGGCTGGCATGTCCTTGAGAGAACGGCCAAGACTGCACGCACCTGCGCTTGGGGTATAGCTTTGCGTGATCCAAAATACGGGCAGACATCCGCGTTTTGACCCGCCCCCACTAGATCCTCGATGTCCTTGGGCGTCGCCTTCGCACACGCGGCATAAGTACCAAGTCGGTCAAGGCTTCCACAGTGCTCACCAGAATTTGATCCCGTAAGTCTATCATCCGCACTTCGTCCTCCAGCGGCGGAAGATGTGGACATCGGCGCTTCCCCTTCTCTGAACACGTGGTTTAGGTAGACGAATATTCTAACAGAAAAGCTCCTACCGTTCAGTAACTGTCGACACGCCTCGTCGATATCACCATGCCGTCTTCGTAGATCTTCATTGATACAGAGTTGTTTCCGTGAAGCCAAGGACACTGTCCGCGCCGAGCCACTTTGAACGTCTTCGTCTCCAGTATTGTCGTCTTCTATACGTGGCCGCTTTCCGTTGGCAGAAGAAGACGCCGCGGCACTTCCCGACCGAGAGTAGTTCGGGACTGTCTCGGTTTGAACAGTGAGCTCCAGGTTCATTCGCAGCTTTCGAAGCTCGTGCAGAACTTGTGCGAGTTGTGAATGTGTCCGCGATGCGTAGTAGATCTTGGTGCAAACAGGCTCGGCCTCCTCATTTGTTCCAGAGCGTGAACCGTGTTGCAACCTTGAAATACAGAGCGTGAGATGCCACGAGACCGATGGGCAAATCTAACCCACTACTTACTTTTGCATCAGCGTGCGAACGGCGGGGGAGAGGTTGCCATATTCGTCATCTGAGCGGTCTTCGTCAGCATCGTCTGGAAGGAAATCCCCTTCATCTTCACGCTGGATTTCTTCTACAAGTTTCTAGTTGTACCCAGCTATCAGAATCTATACCACATAGAAGATGCAGACGATATGAGATGCAGACGCTCGTTCGTTGTAGATTCAGTATGGGATGCGTCATGAACGAGCTTCGCATGGTAGCGCCACTTGAGTGGCCCACAAGCAAACCTCCATGGACATATCAGGCGGACCGGCGTATCAATAATGCGAAAGGATGGCCCATGCCACCAGACATCGATGCAGTGTCCCTGTCCAGCGGACACTGTGAAGTTGGTCTGGAGGAGTCGATACTATTCGCCTCGAGATCCAACCGCTCCTCCAGTCATATAAATCATATGGGAGCATCTGCCACACCAGGTTCGCCGCATTCAGAGATATCGCAACAACGTACCTGTTTCTTTCTAACATGTGCACGCGCCCGCTTTCTCATCTCTGCCTCTTTCTTCCTCGCTTTCGCTAAGCGTTCGGCCTTTTCGCGGTCCTCACCCTCGAGTTCTCGACGCCGCCGCTCGAGAGTTTGTTCAAGTACCCAATCGGGTCCTATAAGAATACAGTCCACTTTAGTTTTGAGCAATCTTCAAGCATCAAGTGACACACCGTCAGTGGTGACAGATAACGCGTCGAGTTGGCCCTTTCGCGCGCGCTCTTGTTCGTCTTTGAGCCATGTGAGGGAGGCGCAGAGAAGACTCAGTGTCTTTCCCTATCCGTCGAGTTCAGAAGCAGCTTCTCGTTGTAGATTCAGTACTCACGGTTCCGGTTGGACTTTCGATGATAGTGACCTTCCTATCCTCGATCGCAGAGTACAGATGTTGCATGAGGTCCAGCTGGATTCCGTACGGCTCGAACGGAAAAGCTGGGAAGCTAGTTGGTGTGTTAAGCTTCAAAGCCATTTTCTGACCCCTCAGTTATAGATAGAGTGTGTATGAGGGTACGCGGTTGGTGGTGGCATATGGGGACAGCAGACGAGCTTGAAGTGCAGGAGAGAACATGCGGCGTGGACGCGTCTGTGGCTGAGAACGCGTAGCACCACGACCACGTGAGGCCCGCCTTACGATCGCGAATTTAAATCACAGCGCAGCAGAAAGTCGGAACCACGGGGACATTCGTCCCGGGGACGAGGGACGCGAGACGCGAGACGTCACAGTCAGTCACAGCACCGTGAGTGGCCGGCCGCCATCATCGCTTTACCTCCCACTTTGACCAGCTTTGACATTGACATTATTGAGGGCCAGAAAGACAATTCACCGGTCAGCTAGGTGTCTAGATATACATATCGACTGACTTACTGACTGAGATTTACGAAGGCGTCACGGAGGCCAGGCATAGTGGCGCGCTACGTGACGGAGATAATTATGTAAGCATACCACAGGCATTACTCATAGGCTCTTGGATATACTTAGTTACCTTGAACGACACCCATTGTTTTGAAACCGTGAGGCTAGATTAGATGGTGTAATTACTCAATACACAACGATCGTTGTACATGGAAACGGGGAGTACATAAGTTATTGGAGGACTTCCTGAAATAGTAGCCCCTGTTACTCAAGTCAGTCAGTGTGACAGCGTCCCGCAGAGCGTCCCCGGGACGCGTCCCCGGGACGTATGTCCCAGTCGTTCAGACGTTCTCCAGCGCAGGGCTCTGCAGGCCTGCTACAACCTTATCTTGTGCTGTTATGTAAGTAGCAGCGCTCAAGAGATCGTGTTCTTTGGCATGTTCTGAATCCTCCATAACGTCAGACCAGTCTCACCGTATTCCCTCTGGCACGAACACCTTGGTCCTTAACGTGAACGGGTGACAAGCAGCTTTCTCAAGCTCGCACATCGCGAGTACAGGCAGACATCAGATGCACCGGAGGCACATCACTTCGGTTTGTGCCAATTGAACAAACCAATGCACATCTCTGTGTTCAATATGTACCCCTGACACATACCATTTTGCGTTGCCCGTGCTGCGATGACATCCGAGGGTCTAGCAAGTGGTCGCCATAAGGATCTACTTGGAGCCTGCACGGCATCATTATCTGGTGGAAGTATGTATAGAGCCGAATATCGAAGGCGCATTAATAACATTACAACCACTTCGACCCAACTAGCCGCCACAGTCTCTCCCGCACTGAGGTCTGCACGCGCTTTTCTTCCTCCCGCTCCTGTTGCCGCTTCTCCTCGCCCGTCTGCAGAACCGATGCAGGCAACGGTGTCCGAGCGTTCACGCGAGCCCGCGCCAAGATCTGCTCGCGCTTCGACGAGAGGCGGGCTGCTTGTGCCGAAGGGTTTGGCTCTGGCGTTGGCGCGGCATCCGTTGCTTCATACGATGTCGCCGCGTCAGAAGCGGTATGTTCGTAGGAGACGTAGGCTTCTATAGGAGACAACGTGGACGAGGAGGCGAATGCAGCTTCATCGGCAATAGCTGATTTCGCCGGCATGTCGGGCGTATCCTCTGCATCCTCCGCGTCCTCCTCTGTTACGTCTGCGTCTGCTGCCCCCTTCAGGATGTTGCGTCCCCTGTTGCGATACTCCACGCCCATCCGCATTGTAGCAGCAGGGTGCACGGCTTCGAGCGAGGGCAGCTTGTAGAACCCACCCCACTCGTAAAACGATCCCTGGAAATACCCAATATTTGGAGGCTTGCGCCTGTGTACTCCGAGCTCGAACGGAATCTCTGCGGAGATGTGTCAATCGTCAGCCGTTCAGCAAAGCAAATGTATCGAGTGCACGGCAGACGCACTGGCTCGTTCAATCCGGAGGTCCACCGTGACCATTTTGCGCTCATCCGTTGAGGTGGCCTTTGTGGTCGCCTCATGAGCAACGTCCTCGGACGATACATAGTCCTCGGGAGCGAGGAGACTCTGAATATCATCCAGGCCAATACCGCCTGGGCGGGCGTGGTCGGTGACCGGTACGTCGATCTTCAACAGGGAAGGGGTCTCCGGGACCAGTGCGAGCGATGCTGGGTCGGCAAAGTTGACCCAGAAGTAGGGGACATATTGAGCACTGAAGTCGTAATCCTACAACGGGATGAACCGTTAGATATGCAACACCGCTACGGGTACGCATGGCGGAGGGGGTAAACGGTGAGGACTCACGCGCAACACACTGTACTCGCGAATCCGCCCGTAATGGCGCTCGATCCCCCGAACCATGGCCAACAACTCAGGCATTGACGAGATCCCATCCCATGGCCGAACAAAGACTGATCTCGCCTCCGGAGGTATTGAGTCAGTGGACTTGTAGCGTTTTCGCGAGAATGCGGATAGTGGTGGCGGGAAGTCGATGTCCGACTCGGAGGCGTCAGACTCGGTCGCCGTCGCCAGTGTTCGTTGAGCACAATGCCGAACAGCCCTCAGCTGACGAGAGCAGCTGAGAAGAACGGCACTGCGCCTCAGGCTCGCATGGTTCATGCTTGAGGATACGGAAGCGGAGGCCGCTGGCAAAGGTCGAGGTCAAGGTCGGCAACAAGATTTGGTGTAGGCAAATCACGTTACTGCGATTTCGTTACTTACCATGGTAAGCATCGGTAAGTAAGTAATCCTATAGTCTCCCATAGGCAGAGTATCCAATTCATTCAACCTCCGAAGGCTCCGGATATCCTTGTCTGACCTTATAACCAAAATATAACCAGAATATAACAAACTATTACTGCTCTAAAAAGGATTCTCTGAGCTCTCCCTCTCATCGCTATGAACGACTTCAGGATTTCTGAAGCCGTCGCTCGTACTCTGTAACACTGTGTCCTCATCCTGCGGTGACTGTGCTATCCGACAAGCATCGGCCAAAAGAAAAGGTTACTGATCTTGCTCACTGGCACTCGTTCAGATCTGGTGCTTTCCGCGGACCTCTTGCTAGTAGCCAGCCGTCGACGTCGTCGGTGATAGGCAGACCGCGCATCGAACCATACAAACAGGCCTTGACTGCTCTGGCTGAACGCACACGCGCGCCCTTGCCGTCTCTCGCCCTCTCATTCGCCCTCCTCCATGAGCTCACTGCCGTCGTGCCGTTCGTGGCCTTCTTCTACGCCGCACGGACCCTCCGCGCTGGCGAGCGGGTGATCCTATCTTATCCCGAGAAGTTCACCGGGGATCCCTCGAACATCGAGTTCAAGTACCCGGAGCAGGGGTTTTGGGGACGGGTCCGGAGGGAGTGGTGGATAGAGGGTCGGCTCTGGGCGGACCGAATGGGGAGGCGATATGGTCTCTTTGGGTTGTCGCGGCACGCGGACGGTGAGCTCGACTCTCGGTCGCGAGAAATATCTTCCGTGCAGAGCGCTGCGCCGGATATCGCCAACGCCGTCTTTGCCTATTTCCTGACCAAGGTATGTGGCGTTCATGCATAGTGTGAGCAGCGGCTGACTGGATATGATCAGGCGATACTGCCCGTTCGTCTAGGGCTGTCCATGTACTGGTCTCCCGCATTCTCCAGGAGCGTGATAGAGCGTGCTAGAACATCGCTCGTGCAAGCTCTTCGCCACAAGCCGCGCTGACAGAACCCATGTCAGGGTCTGCCCTAATCTGCTCAAAACCGGAGACCGGCATGCATCGGAGGATCCCCACCTTGGTTCAATCCGAGTGGCCATATATTGACAGTTGACGTTGGCGACCGACGAATGTACGCGCCGTCTCTTGATGTCTCGCTCCAGAAATGCGGACAGGAAGCTGCCAAAGCCCACCCTCAGATCCCGAGGCCGAGCAGGGCATCGCAGGGCATCTCCTAGGAGCCAGTGCCATATGTAACGACAATCTTTGATGGCATTTACGATGTCGCCGTGCCCATTTGGTGTATAGTTTACCCCCGATACGTACTGTCCGTTACTTTGTAAGGCTACCGCGTTGTAAGCGTACTTTCTCGGCGTGTACTGTAGCATACGACTCTACACAATTGATGTGGTTCTGCGCGTGCTAAACCTCTAACTAAGCATCGGAGTCGAGCAACATGCACTGCTGGGCCAGCCAGCCAGGTAGAATTGCACGTACATACATGACTTTCGCACGGATGCACTGAACACTCTCAACGACTGCATTCCTGTCAGACCGTTCGTATGCTCCCGACACCGCCGTTGAGAAGGAATGTATGGCTCACCAATGGCTCACCGCACAGTGCTCCCGACGTGATAACTTATCCAGATTCCAAGTTCAGGAAGTCGCGGTTAGACCCCGTGACAAACGCGCTTGTGGCGGAAGATCGCTTTCACCATATTGAGCTGCGATCGACAACAGCGACAAACAACCATCCCACCGGGAGCGATGTCTTCGACCGGGAGAGCCTTGCTCTGCGAACGAGACGAATGTTGCTAGTCCAGCTTGCCCAATCTCAGTCGTGGATTTTGACATGGATATGCGGAATCGCCTTCGACCGTGTGCTGGACATCAGGGTGCCGTCTTCCCGCATCCAGGAACACTCGTTGCAGCGGGACTGCCTGTAGGACTGAGCTCCCCGAGTCGACCATATACCACCGGCCCTCAGCCGCCAGCGACAAAGACAACCCCCAGCAAGCCAAATGGACGTTTTGCGCCGTACAAGCAGGCCCTGAATGCCATAGCAGAGCGTACGCGTACCCCTCTGCCATCCCTGGTCCTCTCCTTTGCGGTGCTCCACGAGCTCACCGCGATCGTCCCGCTCGCCGCCTTCTTCCTCGCCGCGCGTACGTTGAACGTTGGCGAGCGTGTGATCAAAGCGTTTCCGGACCACTTCGCAGGCGAGGCCACATCCCGCCCGCCGTATGAGGTCCCGCTCGAGGAGATACCGGACTTCTGGATAAGGCTGCGGCGGCGGTGGTGGTACGAGGGCGAACAAATGGCGGAGCGTGTCGGGAGGCGGTATGGGCTTTTTGGGTTCCCGAAGAACGGGGCAGACGATGCCAGTCCGGGTGCCGTCGCCGCAGATGTGGCTGAGACGCAGGAATCGCCCTTCAAGAGGGCTGCTCCGGATATTCTCAACTTCTCATTTGCATATTTCCTAACGAAGGTGCGTACACTTCGTCTATGTCCGCTCACGTACACGCTGAACTCAATCTCCATACGACAGTCATTAATTCCTGTGCGCATCGGCGCATCTTTGTATCTGTCCCCCGTGTTTTCTCGACGGGTCATAGAGCCTACACGAACGGCGGTGATGCGAGTCTTCCGCCGTGGCTCCACGTAGAGAGTTGGACACAAGCTTGAATGGAAACGATCGATGCCTTTATAGACATCGCTATCCATGCTCGTGCGGACCTGTCTGCTCAGGCAAGAGTCTAGACTCACGGTCAATGCTGGAGGTATGGAGCCAGGAAAAAGCGCGCCGATCTCAGAGGACCGCGGCGTACAAAGGCAGTCTCAATTCGGCGTACTCATGATTGAAAACATAGTAGATAGCATACAGCGAGTAGAGTGGCATAGGATCAAGTACAAACATAGAGCAGAACAAACAGCATAACATATATCGACATGCTCGACCTAGTGTGATAACCTCGAGTGTCCGCGCACAACAATTCAGATAGTCCGCCAGTGTCCCCGCTTCCAGCGCCGGTCTTGCTGACGTTGTCCATAACGACCGTGTCTTCTCATACACCCAAACTTCAAGCTTCAAGCTTCAAGCCTTGTGTCCAAACGAGAGGGTCCTGGCGGCCTTCTTCGCGCGCCCGAGCAGAGACGGCTTTGAGTGGTCCGCGTCCTTGAACTTCGGCCATCCTGGCGCACTGACGTACCACGCGTGCCTCCAGCTAGGATCGTACTGCCTCCCGGGACCCACGTCCGCATTGCTGCTTGGAGCAGAAGAGCCCGCAGCGTCAGCCCCATCATTCCCGGTGGGCTCCGCGACGAGCGTGGCCGTCGTCGACTCGACGCTGCACCGCCTACCCCTCCCGCCCTGGTCAGTCACGCGCTCGAGCACAAACCACCCATCTTCATCCTCGCGGCCGACCAGCATGAGCCACGCGCGCACGTTATCGGCCCTCCCCCCGTCCTGCGACCCTGGCGCCGAACGAGCGTGCTTTGCGGAGTGTTGCTTCGAGTGCGTGCGCGAACGAGCGAGGCGGTCTGTCTTGAAGTCTTTCTCTGGGACCGGTGGGCCCTTGTCGCTCGCAACGTCCTCGGGACCCTCTTCCGCTCCATGGACGGGGCCCCCTCGGCCCTCACGGTCTTGCAGATGCTGCGATGCGGTAGTCTAGGGCGAGAGTCAGCGCGACAGAAACGCGCAACAGGCGGAATGAGACTCACCGAGTTCAAAGGCTCTTGCATTGCCACAGGCAACGACGGACGAGAGTGCAAGGCGGGGGCTACCGCGACCATGGGGACCCTCGCCTGCTCGACCGACGTTGCGCTCATCCTAGACCGCGAGGAGTACTTAGACATTGAAAGTAGTAAGGGGGACCACCGTTGCTGAGGCGCTGAGGTCAAAGCGAGGCTGGCAGTCGCACTTTTATACGTATCCCGCGCGACTTGGCCACTGAGCCACAGACCTCACTTCGGTTGCACCCGCGGCGGCCACACGGGAAATGCCTGAACGTTCAAGGCCTCGAGTCGGTCCGGCGATGCAAGAGCCTCGAGGCGTCATCGCATTCTGAGGTAATAAGCCGGGGCGCGCGCCGTACTTACCATTGTCCGTTTGTTTGAGGCAGTTCGAAAGTGAAGACACACCGCCGGTCGTCATGGAATCTGGCATAAAGCGTCTAGAATAGGCAAGTGAAATACAAGATATTGCGTCGGACAATGGAAGGCAGGCAGTCTAGAGCATCACACCTGGACGACGATCTCCCAGTCGCTGCTGACACCAACGCCCGGATCCTTGATGACCAGTACGCTCGCCGTCCCCTGCTTCTTTGTGTTGGAGGCGACACCAGGCGTGTACTCCCAATGCAGCTCTTTTCCGCCACCCTGCACGCTCTTCGGCTTCGCGCTGAGGCCGAACACGACCACCCTCTCGACCCTCACTGTGGCCATGTCGTTCGCGAATTCATTAGCGCCGTTGTAGGTGGGCAGTGCAACACCGTTCACGGCTTCTCCAGGCTTCTGCGCAGCAAGGTCGGTGCTCCGGATAAGGAGGCCCTTGTTCTGCTTGCCCGCGACGAATTCGCGCCAAATGAACTTGCCGTCACGGTGGGAGAATGTCTCGCCGTCGTCCAAATACAGCTCGCCCTTGGCTGTGCCCTTTGTGTCGAGGGCCACGCGCAACGTGAATGGGTCGTGCTTCATGAGAACCGAGGACCGCCGTGGACGCTCGCGCGTGGGTACGATGGACCCCCCACGGATTAGGAAAGGTACTTTGTCCAACGCAGCGGGGACAGTGACACTCTTGCCCTTCGGCGCTCCCCGGTACGCCTCGTAGGTGAAGTAGTCGTAGTAGACCTTGTAATCCGTCAGCCTTACTCATGCACAGCCCTACCAGCCTCGCGCACCTGATCTTCCGGCAAATAGACAGATGTCTCCGTCACTCCCTTCTGCGTGATGGGTTTGACAAGCAAGCCACTGCTGCCCACAAAGTACTGGTCGTCGAGCGAGAAGCCTCCCTCGTCCTTCGGGAACATCACCCAGTGCGGGCGGAGCACAGGCAGGCCAGTCACGCTCGTCTCCCTGAAGGCGGTGTACCACACAGGCAGCAGGCTGTACCGCAGGCGGAGGAACGATCTGAGGATGCTCTTGTACGGCTCGTCGAGCAAGTACGGCTCCCGACGTTTCGTGTCGATGTGCGCATGCGCACGGAAGAAGGGAGAGAAGATCCCGACACCGTACCAGCGCACCAGCATCTCCGGCTCAGGGTTCCCGAAGAAGCCGCCGACGTCCGCTGGTCGTAAAACTGGGTCAGACAGTGTTACGGTGAGTCAGAAGGAACTGGCTTACATCCGGCAAAGCTGAAGCCTCCGACGTTATTAGCAAGGACCATCTTGACACCAGCGGTCATATGCTCCCAGGTACCGAGGTTATCGCCTGTCCACATAGCACCGAACCGCTGGGACCCGGCGTAGAAAGAACGTGTCAAGACAAAGGGACGTCTCGGTGGATCCGTGCGCATCATGACGGCTTGCGCCGTGAGGTTGTGCTATCGAAGACATCAGGACGATACATACATCTCAGCCGGGGAGATGACGCACCAATAGCATTCCATTGATGTTGTGGACGTCACGGTGCTCCCAGCCACCGTGGTGAATATTATCGCGAGGCATACTGATTTCAGGGCCGTTGAAAATCGAAGGCTAGTAACCGATGTTTCAGTACGCTCACAGGTTCGACGCATAGGGATCTCGCTGACCTCGTTCATATCATTCCAAATGTACGTGTCTACGGTGCTCTCGGTCCACGACCACGTCTCACCTGGTTCGGTCTTGAAGAGAGACGTCCACCAATCCCAAGAGCCGGGGTTGAAGAAATCGATCCACGCACTGCTACCACTCCAGCACCAGCCCTCATAATTATTCTCGCCGCCTGGTGTCTTGACAAGGACATCCAGGTCCTTCGCTTCCTTGTAGACAGGGTAGTCCTCTGTGCGCTTCAAGTGCGGGTCGATGATGACCACCATCTACATAACGAATGTGAGTTGTACGCCAGGCTAGAATGTCAATTGCACTGACCTTGCGACCGATCGCTTCGACGTCATGCGACATGTCCACAGGATCCGGGAAAGTTTTCTTGTCCCAGATGAAATACTTGTGCTCTTCCGCGTATTCGATGTCGAGCCAAAATACGTCAACAGGCATATCTTCCTCGTCGAACCGCTTCTGCACCTCGCGCACATCATCCGAACTGATGTAGTTCCACCGGCACTGGTGGTACGCGAGCGCCCAATGGGCGGGGAGTGCGGGCGCGCCCGTTAAACGAGAGTATTGTGCGAAGACATCTGTGGGCGTGGGCCCGGGCATGATAAAGACGTCGAGGATGCCGGACTCGGACATCCAGTGTGTCTCGGTCGAAGTCGCGGATGAGTGACCGATGTCGATCCATGACTCCGAGGCGACCGCGTTGAAGATCGCAACGGTGCTCTCAGTGGAGTGTGCGTGCATGAAGGGAATAGAGCCGTAAAGTGACATGGGTGAGTCTGCGTTGTACTCGAACACGTCCGCATTGAACAGTCGGTAGGGGTCGGAGAAATGCGCGTCGTCGCCGGTAGTAGTTGGTAGGTCCAGGTTGGTTGCGTGCTGCGGGATTCCGTAGACGTGCCCATGTTTGGGGAAAGTGATGTCAATGAACAGGGATTCCGGACCTATATGCAGCCATGAGGCACAGAACTACTCGAGAACATGCAATACATACCCTTTGGCTTGGAATCCGTCCACGAACCGAACTTCTCCTCCCAGAAGCCGTCCTCCTCTTCGCCCTCGAACCATGCCCGGTTGTTCACCTGCATGACAACCTGCGAGTCTTCCGCTGGAGCCTCCACTGGCGCCTTCTCCTCACTCGCGGCCTTTGTCCGGAAGTGTTCCATGTGCAGGAGACCGCGCCCATTGAGCACTACCTGAGGCTTCCCGCCCCGGTAAAGCGTAACAGTGAGGGGGTCATACGACACCACGACCTCGATATCTTTCTTTGGGCCATACGTCGCGCGGAGTTCCTTCTTGCCCACGGCCCACTTGACGTCGGGGCTGATGGTAGGTTCAGCGATGAGTGCCCAGGACGCGGCCTCGTCGTATCGCTTCCTCAGGCCGTCTACCTCGTCCATGCGCACACGCACGACACCATCATCGTGAACGCGCACGTCTAGTGAGAACTTGACGTCGGGGTACAGGGATGACTTCACCGCCGCTACGAACGAGGCCTGCTCCGGAGACACTGCGATGCTAGAGGGGTCCACCGAGTAGGGCGACCTCCACGACTGGCTTTCTTGTGCCCTGGCAGAAAGAGCGCGCCCCCTCCGGCAGAATCCAGCCTGAGAGCATGTCTTGAAGTCCTGCGACTTCACAGCAAGTGAAGTCGGGAGAATGGCAAGCAGGAGCAACGAGCTAAAAGCCCGCATAGTGAATCTCAGTCCCCTCTACCGAGATACAGATATATGGGAGGGGATGGTCGAGACGTTATGGGTTGTAGGTTGCGTGGCGCGAAGGTCGCAGACCAACAAGACGTGTCGCAGAGTCGCGGTGGCGGTGGCGGATATGTATGATACCACCAGCGCGTACTTCCGTCACGTGGAATATAGACGATCCTCAAGCTCACTGCTCACACGCGGCCAGTTGAGTCATGCAGATCCAGAGCTAGAGAGCTTGCAAGCCTTCGGTTGGGTTTTGTACCGCCGAAGAAACAGTAAGGATAGATCGAATTCTTGTGGCTGATGTGCACTGCATCACCCAAGGAATATACTCAAATACACAACCGTGTTACCACCGGCACAGCGCACGTACACTGGGCAATATCAATGAACAGTCTGCTAGCGTTCCCAGGCAACAGCACGAATCGGACTTCCATCGCAGCCCGCAAGGCTCAAAGGAAGCAAAGACACGCGCGGATTCTCCCAGCCACTGTCAACAACGTCCTCCAATCCTTGCAGATTCTCCACAATAATGCCTCCGGCTCGCAACACGATCCGGTGTACCATTCCCGTATCTCCACCATCGAGCCGCCACTCGTCCGGACTGATAGTATCCGCGCCTATGACCCGCACTCCTCTCTCCAGAAGTTGCTGGGCAGCATCCACCTCCAGGTAGGGGTGGTCGCTGTAGTCAGGCCGCCCATAGCGCGACGCCCAGCCCGTGCAGAATAGCACCGCCGCGCCCTCGCGGATCCCGCTCTCGTACTTTCGTAGGTCCTCCCACGTGATGGCTTCGTGGGCAGCCTTGTGTCGGACGTCGACGACGACCGCAGGGGCGGCGGCCAGCAGCGAGAGGTCGAGTCGGTCGACGGGGCACGCGTCGTCGTAGAAGTGGTACGGCGCGTCGATGTGCGTGCCGGTATGCGTGCCGATCGTGAGCGTGTGCACGTTCGCGAATGCGCCGTCCGAGAGCTTGAATGTGTGTTCGGCGTTGTACTTTGGGTGTCCCGGGCAGGCAGGCACGCCGTCGGGCACCAGGGGGTGCGTCAGGTCAATGACACGCCGTTTGCGCGCGAGATCGAGTGCCGTTGGGTCTCCCATGTGCAGATGTCAAGTGCGATGGACTCGGAGATGGGATGCGCTCACTCGAACGCTCACATATATAGCCCAGATCGGTACCGATGTGACTGAAGGTGAATGTTCGGGGGTACAAGGAGACCATGGGAGGATATTGTGGATGCCGGCCCGGGAGACGGAAGCATCCGTCTATCGATAGATGGCTTGCTATGGTAGGTCCTCGATACGACAGCATACGACCGCGTATGACCATGCGTTTCAACTCGAATTCTGCGGGTCGTGACTGAAGATGGACCCGATGATCATGCAGGCGCCCACTACACTGTTTCCTGTTCCGAGGGCGAGGACACCGGGAACCGAGGTTATCGACGCCTGAGATGCCATAGTTGTGGCTGTCTCCTGCTGAAGTCATCAAGTGAGCATTCCTGGCACCGAGGGGATGATGAACACCTCCCGAAGATGGATAGTATGAAATATAAATCCCGCTGGGCACTCATATGAAAAGATCATTGGGACTCGGACGTCCGTCTCCAAGCAAAAGCACGCACAGGCGAGCCGTCGCAGCCACCGATCTTGAGCGGGACGAGGTTGACGATCCATTCGCCCTCCTGAATTGCATCCAAGTTCGTGAGGTTCTCCGCGATGATGCCTCCGGCACCGAGAATGACCTGATGCACAGCGAAGTCGGCCTCTGCGTGTGGATTGGCGTGCGTCGCGTCTGGACTGAGCGTGTCGATGCCGATGGTCCTCACACCCGTCGCGACGATGCGTTCGGCCGCCTCGCGATCCAGGAAGGGATGGGCGAAGTACGCGTCAGTGCCCCAGTGTCTGGACCAGCCTGTCCGTATCAGCAGGATAACACCAGCATCCTCCGAGACGTATCTGCGTAGTCTTTCCTCATACGGCATCAATTCGGCCCAACTGATGGTCTCTCGGGAAGCCTTGTGTGAGACGTCCGCGACCACTGCAGGGGCGACGAAGCGTGAAAGAGGAACGTCGTCGATACGCTTCCCATTTTTGATGAAATGGTAGGGAGCGTCAACATGTGTTCCCGTGTGTGAGCCCATCGAGATAGTCGACACGTTGTTTCCATCTCGGTCGATGGTCAGAGTCGGGCAACAGCTAAAGACGGGGTCACCAGGGTAGACTTGTGTGCTTGCGTCGAGTGTCTGAGAGAGATTCACGTATTGAGCCACCATAGTAAGATAAATGGTGCCTTGAGGTCCTGCCGCCCTGGACTTCGAGGAGGTGAGAGTCAGAGACGAGCGCTCAGTGACTCGGACTCAGTACTTGTGAGCCACAAGCGCGTTGCTTCACGTGCATGGCGCGTGACCGTGGCATGGCTCAACGCGTCGGTGAGTCGGCTCGGGGATACGAGTCACTGCCAGGCACAAAGGGCCATTGTCTGCTGCTTTGGGATCCACAAGTTATTTCCCAAATATGGTTAGTCTGAGTGCGGCTGGGCTTCCCGAAAATTCCCCCATAGCCCAGAAGCGAGGCGGTGATGCCTCCTCAGGCCTTCAAGTTCACGTATCCGGACCAAATTCGGACGGGGAGCGGCGGTAGAAGGTGACAGAGGTCTTCTTAAGACTCCATGGGCTGTTTGGCACTGGGATGGATGCGCTGCGCGGGCCCGGAATGGCAGAGGGCGGCGGCTGATGGCAAAGCACAACAACTGCCTGATTTGGAATACACCCTGATGGGGATCGGCTGTGCCCCACATACGGGCGTCTCGTGCCCTCGTGTTGTTCAAGTTCGAACGCTAGCGCTGTGAGCCACGGCCACCTTTGTTCTACTAGTACTCCGCCTCCGTGTTGCCACACTTGCCGACATATATAATGTGCCAATATTGTCTGGATTCATCGCCCTCCGACTCCTCGAGGTATGTCTGCACTACCACACGTCCGTGGCAAGGCACGGGTGCCAGTTCCAAATCATATCCCTCCTCTCTCTGCCCCCGTTAATACCCCACTAGCTGTCATGAAAATCTCACATACCGTCTCTAGTCACCCGCATTACGTGCCGGCGTACGAACGCGCTCAGACGACAGGTGCACTAGAAGCTCAGATCGCTCACGAGCTTTCGCAAGACGTTTTCTGTGAGGTCGACGGCTTTCTGAAGACCATGTTTCCTGTCTCCGACAACCTCGTCGAGACGGTCTTCACCCAGGCGTCACAGTCTACTGGATACTACAAATCTTCGCGCAAGCAATGGTCGAATTATCCCACTGCGACACCGGCCAATGAACAGGATTTGTACGCGCCGTTCGTAACACTCGTGCAGTCCATTTCCAGCTGCATCTCCAAGTCTAAGGCTGGCCGCCGCATGTCAACAAACGACGTACGATGGAGGGATTACCACAGTGTGCCGCCCCTCTCTCGGGACCCTGGCGCTCCGGACGTTAGACCCGACATCGTCGCGACGATTGGAGTAGCAGACAACGAGTCCGTCCCGTGGAGTCGCATTCTGGTCCCGGTCGAAGTCAAGAAACGACAACGGGAAGGCTCGGCACTGCTTCAGCTGCTGAGGTACATGCTCATGGTCTTCCGTGAGGCGGTTGACCGTTGCTTCGTCTTCGGCATCGTTGTTGCGTGCGCGGACATGTCGGTGTACCTGGCGGACCGGACCGGTGTCCTAGGGTCTGTAGTTTTCAATATCCACAAGGTGTGTGGCTTTGCCCCCTTTCTGCGCATCGCGTCTAAGACACGCATAGGAACCACGATCGTTTATCCGCGTCATCGCTGGCATATGCACGTCGTCGCTCGCTGATCTTGGGTGGGACACCTCGATGACGGTCATTCGCGAGAGGAATAAATACACGCAAAGCCAATTCCGACTGTCGAAAAAGAACCCCAAATTCTCCTACCAAGTACCCTGGAACGTGGAGAAGGAGGACTACTATTGGGTGATTTACATGCCTAAGCCCAAAGAAGACGCTGAATACGGTGTCATGGACGAGAAGGATACCGAAAAGTTTGTCCTGTACCAGGCGCTCAATGTCCAGCGTGGCGAGGTGATACGTGGGCGCGCAACGCGCATATGGAAAGCATGGCTCTTCGACGAGTTGACATTACCGCCGGAAGACCGCCAGGTGCGTCTCACATTACTGCATTCCTCTCGCACTCCAGGCTGACGCGCCTGAAGTTATTCATCATGAAGGATACGTGGCGAGACGACGAGCGACGTCTAGAGGGCGAGTTCTACAAACATATCGGACGACACGACGGGGTTGCGACGATGCGTTCCTACGGAGTCGTATACGTTGATGGCAAAACAGACACGGTCATGACAAGAATCCGCCGCGACCTGCGAGTCCGCGCCAAACCTCGTTGCATCGATATGTCGCAAAGGGACATTATACCGGAGACGATACCCTCAGCGACGCCTGACAGGACTCGAGGGAACACGACCGATTATGGCATTTTCGCCGATTACCTGCCTTACCTTGACATACCCGAATGTGAGCCTAGAGGGAAAACCCACTCAAGGCTCATCATGGAGTCGTACGGATGGCCAATCAAGTACGCGCTTTCACTCTTGGAGCTGGTGCAAGCCATGCACGATGCTCTTGCTGGTGAGTTTAGAAACGACGACAGCATTGTATTGTTCTCACTCATCGTGTAGGTCATTGGGCTGCGCACAAGAAGGGCGTTCAGCATAAAGATCTCAGCGAGGGTAATATCCTCATCACGGCTCGCGGAAAGAAGGGTGTAGGTGATCGAGGAATGGTGATCGACTTCGACTACGCGAAGTTCATGTCAGATGCCACACTTGCTGACGATCCGATATCGGTACGCCAAATCTGCATCACAACCAAATGTCTTTTGATTAACGGTCTCACAACAGGGGACACGCCCATTCATGTCGGGCGAGATCCTGGAGGAAAAACACTACTACCGTGCTGCAACTGTCCAGAAACAAGGCAGCACAAGCAACACCACTAGTAGGCCCCTCCACACATTTCATCACGACCTGGAGAGCCTTTTCTGGATCCTTCTCTGGATTTGCATCTGCAGGGCTGGCCCAGCATTGCGGCGCTTCCGCTCAGTAGGGAAGGCTGACGACAGTGATGCCTTATCACAGCACAACCTGCTCTTCACAGCGCCGGGACAGAAGCAGCTCGGTCGAAACAAGCGTAATCTCATCAGGAACGAGGAAGATTTCGACGACTGTCTCGAAGTTGTGGCTGATTACTACCAGCCGCTCTTGCCCCTTCTTCGTTGCCTCTGGGGTATTCTCCGCAAGGGATATCAGGTACGGCACTTCGACGACAGTGAGGCCTACGCTGCTTTCTTGGAGGCTTTCAAGGATGCGGAAAAAAGCCTCGGCGACAAACCTGAGCAACTAAACGAGGACCAAGAGCGTGCCTTCCAAGCGGAGAAGCGCCGTCGCGAGGAGGACCTCATGAACTGGAAGCGTTCACCAAGAAAACTGGCAAGGCGGGGCGTTGACAAGCCAGTTGCCGCCGACGAGCGAACTCGTCGCGCGAACGAAGCCGGGCCTGCAGCCGCTGACCCCCACTCCGATGAACGCGAGGAGTCCCCGACGCCTCTGCCTCCCTCAAATGCGAAGACAAGCCGCGCCGAACGGAAGCTCATTCAAGACGCTATGGCGCCCGGGCCGTCTACCACAGCGTCGCGAGCTCTCCCGCAGACTGGGGTGTCTATGCAATCGATGAGCCGCGTGTCAGTAGCTCCCACCGTGTCTGCGGTGCAGTCTCCCCCGCCATCCGAGACGAGCCAGACGAGTGCTCCCGTGCAGACGAAGTCCAAGAAACGCGGTCGTGAGGGGGCAGACGACGCTAGTGTTGCGGGTGAAGAGAGCGAGCAGGGTGGTGGTGGCGCGAAGAGAGCTAAGCGAGGTAGAGGCGGACGCGGACGAGGAAGTGGGAGTGGGAGTGGCCGTGGCCGTGGCCGTGGGGGTGGAAGTCGATTGCAGCCGGACAGGAAGGGGAAGGGTAGGGCGGTTGACCCGAGCTAGGGGTGGTTCGACTGTCACTATCGAGCAATGCTGTATGAAATGCACCCTGTACGTTGTTGAGTATTAGTATCTTCGTTTCTATCGCATGAGCGGCATGCGCAGACCATGACTGAGTAGGGAGTCGCGCGCACCAATGATGACGAACGATTATATGCTAAGCTTCGTTTTGGGTATACAGATACATACACAGTGGAATAGAGATAATGGTCTGATTCATATACAGCACCTCTGCATACCCGGAGGCGTTGCGTGCGCTGCTCAATCGAATAACGCTCCGCCGTTCGGCGAGATAGATTTGCCCTGCGAAGTGAGGCTCCTCAGTCAAAAACGTCTGCACGGAGTAGCGGGTTTGCTTACCGGTGACGAACGATGCCGCAGCCTTGGCGAGATAGGACACGATACTCGCGACGCTCTTGGGCTCGCCCACAGGGATCTCTGCGGGCATGCAGACTCTATAAAGAAACGTTGAGGTACGCTGACTGAAGACGAAGGGCAGAGACGTACAGCGAGGCCAGCGCCCAGGTCCTGCGCTGCGAGGCACGATGGGTTTACAAATCGTGCGACGAGACAGTCGACGCAACTCACTCATCTGGGTCATGACGATGCCGGGAGCGTAGCGGCTGACTGTGATGTTGTGTTTCGACAGCTCGAGTGATGTGATACCATTGCGAGTGAGTGTGCTATGTACGAGGATGGAACAGAGTAGACGTACAGAGACATTGCTACATACCTTGAACGGCGAACTTGTTCGCAGAGTAGTATGCGGAAATGCCGCCCCGGCGTGTCACGTACACGACCGCATACTATTTGCATTCGCAAGTTAGATGTGGGCGAGGTCAAAAAGCCTCTCTTGCCACCGACAAGGCATCTAGCAAGGATACCCGTGGGCATAAGTCATGAATCGCATCGAGACGAGGGACTCCATACCTAGTACCTAGTAGTCTACCATTGCGGTCCTGACCTCCTCTTCCACTGACGGACACTGACACGTTCGGTTCAGGTCGTGGCCACTGAAGTTCATTGAGTTCTGCACAAGGCTACAGATGCTGAGTAGTAGTCGGACGTCCTCGGCTGTACATGGTCACATGGAGTCATCCCAGTCACGTCGCATGAGAGTCGTTGAACGTCGAGACTCGAGAGAGCCTCAGAGTCAGAGACAGAGCGTCGATGGGTAGCGCACGTGCCAAGTAGAGATGTGGATTCATACACATCTTGGTCAGACGGGTTGGGCTCTGATGGCCTGCAGGATCCATCCTACATGGCGCATGTCGATGTTACTTCGTAGACTACATGGCTGACATCGAAAGGCTCAGCGTATGTCCCATGTATTGCCACTTGCTTGACTCGACAGCCTAACGCAATGGGTGTTCACGGGTTGTTCATGAGCGTTCACCTTCCCCTCTGCTCGCTTGATACAGAATGGAATGTACAGCCGACTTATAGCTAGGCCGGGTAAGAGGCAGAAATTTGTAGAATTTAGTGGACGCCTCGGAGGACGCGCGAGCGGGCTGGTGAATTGCAGTGGGTTACACGATCAGGTGACCGCAACGCCAACCGTGGCTCGCCTCGAGCCGCACGCGAATATTGAATGCTGCTTCTCCAAGGCTACGACCAAGTATCGGGCACACTCGCTGACTCACGGCACATTGAACAAGATAGAACGACTCTACGACTACATTTCTGATGGACGAGTGCTACAAAGATGACGCGAAAGCCGCGCAAACGGCCACACAATCCACTCACCGTCTGGTCTACCGCGGCGCGCTCTCGCTCCCCGACTCGCACATGCTTCTCGACGGACTCAGCTTCACAGCCTCTGTCGGCGCATCTGCTCTTGCGGCCTCGAAGCTCAACGATGCCAACTTCGACTTGTTCAATCATCCCCTCGCACTCGCACTCGAGAGTATGCGTGGCAGACCTAGTCTCCACCTTGTCGGTGCCGTGGAGATGAGCAAGCTATGGGTGGATGAGAAGAGCTCTGGGGTGGTGCAACTGTGAGTATGGGCTATCACTCGTCTCGTTGCATACGTGTAATGTCGCGCGCAGTGACATACATCCGAAGGCAACACTTAGTCGGCTGTACTTCGAGAACGTTTTCTGTCTAGAACCTATCACCTCCTCCTCGGGGCGAAGTGACTACGGGGTGCGCATCAGCTTGAGTGACAGCGGTGAGTAGACGTCGACATCCCCCGTCCCATTTCGCCCCTCATGCACGCCAAGGTGACTCCAATGCGGAGGACATCCTCGTCTACGCCCAGCTTGAACCTAACGCTTCCGATGTCTTCGATGGCCCTCTCACACCTCCTTCAACATCCAACGACCCTCCGCAACCCATCCGCCTCCTCGCCGCGCACATCCTCCCTGGCCCGCCGCCGCCGCCTGTAACTTCGCGCCCCCGGCCGGATGACCCCACTCCCCGTATGCCTACATTACCGACACCCGCGTCCGCGAAACGCAAGCGGGACGCGTCCCCCAACATGCGCGACAGGAAGTCCAAGTCGGCCACAGGGATGGACAAGGGTGGTCCAGACGCCGAGGCATTACGCAGGGCGCGCGAGACGATGCTTCGCTTGCCCAAAGCTACATCCGCCCCCGCAGTGCCGAAGGCACCCAGTGTGAAGGAGGGAAAACAGGTCCAGTTCAAGGTGCCTAGCCTACCCCCACGGGCTTGCTCGACTTTAACCGCGAAGACACGTCAAGCGAGCGTGGACGGGGACGCGGGTGAGAGTCCTGTGGACGCCTTCGGCCCAGCCAATCTTGCAAGTGGGGAATTTGTAACATTATCTGCGGACCAGAAGGAGAAGACGAACAAAACGGTTTGCTACCCTTGATGCTTGGCTTGAGTGTGTGGCTGAACTTGGCGCAGGTCGTGAAACAGGCAGTCGTACGCTGTCTTTCGGATCATACGATCACGAAACAGCATCCCGAGTTCCACGACATTTTCCAATACATCTACAGAGGAACGTGCTTTGCTTTGGTGCGCACATCTTGGTACCTGTCATTCATTGTGCTTACATCCTTGCCAGAGGACCCAGATGCGCAGTACACCGGTCGATCTCTGGAGCGTATACAAGCTTGTGGATGCACACGCGAAGATGTATGTTCCTGGTGCGGAGCGTGGACCCTGATGACAGGCTGCGAGGCGAGTACGTTCTTGTTAGCTATGAGACTGATAGACCATGTCACTCACTATACGGACCTCACGGCAATGCACACTCAATGTACGCTACCTTCCTACGCATTTGCAGATACGCAAGATTTTGTACTACGTTCTATCTCGATTCTTTTAATCACGCCGGGGAGTTCATCCAAGACTGCGGTTGGACAACATGTCGGACTTTTCCAGTTCCTCAGGCCTTATACTTAGATTGTGGCGTACTTATCCTCAACTCTGCCAGAGCGATAGCAAAGGTTCACGCAAGGTGGCTGCGAGTCAAAGCGCATTCAGATAGTTAACGGTCCGTGTATACTACTGTTTCTTTTACTAGCTACTGAAATGCGACTCGCGATAAATACAGAAGACTGCATAATATGTGAAAGGGTTCTCTGCCTATTCTTACGACGGAATATCAAACCTCGCCACCATTCCCTTCAGACGACGTCTATTTCAAAACCCTACGCCCACCATCACGATGCGAGGATCTTCGAATACGGCGGCGGGCGGTCCACCGGGGGCCATACCTAGACCCATACCGCGCCCACGACCTCCAACTCCGCGAGGAAAGCCGCCACGGCTACGTCCGCTGAAGTCGAAGGGATGCACATGTACTCCGTGGAACATCTCAGGAAACTCGAGGGGGAGGTCGTGGTGACCGAACGGTCCACCGAACCCGCCTCGTCCGCGGGCGAACATGCCGCCGCCTCCACGCCCGGCGTGCATGTCGAAAGGAAAGCCGAATCCCATACCGCGACCGAATTGACGAGGTCCTCCGCGCTGGTGCTGGTGGTGATGGTGGTGTGGGCGACGGTCGCTTCCGCCCTCAGGAGTTGGGCTACGGGAGCAAGGGGGGCGAAGGTCATCGCGGGGAGGACCATGGTGGTGGAACCTAGTGAACCACTCAGGAGTGAAGACGTCCTCGGCCTCAGGGTCGTTCGTGTGAAGCTCAGGAGGTGCGCTGTGCGCGCGGAACATCTCATGGCTCATCGGGGATGGTGGGGCGCCACGACTTACAAAGGCACCCCGCCCGTGGGCAGGTGGGCCAGGGAACATGGGGAAAGGGAAGTCGGTGGGAGGTATACCAGGACGGCTGCGGGGACTCGGATGGCCGATGTGATGACCGCGAAGTGGGCCTCCAAACCCACCGCGTCCTCCGCCTCGTCCGCCACGGCGCCCACCGCGACCGCGAGGAGAGCACATACCCCTTGAGGCCATGCTGAAGGCAGGACGGCCGGGGAGGGAGGGATCATCGGTATGAGGCGGCGCATGCTCACCTGCGGTAGCCTCCGCCGCGATGGTGGGCTCGACCTGCGGTTCGCCGTCGTGCTCAACAGTAACATCCGGCGCGGACATGACGTGGTGTGTATCCTCGGAGAAGGATGCCTGACGAAGGTCGCGCATGTCGCGGACTGCGAACTTAAGGGTGGTAGAGTTGGTATCACAGCGAAGAGCGGTGAAGAGCTCATGGAGCTCATGCTGCGAGTTCAAAGTCACCTCATCACCGTCAGCGTCGACGTAGGCGAGAGCAACACGGTCCTCAGGGATGTCGAAGAAAGACTTGATGCGGGAGGTGAGATCGTCCCAAGTCGGGGGAGCCGTGAAGAGGACGGCGCGAGTGAAGCCGTGAGGCTGAGAGAGCTTGATGTGGAACTGAGGGGTAGACATTGTTGCTGGGTGCGTACAAGAGTCTGAAGACCGGGGAGCGCGAAACTCACTGCCTATATACGATTCGACCTAGTCAGCTCGGCACGCTGCCGTGCGGCTGCGGGCCCGACGGAGGGAACACTTGGCCAGGAACTGCGCAGACGAACTGCTCCGGCGCAGCCACCGCAGGACGCATTTGGTATCTCTTGCCTTTTCTGGAGTGTCGGTTGGGCCGCCGCGAGGCCACGCACACTTCCTCCCGAGTTAGTCATAGTGTGGTGCACATCGGTCAGCATCGAGGCCAAGCAGAACGGATTCGTCACCTCGCCGAACTCGGCGATATACCCACGAGCATTGTCCACAGAGGCCTAGAGAGTCAGACTCCGGGCTGGAAAGTTTGGGAGTCAGTTTTGCTACGCAGCGGTCTGGAATGCTGGGACGCACCTCGAGCTGTGACCATTGCCTTCCGATTCAGCTTCACACAGAAGATATGGCAAGGAAACTTCTATCACTATCATAGAACGACACCGACAGGCAAGTTCCTACCACAAAGTACAGTACATGTATCTACGAGTACACTAGGGGAGTTCCAATCGAGCTATCAACAAATGATCGGCCATACGGGGAAGGCTACTAGTAGTTGGATTCGCCCTCGCCTTGGAATGAGTACTACTCGGAAAATCTGAGCCAGTACATGTCCCTCTAAAATCTCGCCCAGAAGTTCTTGTATGGTGGACAGTCACCGGATGCCCAGCTCGCTAACAAGGATGATTCCAGGGCGCGGTTGATCTTGAGGTCTGCGTCCGTAATATCCGGAAGTTCGATCCCGTGTCTGGAGAAGAATACATTCAGATTCGTGAACAGAAGAGCACAAGATGCGATGCCTACTCGGTAGAGAGATGTTTCAGTACAACATCACGAGTTTCGGGTAATTGCGGTGTCTCGCACTTGGGGCAGGTCCACAGCTTCTCCTGCTCCAATTTGCACATCTCACTTTCCTTCACTTTAGCTGTTCCTTCGGCATCAACGAGCTTGTACGCGTGATGATTGTCATCGGACGATGCCATAACCTATCACGTAGCCATTGAGAAAATGAAACGACGGGGATGACACGAACCACTCACCGCACCACGCCATGTCCTTATTCGGCCATACTTGTCAAGCAAACGGAGATCCAGGGCATCCATTTCTTGCACACTTGCAACGTCTGGATCCTTTCCGCACAGCTTTATCACCTCTCGCATGGCATCGTTGGTTGGCAACGGCCGAAGCATACTGCAGGTCTCGTAGCAGTGTACGTCATCCAATCCATACACGAACTCTTCGTAGGCATCTCCCCCAGCCTCTGGCTTGGCGGAGCGCAATGCTTTGTGGGACACAATCCTCGGGAAGAAGCTTCGCTCTGAAGACCGCACGTCCTCAAATACCGTGGTCACAAGGTCAAGCGGGTCGCCGTGTCGAGGCGTCGGAATTCCGTGCTTGACGAATAGCTCCTGAACTTCTTTGCGAATGCGAGAACGCCAGGATTCGACGATTGTGTTCATCTGTCCCTCCAGCGCGAGGAATCTTGCGCTGCCCACCACTTCGTCTTCAGGCGCGCACATAACTTCGCGGAATTCCTTCGTAAGCGCGAGGTCCGCAATGTTGAGCCCGTACTCGAGCATCTCCGGATGCTCGCTGAGGTATCGGTCCAAGAGCCCCTTTGCAACAGATTTCATGACCGACCAACGCTCGGTCAGCATGACCGTATACTCATGCTCGAGGCGTTCTGCGCGGATGTCCTCCATCAGCTGAATCACTTCGGATTGAATCTTTTGCCAGACTGAACGAAAGGGACCATCAGCTGGTATGTCACTTGGATGTCCGAGTCTGCGTAGGGCTGGCGCTCACCTCGGTCCGTGAGCTTCTTAGCGACCCGCACAAGCTCGTGTTCTGCAAGCTCGTTGTACTCTTGGCCGTGTAAGAAATCAACTTCCGGTCCCCAGCCAAGTTTGCGTAGCCTCGACGTGACGCTGTACATATCGCCTCAAGTAATGACTAGGTATCAAGTAAGCCATTACTCACTTCTCGAAACGTTCGCGCTCGAGCTTCGTAGTTCGTGCATGTTCCTCCTTCTGAGCCCACTTGTGGCATAAGCCCGCATGCTGAATGTGTCGAATAAGATGCGGAATCCATCAATCTCATTGACATCTCACTTACCTCCCGGGTCAACTTCGCCTGCTCAATATATTCACCCGTGAGTTTATCCAGCTTGTCACGATCCCTCATCTCGTACATCGAGAAGCGTGTTCCAAGAGTTTGAACAACGTCTAATAGGTGGGAGGATGTATAACACAGCCTGCGAAACCGAGGAACCATGGCCTGCAGGTAGATTGAGTACGCAGAGCACAGACATGGTTGTGAAAACTCACTTCAACGAACGCAGTACGTGGTATGTGTTTGAACTCTCGCGTTTGCCATGGACTGAGAATTACGGCTGCTTGATCACAAGGTATGAACCTGGCCACACATGGAGGTATGGCGTTAGCGAACGCGGTCGAGCATGCAGTATAATCACTGACATTTGCTTTGTGCACCTCACGCAGAACCGGATACGGAACTCCCAGTACACTGTCGTATCCTTGGTCGTTCCACAGACCTATATGTTTACGAGTTGATGTCAATGCGTGAGGCCAACACCCAAGTCTGATGAGTACTAGTTGACGTACAGTGCAAGGTGGAGTGAAGACAAGGGATATCCATGAAGGTTCGATCCATCCTTCCGGACACGGAGGCAGTCCACAAACGTTCTTCATCGATCCCTTCCATAGGTATGCAGAGCTTCTCTGCATCAATAACGCATAGAAAGACTTTGTTGTCCGCGAGAGACTCAGCAAGTCTCTGGGATGAAGCAATAGGCAGATCTGCGAATATAATTGTCAGCCGTCGCCATGTGTTTCGTGTCTCACCCCGTATTCACCTCTCGTATTACATCCAAAGGCATCTTGAGCAAGTCTTTAAGTCCCCCGCGCTGGCCGCGCACATGCTTCCATCGAGCTACCGTCTTCGCGTCGACGGTGTCATCATGATCAGGAGGCGACGTCGTGGCCTTGGTCCGCTTGGATTTTCTAGGTGGCATGTTAAAGACAGTATAGAGTAACGAGATAAGCGATGTGCGAGTGAGCGAGGTATTTAACCAGTCCCACAGCGGTTTAGCTCAAGTGTCGACGCCAGGTTGACGCACCTTCGACGCGGTTCAAGCCACAGCTAGCCACAGCTGCCACGATCACGTGATACGACGCGTCTGTGGCGTTCCTTGTGTTTCGGGCAGCTGTGGCACCGGTTCGACGCGGCCCGTGGGAGCTCCGCGTTCGCAAGGCCTCTGGCCTGGCATCTCGAGCAATTGCATGAAGGCTATGAAGGCTATTGAAAGCAGTAGTGCATGTCATTGGGTGCGTCAAACTTAATCGCAAGCTGACTGGAACTCGGTAAAACTTACAAGATCAGCTAACTTCTTAGGATTAGCCGGGCTTCGGCGGCGAGCGAGCACGGCGTAGTTCGAGCCTATCGACGAGAATGTTCAATGCCTTGTATCCAGTGTGTGCGCAAATCCGAGTCTTTTATAGTAGTAGCACTGTACGACGGACCTCATATGCGGAGTCCCGTGTATATATGATAAAGCAATACAGCGTAATACATCATGATACTTCTAGTAGCGTGCACTTCCTACGGACTTCAGTATCACGGTAGATCTTCCCTCAGATGGTAGAGTTTAATATGGTGCCACGTCAGTTCTGTATGCGCGAGGGTCTGATTCATATCAATATCTCCATCCTCGATGTCTGTCAGTCCAATCCCGTGTCTGGGTAACCAGTCGTCAGGAAAACTACAGGAAAATAGATTATGTCGCTCACACATCACAAAGATGATCCCGCACTGCGTCTCGGGACGCTGGCATCTGTGGTCCCTCGCATCTCGTGCACGTCCATACCTTGACGTTCACCGCCAGCAACCGTGCTTCAATTTCTTTCACCTTGGCTGTTTCCTCAGCGTTGGCTAATCGCCATCTCTGCGACCAGCCTGTGGTAGCCGCCATGATCTGCGAAACCCAACAAGTGAGTTGATATTACCATGTCAGCTGCGCCCTAGACTCACCGCACCGCGCCATGTTACAACCTCATCTACATCCTCGTTGATCAGCCTCTTGTCTAACGCATCCATGTCCTCTGCGGTTGCCCAGTCTGGATCCTTGCCACAAAGCTGTATGACCGCTCGCATGACACCATTTGGTTTCATGGGCTTGATCTTGAGGCCCGTAATTGTGGAGTCTGCCCTTGTTTGACCATACACAAACTTCTCATATGCGCTCCTCCTGGACCTCGGCATAGGAAATCGGACGGCCACATTTGCAACTACAGATGGAAACGAAGCTAATCCACGGATAGGGAGTTCGAACACCGTTGTAGCAAGGTCGAGCGGGTTCTTCCAACTGGGCGTTTCGATATTGCAGGTCACGAACGATCCGCGGAGTTGCTTGCAGATGTGCGTCCGCCATCTTTCGACCATGGTATCCATTTGGCTCTCCAGAGCCAAAAAGTCCGCTCGGTTCACGGACTCGTCTGCGGGTACGCACATTATCTTGCGAAACTCCTGGAAAAGAGCGAGGTCGGCGACGTCCAGTCCGTAGGTTATCAGCTCCGGATGTTCGCCGATATATCGGTCCAATAGCTCCCTCCCCGCGTTTTGAAGGACGGACCAACGCCCTGCCATCATGAGATTGTACTCATGTTCCTCGCGCTCTTTGCGAATGCCATTCATGCATTCCAAGATCTCGCTTTGCATGTTCTGCCAGACTGTTGACAGCCATGACCATTAGAGATTGTCTACGCGATCATTCAGCTGAGTACGCACCTCGATCGGTGAGCTTCTTGGCGACCCGCACGAGTTTGTGCTCGGAGAGCGGAACGTAGTCTCGAGATTGTATGAAGTCGAGCTCAGGGCCCCATTCAAGCGCACGCAACCTTGAGATAACGCTACATGGACATGATGAGTATCACTCAGGGGAAATGAGCATTCATTCCGCATACTCGTCTAGGCGTTCATCTATCACAGCCTCGAACTCTTGAGCTCGTATCCGGTTGTCGTTGGCTTGCCACTTGTAGCACAATGTTGCAAACTGTCACATGAAACATGTCAAATGCAAATACCCTAAGCGCATGGAGACACATACTTCGCGGGAGAGTTTCGCCTGCCGCATATGCTTGTTGGATAATTCTCGGCGCTCGTCCGATCTCCTAGGCGAAGACAACTTCTCGTACGCGGCAATCGCATCGGATACTTGGGACTGTAGATAGCATGGCACACTGAAGCCGGTGACCGTGGACTGGAAGTGTGGTCAGTAGGCGAAGTCTAGAACATTCTTGGAAACGCACCTCAATCAATATATCCGCAGGGATATAATCAAATCCCAGGATTGTGTATACCCTGTTTTTGGCAACGACCCTTGAACATCCCCATGTGAGTGGCTTTAATAGACATGATCGAGCCTACTGGACGATGCACTTACATATCTTTCCTGCAGCTTGCGCAAAAGCGGGCCAAAAATTCCCATATGACTGTTGTCGCTCTGCCTACTCCGCACTCCTGGAGGTGTGTCACATTGATGGACGCCGATGAGACAAAGTACACAGCTACGCGCGCCAAACGAAATACCACGCACCGTACAATACGGAGAGAAGACGAGGGACACCCACGAAGGTTCAATCCAGCCCTTCGGGCATGGAGGTAGACCTTGCACATTCTTCAACGAGCCCTTCCAGAGGTATGCGGAGCTTCTCCGCATGAGGAAGGCATGAAAGGGCTTCGACGTGCGGGAGAGACTCAGCAGTTCGCGGGGGTGAAGATACAGACATATCTATGTGAGCCGTGTCAGCGTTTCAATGATGCGCTGGAAAAATTATGAATTCCACCTCTTGAATGATGTCCATGGGCATATTCAGCATGTCTTTCAATCCGCCCCGTCGACTGCGTACATTTTTCCACCGCGCCTCGGTTTTCGCTGGAATCGTGCTTGCAGGTGCAGAGGATTTTGTTCGGTTGGATCTCCTTGGAGGCATATCTGAGCGTGAGTGTTGTGGTGGGTAGTGGAGGAGCAAACGAGAGAACAATGAGCGAGCGGCTGTTGAAGTCCCGACGCAGTTGGCCACAGAGCCACACCTGCCGCGGTCACGTGATGGCGCGGTTGTGGCTGTAATCTGAGATTTGGATCTTGAGGTCGCGCCGACTCAAGAGTCGGACGCGCGGCCTCAGAGTGATAGTATCCGTTGAGTAGGACCGCCTAGGACTGCGCTAGTTGATCGCGGTCCACCGAGGGTCAAGAAATAGGTAATTGGGTAATACCGAAGGTCTGTAGGGCGGTCTACACGTGAGAGAGGGTGTAGAGACGCATCTAAATATGACGGTTACCGCTGTGCGAAGTTATAGGAGTGGCGAGAACATCCAATGTACGTTCACCAGAGTAACCAGAGATGACGAAGAAATTAGGCGAGGGTAAAGAGCTCCCTGCAGCGAGGGTCCGCGCGCCGTCTCGCTCGAGGACGGGTGCCGCGCGCGTACCGCGGGCCAGGTACAAAGAGAACGTCAGTGTGTCCGATGTGGAGTTGAGGTAAGATATAATCGGCGGGCGACTTGGATGGCCGACCGCGTAGCAGAGCGCAAATTCGGCCGTTAACTCTCAACGACGACGTAAGTGTGGTCGTTATTCAGGGCTGACGGCCTGACGCTTTAAGATGAGCATGGAAGTCAGACTCACATTGACTCTGATGCACGGTAGGCAAGACATACCAACTTATCAGTGCTCGCATACATGAATTGTGGATATCGATGAGCACTGACGGAGGAATCCACAGAATTGGCGTCTGTAGAGAAAGTAGTCATGACATCCGGAGGCCCACGCTTCAAATCCAGGGTCATCTCGTCGCCATCCACAAGCCCGAGAGCGAAGGGAACGGGGATCTCTGGGATGTCAAACACAGACTGACATAACGAGGCAACAGTCATCAGTTGGATATTGAAGCGGCGCGATAGAGTCAGACTCACGATACTTCGTGCAGGGTAAGCCTTTCGAATCTGCTCGACAGTGAAAAGGATGCATTCACCGAGAGGTCTGGATGCTGTGATTGGCTACTACCCTGCGGAATCGATCAGCAAACAGTACATCCAGCGTCTCTTGACCACGACCTTCCCGACAAGCTATTGCATCCAACCATGCACACCGAGGCCTGTTACTGAGGAGCATCCCGCAGCGCCTCAGCCGTTGACGTTAAACGCCCAGCCTCGACAGGAGGGGTACCCACGGTTGTAGCGCTGTCTGGTCGAGTGCAGTAGACATTCGACATTCGACACTGAGGGGACTAGGAAATCAGTACTTCAAGAGCGACGGTGAACAGACCACATGCAAGGCTGTAGCTGGTCAAGCTTCAAGGTCTGACAGCGGGAGCCTTCTCACATCGAATTGATTAGACTGTGACGTTCGTTACATGACAACGAGTGCCACACAGTATTTATCCGAGCTGCGTTCCTGCTACGAGCCAGGAGGCGGCTACTACGCTGCACTGGACGTCTGGACGCTGCCACGCAGTCGTAGTTGATCAAGCGACCGTAGACGGCTCCCAGGGAAAATGAATGATAACTATACTGTACTCACGACAATGGCGAAGTGCCTAACCCCCCGGGCATGCGCTCGACAGTTGGAATACCACTTTTCAAACGTTCCCTAGCGAGTTACTCAGTACACGCATTTAGGATGTTCTAGTGCAGCACGACTTACTGTATTCCATACGCAAGCGTAATGCAATGCCGTAGCATTATACCAAATCAAAGCTCAGCGCAAACTTCGAGCTCTCCCGATACGTCGACGTCGCCGCAGAGACTCGGAGTACATACCAAACAACATCCGAATTCGTAATACCCGGGCATCAATCGACCACTAGGCTATCATCAGTATCTATACAAGGCTATAGTAATAAATACAATAACGGCATGTGACTGAGTCGGGAGTGCTGAGTTATCGCACACCGTACCTCGTGGTCCCCAAAGTGCTTCCCAACGCCGACCACGACGACGACCTCGCTGCATCCGCACTTCCGCCGCTGAAGCCAGGGGAAGAACCGATCCGTTCGAGCACATGTTCCACGCATAATCGATAAGCGACTACCATTGTCCACGACGCTCGTTTGTCCCGGCCCAGCCTCGAGGCGGTGTAGCCTCCAGCTGTCGCCGAGTGGCACCAATCCTTTGTTTTTCAGCTTGTATTTCTCCCGACGCAGCTCTTTGTGAAGGACCCATCCTTTCCTGATGCCTACCGCCAGGGTGCGATGCGACCAGGACGCTCGGAATGCTCAGGAGTCGAGGGTGGCGACGAAGGACTGGTCGAGGGCATCATCGTACCGCTGTGTCTCCTGGTCCTATCCTCCTAGACGTCCACAGCGTCCGTCAAGGATACCCATATTCACACCGCTTCTCGCAGGCTCAGGTGTCTACGCCAGGCCACCGCATTACCACGATCTCCTTTACCGGGCGAGGCGCCGCAAGACGCCGGACAATGTCGAGGACGATGTGGAGCTGAGTTCGAGGCTAACTGGGGTCAACTCGGTGGAGGATACAGTCTTGTGCTACGAACACGACGTGGGTATCGTTGCTTCCCTCACCGACGTAGCTGCTCCCGACGAGCGGCCGCTGTTCTGCGGGACGTTGAGCGAGGGTGATATTGCCACGGTACAGCGCCAGTGGCACGATCAGGTCGAGCAGCTCCTTGGTGGGATCAGCAAGCGTCTGTCGACTTCGTTCGAGGAGATCGTCGCCGCCGCGGGTGGGCCAGATAGCAAGCTATGGGACCTCAGTCTGCTCGACAGTCCGGAGCTCAGTGAGTCTGAACTGTCGACCGAGTCTGACCCGCCACCGTCTACCCCCCGCGCATCCCCCTCCTCACTCTCGCGCAGCGCAAAGGACGGGTCCATCGACGTCCTCCAGCCGCACCCGACGCCCCTGAGTGCAACCGCGGCCGCCTTTATTCCCGCTGCACCGTCGCCGCCCTCCTCCGTGTCCAAGTCGCCGTCTCCGACACACGAGTTCGCCTTTCCGTCGCTCAGTGCCGACAACCCGGCGGCATCGCCTGCTGCTAGAAAGCGCTCCCTTCTGCTTAAGGACGGCGAAGGCTTCTACCACTCCGCCGAGGCAGGCAACGAGAGCCCCCGCAGCTCGACCCCGCGCCGTGCTCGCCCCTCCGCTGATCTCCTCCCAGCCTTCCTGGCCGATGGCTCGAGTACGATCCGTAGCCGGGTGCGGAATGCGTCTCGCACCCGCGAGATGGTTGATCGGCTGCGGTCTGGGCGGTGGAACGGCAAGAAAGGCGATAAGGCAAGCGCACCTAGTCTCGAGCACACACCCGAAGGCAAAGCGACCAAGGAGCGTTCAACGGAACGGGCAACGTCCTCGGAACGTAGTAGCCCGTCGTCCGGGATGACCGCCGACGCCGATGGCTGGATCAGCGGGCCCTCGTCCAAGACGTCTGATGATGGCTGGATCGATGGCGTCGTGTCACCTCCTGTGCCTTCCAGTACCCCAGTCCCAACGCCCGCTCCGGCCGCGGCGAAGAGGGAGCCACGTCCCCGCACCCAGAAACACGCACACAAGCGTTCATCGAGCAGTGCGAGCTCGCTATCGACCGCCGCGTCCGCGCCGCCCGCGACACCCGTGCTGGCAAGCCACCCGGTGCCGGTGCCCATACCCAACCAGGCAGGCTTCTTCCCCATGCAACACCCTGCGCCAGCTGCGTTTCCGTACGCGCTTCCGCCGCGCACACCTGGTATGAGTGACGCGCAGTATCTGATGCACATTCAGAAGCTGCAGCACGATCACTGGGCGAATTACATGCGTTACGGGGGTGCGGGAGCGTTCATGCCCGGGCCGTACGCTGCGTATCCGCCTGCCCCGGTACTCCCTGCGGTCTATGGCGCCAAGTGACTTGCTCTTTGACCCTGAAACGTGCGTGTTGCGTGCATGTGTGCGGGCTCTGGCAACGATACTGACACGTTGCGGAGATAGGCGGTACATCGCGCATACACGCACTTCAATTCGTTCACCGCACACGCATTCTCTCTTTCCTCGCTGTCCACGTATGCTTCCCCCTCACGGACCGGCTCTACTCCCCCATCTGCTCGGAGTTGTTCCATTAGTCATAACCAAGCTCGGTAGTCTAGATCTCAAATCGCACGTCATCGCTTCGTTTTCGTTCGGCCTCTCTCACCCCCCCTCGTTGTTATTATCGTATTTTCTGCTTGTTCCAGGTTCCGCTGTTTTGCCTAGACGGCATGTTAGTCGCACAGAAAAGCAAAGCACGTAGCACGTATTGTATGTTGTCAATTCATTCGGTTGTCTCTTGACGGACTTTCTGTCGACGTCTTGTTTACGCGTGTTTTACTAGTCTTCGGGATGTAAGCGGTATATATTGTGTAGTCCGTCAACGTACAACATCAAGTGTGAGACGAACAAGCTTCAACTATACAAGCGACAAACAGTGATGGTCATACAGTGATCCAAGGCGGTGAAGGCTTCATCGGTGCTCGACTTCGGTGGCCGATGTTATGGACTTGCGCGAATGCAAGTAGCAGTCGGTTTGGATCCTCTCCGAGAGACGAGCGAGACCGGACACCGAGAAATCATGGTAGACCGAGTCGAAGATGGCGTTGATGTTGACCCTCGAGGAGGGCGAATACCCGAGGTAATCGCTAAGTGAAGGGCTTGTGTCCCGCGCCGTCGCCTCTGAGCCTACTAAGAGCAGCCCCCAAGCGACTGGCGTCGCCCCGACGGAGGGGCGAAGAATACTCTCGGCCGCGAGTCTTCGCTCAACTCGGTGCGCTCCACCCGCTCCTCCGTTACCCAGATCTCCATCCGCCCACAGCCGATCTGCTGAAGCAGCCACTCGTGCTCGCGGTAGTAGAGGTCCTCCTCGAGGTGTTGCCGAGCGGCGATGAGCTCGACTCCGCAGCGCACGGCGTCCAGCGGGTCGGGCGTGGGCGAGCGAGAGAGCTGGGGCGTGTCTGTTCCGGGGTCGGAGACGTCGTCCGGGACGTCGCCACTCAGGCTCAGACTGGTACTGCTGCTTGACCAGGCGTCCGAGTCCGAGTCCGACGAGTACAGTCCGGAGAAGGCGGACTCGCTGTTCGCGCGAACGATGGTGCGAACGGTCTCATACTGCGCCCCGCGAAAGAAGAACGAGTGGCACACTTCGCGTGGCCCGCCGAAGTCCTCCTCTGCCTCCTCGGGCTCCTCTTCCTCAAGTTGACCGATGTCTTCTGTAAGATTCTCGTCTATGGGCCAGGAGTGGCGTGAGTAGCATGACGAGCCCGTGAGGTCGTCGTCCACATCCTCGGGTATCGAGCAGAGCCCCGTGTCCTCAGAGGATATCGTGAAGGCGTCGGTGTCGTCATCCGCAAAGTGAGCCAATACGGGAGCGCTGTAGTCGCCGAATGCCGCCCAGGGGATGGGTCGGTTCCGGCCGTCTAAGATGGGGATGGTCCACTGACGGGAGATCAGGACGCGACGACAGAGCAATAATGCAATGCAGCCACTTACGCAGGCCTTGTCATCCACTGGGATATGGAGCAGTTCGAATTGTCTGGCGCTCATCGCGGTCCTCTTGACAGTTAGTTCGTTGGATTCAATTGGTCGACTGGTGGACGGTGAGCGATGTCAACAGACACTACGGCGTGGTTCGAGTCAAGAGTGATCATATGGATCACCTGCTGTTTTTGACGACCCGAGGTGCGTTCCTTTGTTCGTAAATGCATTGATTAGGAAAGAGGCGACAATCCGGGCCATAGCCACTTACCATGCGTGGAGACTAATGGTGAGCCAGATCATCGTCCATGCTGTGCACCGACACTCGTCCTTCGAAGGCGGTGCGAGCTCAGCTATGGTCCAGGCGTACAGGTATGCAGGCGTAAAGATGCGAGCAGGGATACGGGTTACTTGAGCCAGAGTTGATGAACAACTTGAACTCACGTCCCGCATCGGACCTTGACAACTATTTGCATTCTCGCCAGGATAGAGCAACTCGACCCAATGTCAATATCTTCAATGCTCGCTGACAGGGATTGTGAGTGGAGTCGAAAATAAAACGTGGACTTAGCTGCTGAAGAGCTTAGTTGTCTTCCTTTCAGTCTGCCGCTGCGGTTGCTACGTGCACAGCCGTACTTGGGACACCAATGACATGTGAGCAACAGGTCCGGGTCCGGGTACCGCATACAGGTCAAGACAATAATCCGTTGTTGATTCGGTCATATAGCATTTGTGACGCGGGAGATCGACCTCACAGGGATACAGGCATTTGAGCACATACCAGAGTAACTGAATGACCGCGGACATATGTAACGCGCTCACCTTGACTAAGAGCCCGCTGACCCTTCCACGAGACGTCCGGATGATAAACGAGAGCCTGATAGAAGAACATTGGCCAGTCCTCCACTGAAGTGTCTATTGCACCCTCTCAGGCTCGCAGCGCCGGTTTCGTCCTGCGAGCACCAGTCCGCCGCGTGTTAGACCACCCACCCCTCTTCGTCCCAGTCCAGCCATACGGGGCAGAAGAGGCAGCCTGTGGTACTTATTGGGCGCGTACCCGCACCCAACGTTGGGTCTCTGGGAAAGCTGCGGGCCCCAGCAGCCTCGGCCCTCGATCCAGTCTGATAGCGTGTTTGATTGAATAGGTATCTTCCGAGCGGGCACTAGGCTACAGTTAACCCGAGCAAGTCCCTTTTCTGCGCTGGCGGACGTCTTTCTCCTGGTTTCCGAACACATCGACCAGTAGGGGCGATGCAGACTGGTAGTTTTGTCGAGATAATATTGAGTGACACGAGCTCCGGGCTCTGGCATTGACCTTGCGTGCGTTCTTATGGATGTATCGGCTGGGTGACACCCTCACTGGGCTTATGTCGACGTCTAGACCGAGAAAAAGAGGTTTCTGAGAGAATCGGGTAGGATTTGAGCGAGATGGAGACATGGCATCCTCGGAGGTCGTTGCGAGACGCGCTGTGGCTAAGGCGTGTGGCGCGCGAGACTAGCGGACGACCGTAGGCGCTAAAGTCCTGGAAGCCTGTTGGGTATTATTATAGACGACAAGTCGGACAACAGACACTGCTCCTTCGTTTACCTGCCCATGACACCTACGACACGACTACCTGCCGAGTTCACAAGCCTCTATCGACTTGTCTTACGAGCCACTGCAGCATCGGTTCTGAACAACGGATCCGCTACGCAACAATTACGAGTGTTATGGAGACCGGGCTTCGACCGTGCGGCCGAGGTGCTGCATCGCCTGCAAAGCACTCCTCTCGCGGAGAGTGAACGAACGACTCTGCAGCGGTGGTATGGAGCTTGGGAGGCCCGGAGTACGTGCCCTGTTATGTGCCACGGATGACACTGACATCCCCGTTATGAACAGTGGACAAGACGTTGTCATTTCTATCCAACTCAGCCCGTTCTCGCGGTCTGCCTCACCGTGTCACCCGTAACATGAGTCACTTGCTGTGGTCATATCGATTCTATACAAGTAAAGTGTCGCTGTGGGAGCATGACTCCTCCAGACCGCGATGGAAGCCAAACCTACCGCAAAACCACGATGCATATAAGCCACACGGCCTTAAGCCAGGAACTCGTTTAGAAGACATTCAGTCCAGGAAAGCTCGGAGGGCCGATATGAACGATGAGCAGTGGGCTGCGCTCGATGAGGTCATCTTGATGGCTGAGGGTAGAGAAGGCCTGTCCCTTGGGAGGATTACGCGACGGCAGTGGGCGTAGAGGTGAGTAGAGCGATGCGAACGCGCCCTCGAGTGACATGTCTGCCAGATGGCTAAAACAGAGTTCCGCAGCGATGGGGTTTCAGGTAATTAACTGCTGAATGGGAGGCGAGTATCTCATGAACCGAGACTTATGGATAGCTGCCCTTGCCCAGTACGCGTCTCCGGCGTAGCACCGACGAGTCTTTATCGCTGCTATGCAAGGCTTGCGTTCCTCGGATGCCCGTAACAGTCGTACGTCTTGCCTGCCTACGGCTTCGTCCTCCAACTCAATGTATCTCCACGATGGTCGATCCCGAGCCGGGGCATCTGCATTCGTTGGCCCGCCACCCAAGTCATTGCGTGTGAGACTGGTATGGCTATCACGATTTCAAGCACCGTCACGTCCCTGCGTTAGCTGATTCGTCGCCGCAGCATGTGTTCATCACAGATGGGTACGCTGGTCATCTGGAGACCGTGTCCCCCATGGCTGTAATGGCATCATGTGACTGCAACATCAACAGCCTGTTGGCAAGTCCATGCTATGTATGGGTCAGCCGGCGGCGTCGTCGTGTATGCCCATGACATATGCGCGTTCCACATCGTTGTGTGGCAGTATGACAACTGCTCATCGCTGTCGCTCCGGGTGGAGACCGTGCGCGACCCCCACTGCCCGTTCTGACGCCTTGACATCGAACGGGTGTTAAGATCTACTGGACTTTGCGACGCTACCACGCCCATCACCTGTCATCACTGCTACCCGTACCTGTATCTGGCGCTCACGGCGGAGGCTTCTAAAAGGCCATTCGTCGGCATGGAATGTTCCCTGCCTTCGCCCTTCGTTCTTCGGCACTTCCTGTTTGAGCTCCCTTTACGATTTTCGTGCGTCGTCTTCATTCGATTCGCCTTGCAATGCAAGCAACGGCTGCCCGACGACGTTTCGACAAGTCGCTGGACCTGGTCGCGGCGCGACCCGAGCTCTTTGTTGACCTTGTGTCATCTCCGTCAAGCACGGACAATGCCTGGCGCATGCTGGAAACTCCGAATTTGGAACGGGACGTCGTGCAGACCCCCCGCACGCCCTTTCTGGAGGCCGAACGTTCTCCGTTAGCGCTCGCACCGGTAAGTCCACTCCGTCTTCGCCATCTGGATGTTGAAGTGAACCTCGTCTGTCGCTGTAGGCAGTCCCAGTCGCGCCGCTGAACATCAAGAAGATGCGAAGGAGAGGCCTATTAAGCGGGATCCACCTTGTGCTCCCCAAGACTCCGCTTCCACCACCGACGCCGAATCCAGGGCACACTCCACAGACCTCGCTCACCTTTACGGCGGAAGTGGACGAGTCGGGGAGAGGTTTCTTCTTCACGCCTATCTCTGACGAGCCCATGTCTGCGCTGAGCCCCCAGAGTACCAAGAGCCCTGTCCCAGACGACATTGACGGAGAGACCAACGACATCGAGCCCGAGCCGCCTGCTGAGGATCCTCGCAGTCCAGGCAGTCCGTCATCCTCTCGGAGCTCTGCGAGCTCGTCATCCTCCCGTTCTTCCTCGTTATTTAACCACGCACGCAAGCGGTCCGATACCTCTACTTGCCCATCCTCCATCGAGGAGGACACAAAGCCTATTGAAGACCCGATGTCCCCTGCTGCGGAGGAGACTATCAATACGCTCGAGTCGGAGCTGCGCCGCGCGGCGCCGATCCCACGATCCAAATCATTCGACCATTCATGTTTCGCAGGGATGGACGATGCCTTGCTGCTCGACCCCTGGCAAGCGTTCGACCTGCTCTGTTGGACAGCGTCGGTAGACCAGTTCCCCGAGAGGCGCAGCGCCTTCCCCATCAGCCCTGCAGTGCCTGTCGCCAGAGTGCCCACCCGCTTCGAAGAAGATACCACCGGCGCTAGCGTCAGGAGCTTCCAGGTGCGCACCAGCTTTCTTGCTGCTGATTCGTCCTCGTCGATGCTTACTCTGCAAACAGGCTCGGACGTCCCACTTTTCCACTGATGATCATCACTTGGCGGCGGCAGTGCCAGTGCGGACCTCTCGATATAGCCCCCTCCACATGCACATCTCTAGCCTGAAGGCCTTCAGGTTTCCCAGGCACCGCAAGTAGTCTCGTATTGGTCGCGGACGTTACTCTACTTTCTACAACTTATCACAGCATTCCTTACGACTTCTGATGTGTTTGTTCTTATTCTTAGAACCAATGCCCTGGCCTCAACCCTACCGCTCTCCTCGTGCCGCATCATTCCATCATTGGCTGTGTTCTGACGTGTCGTTGTACAATACTGTACGGTAGAAGTACTTCCTGTCCTGAGCTGTAAGTGGCCGTCAACCATGGACCTTATCCGGCGTGTACATATCTGTACCCACGATTCAGTTGTTGACGTTGTAGCCATCAGCCGTATATGGCGTGCAACGAGCCTTTCAGGTATATCCCCATGGAGGACACTGGCCCATGGAACCGCGAAGTCCACTTGACATGAGGACAATTCTCCGCGTGCCGCTGGCCACCTCCCTCATTAGATGCTTCCCTCAGACGGGAATGAATGAAGTGTAGAACATAGATCTATCTAGATTAGACCCGGCCACCGGGCATGAACACGTACTAGCCAATCCGTCCGTCCTCCTGAGGCGTCAAGTTCGTCATGGGCTCTACGTCGCCCGAGGTCGTTACGTCGCGTTGCCCGGGCACCCGAGGCCGCTGCTGGTTACCACCTCTGCGGGCCCGCTCGCTCCCGAGAAAGCTTTTCCACACGGACCATGGCGCTCGCAACGTCCTTGCAGATGGCGTCTTCCCCGAGGAGCTTGATGACACCCGCCCGCTCGAAGAACTCACGAGGTGCCTTCTTGAGATGCGTGATGAACAGCCCTACCCCACGGCTCTATTGGATGACGGCGATTAAGCGACGACCTTATGGAGGTCTGTAGCGACTCATACCTTGTAGGTCTCCACCAATTCGTAGAAGATCATTGCAGCCCTGACATCGATTAGTCAGATATATCCAAGGGGAATGAATAGGTCCACTCGATAACGCACGATGCATCTATGCTGTCAACATCTGCCAGGTGGAAGACGAGGACGCTTGCGTGTTCACGCTCCGGCTCATCCGACGGGTGATGCTTGCTGACGCCGTACAATTCTAGCCGACGGAGGCGCTCTGAGGGCTATATCAGTCCACTGTGCTCTGTACGGATGACGACAACCAATGGGCAGGTACCTTTCAATTGTGCGGTATTGGCTGTACAGGACACCCATAGCACGTCAGTCAGATAGCCGGAAGTAGCAACCATCAGACAATGCGCACCAAAGTCAAGGTTTTCCCTGATCCTCACTATGAGCACGCCGGCTGCGTCTTCCTGCGCTTCCGGGTTCTCGTCAACGGGCTTCCACACGTCGGTCCCGGGAAGACGACCCTGGCAGTTCGTGAGACCGCTGATTCATCGAGTTAGGTTAGGCAGACACCTACCAGTATTGTCATGCGTGGCTTGGATGACTTGTGTATGACCAGCAACAAAGATATGACGAGGCTGACCGCGATACCCATCTCCAGGTCCCAGAAGATAGTCAATGCGAAGGTGAGCGCCATGAGGGATAGGTCGACCCAGCTCCGCAGACTGATCACGACAGCACAGCCAATCAGCGACCTACATCCGGTGAGCCTATCAATGCAGCAGATGACATACCGCCAATAGAACTTCAGGTCGTGAGGCACCTCAGCCAGCAGCGAGAACACGACTAGGCAGATGCTGATACCGATGTCACGAATTAGTTCACGGTGCTGCTTGCGCTGGCGAAGTGCGTCGTTACTCACACAGCCCCGAGCACGGTTTTGGGGAGGTAGTACAGCCAAGGCATGAGATAGAACACAGCGAGGAGGACCACTATCGAGCAGACCATCGACGACATCTGCGTGCGTGCGCCCACCTCGCCGTTGATCTTTGACCTAACCTGTTGTAAGTACAACCATCCACCGTACAATTGTTGACAGAGGATGCGGGAACATACCGCGTGATGGACCCGAAGGCGGGCAGCGTGCCTGGCACGAAGGAGCCAACGAGATTACCAGCGCCGAGCGCGACGAGCTCTCGGTTCGGGCTGATGCTGTAGCCATATAGTCCTGCATTCTGCTTTGCGGCGACGATACTGTCGAGGAAGCCGACGATGACGCAGACCCTGCACGAAGCATCGCGTCAGGATCGAAGTGACTGGCTCAGAACGGAAAAGCGCGTACACGGAGAGGGACGTCGTTCTCCGCAGGAACTTCAACGTCATCTGCGTCAGCGGGAACTGTACAAGATGGTTGCCCGTGTTGACTGGAACACTCCCCAGTATCTCAACTCCCTGCTGGTCCCAGTCAAGCTTGTCCGACAAGACTAACGTTAATCAGTTCGTGCCATGATTCGTGACCGTTAGGATTGGGCCTTACTTGTTGAGAAGACCACCACCAACAAGACCTCCGGCAGACGATAGATCAGGGTGTAGCGCTTGAAAAAGCCCTTAAGACTGCGGATGCCGAGGAGGAGCAGGAGAGCGCCGAAGCCGATGATCATCGTCAGTTGGTGCGAGTGGGTCCACACGTTCTCAACGATGAACATCAATTTGTCGAGGGTCGTGTGCAATTGGTATTGGTTTCGCAGCGCTGTCAGTCCAAACATGGGTATGAGTTGTTCCCTGTGAGTGGCAACGATCAGCGCTGCGGAAGTGAGGGTGGAGACGACGTACACTAGGATGACGATCGCGACGGCGGTGACGAACCCGCGAAGAAGCGCGCGGCTGAGGACGACGTCCATGAAGCCGAGGCGGAATAGGCCCAGCAGAAGGGCGATGACTCCAATCTGGAGGCGGCGCATCAGGGCGCTGAAATAACCGAGGCACTTCACTCTGCTCACCTGGAAGGTGACCACGGTCGATACCGCGATGCCCACTCCGTCTCGCCCGTATTTCGCGAAATGAGGGTCGTGCAGGAATTCATCGATAGCTTGACCAATGAGGAGCGAGAGTGACGCTTCAGGTGATACATTGAGCTGTCTTGATGTGCCAAAAAGCGCATATATCAAGCCCGGGATAGCTGCAGAGAACTGTTCCACTCAATCAGGGGAGTCGTTACGACAAAACCAAGGAGGACTTACCAAGCCGGTGACGGGACTTAATCTTGCTAGAGATGTTGCATACGAGACGGATTGGGGTATCAGCATGCAGGCGACCGTGAGCCCTCCGAGCAGGTCGCCACCCAGTCTGGGTCGCTCCGAGTGAGTATCGTAGAACCTACGCGAGAGCATGCTGAGACTTACAATGTCCACGAATATGCGGGTATCCAAGCGGTAGAGGGAACATAATAATTTACTTTTGCCCAGTTCGATGTCCTCCGTCGGTGGAGGGTTGGTCGTATGGCTATTGCCTTGTCAACAGTCGTCCCGACGAGCAAAGAGACAGTGAGACAATGTGAACAGTGCTGTGAAGCATTTGTCGCGCCGCCTGCCTGCAAATCCGAATGGCCCAGACTGGCCTCAGACGAAGCGTTGTGCAATTGGATGCACGCAGGCGGCCGACTTCCTTCATTGACTTGGACGGCGCATAGAGCACCGCTGAATAGCCGAGCTCGTCCTGTCGTACCCATGCACCTCGCCGCGACTTCCCCACAGCCTGCCTGCGACTCACCTCGTGGTCTGGCCGTCCCATAGTCCGTGCGACCCTGCTCTACGTCCGCTCCCAGGATCGGTGCGTCCTCAGCCTGTGGGCCCGGCGTACGCGGGGTCTTCAGCCCTGTTGGGGTGTCTGCGCCGGAAGAAAACATCGCTCGCAGCGACGACGCAGCCGAGGTGCGGCCTGAGAGTGTGAGTGGGGTCCAGTGTGGGCGGTGGGCGCGGTCTGCGCTTGCCCCAGGCCCCTGTGCGTCCATGATACGGTCTATATGCGCAGCTTATCGAGCAGTGAGGACGGCGGTCGAGGTCATCCAGCGGGGTGCCGCGCACGGCAGACGAGAAAGGATCGCGATAGCGTGGATTTGGAGTTGGAGCGAAGTGGACAGGCGACGGCTCCGATGAGCGGTCTCAGACGCTGGGGCGGCGTCGCTGCGGTGGCGTTGCGATTTCCGTGCTCGCTGTGCTGGGCATCGTCGACGTCGGCGCCGGCGTCAGCCTCGACGACCTGATCGCTGCTCGGCGAGCTCACCAGTGGTGTGCATCGACCAATCACAGAGCGTTGATTTCGCCGAAGACCCGGCCCGGCGATCGTTTAAAATTACGATCTCTCAAGTCTAAATTTCCTCTGCCTATCGCCGTCTGGTTCACCTTCGCAATGCATCTTGGAACTCACTATAACGAGAATCTCCTCTCGCTAGGTTTGGAGGTTCTGGCTCAAGGTAGGCTAGAGGAATGGCGGCAAGGCAACTGGTGCAAGCATGCCGCCGACTCTATGCGGTTTTGGTCAGGCGTCTCGATATGAAGCATCGCGTTCGCCGAAACTTGCTCAGATTCAGGTACGTACACTCGAACCACCCATCTCGTTGTACCTCACGGCTGGGTTGATCACCAGGCCACCCTGAAGGGCTCGATTTGCCTAGCGTGACGCACCCGCGTTCAGTTCCGGATACATGGACACCGCCCCAGCTAAGACACCTCCCGGCAGGTGAGTGCAGGTTCTCTTCCTGTGGTAGCGCGTCTCCATTTCTATGAGCCCTTCCCTGCCCTTCCCCGCGTTCGGGCGCTCCACTCTGCGGACCGTCCTTATCATCGCTTCCGCAATCGAAGCCACATATGTACAGCTGCGCTGTGCTGAAGGCCTGGAGAGGTCGGCTACTGCCTACATACCCCACATTCCCATGCTACTAGGTCGAAAAGTCCGATGTTCGACGGGGCGCAGAAGCATCACGGTCTCTCGCGATTCAGCACAGCAAACCCGAGGCCGGCCGTGCGCGGCTACCGAAGCCCAGAAGTGTATCTGTTCTGTCTGTACAAACATGGCCTTCGGGTGTGTACTTACGCACCGTCATTTGCATAATGATCGTTGCATGCGCACGACAAGAAATTTGTTTGTCCTCCCTTGACTGGCCCTGACGCACCACCAGACCAGGGTCGGTCCAGCGCGCAGAGAGACTTCGTGACAGTCTCTCAATCTCGGTCACTGTACCCAATACGCCCAGCCTGCACCCCTATCACGACGGAGGGAATCCAGTGCCTAGGCGGACAATTCGGACGAGGGCCGCAAGTGGTCGTGTATGCTGTGGAAGATGTGAGGCGGCGGGCTTGCGGCGAACCACAGCCCCATCCGTACTCTGAGAAGCGCACAACAACCGTTATGCAGTCGATTACTCAGTACTCAGGACAGGCTGTACAGGCTGTTTTCCGCCAGGTAAGTCATCTGAGCATCTTATAACAGAAAGCATTGACAAGGCATGTTGAATGCCAATACCATTCACGACGACTTTGGCTAGCTGTGCAGCAGCAGCGCAACCTGGTTGTCATGCAGCTGCGGTGTCCTTGCTTCCCAGGAATGCTGCCCATGCAGTCACCTCGAGGCTCATGCGCTGCCGCTGCGGAAGCTACCCCCGGTAAGTCCCAAAGCCATCGTGGCGGTCCTCTTTCTGGCTGATGCGCCGCAGTATCACAGTCTCGTGGGACAAGTGCTCCTAGAGTGCCTAGCGAGCTGAAATATCTGCGACGACAGCTGGCCTGAGCGCTGAGATTTGCGCTGGAATTGCACCTCTGCATGGCGGGATGACAGTGCGCGTCGCAATAGGGTTCTGTCCGGTAAGCTTTCCGCAAGCGCCCAGTCCGGCGCTGCACGCACGCTGGTCCGGATGATCAGGCTCGTGCTCTTTCCGCAATCTTCAGCACGAGTCGGGGCTGTAACTCTGAAGATCTGATATGGCAGGCTTGCCTACGATGACCCGAGTCACTCGAGCAATGATGCCTTTTCGCGCAGTCCTGGGGTGGGGTGGGGATACGCCACCTTTCCAAACACGGCCAAATAGCGCCCGTGCATCCTTATCAAGCCGACGCCAGCGTCGTCATCCCCTCTACCGCCGACGACCATGTCTTTCCTGCTCAACACTCTCTTGGCGGTGTCGTTGGCCGCCTCTGGCTTCGCCAGTCCGCTCTCTACCAACCCGCACGAGATCCCGCGCGGCAATGCGTTCTCGTACGCGCCCCTCGTTGCCGAGCACCACCCGCACGGGTCCGTCAACAGCTCCTATATCGTGATGTTCAAGGACGACATCGCGCCTGTGCTCATGGCGAACCACATGAACTTCCTCCAGGGCGTCCAGGAGGAGCACCCGCTCTCGGGCGACCTCGACGCGGGCCTCCAACATGTGTACGACGGACACGTCAAGGGCTACGCCGGCAAGTTTAGCGACGACACCGTTCACCGCATCCGCCAGATGCCCGAGGTGGACTACATTGAGCGGGACCAGATCGTGCGGACGCTCGAGGTTGAGATCGACGGTACGAGCATCGAGACGCAGAAGGGTGCCCCTTGGGTAAGTCACCCTCCTGAGCGTGACTCGGTGTAGGGTCGTGTGCGGTGGTACGCAAGCCCTGATGCAATGCTGATCACTCATTCAGGGTCTTGCACGGATAAGCCACCGTCCTAAGCTTACATTCGGCACCTTCACGAAGTACGAGTACGATCCTCACGGCGGTGAGGGCGTCGATGTATACGTCATCGACACTGGTATCAACGTCGAGCACGCCGAGTTCGAGGGTCGCGCAAGTTGGGGCAAGACTGTTCCGCAGAACGACGAGGACGTCGACGCGAACGGCCACGGCACGCACTGCGCAGGTACCATTGCGTCGCGTAAGTACGGTGTCGCGAAGGCCGCCCACGTGGTTGCTGTGAAGGTCCTCGGCAGTAACGGCAGCGGCACGATGAGCGATGTCATGGCTGGTGTCGTGTGGACCGTCGAGCAGGCCTTGGCAAAGGCCAAGGCTGCCGCTGAGGAGTTCAGGAAGACTGGCAAGACAGCCCACAAGGGCTCTGTTGCGAACATGTCCCTTGGTGGTGGCAAGTCGAAGGCTCTCGACGATGCCGTCAACCGCGCTGTTGACCGTGGTGTTCACTTCGCGGTAGCGGCTGGTACGTGCTCAATTTACAGCCGGTAATATCCGTTCTCACTATCTCGTAGGCAATGACAACAAGGATGCTTGCAACAACTCGCCCGCTGCTGCTGCGAAGGCTGTCACCGTCGGTGCTTCCACTCTGGCCGATGAGCGCGCCTACTTCTCCAACCACGGCCCGTGCGTCGACATTTTTGCACCTGGTATGTATGAGGACTCGGCGTCCGTGTACCATTGCCTAACCATCCTTGTGCAGGCCTGAACGTCCTCTCGACTTACATTGGTAGCAAGACCGCCGTTGCGTCGCTCTCTGGTACTTCCATGGCCTCGCCTCACACCGCTGGTATACTCGCCTACCTCCTCTCGCTCTATGGCTCGAAGACCTTCAACCCCGACGTTGAGCCCGATTTCTCGGTTCTCTTCAAGCAACACTCGGCGCGCTCCTTCGGCTCGGCGTACGTGTTCGCGCACTCTGTGCTCCCGAGCTGGGTCGTTGCCTTCCTGCCGCCTCCGGAGCTCGTCCTCGACGTCGCACCCGTCCCGCCGTCGCCGCCCACCATCACGCCCACGCAGTTGAAGATTGCACTGTTCGCGCTCGCAACGGAGGACGCGCTCGACACCCTTCCCTCGGGCACGCCTAACCTCCTGATCTTCAACAACGCTACTGCGTGAGTGCGTAGACATTGGGTCGCGCATTTGTGCATGGCGCGTTGCTGCTTTTGTTACGATGGTGTGATGTACATTCTGTCCCCTCCCATAGAGGCCACTGCATCTTGTGGTTACTCGTGTATCAATATATCGTCGTGCTTTCCCTGGAGCCTCTCTGTTTTTTTTGCTCGCATGTTCTCTTGAGTCTGACGTAGCTAGGTGAGTGTTGTGTTCATGGATTATGAGTTGATTGGCCACAGGCGCGTCGAGGTCCAACGCGATCCCGTGACCGTGGTACCTGTGGCCTCAAGTGTGGCTCCCTCGCAGCAACTTATTATGTCTCCCGTGAGTTGATTTCTCGTCAGTTCCTTTCCTTACCACTGCCACTGCTTTTGAAAAATGCCTCCTACCGGAACGAAGTCAAAGGCCGTGTCCTCAGACGGTGCGGTCGCCAACATCAGGGTACGGCCGAAGAAGGTGCCGGGTCGACAAGGCGGTCTGAAGGCCATCCTCAACATGCCCATGGATGTCATCGCCGAGGTGAGTGGCTCACGGGACTGCTGTGTTCATGCGCGCGAGTAATATGTATGTTGACAATGCTCGTGTATAGATTCTATCGCAGTGTCACCCGCGAGAGCTGTTGACCCTCGCGCGCACGACCAAGTGGTTCCGCTCACTGTTGATGAGACGCAACTCTGCGTATCTGTGGCGGGAAGCCTTGAGGACGGTGCAAGGTCTCCCGCCGTGTCCGCCAGAGCTCGCCGAGCCTGCTTGGGTGGCCCTCGCATTCTCGCCGTACTGCACGGTACGTGGTGGCCATGTTGGGGGGCTATGTCATATCACTCACGATCGTTGAATATAGAATTGCGGCGAAGGGCGGACGCCGACCGTCTGCTGGGCGTTCTTGGCGCGATACTGCAAGGGCTGCAGGTCTCAGTTGTGAGCAGACACGGGTGGCGCTGATCGTGATGGCGTCTACTGACCTGGGCTGCACATTCGGACAGGTTCACGAACAGACACACTGCGTGGTCCAATCTTCCTCAAGATAAGGTGATGCCATACAGATCTCTTCCGAAGACGGTGTTCCTTTGGGTATGTGCGCGTCGGCGTCGAATGTACGATGGAGTGTTCACCGACTGCTTGCTTCGCAGACCAAACTCCCTGGGAGTTCTGCTACGTGCTACACAATGTCTCAACTCGTGGAAGTCGTCGATGCTTGGATTGAGTTCAAGTCGTCTGGCCCTGGGGAAGCGTCTAGAGACCAGTTTATAGCAGAACGGAGTGAGCGCGTGAAACAACGTCTCGCGGTGAGTCTCATTTCTGAGGGGACGTCCTTGTGCCTAATGGACTACGCAGTTCACGTCTCTGTGTGAAGCCTGGGCTCGCGTGCAAGACCTTGCGCGTGACTCCGAGCTCGCCGACATCAAGCAGGAACGATTCGAGGAGTGAGCGAGACAGTTATCCTAGATTGCTGTACAGTACTCATTCGGAAAATTAGAATCCTCTCAAGGTTGCGTGCGCTCGGCTGGGGCCCCGAGCTCGATTTCATCAAAGATAAAGGTTATGTGCCACTGGCCGACCATCAGATCGTCAAAGTCCCTAGAAGTCTGACTGATCAAGGTTCGTAGCGCTCGCACCCATCTTACGTCGCCAGAACTGACGACGCCTGTCTATGTAGCCTGGAACAATGTCTACGATAAGCTGATCGGCTGCATGCAAGATGTGCGGGTCGACCTGGCTAATCACTCGGTGGAGAAGCTCAAAGTCAATTTTCCGATCCGCTGGAAGATCATGGAGAGAGCGCTTCGGCAGCTAAGCCTCCGCGAGCACACAGAGTACCAGCGCAAGTATGGACTGGTCGCCGCAGATATCGCACTGACCAAGGAATACCGCGACATCCTGGGCGCCCCTGCTGGTAAAACTGTGACCGAGGCTACTTTCCTGGCTCTTGGCGAGCAAGCGGATTCGATCGTCAAAGACTGGCTATTCCGCACACGTGAGCAACTGCGAGAGGTCTTACTCAAAGAAATCGAGCCGCCACAGAATATCGATCCTCTCGAACTCGCAACAACAGTCTTCGTCTGCGGGTCCTGTCCTCCTGGGTTTCAATTTCACTTCTTCCCAGACATTTGTAGAGCGGTATGCCAACGGTCCTCTAAGGCGTTTTCCAGGGGAGACACGTACGAGGACCTCGTCGTTGGTCATTGTGGCCCCCTACCTTTCCGGGTCTCTGGTTGTCTTCGTGCGTGTCACCCGACGACGCGCATGCGCGAGGTCATACAATTCTGCGGCAAGAATCCGGATGCAGTGACTGCAAAGGAGATGGACGAACTGGATGTCAGGCTGGTGAGGGACGACATCATCATGACTTGGCGCTGCGCGGTGAGTCTAACAGTTACACGCCATCATGTACTCTCTGAAGGTACGTGCCACAGATGATGGAGGGCCTCCAGGATCCCCATGCGTTGAACACGTGGCGGTTGGCCACTTTCGAAGAAACCCTCAAGTCCCAGGAACACGAGAGGCGAATCCTAGCGAAAGGCGGACAGTGGTACTGTATGAGATGTGAGCCGTCTCCGTATCTGGAGACACTCCACGATGTGGAGGATCACTTTCGTATCAAGTGAGTCTTTCCATCGTTGCACTTCGTGGAGTGCTCAAGAGTCTTCGCTAGACATGGCACCAGTTGTCCTGCCTTGGGAACTGGAGATATCGAAGTAGAACCCTGGCCCCATAGTGCCTACGTCGGCGGCATCTTCCTATTCAATATGAAACCCGTCTCGTCATCGCAACGGCGATGCTAATGGAGAAGACATACGTTCATCACACGGTCAGAAGTCAACGATTTCATGGCCGGCACATATGCCTTTCGCGATTATGAAACTATGGCCAATCATCTGTATATGCTCTCATTGCTAGTTGATATGAATATGTAACCTACCTATTCAAGGAGTTCACTGTGATCACGATGACAGCGACGTCCCGGTGTGATGTTCCTTCACAACGACCGTGAGCCTCCAAAGCGCGAAACCCATCTGGGTCTTCTGCTATAATAATAGGGTCGCGCAGTGCCTTCCGTATGCTTATGTGTACTGACCTTCTTAGTGCTTAAGAGTTAAGTCTAAGCCTCGTTTATGTAAGCCCAGAATCGCCACAGACGCGTTTCATCACGTTACCGTGGCACTCTGTGGCCACCTGTGGCTTCAACTTGTTCGTGGCCAACCGCGTCTTGAACCGACCCAACGCTCTTCACCACCCGCTCGAATCGCTTAGCCTGCAATTAGTTTTCCGTACACCCCTTGAATTCAGAATGCCACGGAACATCCATAAGCAGAAGGAGACATCGTCCTCTGACAACGGACCCGTCGACGCACGGATATTAATGCGCGGGCGACGAGGCGGTCTCAAAGACATGCTCAAGATGCCGCTCGACATAATCTATGAGGTACAGTTCATATGTTGCGCACAGCACACAACGATGGGAATTGATCATGTAATTATTGCAGATCTGTCTGGCACTCCACCCACAAGACCTATTGAGTCTTTGTCGGACATCAAAATCATTTCATACGTTCTTGATGAAGAGAAGTTCCGTATGGTTATGGAAGGGCTCGTTGAAGAAGATTGAAGGGTTTCCTGCATGCCCAAAGGGTTTCATCGAACCTTCTTGGATCTCCCTCGTATTCTGGCCCATCTGCACGGTGAGCAATGCAGTATTTCACCGTGCCGTTGATCTCATTGATTCTCAAAATTTGCACAGAGATGCCGGAAGGCAGACGCTCCCACTGTACACTGGGAATTCTTAGCGCGATGGTGCAAGAAATGCACGAAGGAAATGTCCGTTGGTTGGGATACGTGGCTGATAATGTTCACTGATTCCGCTTCCGCATCTGTTTCCCAGGGTCATTGCCGAAAACAGGACGGACAAGATCCTGAATGAATACCTGGCACTCGACTTCGACAAGATACCTAGGGATGTGTTCTTGTCGGTGTGTACCCACACGTCCATAGCGCATCTCTGGTTACTAACAGTACATACAGGCCAAGATCCCCGGCATTGGTGTTCCCTGCTATCTCCAGGACGAAGTCCATCACATTGCGCATGCTTTTTGGAAACTGCACAAATGGCAAAAGGACGAGGCAGCCGCGCTCGCCGATAAGTATACCCGACGAGCGAACCGGCACCGTGAGGTAGGCGGCGTTCTCTTATCCCGGCATGGGTACTTTGTCTGACAGGTACGCGCAGTACGCGTCCTTGTGCAAGAAATGGGCGGACAACGAGGAGCGCATGCAAAGCGAGGAACGTAAAGCGATGGTTCTTAAACGTCTGGAAGAGTGAGTGAGATGTCGCAGACTACGCGATTGGTACTGATGGTAGAATACAGCACGGTATCGAGGTTGCGCACACTCGGATGGGACAAAGAACTCGATTTTATACAGGCTCGCCAATATAAGCCTTTGTCAGATCATAAATTCGTACGCGTTGGGAAGAGACTCTCCGACCAAGGTCAGTCTCTGCCAACACAGGCGTCTGTATGCAGTACTCTGATAGATGTGATCATTCAGTTTGGCAGAAAAACGAAGAGGAGATGGTCCATCTCATGAAAAACGTCCGCAATGAACGCCTCGAGCACGACTACACGGTCGTGCTCAGCGAGCGCTGGCATGTCCTGGAGAGCGTGGTGAAAGAGTTTCTGGACCAATACCTCTGCGATCATCCGGAGATACTGGACTACGGGTTCAATATCGCCGATCTCGCGCTGACCAGGGAATATCGGGAGGTGATGTGTGTGCCTGCCGACCAGGTCGTGGACCGAGCAACTTTCCTTGCGCTGAAGGGGAAGACGGACACGATCGTCCGAAGATGGCGAAACAACGTACGGAAGCATTTTCATGGGCTTTTCGCCCAGTACGACGTCGGGACGCGTAATCATTCGGACCCACTGGATCTTGCAACAACGCTGTTTATTGACCTGAGGTCTGGCCAGCGCGTATTTTTCCCACAAGTGGTCGCCCGTAACTCGCGCCTTGCCACATCTAAGGACGGTAGAGACGCATACGAGAAGTTTGTCTATGGCCTAAAGGACATACACTGTTCTGTCATCTGCAGTATGCTTCGACCGTTGCAACCTACTGGCGTCGAGATCATGCAAGAAGTCATACAGCTCTGCGGAAAGGACCCGGCCACGGCAACTGCGAAGGCCATGGATACACTGGATGTCCGATTGGTCGACGATTTTGCGGGGAAATTCGTGACCTGGCGTGGTGCAGTAAGTATTTTGATGTCAACATTGGGTATGATCTTTGAACCTCGGTGAATGACAGGTGACTGAGGCCTCCCGTGGCGGCGCACAGAAGTGGCGACTAGTTAGTCGTCACGAGATGGCGAAGGTGAAGCAACACGAGATGTTTGTTCTGAACAAAGAGAAGCTATGGGCCTGCGCGAGGTGTGAGGCACGGCGCTTGCCCGTCACGCGAGAGGTAGTTTGGGCACATCTGTGTACGGAGTGAGCATACCTTCGACTCCTCCGTCGACGTGCCTAACTGTACCGTTATACAGACACGGCATCGAACATCCATGTATTGAAGACGCAGACGTCAAGGTGAACTGGTCCATGGCGTCATCTGTACTGGCAAGGCTTCGCATCACGCGCGCATCTGCACTGATGCCTGCTGCACGGCTAATCTCGTAGGTCAGACCTGGGTCAAGCACGTCAGCGGATTTGCGTTCCGAAGTGACTTGCTTGATTTGAGAGCATTGTTACATTCCTCCAACCTCGCTTCCGACATTCCTATTAGTTTTCTGTCGCTGTATAGATCTTGTCCACCCACTGTTACTAACTCTGACATGTATGTACTAGTACAACTACACATGTGCCAAGCGTCGGTCTATCGCTTGCCTTGTGCACCCTACATCGCTCCTGTTTCAATCTTGTGATGCATTTCTGTAACATAGTACATCATAGTGAACCCCGGATTTTCTTTTCGTGTTTTATGGAATAGAATTCACTTCAACCAGTCGATTGTCCTCAGATGCGGCGGCGCGACCTCAAGGTAGAATCTCAGATCTCAGATCTCAGATCCCAGCCACAGGCGCGCCGTGACGTGTAACGTGACCGTGGCAGGTGTGGCTCTGTGGCTAACCGCGTCGGAACTCAACAGCCACTCGCTCATTGTTCTCTCGTTTGCTCCATCACTACCTGCCACAACGCTTACGCGCAAACATGCCACCAAGAAGATCCAAACGAACAAAGCCCTCTTCCGCTGCAGCTGGGGTCACTGCCAAAACCGAGGCTCGATGGAAGAATGTACGCGGTCGACGGGGCGGATTGAAAGACATGCTGAATATGCCCATGGACATTGTTCAAGAGGTAGTTCCCAGCATCCCTGCGCACGGCATTATCCGAGGACTGATATCAATTCCCCTCGTAGATATGCTTGTATCTCCACCCCCACGACCTGCTGAATCTCTCTCGCACGACGAAGTCCTTTCACGTCTTCCTCATGAAGAGAAGCTCCGCATATCTGTGGAAGGGTTCATTGAAGAGTGTTGAAGGTCTGCCCCCATGCCCGAAGGGCTGGATTGAACCTCTGTGGATATCCCTTGTCTTTTCTCCGTATTGCACGGTACGTGATGTCTTGCTTGGCGGGTGTAGCTATTTATCTCATGCATGTCGGCGTTTATTAATGTGACCTACCTTCAGGAGTGCGGAGTAGGAAAGGCTACGACAGTCCATTGGACATTTCTTGCCCGTTTCTGTGCAAGCTGCAGGAAAGACATGTAAGCATGTCCATACGGGAGTCTTAACTGCGTTGCTAACCATGGTCTCGTCAAAAGGGTTGTTGCAAAAAACAAGGTGCATACAATCCTCGACGATACACAGTGGCGATACTTCGGCTATATAAACTCGACGGTATTCCTTGAGGTTTGTAGCCAGAAGTACTTTAGTCTCTGCCAGTGCTTTCTGACAGCATTTCTGTCAGGCAACGGTCACCGGTTTCAATGCACTATGCTATCTGCAGTCACAAGTCTTCAAATATGTCGACCAGTTCGGGAAGTTATATGCGTCTGGGAAGTGGGAAGAGGCCCGAAAACTTGCAAACAAGCATGCCCAGCGAGCGAAGCTCTCCCGAGAGGTATATATTCTTGATGAGTTTGATGTCTTCGCGTTTGACGCGTGCAATGGGACAGTATGCGGCTTCGTGCCACAAATGGGCCGCAAATGAAGAACGCATGCGGATTGCAGAGGCAGAGTCTGTCATCCGTGAACGCCTAGACGAGTAGGTGACATATGCATATCCATCGGGCTATGCTGACGATGTAATGTAGCATTGTCGCAAGATTGCGGGCACTCAATTGGGGGCCCGAGCTTGATTTCATACAGACTCGGAACTATACACCGCTCTCGGAGCACAAACTAGTGAGAGTCGCAAAGAGGCTCACCGACCGAGGTACGTACCTGTCATCATTCCGTGCAGACGATCCTTATCGATGACGGTTGTTGTCAGTCTGGCAGAATATGCAAGACGAGATCGTAAGAAGCATGGACAGCATACGTCAAGAGCGGCTAGAGCACGAGCATCGATCCCTCTTGACAGCGCGGTGGCCGATCCTCGAAAGTGCGGGGGGAGAGCTGTTGCACCGATATATCGGTGATCATCCTGAGTTGTCAGCTTATGGGCTGTACATCGCCGACTTTGCGCTACTCAAAGAGGTCCGCGAAGTCATGTGCACGCCCGCAAACGAGATCGTGGACGAAGCAAGTTTTCTTGCTTTGGAGGGTCAGATGGACACGATGGTCGAGAGATGGCGGGCGCGCATCTGCAAACAGCTCCGTGGGCTGTTCATCAAACACAAGGTCAAGACGCCTCGAGGAATGAATCCGCTTGACCTCGCTACAACGGTGTTCGACTTGAATCCCTACGGCTATACCACAGTCGCAACATTCCCCTCCGTTCTGACATACAGCGACACTGTGCGCTACCCCTGTACGCCGAAGTCCCGACGGAGCACGTACGAGCAGTTCGTTTACGAACAAGAGGGTGTGGATTCCGAGTTCACGAGCGACAAGATCAAGCCTAAAGAGCCCAATGACCACATGCGAAGGGTCATACAGCTCTGCGGCAAGAATCCGGAGACCGCAACGGCAAAGGAGATGGATGCGTTGGACATACGGTTGGTAAGCGAGCCTTCGGACGTGGTCGTGACGTGGCTTGGTGCCGTAAGTCCTAGTCGCGATATTGTTGGTATATCTGCACTTCGCTCACCTCGACGACACCATTTCACAGATGTTAAAGGCTGCCGCTCCCGGAGCCCATGCGCACAACTGGCGGCGAGCGACTGCAGATGAAACCGTCAAAACTAAAGACGTTGAGTCGCATATGTTGGCGCACCACAGCATATGGACGTGCACGAAATGTGAGGCGTCGCCCATTCCAGCGTCCCGAGACGCAGTACAGGATCATCTTCGTGACACGTGAGCAATATGCTTGTTCTCAGTTGTTGTATGCCTGACCGTGTGAGCCCTTAGACACAAGATTGGATTGACGGCCATCGTGGATGGAGATATCGAGATGAATGTGACCCTGGCAAATGCAGAACTAGCGAGTCTCCATGTCGCCTTAAGTAGGGTACTAGGTTGAACGCGATGCCGCAGAGCACGGCCATGCGGCATGGGGCCTTTAGCTGCCATTCGGCTCGTGGGCAGAAACCCGCGCACTGTACAGTATATTGATTTGACAAGAAACCCGGAACTTCGCTTGACTTGGACCAGAGCTTACTGTACATCAGATGTATCGTTTGCTTGTAATACACTGTAGCATCGACTAATAGCTATGCATACTTACTACTCCGTCTATCGAGTTCAATGATTACTTCACAGTCATTCCGCCTTTCATTCCCTGTCGTAGTAAAGTATGACTACCGAAAAGCTTATTGCGCGGATCACCTTGTTGCAACGCAGGTGCTTAACCCAAGCTTAAATAGGCTTGAAAAACTCAACTTCCCGAGATACCCAGAGGCCTCGCGAGCTCTCAAATCTCAGATCTCAAGACCCGCGGGCCGCGTCAAACCGAAGCCACAGACGCGTTACGTCCACGTGACTGATGCATAGTGTGGCTCCCTGGCCATTGCCGCGTCGCGCCTGAACGCAGGACTTATTAGCTGCAGCGCCACTAACTCATCCTTTCTCTCATCGTCTTCTCAACACGACAAACATCATGCCTCCGAAACCCTCCAAGCAGTCCAGGTCGTCGACGTCTACCAACGGGGTTGCCCCCAAGGCGGCAACAGTGGCACGGTGGAAGAACGTGCGCGGTCGACGGGGCGGTCTCAAAGACATGCTCAATATGCCCATGGACATCATTCGAGAGGTAAAGTGCCGCACGTATTCAGGCATAATATGGACCAGCACTGAATCAAACAATGTAGATTTGTCTCCGCCTTCATCCTCGCGACCTCCTGAGTCTCTCTCGGACGTCGAAGTCCTTCAATTCGTTCCTCATGCGGAGAAGCTCCGCATACCTGTGGAGGGGCTCGCTAAGGAACGTCGAAGGCCTTCCTCCGTGCCCCAGTGGCTTGATTGAGCCATCATGGGTGTCGCTCGTCTTCTCTCCGTATTGCACGGTAAGTGGTATAGTATATCATCGCCCTCGGTGTTGGTCTCACGTGTACCGGCATCAATGTGATGTGCTTCAGGGATGCATGGTGCGAACAGCACCGACAATATACTGGGAGTTCCGCGTGAGGTCCTGCGCAACTTGTCGAAGCGATATGTCAGTTCCTGCGTGCCATATACTCGTCAAACCGTGTTTACTGAAACGACCGGCCTTCATACACATAGGTTCATTTCCCAAGACCGAGTGACTGAGTCTCTGAACGGCAAACAGTTTGGATACTACAGTCGGTTGCCCCAAAACATATATTTGAAAGTATGCTTTCGTGTCCTCCGTCAATGAGTTAGAGTCCGTTTCCTGACCACACTCGCAGGAGGAGGTCGCCGGGTTCAAGAAACCCTGTTACTTGAAGTCTCAAATATTCGAAATTCTCGACCGTTGTCGCGTGCTCTCTGAATCTGGAAAGTGGGAGGAAGACCGGGCAGCGCTCGTTGAGACGTATGTTGCAGAGGCAGAGGCAGCGAGCGAGGTATGCCACAAGTTGACACCATCAGACCTCGTAGACCCTCTGTCTAATCTGTATTATGCAGCATGCAGCCTTGTGTCAAACGTGGGCACATAACGAGGAGTGCGCGCGGAGGCAGGAGGCTAACACCCTCATGCGTCAGCGCCTAGAGGAGTGAGTGATGCACCTTTCATCGCCTGGCGGTTGCTCACACCAATGATATATAGCATCATCCCAAGAATACGTGCCCTTGGCTGGGGCCCCGAACTTGACTTCATACAAGCTCGGGACTACGCACCGCTCTCGCAACACAAGCTGGTAAAGAGCACCAAGAAACTCACTGACCGAGGTCTGTCCCGCCTAAAGTCACGCTCAGATGAACAGATAAATACTGACGTCATCCTCTCGATAGCATGGCAAAAGATTCAAGGGGAGCTGATGTTGTGCATGGACGGGATCCGCGAAGATCGCCTCGCAAACGAGATCCAAAATACGTTGACGGAGCGCTGGACCGTCTTGAACAGATACGGAGCAGCACTTCTAGAGCGATACTTCCGCAAACATCCGGAGCTGCAACAGTACGGGTTGAACGTCGCGGACCTTGCGCTCTGCAAAGAGTTTCGGGACGTCATGACGGCACCTGCAGACGTGGTCATCGATGAAACGAACGTCCTGGCGTTGGAAGGACAGATCGGCGCGATCGTGGATAGATGGCAGGAAGGCGTTCGTGAACAACTGAGCGAAGTACTCGCCAAGCACAAGTTCGAGCGTAATGGAGGCACGGACCCGCTCGATCTTGCCACAACAATTTTCCATGTCGGGGAATATCCCAGATACGCATGGTTCCCAACGATCGTCGCAGACCGAGGTCTGCGCAACCCTACACCGGAGGCCGGGAGAGATTGGTACGAGAAGTTCGTATACGGCCAAAAAGTCGCACGCTGTTTTGTCGGCTGCGACATGCTTTGCCTGGTCCAACCTACGGATCGCATGCGGGAGATTATCCAGGTCTGCGGCAAGGACCCAAGCGCTGCGACCGCGGAGGACATAGACGCGCTCAACGTCCAGTTGGTCAGTGACACTTCGCCGGAGCCCACCACATGGCGTGACGCGGTAAGTGCGCGTATTGCATCTAGTTATGTCTCTGCTAACTGCCTACGTACCAGATGTTGGATGCGGCCAAGGATGGTTCCCAGAGGTGGTGGTTAGAGTCCCGCGGGGCCGAATCGCAATTTGTTTTTCCGACGCTGAAAGCAGAAGATCCTTGGTTGTGCGACACCTGGTCTGACACGAATGTCCGAGGTTCAGATACCTTCTTGTATAGGTGAGCTTCATGTCCTCCGTTACTGCCAACCGACCTTACACTGTTACAGCAACTGCTCTCCCAGGAACGATGACGGACATCACACCGAAGCGGACTGGATGGGTCCGAGTCCGGCGTCGTTGGGTGCACCCATATGGCGTCCCATCCACCCCAACAGTATAGCCCGACGGTGACACCTCTGGATATACCCGCGAACTCCTCATACAGCTCGGATGCTCTAGCATCGACGCTTGGTGGACACTGTCATCAACTGGGGCCGTTCCGTCATACCCTAGTTATTCCTGCATTAGTGAATTGATTCGTTTGTTAAGTACCGCTGTTGTACACTACTATACCGAGGAACCGGATGTACGAAGAAGTTGTGCGCATTGCGATCGTTGCGGTGAAGTCCTGGTCAGGACTGCAGTCGTCTTCAAGTTGTAGTCGCCAGTCCTCGATCGTAGATCGCTCTGGCCGATAGGATCACATCTCAGATCTGCAGGACATCGTGCGCGCCCGACGTCGGCGACCTTGAGGCGATTCATACTACTCTCCGTCGTCGGTGGCCATTCGACTCTCCTTCAGGCTGACGGCCATCTGATATCTATATCTCGCTTTTGCGGTGTCTCTTCCGCACGAAGCTGGAACGTCAAGATGTCAACAAGACCGCGTTTGTCAATAAGCGACATGATACACCGAGGCGTGCTATACACGCTAGTGGGTATCAGCGTCTGGGGTGTAGTCATGATAGGCGTTGTGCACCGGGATACGCTTAAACGAGGCCGGGGTGCGTGATTTGTGCTCTATGTATACGCCTGAAAGCTGACCTATGTCTCGCAGAGGTTCGCATGTCTTGACGCACTTCGCGCTGCGGGATGAGCTCATACGGTTCACCGACAGGCCCTCGCGTTACATGAAGCCAATAAACGGAAGGAGGAGGAGGTAAGATGCATATCCTGCTGTGAGGGTGGTGCTACAACGGTTGGCGCAGGCTCAGGAGAACGAGGTCGCGCTTGCACAGGCGGCGCAGGCAGCCCTCGACAAGGGCGGCAAGTCCTGGTAGCCTACATGCAGACTGTCCTGCGACAGAGGCTGCGAAAAGGTGTGCATGTTGCTCTGCAGTATTCCACTACATCATACTTATCAAAGGGTAGGCCTGCACGCCGGCGAGCCGTACCGTCTATCACGCGCATTGCATCCATGTTGTCTCGATATCGCTACTCCATTGCTAATCCCTGCTATCTATAATAACACTGTTGTGTTCCGCAACATGCAGCGCTGGGTTGAGTTCGGTGAGAGTGTCTCTTTGAACTAACGACAGAACATTTCTATTGCGCGATGGAGACAACGAGTCCCGGAGGCTTGCTTGTTCTTGATGTCTCAGTATATTGCTCCAACGGCGTATATGCTTGTTCTCTCTACACAGATGCCCATAGGTTGCGACTATGTCGGCTTTTCTGGCCTCATATAACCATGTCTGTTGGCGTTCTACTAACCCAGCGAGACACAGTCCCACCCCGTACTCGTGTCACCGAACAATCGACCATTTCACAATCCAGTCAAACACCAAAACACCTACCTGTCCAAAGAACCGGAAAATGAGGCACCATGGCTCCCTAAAACTTGTGGCCCACGTTCATGGCTCCAATGCGCGATGGATTGTATCTCGAACTCGCAAATCACGCCCAGACGAGCCCAGTCGCGGGTGTTCCCAGGACTCCACTGTAGTAACGTCAGTTAGTGCCTTCGCTCGCATCTACGCACTGGAATACAAAGGTTCTGTCAGCCACGGCGGAGTCAGTCGTGGAGTGCGGCGACTAGGATCCCAGTGTGTTTGGTTTGTGGTTTACGAACGTCGTGTCAGAGACACTGCGAAGGGGTATTGGACGTTCAATCCTCTGGTCTTCACCGACTCTAGGCACCAACGAGACGTGCCGCGTCGGAACATGTTGCCGGTACATCTCGTCGGCCGTTGGCTTCGATAGGTCCATTTGGTCGTAGTGAGCTGCTGCTCATCACTTCGATCCGGTTTCAACATCCCTGCAAGGGGACTCGACGGGATAGCGGTCGGTTCAAGCGAACTGTGCTGCTACGGCGTCCGTTCTGTTCCAGTTATGGTCCCACAATGGCACTAGGCAAGGGCAAGTTACGCGCAGCTTCGACTGGTAGGCCATTTTGGGCTGACCGGCTTCCTTGACTCCGCGCGTTGTTTCTGCATGTACTTCGGCGATTCCAGCCTTCTGCTCAATACGCAATGCGCAAAATGACGTAGAGCACTGGCTTGCACCGTATGCGGTTTGTTCGGATGCTTCATATGTATAAATTCTGTGTAGACCCGATTCCCTCCAAGTTCGTGTGGATGTAACTTTGTATGCCTGCGGGCTTCGAGTGAACAAGCACTCGAGTATAATTCGGCCGCCATCAGAGCTTTATAACCTTGCTACGCGATATCATTTTGTCCCTCGTTCCCTCGGATTACTTCTCAAAATCCCATCGTCCGGACTCCGTACCTTGCCATCTGAGTGGACGGAACGATCTGTATGCTGAGGTTCTCGTGCTGCTGCCTGCAAACGGCGGTGGCTGTCACATCTGGGGCATGAGCAGCAGCAGCTTGCCAAAGCTTCATCTGACATTTGTGACTTCCAGGAGCCTATGACATAATATGTTACTTTTTGGACCAGCAGACGACGTTGCCGGTACGACCACGTACTGTAGATCACATATAGAGTGGACGATCGGGCATGCTTCGAGCACCATTGAATGAGTCAACCTCCGAGGTCAGATCGACATCTTCCGGGCAGCCTCTCGTCTCCTCCACGCTCTTCGTAGCTCACGAAAACAAAACATAAGTATCGCGTCCATATCTCGGACAAAATGATGCGAGTGGGATTCGCATCCCAATTTGCTGTGGCGTCGACGTGCCGTGGGTTCGAATCCCATTCGTTGGCATGTCAAAAAGCAACTGATGAGAGTGGGATTCGAACCCACGCCCTTTCGGACCAGATTCCAACGGTGGTCACCGCCTTAGTCTGGCGCCTTAGACCGCTCGGCCATCTCACCATGCATACCAAAGGCAAATAGACAATCTCAATATAATATCAGGCTGCAATCTTCGTAAACTGGAAGTCAAGTACAACTCAAATGCAACTGCGGCTGCAGGATGGCATGGTGCTGAGCGCTCAGCCTGGATGACCTTAGAAGTAATAGAACATACAGTTGTGTATGCAAGTAGCAGGATCAACTGTTCACATCGGAGTGAATGTGTGAGTCTCGCTTGATGGGCGGGGGCGGTCTTCGTGATTAGCGTCATTAATCATGGTGGGTGACTTCCAACTCACGGTGGTGACTGCTAAATCATTACCGTCAACGGTGGGCACAAGAAGTAGGTGAGATAGATACCTGCAGCATTACATTGGACTTGCATGAGACCGGGGGTTCGACGACCAGATACCGTGAGGCTTCGCATGATGTCATAACCAAGAGATTTACCCATTCTAGATTGGAGAATGGATCGCAACATCGACAGACGAGCTTCGACATGAGCTCACCTAAGCTATCCCCAGAACCACCATCATGTCGTACCGCGCATTTAGCTTCATTGTTAGCGGCAAAGTACAGGGCGTTTTCTACAGAGCTTTCACCAAGGACATTGCCCACGATACAGGCGTCGTTGGCTGGGTAGCCAATGATACGGTCAGTAGGGTGATATTCTCAGCTGAAGCTTGAAGGCGGGGCTCACCATCCTTGTGCAGACGGGTCATGTAGTTGGAGAAGCTCAGGGTAGCGAAGGCGCCTTGGATAGATTGTGAGAGCAAATCTCATAGACCAAGATGTCGGGTGGTTGACTTACAAACAACTCCACTACACAGCAAGAAGGTCTTGCACACCGGTCCACCGCATGCTATCGTCAAGAACGTGGAGCTCTCGAACGAGCGCGTTCTTAATCAGCTCGAGTTCGACGTCTTCGAAGTCCGACGGCGATAGACATGGGAGGCGTTGGGTGTTATGGTGAACACGAACGAGAACGCTACACCGTTCGAAATTTGAGTCCCAGGGCCTAGGGTATCTTGTAGTTGACTTTGGTCGAATGTATAGTGTGCCAGTGTACGGAACTTCATCGCGACCTTGACAACGATGACGGCCCGCGGCGCCGCGCACACAGAAATGATACTTAGTTGTGGCAAAACTGTAACGGGATTCATTTCATTTCTGCCAAGTGCAAGCCTGAATTTCGATGCGATAGTGCCAGGCTCCAGCAGCAGTGAACCAGGGTCGGAATTTCTGTCGGATATCCATCGACAAGCTCAACCGAAAAGTGATGTCGCGCTCGACCGCGCATCCCGTTGTTTGCGCCGACCAAACAACCTCCTCAATGCTCACGAATATGGATCCTCCAACTCTCACTCGCGCACGCCGAGCCCTGGCGACCGCAACACGTTCTCGAACGGTGCCCTTTGACTCTCTACTGTCTCAGGAGGCTACTAGTGCAAGAATCTCGCGAAACCGTCTAGTATCTGGGTAGATCGACTGACTGGACCCCTTCTCACGCGCTTGCCCATGCGTGTCCCTGCGCGATGAACGGTCTGAACACTCGGGGACGTTCCAAACAGCCAGGAACATCTAGAGGCACACGTGTGGTTGCTCTGCGGAGGAATTCAAGCGATGGAACTCAGGTTGTCGAGGAATTGAGTGGCGGGGAGGAGCGTGTCGTGAATGAACGCGCTCGCATGGTTCAGGAGAGGCAGGCGGAGATGGGCGAAGTCGCGGATAGACATGACACCTACGTACGTCCTCTCTTTTTCTCCAGACTTGCGGTATACAAGGATTGACAGTCCCTTTCTGCCTCGGCACGAACCCTGTTCATGTGTTGTAGGTGCGCGAACGGTTCCACCTCGAGCAGTTCGTCACACTAGTCTCCTACGACCCCAAGGTACGTCTATTAATGCGTACGGTGCACTGTCTTCCTTATCATGTCCTACAGACTGCCAAAAAGGATGATTCAACCGTATTCCGCGAGGTAGGCCCCGCACTTAAGTTGTGGCACCAATTGTCTCTGTTCAAGGGAGCGAAATGGCGATAGATACCCTTGTTATGGTCCGCGCTGGTGTGTCTGCGTGATCCGCCAGTCGAGCCTACCTTGATCCTTCATGGCCGTGCGGATGCACTTAAGAGGGTATCCATCGAGATTTCGTTCGCGGGCAGTATGTGCACGATTACACGGGACCCCAGCTTATGTGCCATGCGGGACGGGCAGCATGGCCTAAGCCCAGGGCGAGTATTCGTACTTCCGAAGATTGAGGATGTGCGTTTGCCAAACTGTCCGTTCTCGCATATATGCACTCCACAGGCCAGTATGTCCTCTTCCAAGCAAGATGGTAAGACGCTTCGACGTAGGCTTGAGGAAATGTCCGGAGGACGTGTCTGCTCAGAGATTTCTTCGGCCTGTGGGCGGATCAGGCATCCGGGTTCATGAATGGGGGTCCTGAGCACAAAGAGCCTCTGGTTGCCGAGCTACGCTGGGGAGTGAGAGGATAATCGTCGACTGCGTGAACCACTGGTTCTCGCTTTCATCGCATCGCTTCCGAGCTGTGTATCTGCAGCGTGCACATTGCTGAACTTTTCCAATAGTACAAATCGAAGTACGATCTAGTTCAAGAACCCAACGCTACCGGCACATCGCGGCGCACACGAAGAGCCCGCACCGGGCGCATGCAAGGTACAGACACAACTCCTGTCCAAAAAAATATCCCTAGAGGGCCAGACGATGGCGCCGCCATGACTGCTGCGTCGGGCGTGGCGCCGTCGATATCAGCGCCTGTGAGGCCAAAGCCGTCACGCCTGATGCTTCCTCCAGACGTTCCAGCCAACGCTAGCGCACACGTCGGCAAGGGGAAGGGGAAGGGGAAGGCGGTAGCCGAACTGCCACTCTCCGTTTCTCCTGCAAGACGCCAGTCTCGGCCCACAAAAGCGCGAGATCGCAGCACGGAGCTCGAGGATCTGCCTCCACCGAAGAGGAGGCGGATCGAGTCCAATGGCCTGTCCTTATCTGCTGCTCACCGAGAAGATGTAGCACAGCCTACGGATCGCCCTCCGGAGTCGATATCTGCGACGCCGTCCGGCCGCCGCAAACCTAGAAGGCAGCTATCGCCACCCAGAGGTTCAACCTCTTCAAGACGCCGGGCAGAACCTGTCTCACCCAGCCAGTCGCCTCTCAAACGCATTAAGCTCATCGTTCGTCGCCCGGATCCTGTGTACTCGAGTCCCGTGCAGAAACCACCACCGCCGACTTCTGAATCACTGTTCGCCCTGCTTACCTCTTACACAACTTTGAACGGTAACGACGTGAGCCAGAACGAGGTCGAGGACCACGTCCAACAAGTTGCAGACTTCTGGCGACGCGCCGACGCGATGCGTAAGGAGGGCCGATTCTTTCCGGAGAGCGTCGGTGACGAGTCTCTGCGCGTCAGCCCTCTCCAGAGAGACGCGTCCATGAATCGCAGCCAAGACACGTGGGCACATGTCCTCGAGGCGGTTAAAGCCCGTGCGGAGTATCGCCCGACCAGTGGCCGACAGGTCGCTGCACAAGTCGCGAGCAGGGTCCGGGCGTATTGGGAGACCCGGGCCGTGAAGGACGACAAGATGAAGCTTCAGGACGAGAAACGGCTGCGTGCGCTCGCGAAGGTGACGATCAGGCATGTTATAGACGAGTGGAAGAAGGCCGTCCATGTAAGTCTCCCGGGCTCTCGCGCGTAGACTCAACTGACTGAATCATCTTGTAGCACATCCGCAGAGAAGAGCAGCTTAGGCGCGAGGAGGAAGAGCGGATACGGGGACAAGAACACCTAGATGCTATCCTCAACCAGTCCGGCCAAATCCTAACCGCTCAGCAGCTTGACCTGAGCAAGACGACCCCGCGCAGTCGTTCTAGCAGCGTGTCGGCAGCACTTGGTCACTGGGCATCGGCATCGCCGGAACCAGACGACGCGCTGTCCAGTGAAGCAGAGGAGGCGGTTGCCTCTGATGATGAACCCGAGGAGAACGACGAACCCGAAGGTGAACAGGGTGTCGACACCAGTATCTTGCTCGGCGAAGGCGCGGAAATGACACCTCGTAGCCCGAGCTCCCGGTCTAGGTCGTCGATGGGACCGCCGACAACCGATGACGCGTCTGCCCGACAATCACCGGAGCCCGACTTTGAGATCGGGCCCGCGTCACAGTCACGACGCAGTGTCTCGATCAGCGAGTCTATCCAAGCTCGAACACCATCGCCCAGTCCGACGCCAACTGTGGAGACGCCTGTGCCGCTCACCTACAGCCCCAGCAAGGCTGATTGGGAAAACATATTCCCGTTCGCCGGCTCTTCCAGTTCTTTGGACTTCTCTCCGCACGATGAACTGGTCATTTCCGCTGCGGCATCGAAGACCCTCGCGGACACCAGGGTGAATCTGGACGACGATACGGAGATTCCATCTGTCTACGCTGTCTCGACGAATGGCGCCACTACCGACTACATGGATGTCGATGAGGACGTCGATCAACTTGTCCCTGCACCGGAATTCCAAGATGTGCATACCTCTAAATCACCGCCTATGGCTGCCGACGCGCCACACGAGGGGGACATACGACCGTCAACTCCACAACCAGATCTCCTGACTGCCTCCACGCAAGATCGTGAATCAGAATCAGCCATACCAGACACACCACGCGTGGAGAACGAGATCGACGATGCTGAGGAAGAGGCGTTGGCGTTGTCATCAATACCTGTCTACTTAAGGCCGTATGCTGTTGCACCAGTCGAATGGGACCCATCGACGCCCGTCAAGGCGCCTTTCCTCCTGCGTGGCAATCTACGGCCGTATCAGCAGTCAGGTTTGGAGTGGCTAGCTAGTCTCCATACGAACAACCTCAACGGAATCTTAGCCGACGAGATGGGTCTTGGGTAAGTCCCGTGCGCTTTCCTGTATTGCAGAATACTGAACCAACTATCACAGCAAGACAATCCAGACGATATCCCTACTCGCTCATCTTGCCTGTGATCGTGGCATCTGGGGTCCACATCTTATCGTAGTCCCTACGAGCGTCCTACTGAACTGGGAGATGGAGTTCAAGAAGTTTCTTCCCGGGTTCAAGGTCCTCAGCTACCATGGGAACACCAAGCAACGCAAAGAATTGCGACAGGGCTGGAATAACAAATACCAATTTAACGTTTGCGTGACCTCATACACGCTAGCGAGCCGCGACGCGCACGTCTTCAAGCGCAAAGCGTGGTACTACATGATCCTTGACGAGGCTCATATGATCAAGAACTTCCGGTCACAGCGATGGAACATCCTCCTCATGTTCCGTTCCTTTCGCCGCCTCCTCTTGACTGGTACACCGCTGCAGAACAATCTGACGGAGTTATGGGCGCTGCTGCAGTTCTTGATGTCGGGTACAAACTTCGCCAACCTCAAGGAATTCGGTGACTGGTTTGCGAGTACGCCTTCGACCTCTTTCTGGTAAGTTCGTTCACTGACCCGCGCATACAGATCCTCTGGAAAAGGCAATCGAGATGGGCACTATGGACGATGAGACTCAGCAACGCGTCTCGAAGCTTCATATGGTGCTTCGCCCCTACCTCCTCCGCCGTCTCAAGCGCGACGTCGAGAAAGAACTGCCGCAGAAATTCGAGCACCTTGTCATGTGTCCCCTGTCGAAACGGCAGCGCTTTCTTTACGACGAGTTCATGGCCCGCGCGGATACGAGGCATGACCTCCAGTCTGGTGTCTACCAGAAGATCGCGAACATCCTCATGCAACTGAGGAAGGTCGTCAATCACCCGGACCTATTCGAGGTTCGTCCCATCGTCACGTCCTTCGCCATGGAGCGCTCCGCCATCGCCGATTTCGAGATCAAGGAGTTACTCGTGCGCCGGCGGCTTCTCGCAGCCAGTGAAGAGGAACAGTTGAATCTGGACCTCCTCGGGCTGCAGTTCATTCAAAGGCAGAATACGTCGTATTTTGCTTCGGCCGAAGTACGATCTCTGGATGGAACTCCCCGGTTGCCCACGATCACCGAGCTCCCAGGCGAGCCACCACCAAGGGACACCCGTACGATCTTGGGCTTCAAACGATATCGAGAGTGGTCTCAACGTGCTGCAGAAATTGCGAAGTGGACCCATTTCGGATATATTAACAGACTGCGATGCTCCATGATGCCGATCTACAGCCAGGAGCTGATTCACACCAGCCAGCGGTTTTTCTCTCCCTTGCTACCTCTCACCACGATGGATCGGCGGTCTTGGGCCGTGTCTGACAAGCTCCACTCTATGGTCAAGTCATACGCTGACCGAGTCGAAGGGATGGCCAGCGTAGTCGACCGATTCACGTTCGCGACTCCAGCTGTCGTGGCACGGGATCTCCCTCGTATCACGCTGGCTGGACATGAAGAGGCCGTCCAGGCTCTACTTCCCGATCCCGAGTTCGACAGCAATCTCCACCGTGCTGCTGTAAAGCTGCAGATCGCGTTCCCGGACCCGTCCTTGCTACAATACGACTGTGGCAAGCTGCAAGAACTCGCGAAGCTGCTGCGAGAACGCAAAGCGGGCGGCCACCGCATCCTCATCTTCACCCAGATGACGAGGATTCTGGATATACTAGAAACGTTCCTCAACTTTCACGGCTATCTGTACCTGCGCCTGGATGGTTCCACCAAAATCGAGGATCGACAGTACATCACGGAGCGATTCAACTCTGATTCGCGCGTATTTTGCTTCATTTCCTCGTCGCGCTCCGGCGGTGTTGGTATCAAGTACGTCGCAATCATCATGATCGGTCTTATTAACTGACGATTCCTGTCCTGTCCAGCTTGACTGGCGCAGACACTGTCATCTTCTACGACAGTGACTTTAACCCACAGATGGACCGCCAGTGCGAGGATAGGTGAGCATTGTCTTTCATAATGGTGATTGCTATGCCCTAACCCGACTGTAGGGCCCATCGCATCGGCCAGATCCGGGACGTCCACATCTACCGCTTCGTCTCAACGCACACGGTCGAAGAGGCGCTGCTGCGCAAGGCGAACCAAAAGCGGACGCTCGACAACATCGTCATCCAGAAAGGCGAATTCGACTGGCACTCACTGTTCTCCAACGAGGCAGAGAAAGAGCTGACGAAAGCATTGGGAGACGTCGAGGATGAGGCGGACGCATTGGCGGCTGCCGCCGCGGCGCGAGAGGAAGTCGAAATCATTGGTGAGGATGAGCGAGACTTTGAAGCGGAGGGCAGTGAGGAGAAGGAGCGAAAACGAGTCGCTTTCGAGGAGAGCCCAGTGGATGGAGCAGTCGCCGAGGAGGAGGAGCGTCCTGCGGAGGAACAGGAGGCGGAAGAAGACGACGAGGAAGGTGGGACTACGGTTGACTATATGCTTGCCTTCGTGCGCTCCGACATGGAGCATTTCGCGGACTGGCGTCTCTGACGCAGGGATTCCTTTCCGCGCTCTAGTCTGTTGTTTGTACCGTATGATATATTGCCGATATGCCTCTGCGAATACGTCTGTACTTACTTGTTGCGTTATCCGGTACTAATCGCTATGCACGTACCTCGCCGTCGTGTATGTTCTAGTAATCCAGTGGTGTTGACGAAATGCTTGTCTTGGAGCTTCACACGCACTAGTGATATAGACTTTGTGATGAATGTCCAGATTAAACAGCTAATGGCCCATAGTATGTTGTCGCAAGCAAATAGGAGCAAACACTCACTGAATTACCGCGCAGTGGCGCAGTACTGTAGTGGCGCGCATCTCGTTGGCCTCTGCCTTACGCCTTCTAAAAGTCGGGTGGCTTGACTTCTAGGTAGATACGATTGCGCCCGGTGAAAACACTACGCGTGCAGTAAATCCGTAAGAGACAGGAGGCATACTAAACTTACAATAGTAGTAGACGCGAGCGTGAAGCTCGGACAAGCGCTGGTGAGAGCAGTCCGACCGAAAGTCAGTTATCCTCGTTCTCTCCTCACACTCACGTCCGTCTAACCTTGCTATACCCATTCAAATAGCATCGACCCACCCATTAAAACAATCAAGACACAGAATATATGCGAGGTCACACAAGAGGTACTGCATCCATGTACGCGCGCTATCATGGAATCCCCGCCGCATCATGCCAACTTGAAGTGTCAGGGGGGCTCATGCACATGGTAACCGCACTCACGACTTGAGAGAGCGCTTGGAAGGGACACAAGGTGTGTGGGGCGATTGGCCTGAGAGGTGTGAAGTGAAGAGGCAGCCACGGGGTCGCAGAGCGGTGCGACAAGTCCAGAGATAGAATGTCCCTCAACTCGTCTCCGAGTCTACCTGCGCAATTGGTGCATACCATTAATATTGACCCTCGTGATACTGACCACGTTGCAGAAGTCGATTTCTCTTGCTATCTGTCGTTGCAAGTCCTTGCTGCCAAGCGTAGCTCGAGGTCTGAAATGTTGAGCGTTCAACTCGTTGAGCGCTGTTGAGCAAGTCCGACTCGGAAGCAAGTCAGGCCGTTGACGGCGTAACGCTATCTCTAACGTGCTAACGCGCCAATTCTAAAGCAAAGTCCTGTCGTTCATGACGGCTTTCTGCCGTCCGCCATCTTGGAGCATTCTCGGGCACGTTGACCACTTCCCTGCAGCTCCGGGCAGCCTCGGGCAGGTGCGATTTTCACTGGGTCTGACGTCGGGCGGTCGTCTTAGTATTATTTTTAAGCGGATGGTCCGCACTCGGCAATACTTTCGAAACATACAAGTCACAACATCTATTTTTTTTTTTTTTTTGGAGGGCTCTAGTAGACGGTAGCATTGGCCAATCGGGCCAACCATCCGTCCAGCCAGCCAGCGGATATCCGCATCGCTTCAGGGAAAAATGCTTTGCGCACGGTCGTTTCCGACCAGTGTGGGGCTCTCTCATCCGGGGTCTAACTCATAGCCCGCGGACGGAATACCCACTAAAACCCCTTCGCGCGATCTATGGGTGTAGAGCGCGCGGTTATCAACGACTGCGTCGTGCCATGTATCGGCATATATATCTCGTCTCAGCGCTTTCCGGCCAAAACGGGGGTGTGTGGTTGCCGCATCGAGGTGCAGCCTTTGATTCATCGTCGAGGCCCATCGGCTTCGTAGCTCGTTGCTGCTGTGCGCCCATCTCTCCTCCTCCTCGTGTCCGATGACCCTTTCGCAGCGCAGCTTCCATATTAGGAAAGCAGACTCGGAGATTAGAATCCGCCACAGTCTCGTGGCTCCGTGGTTTTGCTTCTTATCGTTGTAGCTCCACTTCCGGCATCCGAGGCCCAGTATCTCGCTGGTAGACGGGCTTTGCCATCGTAGGCCTTTGTTCTCCCAGAGTGACCTCGTCATGTTCCATATTGTCATCTGGCCAGGCGCTGTGCACTCGGTGAGTATGTGTTCAATACTTTCAGTCTGACCGCACCACGAGCACCGTGCGCGTTCCTCGTAGCCCGGGATATTTAGCCAGAAAGATCCGCACCGGTGTGCGTTGTGCAGAGTTTTCCATAGGAAATCTTTGATTTGGTTTCGTATATCTACGTGCCTTACTCCTTTCCAGATATCTTGCTCTGACAATCTCGTGTTATAGGTGGTCTTAAAATGTTCTTGTATGTCGCGGAGGTTGCGGTCTCTTCCTCGGCGTATCGGTGCGTCTTTCTTTGCTCGGATTCCTTTATATGCTAGTGACTGTGTGAGGGCTGCTAGCTTGACGCCTGAAACGGTGAAGGGTCCACTTGGCTGCTCCGCCAGCGTGGTGACGTTATTCAGTAGGAGGGCCTGCTGGGCCCTTTCTTTTGCCTTTTTGATAAGGGCCTTCTCATGTTCCTCGTGAGCAGGTTTTATTGTGGTGACTGCGATTCGTTGCCTTAGTCTGTTCACCAGTTGCTGCCATAGTGGTGCGTTTGCTATTCCAATCCAGCCCCGGTCTTCCCAGAGTGGGACTTTGGTTATCAGGGCGTCGCGGAGCCTAGCGTCTGCGGCAATTATCTGGAGGGGCGCATCTAGGGGAGTTTGTGTGGCAGCATATAGCGCGGCGGCCAGCTCGCCGGACATCGCGTTGCCGTTGGGGGTTTCAGGGGACGGCATGCGAACTAAGGCTTGGTCGCGTCGGGCGTTTGTCAGATGGGTGTACCCGTATCGGTTAATGTTCATCCCTGAGGGGGTGTTTTGTTGTTTGATGTCGGTTCCACGGACAATGTACGCTGTCGTGGCTTCATCCGTTACTATGATGCCTGCTCTGCGGCGTATGGCAGGTGGGGCGTCGTGTGCTGTAGCGCTGACGAAGGCCCTGAAGGTTGCACTCACAGAGTCCGAGGACGTAACCGATGGGTTGAAGATCATGAGTGCCCCCGCCGTTGTTTCTGCGGTGTGGTTCTCCTCTTTGCGACGTGCTGTGAGTGTGAGGCCATCGTTGTGTGTGGTGAGTAGTGGGTCCCATTTCGGTTTGATTTGGTTTAGGATCGTGTTACACGCGAGCCTACATTTCTCAGGGTTCTTACATCCCTTCGATCGGGCCTCAGTGCAGTCTGTGCATGTACATGCAGTTTCGGGTGGCGCGAGACCATCGACTATGGCGGTGTGCATCGTGAAGTCTAGGGCATCCGCCACGGTCTTTATGCCATGGGTTCGTCGTAGGCAGTCGCTCAGGCTTGTGTTGTTTAGGCGTCTCAGCTTGGCTTCTGCGCCTAGGTGGTACCATACGGGGAGGGATCTCTTTAGGGTTCGGCTAAGTTTGATCGCTTCCAGGCTTACGCCGTGCTTCTTCGCAACACCGAGCATCGTTTTCAGGTACCCTGGGAGGCTGGATCGTCCTCTCAGAGCGGGTCGCCAGCTTTGTAGGAAGCTGTTGATTTGTGATTCTGGGCGTATGGCTCCTGCGTCTTTGGAGACGTTGTGATTGAGGATGGCATCTACAACGAACGCCCACTTAGGGCGGGACGGTGTGAGGTCGAGGTATTTACCGATCCATGTGAGGTGTATTGCCTCGTTTCTCGCGCTAATATCAAGTAGGCCTATGCCACCTTCTGATTGTGGCTGATATAGGTGATCGAGGCTGATTGGTGGTTTCTTGCCGTCCCATATGAAGTCTCGAATCATATGGATTAGCTCGGATTCAACCGACTTCGGCATGCCTTGTACCTTAGCTAAGTACTGTGTTATTCCACCGGGGCCCATTTGGATGATGTGCCTTTTCCCTTTCAGTGTAGGGTGGCATTTGCCCCAGCGTTCTAGGAAAGCCTTGACCTTGTTCATCACCGGGGCCCACACCGCAACTTGATCGACCCCGTTACCAATCCAAGCACCTAGGACGCGTACGGCTTCGCCGTCGTCGGCTATGTTGATGTCTGGCGGTATGCTTCCGTCATGGCTGTTCGCGTTGATCTTGCGGTGTTCATGCACAAACCGTCTGTACTCCTCAGTTCCGACCGGGATGACCTCGGTCTTCCCTCTGTTGAAGCGGGCTTTGGCGGCACGGCACCATTTTTCTAGTATGTCCCAGAGTTCCTGCCATGTGTCGTGTTTAGACAGGAAAGTTGACGTGTCGTCAGCGAAGAGGGAGGCTATTAGCCTCTCGGTCATGCCTTTGACACGGATGCCTCGCAAGGAGGAGGACCTAAGGGAGCATGCGAGAGGTTCTATCGCGAGATCGAATAGGAGGCAGGACAGAGGGTCGCCCTGCCTTACTCCTCTTATAACTCGGTATGTTGTACTTCGCTCGCCGTTTATGATTACGATGGTTGTTGCGTTTTGGTACAGATACTGTACTATCCTAATGAATTTGTCCGGTATCCCGAAGGCGGCGAGCGCGGCCCATAGGTAGTCATGTGAGATCTTGTCATACGCCTTTTCTTGGTCCAGCGCAATGATGACTCCGTCTTCCTCTAAGGCTTCAGCATAGTCTATGACTGACCTGCATAGCTGCGTTTGGTCTTCTATGTGTCTTGTCGGCACAAAGCCGGCCTGGTCGGGGTGGATGATATCCGTCGCAACTTCGTTCAGTCGTGAGGTGAGTAGCCTGGTGTATAGTTTGTAGTCTGTGTTGAGTAGTGTGATCGGTCTATAGTTCGCAATGTTGCGTCTGTCGCCTTTCTTGTACAGAGGGCACATCCATCCGTCGGCGAAATGGGAGTTTCTTATGGGGCCGTGTCTTTCGAAGTCGAGGTATGCCAGCTTGAGAAAGTGGATTACATCAAACCCTGGTTTGTCTGCCCGTTCGGCCGCTCTGTGCAGCTCATCGAGTGCCCTCCAGAATTCATAGGTTATGCCGTCCAGGCCCGCGGCTCGGCCGAGCCCTGCCTTCTTTAGGGCATCTGCTACTTCATCTCGGGCGATCGTGTCTTGGAGGGTTACACTCTGCGGACTGGTGAGTTTCGTCACCACGGTACCTAGGACGTCCTGAATATCTGCCTGCCTTATGTCGTCCGGCACTGGCTGAGTGTCGGCTTGTAGCTTTTCGTGGTAGTCTCGGGCTAGCTCGGCCATCTTCTCTGAGCGTTTTTCGTATTCGGGGGTGGCCGTGTTCGGTTTTAGCAGTGAGTGGATTGTGTCCCTTGGTTTTGCGTCTTTGTTGATTGTCGACCAGTATTTACTGGGTATCTCTGCGTTTAACGCATATCGTGCAGTGGTGGCCGATTTGTTGTCTTGGTACCGTTTTTTCAGTAGCTCTATCAGTCGGTCCTGTAGTTTCTTTGATTCTAGCTGAGCCGTCTCATCTGTTACGAAGTTGGCGCCATTCTGTGTTGTGTCAATCTCGCTCTGGGTCTTCTTGATCGCGGCATCGATCTTTGGTATTTTAGTTCTCAGTCTGTTCCTGGCTAGTTTGACGACATCATCTTTGAACGACTGTAGGAATACCTGTGCGTTATTTCGATCATCTCGCTGGGGATGCTCTTTCGCTGTCATGTTGTATTTTATGCCGAGTTTGACACACTGCGATAGATACTCGCTGTCTCGGAGTATGTGTGCCGGCATGGCCCATCTACCTTTCCCGGTGAACGGTGCGTCTTCTGAGCTAATGCGGGCTGTGACTAGTTTGTGATCTGTGGAGATTCCGGTGCTTAGGACGTTCCAGTCGTATGAGGCATTCAGCATGTTGCGCCTGACGTAGATTCGATCCAGTCTGGAGCGTACGGCGGCGCCGCGCTGGGGGAACGTGTAGTCTTTCTTGGCGGGCTCAGTTTCTCGCCATCCGTCGGTCATGCTTAAGTACCTGGTTAGTGTCTTCAGGGCCTGGACGGCGCCGGCTGGGTCTTCTCGGGTTGGCAGCCTGTCTATCGATTCCTCGACTATATTGAAGTCACCCAGCATGACGTCAGGGCGCGGGATTGGCTTCGTTCGGAGCTCGTTCAGTATGTGCTCCCAGAAGGCTTGGTTGTCGGCTGCGGTATTGGGGGCGTATACGTTGAGAACAGTTATGTCCTTCTCTCTGTGCCATGGCATTTTGAGTAGGATGGCTCGTCCAGGTACAATGTTGTGTACTTTCAGGTCCGAGACGTTTACTATTTCTCGGTTTAGCACAAAGGCTACGCCTTGCGCGGAGGTGGCGTTAGGCGCAGCGTTGATTATGACGTGTATACGTCGTCCATACAGCCTATGTATGGATGCAACCCATTCATCATCGAGGTGTGTTTCTTGGACCACCACAAGGCCGATTTTCGTCTCTCGGATCACTTGGTGTAGTGCGTTCCACTTGTTTCGGGAGTCCGGGGCTGATAAACTGCCTCTCCCGCTTATGTTTAGGGATGCCATTAGTAGGGACGCTTTAGTCCGTCTGTTCTTCCGTGTTGTGGTCGTGTTGGGTGTGGGCGTGTTATCTGGAACACCGCCTGCGTTAATTTGGCCTTGTGGTGGGGCACCACTGTTGATAACTCGGCCGCCGTGTGGTGCAGTGATCTCGGCGGTCGCCCTGTTACCTAGTTCTTCTGTCCGTTCAGCAGGAGTTCCGCGAGCAGGGGACGCGTTTCTCCCTGTCAGACAGAGGAGATGTTCGCCGTTTGCCTGTATATCGTCCGTGGTTGGTGTTGTTCTCTGTGTATTGTTCGCCGTTGCTAATCGTTCCCCTCGCTACAACGATCCACGAGGGGCGGGGTCCGCTCCTGGGACTCTCAGGAAACATGCAGAGCCGCCGGGGCGACACGCTTAAGCTTCTCAGCCGGGCAAGTTTAATAGTGCCCGTGGGTGGGGTGCGATGCGAGCGGCGCTTCAGCTTTCCTGTCCCATTTGCATGGTCAGTAAATGTGGGCTGACGCGTTATCGCTCATCGCGGTTAGTGTCTTCTTGGTTAACTACGCTGGAGGTGAGAGGAGATGTCAGGTCATTGTTCGAGCCAAGTTTCTTAGTCTGTTTGCTTGGCTGTGAGATCTTCGGGGAAGTGGGTTTCACGAGGTATTCACAGGCGTCCACGTCGTACATCAGACATCAAGACAGTGTTAATTCAATAACAGCGGTGGTACGGTGACAGCGACGATACGGGAGGGGTTACATCGTTCGTAGCGGTTAGTGGTATCGTATCAGCGGCCACGGTTACGGCTCGCGTTGGAGCCTCGTCCTCCGCGACCTCTGCTCGGCCCCCTGTTGCGGCTCCTGCCACGCTCGACATTAGCCTGCGAGGTGTTCGTCTGTTGGGACTGCCCGGGCGTCGCGAGACGGGTCGTTTCGTCGTCATGCGAGTCCGACTTGTCGCCTTTCGGGCCGAGCCAGCCAGGGACGGCGTGCAGGTAGCACAGACCAGTGGGGTGGTCGATGGCGTGGCAGGTCTTGCACTTGTAGGTGATGTTGAGGTGGGCTGGGCCGTCTGCGTTTAGCTTACCGAAATGGTACGTGCGTATGCGGTCTCGGAAGATGAGCCACTCTGCGAAGTTGGCCGTCGGCGGCTCGCAGTAAATGCGCGCGAGAGGTGCAATTTTGTCGCCGGGGGCGCGTCGGCGGAGGATGTCAACGCGGACAGACTGTCGGACGTACATGTATGCGTGGTCAAGGGTCGAGTTCCTCCAGCGTCCTCCGTCGGACGCGATATCCTTCTCGATGAAGCGGTGCAGAATCTCGCCTTCGTTGTAGAGGATGTGGTCGAGGGCCGACTGGACTGACCTGCGCATTCCGTCCTCCGTCGCGTCGGGGAAGAGGTGGATGTTGGTCCAAAAGCCCAGGAAGGGGGACGTGTCGAAGGTGAAGTCGATGATGCCGATCGTGATGGCCTCCGTCGAGATCCAGATCCGACGGAGAAGGCTTACGCGTTCGTAGTCGTTAATGCCGAAGACCGCGATCCAGTGAGGTGGCTCGTTCTCGCCTCTGTGGTTGATGATCGGCTTTAGGGAACTCGAGTACCGGGTTCCTTACGCCGCCTTGGTCGCGGAGGACCGTCTCGATCGCGAGGCGTTTGGTGTAGCCGTCGCCGTCGAGAGCGCCTTGCCGTGCGACGGAGACGAGGACAGCTGGCGTGTTCCGGCCGATCCAGGTGTTAACCTGCGGGCGGTCGATGTTGTCCACGGGCCAGAACGGGTGGACTCCTCCGATGATGGGCAGCCAGTTTCCGTTAGGGGCGGGGGTGACGGCCACGCTGGAGAGAGGAATCATGGTGGGTAGAGCGGGCGCGATAGGGTGCAGAGGACCAGCGGGTCTAGGGATGTCGGGCGGGGGTTGTTGGCGATGGTTCGGCTCAGCGTAGAGGTTGCGTGCCGGCGGCGCGGGTGGGCCCGCCATCTCGAAGTCCTGCGCTCCGTTGGGGCCTGCTGGTGGGGCGCGATAGTATGGCTCGTGGTGCGGTGCGGGAGTTCGTGCGCGGAAGCGGTAGAAGGGATGTTGGGACGGGGCTTGTGTGCTCGGGAGGGGCGGCGGCGGCGGCGGGCCGTCCTGCTCGATCGACATTGCGGATTGGGCGCGACTGTGGTCGGGCCTGTCCAGTTCGAAAGCAGAGCGGGTCAACGGTATCTGCCACGTAAGGCCGGCTGGGGCGGCATTGGGCGGGTCCATCGGCAGGCGGCTGGGCCCTGCTGTCGGTACCTCAAAGTATGTGGAGCTGGTCGTGGGGTGGCTCGGACCCGCCGCCGGCTCGTTGTGCTGAGGGTACGTCGTGGGTGTGGCGGAGGTGCGCGTTTGGCGGTGGGCGATGCTTGCCCTCGAGGGGCTCGACCTCGTCGGGAGCCTTGGGATCGCGCTTCCCCACCTCTGAGCGAAAGAGGGAGCGGGCCGTTCATGGTTTGCACTCGGGGTTACCGGGCGCGACGACCGGTAGGCAGGTTGCGTTCCGGCACGCCAGAACCCTGCGAAGGATGCGGCGCGCGGTTCCTGTCGAGGCGGGTGCGCGGGGCCAGCGAGCTGGTGGGGCAGGTAGACGGGGCCTGCTTGTGGCTCGAGCTGGGAGACGGAGAAGGGACGGAGCGGGCGTGGGTGATGGACATCCGTCAGCAGCGTCGGGTCAATGCCACCCGCCGCCAGGATCGAGGCGGTAGTCAGTCCGTAGTCCAGTCCACGGTCGTGGTTGGCATCGGGCTCGTCCTCTCCGTTCGCGGTGCGATGGTGGGCGACGGGCGGAGCGGCGACAGGCGATGGCTGGAGGCGCGAGCTATCGGCGGGAACGTCGTCGTTCTCGCCGCCCAGCTGCGCCGAGGTGCGGCGGCGTTTTCTTGGCTCACTGGGGATGCGCTGGGGCACGGCATCCTCGTCCTCGGGCGACGGCGGGGGCGGGGAGGACGGGGGGAGGCCAATTCCGATCAGAGCGAGCTTCTGCTTACGCTTGGTCATCTTCGCCTTTCCTTTGTTCGTTTTCTTGTCCTTCTTCTTCTGCAGGGCGTTTGCTAGGGGGCTCGACGGGGACGTCGCCCCGGGGGACTGTGGGTGCAGTCCCGGACGTCTATCCAAGCCGGTGCGCACCGCGCGGACTGGGGTACGCGGGAGGTCCGGGAAGTCCGCCGTAGGCGTCGCGAGGGCCTTTTCGATGTCGAGGACATGCAGCTCGTCGCTGTTATAGCCAGCCTGGGCCTGCGGAGCGGCGGCGACCCCGGTAGGCTCGGCCGCCGGTGTCTGCTCGGTCTGGGGAGCGGCGTCGGCCTGATGCATCGTTGGCGACGCGCGTCCAGACGTTACGTCCGCGTAGCCTGCATGCATGGTTAGTGTGGGTGTTGGGTGTTCACTTGGATGTACATACTAGGGCTGCGCCTCCCGAGCGCATCCATGGAGGCGTTCCACGGGTTGCGCGACGGCGAGGTCGAAGTGCCTCGCCCCTGGGTCACGACGCCCTTGGAGGAGGGCGGTGGCTGTTGACACTGTGTTAGTGTCTTCCAGCCTCTGGTGCTGGTCGACTCACGTTGTTGAGCGACGGTGTCATCCTGTGAGGGTGTGTGGAGCGGTGCGTTCTGGTGTGTGCGGTTCAGCAGAAGGCGGGGGAGGGCGAGAGCGTGTAGGTTAGATTAGTTATTGTAGACGGTGTCGTGTTGTTTCACGGCGACTTGGCTGGATGTCCTATTCGGGTTGTAGTACGGTGTCGCACACGCGTGTGGTGAGGTAAAGCGCGTATTGCTGTGTTCCCGCTCGGTGTCGACTGCGGGATAATTCCATCAGGGCATTTAGCTGTCGTGCCTGTTTGTCAGGATACTGGGAGACGTCTTTTACGAGATTCATACGCGGCTTTGGGCGGGTGGCTGCGTCGTGTGTTCCCCGTTTATGCTTACTGCCCGGTGTGTGGTGGGAAACCATATTTTCTGGCCAGCCTACCGTCGTTGTCTTCCTGTAGGTTGGTCCCATTGTGGGGCGCGGTGAGTTGGTCTCTGCATCGTACTGCTGTGTGTGTGGATCGGGCGTTGATCTGCTGGAGGATCTGTGGCGTTGGTACGTGAGTCCGTTGTTTCCGGGCGATCTGATGCGCCTTAGGCGCGCTCGACAGTTGGGGAAGCGGACGCTCGGGCTCGCGATCGGGCGCGTGGATATGGTCTTATCATCGTGAATATTGTGATTGGGTCGGCGTGCGCGGCAGCGTCCAGGAGTGTGGAATTATATCGTACATGTGGAGCTGGTGGTCTGTCGTTCTCAGCATCCCTGTAGTGACACCTGTCACGGTGTCTTGGGACACAGCCCTGTTTAATCGCGTCAGTTAGTCAGGGGGCAGTGCGTAGTCGCTGCGTACGGCATTTCTGGTGGGTTCTTCTCGCCATCTAGACCCGGTTTCTTTTCATCACCTCTCTAAGGCCTCTCCCCGGCGCTTCTCGGGGCGTTGGTAATTCGGCTCACCCGGCTTTCCAGTTCGGGCAGGTCTTCGTCCCAGATGTCCAGTTCGTAAGGATTCTCTCGGTCGTCCTGGAACGGTGGGAGGCGTCGAAAGGCGGGGTGTGGGACAGGGAGTCGTTGAAGGTCGAAGTAGTGGTTCGCGTGTGTGAAGCCTTCGAGGCCGTCGAGTACGACCCACGGTACGGGTACTCTCAGCAGGCAGCGCGCGGCGGCGCCTGCGATCAGGAACGTGACCCAGTGGCGCCTGATGTTGACGATTTGGGAGAGTAGCCCGACACCTGTCATTCCGGCTTTCGTTCTGAGGCGGACAAAGTCCTGTTTGGCAAGCTGTCGACTGGGGCGAGTCGAGACGATCCACGTGAGTCCGCTTCGTTCTTCCATTGTCGGTATTTCCATAATTTCGACCGTTAAGGCCGGTTTGGGATTGTGACGTATGAGTAGACTTGGGAGAGGGATGACCGGTGTTTCGACGGTCTTTCTTGTTCGTTTTCGTGGCATATTGGTTTGGTTCGGCATGTTGGGTGGTGGGATTCGTTGGATTGGGCGTACGTTGCTGTAGGGCTGGGGGACATGTGCGTTTTTATCGTATGCCGAGCGTTTAAAGTAGGTTACGTCTGCTACTTACGCGCCCATGAATTCCTCCTGTGATAGATTTCGGCTAGCATATAACGTCATAACGTCACTTCATGAGAAGATTTGGGAGGTCTTTCATAGTTCATAGGCCATGGGGCATGTTGGTTGAGTTGGTTGGACAGTGTGCTGTCCGTAGCCAGGTGTGGGGCGCCCGGGATCGGACTTGCGGGGCGGGGGGGAGATCGGGGAGTTGTGTTATCTTATCTTATCTGATACACTTATCCGTGCTCCTCCGATCATTTGGTCCCTATTGGCGCCTGCCAGCGGTCGCCCGCGTTGAGGTCGTCGTCTGCTATGGGTTTCTGGTTTAATGGGCTCGCGCCCTTTTGCTGTCTATGTCTAGTGCAGATCATATAGACAGTGCTCTCGACAACGTCCGCCTCTTTTAGGAGGCGGCGTGGCTTGGTACGCTTGCGCGTGGCCTTGGTGTAGGCTCTACTATGTTCGGCTATGGTTGGGCCGTGGGCTCGTTGAGTGGTGTTCTCGACGGTCCTTAAAGCGCATGTTCGTTTCGTCTCGGAGAGACTACTTACCCCCCGGACCACGTGAAGGTCTGCGCTGGACCCGTCGACGGTGACGACGACGAGCCCTCCCGGGGGAAGTCACAACATCTAGGTGTGTGCAGACCGGCAAGGTGTTAGCACCCCGCGGCTAGTTCCTCTGTGCTTGATGAACCCGACCATACTAGCCTTGGCGCGTCATGCCGCATCATTGCCGTGGCAGTGTCTGTCAACCCATGCGATCCCGTGTACATTGTCTATATGAATGAGTGCAACGTTCGTCCCATGGCAATTCTTTCCGCCTCTCGACGACAACTCAGACAGTCGACAGTGACCTAGGACAGAGCATACACGCGCTCAGAATCACTTCCGGGGCATCGACCTTCACGACGAGACGATGCGGTTCGGTCTGCTCCAAAGTGGCTGCCTATTCGCCTTGGCTGCCTCTGCATATGCAGCGTCACTCCCAGACAAGTTGACACTCCTCGTGCCTCCGAGCCATGTGCAGGTCAACTCGACGGTGTGCCCCGGGTGGTCGATGCCCGCAGACGAGACGCGATACTACGGTACGGCACCCTGTCTACGCTCTCCCCGCTCGGCTCCTAACAGCCTTGAATCACTAGGCTTCATCGAGGCCATGAACATCACCATATTCGCGCCAAATGGCACGGACATCAGCAGCGTCGGCGTGAACACCGTTCCCGACAACATCACGGGCCACGGAGATTGCGGTTCATATCCTGGCTCGAGCTACTCCGGCTGCGCCGTCGTCGCGGACACGGGCACGTACACCATCCGGTGGAATTTAACGTACACGATGTCGGCGGACCCGTCCCAGGCGAACGCGTCGTACTGCGGGCCCGCGCCGTTCTCGACGCAGATATTCGTGCTGAACCAGACTTTTGACACGTTCACGGTCTTGGGGCAGGGTAATGCGCACACGAACACGGAGATCACCACGACTACGACGCTACCGACGAAGCCGACGGGCAACTTGAAGGTCGCTGGGGCTCTTGATATGCGCGTGTCTGGCGAAGTAGGATGGATCGGTGCGGCTGCCGTGGTGATTGGAATGATGTTGACGATCTGAATGCCTGAGCGGGACTCTGATTTTGCTGTTAGCGTACAGGTATAGTTATTATACTCACGAATACGAGAGGACAGTGTCTGTTGGAAGTCATGTATATTCGGAAGTAGGCAGATTGTCAATGCTTCTGTGGCTATTCTCAGGATGTGTCTCGAGAATGCCGTACCGCGTGTCGACGCATTACAAGCCCCCTTTGTTGCGGTCGCGGTAGAAGTTGGAGGAGTTGCATTGGCAGCCTTCTGCGCGAGCCGAGTCAGCCGACACGCTTCAATATCGCACCCAGACAAGTGGCAAGCCACATCATTCATGAAGACTCATCGTAACACCGGCCGTAACACCGGCCATAACAAGCCTTGCTCAATGTCGCATATCAGGGGACGCCTGTCGCTTTCAAGACCATGTCTGGCGGGCGCCGTGGTACGAGCTGATTTCCTTTGCAGTCACGCAGTCACAATTGACGTACATTCAAATCAATTTGCTTACCATTGCCTTCATACGGGTTGCGGGGCCTTTGCACGAGTCAAATGAACGTGAGCGAGAAGCCACTTCGTCGGGCCTCCGACTTCCTTCCGTTGTCCGCACCGAGCATAGCGTCCGAGCTTCATATATCAAGACGGCCGCTGTCACCAACCTACCAACAAGACAAACATGTGCTGTCCATAACTCCTGCTTTGGGGCTTCACAGCAAGCCCATCCTTCGCGTATCAGCAATTCCACAGTTTGCAGGAATCATACGGATTGCAATTGGCTCGCTACCCTAGTGTGCTTGCCCCGAGTCCAGCAAATCGCAAGCAGATAGCTCGCCCGCTCGTGCTGTTCATGGAGGTCCGTGTCACCGTTGTCGACAAGTTTACAGTGAAGGTACTACTTAGTACTTGGTGAGGTAGGCGCGCTGCTCACTGGATCCAAAATCGCGGTGGCGGGAATTCCCACGCCACATGCAGGTGCGCGATCCCGACGGGTCGCGCTCGCTCACTCTCTTCCAGCCTACATCCAGCTCGAATACTCTACCTGCTGCCCCGAAGAGCTGAACAAATGTTCCTCTCTGACAGGCGATGCCATATCCGCAGGAATACACAAGGTTGTCTTCAAGTAATGCTCGGTGCTCCGCTCAAGTCCGTCAGTACCGGCTACCACCATACCGGTGCCTCGACCCTCCACTACCCCGGACGCGGGGACCATGTTTACCGGCGGGGACAACGATCTGGTGACCACTGCAACGCGGGGTCAGAGCGGGAAACGCCGGGCCAAGATGCGGGGCGGGTGCGGAGGAACCGCTACCGCCTCCTCGCCTCCTGAGCGGGCGGAGAGGCGACGTCTTCGCGAGAAACATGTGCGGTGAGTGCGGAATGCCCCCAGCGGCCTCGAGCGGCCGATACGTCGTCGGTCGGACGTCGTTCGGAGCAGTCCGTACTCCTCTGCCTCTGGGCGGTCGCCGCCAGGGGTCTCGCGAGGGCGGAACATTCACATGTCTATCCCCGCATGCCAGACCGCGCGACCCATGACTCCGTGAATTCGAGCTACACCAATGCATGTACCCGCTAAAAGACTCTCGCGCGCGCCCGCGGTGTATCGCCACAACGACCTTATACCGCTGCCCCGCTGCCCGACGACGGTGAGCACCCATTTTGCCCGACACGACCTTACACGCTGACCCGGACGCGTTCCAGATAACCCGGAACCTCGCTCGTTCTCTCGTACTCAGCTGAAGTCGTCTACGTACTCGGCCTCCACACCACCATGTCGAAGGCGACGGACCCGAAGAAACCAGTGGGATTCGCCATCCAACTCACGGCGGGCGGTTTGGCAGGCGCGATGGAGGCGGTGAGTCGGGCACTCTTGCCTCCTGTGAGTACTGACGAGCGTAGAACAGCTCTGCTGCCAACCACTGGACACAATCAAAGTCCGTATGCAGCTGTCGCGGTCGGGGAAGCTCCCAGGGGTGAGTGACTTGTCCGTTCAGGTGCCCGAATGCAGCAGATGCGAACGCGCGTGATTGCGTAGAGTGCGCTGCTGGGTGGCTCGTACTAGCGATGACGTCATGTGGCGCCCACGAACTTGTGTACCGCGTGCGTTGCAGGCTGCGTAAACTGTATCCAGCGCGCAATTGTACAAGCGTATACGATCGATGCAGTTCATAGCCCCGGAAGCCTGAACAGCGAAGAGATCTGTTGAATGGGCTTGATAGACCACGTTCTGCGCATTGGCAATGGTCGCTGACGCGCATGCTACAGACAAAGCCTCGCGGCTTCATAGCCACCGGTGCAATGATCGTCAAGCGCGAGACGCCGCTCGCGCTATACAAGGGTCTCGGTGCGGTCCTGTCGGGAATCGTGCCTAAGATGGCGATCCGGTTCGCGAGTTTCGAGTCGTACAAGGGGTTTCTTGCGAATAAAGAGACAGGCGTGACGAATGTGGGCAGTATCTTCTTAGGTGCGCACACTGTCTGAGTTGTCGCCCCGAGAACTGGTTGAACTGTCTGAACTAGCTGGTCTGGGCGCTGGTACAACGGAAGCGATATTCGTGGTGACGCCGATGGAGGTGGTGAAAATCCGGCTGCAAGCGCAAAGCCATTCGCTGGCGGATCCTCTCGAACAGCCCGTCTACCGGAACGCAGGCCACGCTGTCTACAAGATTGTACGCGAAGAGGGTATCAGCGCGCTTTACCGCGGAGTCACCCTGACTGCCCTTCGGCAAGCGACAAATCAAGGTGCGTCTTGTCCTCCGCTGTTAGAGGAATTACGTGCGATGGACTGATGCGCGTGTTCGTTGTACGCAGGCGCGAACTTCACGGCGTACCAGGAGCTGAAGAAGTACGCCTTGCGGCAACAGCCCGACCTGCAAGAACTTCCCTCGTATCAACACATGATCATCGGCCTCATCTCCGGCGCGATGGGCCCCTTCTCGAACGCACCCATCGACACGATCAAGACACGTACGTACACTTTCACGCCCTCCGTCTTCGCCTTCGCGCACTGACATCGACTCGCCGATCCAGGCTTGCAGAAGGCGACCACCGTGCCAGGCACGAGCGCCTTCGAGCGTGTCGCCGTGATTGCCCGCGATATGTGGGCGCAGGAGGGATTCCGCTCCTTCTACAAAGGTATAACGCCGCGCGTGCTCCGCGTGGCGCCCGGGCAGGCGATCGTGTTTGCGGTGTACGAGCGGGTAAGGCGGGCGATCGAGACGATGCAGGGGAGTAGCGAAGAAGACCGGTACAGCGAGTAGATCTGTGTGTATGCTACGGGATGGATCTTTTACCTTTTGAACGCTGTGTTGTAATGTGTATAATATTTGTGCAAGTTCGGGTGCGACGGGTAGCATGGCCGCGGAGACTAATGTAAACTAAGTACAGTAGACAATATGTGGCTCAGACGAGCCGTGTCAAGCGGAAACCGTTGTGCAATTGAAGACCCAGTAGAAGCTGAACTCAAGAGCAAGCGCAATAGAGTAACCTGAGCTCACCAGAATGTGATGCCCTGCGCGATGCCCTGCGTGATGCCACCAGCGTAACACGCGTTTTAGCGCCCGCAAGGCGACGGTTCACGTTCACGCGTTCACGTCCAGCTACATTAAGACTGGCATGCCGACGGATGAGACTATGCCATACGCCAAAGCAGCTGTTACATTGCGGTCGCAGAAAGTAAGGTGGTAAAAGCACATCCAGATGGCGGCCCAGCGGCAGCCATGAATTCAAGGCGAGCCGGCGGTCTTGAAGGCGAACACTGCAGGCGCGATCGGTAAGGCGAATGCCGGCCCGGGAGTCGTCTCTTCAGGTAGTACTAGTAGAGGCGATGTATAGTACTAGTGCAGCACAACCCTATACTGCGGTCTATAATAGAGAACGATCTTGATCTTGTTTTCCGAGTATCAGCCTGAAAGTGCAAGGCGGCGGCCAAAGAGCCCGGCGCAGCCCAAGGCGCAAGAGGCGGTCAAGAAGCGATCGTACTACATACAAGCGGTGCGGTCACAAGCGCTTGAACGAGCGAAGAAGCGGCGCGCCGCGGCCGCGGTCGCTGCATGATAAGCGGTGACCGTGTTGGAGCTCTCAATTATGTGGGCTCACTAGCATGCCTGAACGGTGCTGTGCTGCCTCGGTTTGCTGCCAGTGTTGTGGAATGCCGGCCTGGCACGTCCCAGTAGAGGGAGACAGAGACAATAATGAATTGTGGCCGCCCAAGTCCGGCCCTGGTGCTCAGGGCCAGACTTGAGCGGCACAAAGCATTGAATCCCTCCTCCGGCTAGTGAGGTTTACCTTGCAGCCTCAAGGCACCTACCAGCATGGTGGTTGACATGAAAGGAAGATGCAGAAGCATGTATATTGCTGTGTCTTGGCAGTTGCCTAATTTGGAAGATGATCCGATCTGATCGGACCAGCCAGGCAGTGAAGCCGGCGGAGAATTGGAGAGTGGCCAATATAGTAAGTGCCTGTCTCAATCCTTGTCATGGTTGTCTGAGTCATTTTCCATGAGGATGCACGATGATGGAATGCTTCAAGCAACATGTCAAGGGCTCAGAGCTATAAGTATCCCTGTCCTCAATGTATTCCACCCCTCAGAACCACCCCAGCACATCAAACATGCAGTCTCATAGTGATGAAACCCCTGTACAAAAACAAAAACAAAGAAAAAAACCTGGCCAAATGCCCCCTGAAGGCAATAAATTGCGTAAAGGTTTGTTCCCTTTCATCTGCTATATCAGTGGTCACACCAGTAACATGTAGCATACATGTCACACACATGTTGCTGTTGCTGGCCTGTGAAAGGATAACAGAACATGTCCTGTCACAGACCAGTGTCTCTATACTATATAATATTTCTGAATCACAGCTCTGACCATTTAATATTGTAGACTTTGAGGAAAAGTTCAAGCATGCAGATTATACAGAAAAAGATGACAAGGAGCTGTATGATGCCCTTGCAGCATTGCATATTCCCTGGTTCACTAAGAAGAGACACCGTACCTGGTTGGGGAAGTTGAAGAAGAAGAGGGAGGAAGCCCAACAGGAGGAAGCTCACACTGGTGAGTAGCTCATGCTCAACAACTACAGTGCTGACAATTATTCTCAGACTTAGTGAAGAAGTATCTCAGCCAGTGGATGAGCTGCACATCTAACCCAACCTGGTCCTTGATGAAGCAATGGGCTGAAAGCTTGCATATAAGCATGCCTGATTTAGCAATGTACATAGACCAAATTGTGTGTATCATACATCTTATGCTGTTAACAACTGAATGAACTAGCACATCAACAGGAACAAACTAGCAATGTAACACCTAGCATGTTCATACAAGGCTCTTCTACTGGCAGCCATGAGCAGGCCAGTAACCATCATGTTCAGGTTACTCCCTCAATAATGGAACAGGGTACAATCAACTCCATGGGGCCTCAGGCCCTTCCATATGTTGATCTACCTTTGTATGAGGGATACCCATATTGCTAGTAATAGAGGGATCAATTGCTACTTCTTTCATTTTACATCCAATGACAAGTCCATAATTCACAATACAAAAGGTGTCCATCAACTAGACAGTTTTTACAATCACAGTATACAAGCTACCATCTATGCACTCTGTACCATCTCAGCCTCATCGAACATAAGTCTCTACAGTGCGGCATACTCAAAGTCTGGGAACTGATCGCCATATGGATCAGGTCCGAATCCCCCGTAATGTATTGATGCATCGATCTCGGGATACCGCTCAAATCTACAGAAACACTCATCAGTACGGGGACAACAACGGAAGACGAACGACACGACGTACGCGCTTGCATCGCCGTCCCCGTTGATCCGCGGTAGGTACGGTGCTTGTATTTCGCGGTTCCGCAGCTTGTCCCAATCGACCTCCGAGAACCATCGGTGCGCGAACACGTCGCCCGCACCATGTCGCAAGTTTCCGTATCGCTTCGAAGGGTCCGCCGCCATGAGCTGCGAAGGACCATTAGCGGTTGGATAGCTGCGCGCGAATGCGTAACGCACCTTCAATATTATGTCCTTTGCGTTCGGGTGGAAGTCCGGCCATTTTATACAGGTGGGGCCGACGGTGATTTTCTCGTAGAGCTTGACGGGCGAGATGTCCGGCTCGTGGAACGGCGGGAGGCCGGACAGCATTTCGAAGGTGAGCACGCCGAGCGCGTACCAATCGACGGACTTATTGTAGCGCGCGTTACCGATGATCTACGAGAAGCCCGTCAGCGTTCCGTTCGCATCTGCCATCCTCGAAAAATATACTACGATTAAGGAGCATAGCGAGAGACTTCGTACGCGTCGCGCGCGCGACGTACTCCGTAGACTCACAGACCAGCCTTATGACCAGATCGGGCAACCAACAGCAACATCGTTCGAACTCACCTCTGGCGCTAAATAATCCGGCGTCCCACAGAGTGTCCAGACGGTCGTCTCGCACCATCGCGCGAAGCCAAAGTCCGCGATCTTGATGTGCCCGTCGAAGTTTAGGAGGATATTTTCTGGCTTGAGGTCACGGTATATGATGTCGAGTGAATGAAGGTAGTTGAGCGCGAGCGCGACCTCAGCGGCGTAGAACTTGGCGACGGGGTCAGGGAAGCGCTGCTGAGGCGTTAGCTGAGCTGTGTGACGCGACGCAAGCGAATGAAGGGCGTAATGCGCTGACGGAGAAGAAAGGCGCCGTCATGACAGCTAAATGATTTGCGAATGTTTCCGAGGGCTGGATTCTACGCAGAATGTGCGTGCAGAAGTGATGGACATCAGACAGCTGATTTCAGTGGTCCGTCCGCTACGTCCAGAGTCATCCCAACTCGAACGTACCGGACGGCGTGTACGGACATGTCGATAACGCCAGTAACATGGACTTCACGGGAACGGTATGTGGACAGAACATCTTGAACAGAATATCCAATCCGGTAGATGGCACGAAAGAGGGTAGAGCGTGACTGACGATCAAGACGAGACACGCACGTTAGATCTCCGCAGGAGCGTGAACAGCTCCCCGCCTGGTACGAAGTCCATCACCATGTACAAGTTCGTGGAATCCTGAAATGTCCCCCATAGATTGATGATAAAGGGGTGCTACGAATCGTAACGGACGGATATGTTATTATTAGAGACGCGCGAGCGATGTATGTCAGTGGTCAATATAGCGCACCTGCACCGCGCAAAGCATGCGCTGCTCATTTCGCGTATGTGACACTTGTTTGGTACGCACAATTTTGTCTTTGCTCATCACTTTTATTGCGTAGAATCGCAAGTTGTGCTTCGAGCGCGCTATGTGTAGGTGTCAGTGGATAGACTGTGCGGGTAGCAACATGAGAGCCAGCGGTGAAGATCAAGACCATAGCGATGCGTGCCGATGTGATAGATATCCAACCGAATACGAGAGCTACACACCTAGGTGAACTCGTCCAAAACTCCCTGTTCCCAGCGTCCTCTGCATGATGAAATCGCTGAGCCGATACGAGCCCTTCGGTCGCAGCGGCAAGAACTTGGCCGGTATGCTGTCCTCAGCGTACATACTCTCCTCCCGATTGCTCCAGTCTCTCTGCGCGGGTACGCCTCCACCTCCGCTTGCAACCGGGAAGGAGGCCGAACCGGGGACTGGCTTCGGGATGTTTGAGTTGTTGCCGTACCCGCTCAGCGACGTGTATTCCGTCGAGATGCTCTCGCGTTGATACGCGCCGTAGTCCTGCGCATAGGGGTACGCGTTCGTGTTAGCGGTAGAGGCGTAAGAAGACGAAGGCGAGGCCGGGGTGGCTGAGGCGGTACCGCCTGTGGCTAGTAGGTTTGTGTGCGGCTTGGGCGAAGAGACCTGCAGGTGCCCGAGTTTATCTGTCATGCGCTTGAACATCGACATCGTGCTTGTCGTTCAGGCGCAGCAGACGAGGTGGGGGATGAGGAGGAGGGGAGAAACAAGGAGGTTGCTTGAGACGCCCGTGTTCTTGTTCGCCATTGTTCCTAAATGGGCGTATCCAGACCCCGGTCACCTCAGACGAGACTTATAGTGTGTCGCCGCTTCGAATACGATGCAGGCTAGGATTCAGCAGGTGGACGTCGCAGAATGGCAGTATTGAGCTGAGAGCCGCAGAGCTGGAGCGAGAACGTTTGAAGCCGACTGGGAGCAGATCTCTGAAACACTGAGCTAAATCGGGCAAGTAACTGCAGTGCTCGCCGCTCGGGACCAGTACTGCTTTCGTTGCTTTTTGCGGTATTCTGTACGCATGCTCGGAGCGGTCCTAATAAGATCGACCAAAAATATGTAGAGACAGGCCCCTCTAAATAGCGATACAACTACATCAGTGACTTGACGATATCATCCGGGTGAGTCGGCGAGCTACGATCGCGCGCATCGAGATTGAGATCCGCCTGTAGATGCCCCCGCGGCCATGACGCGCCAGGACAATTTCCTGTGATGTCCGAGTCAGTGTTGCAAATAGGTCATCATAGCTGTCGTACCAAACAGCAGCAAGGCGGTCGAGTGAACCCGTGGTCACTACGCACTGATACGAATTAGTATCGCCATTACAATTGACTGCCGGGCTAGAATTACAATCAGAAGTTGTGCATGGACTTCACCTTCCTTCGCGGAGTCATCCTGTATATCGTTCGGTGACCCAAAAGTGCGGTTATAAGCAATGGCACACACCTTGCGAGCACTGTGCCCAAAGTCACGGTAGCATTTGCTGCTGCCGCCGCGAAACCTTTGCGACTCGTGCGTCCACTCGGTGACACACCCAGAGAACCATCAAGACATGCGCGACACCCGACGTCGCAAGTGCCGAAAGCATAGCAGCCGCAGCAATGTAAAAGCGCATTTCTGCAGCAGTCTGCACGCTCCCGCTGGATCCCTGCGCGAGGCGCTCCCAACAGAACGCGACGAAGAATACGATGAACGCGATGGAGGCCCTGAAGAGATGTTAACGATCTATATCATGCCCGTGAGTTGGTGTCCAAGACACACCAGATGAACCAAGCATCCGGAACGGCAAATAGAAGTGGTACGGAGGTCCAACGCGATTCAGTGACAGTAGACTGCAGTAGCTGATCAGAGACCGACAGACGACAATGCCACGCGAATCACGAAACTAACCGAGAGCCACCATTTACCGTTCGCAGGGTCCCTGTATTCCTTCAGATGTGTTCGCAACAGTACGCCCACAGCCGAGCCGACCATGCTCGCGAAAACGCAAACGATGCCGCATATCATGCCCATGTCGACGGTGCCGGGGAATGCAGATAACAGCCCGATGGTGACCCTGTCGACTCGCTGAGCAGTGTACATGACGGTACAATCGGGTAAACGTACGCATTATACACTGTACAGCAACCAATGAAGACTTTCCAACGGCTGCGGCAGCGCGTCACGAACACGACCCAATCTTGCTTGAAACTGGACTCGTCATTATCTTGCAAGTGACGGTGGGCTTCGGCGTAGTAGTCGGTGTAGAGGATGGAGGGCCAATGTACAAGCATGACGTGCCTGTATAGGGTATATATAGACTGTACCAGGTATAGCGAGAGCGTCCGAGGCGCATTGTACACCACAGGAGGTGGGACAGATAGCTCTGACATGCGAGTGAGTAGACGCATGTCGCCAGTGTGTGCATCTTGGGGAAATCCTGGCTTTATATGCATGTCGCACTAGGGTTGACAGAAGGCCCTCTGTGCACGCCCAGTGGATACGTAGAGGGCCGAGGTACTTGGGAGCATAGACCATTGATCCGGACCGAATTATAAACGGGCACTCAGCGCGTGAATCTCCTTGGAAGATTGCCTGGTAAGAAGTCCTGCGGTTTGTGTACCATGCCATATTTGAAGATGCCAGTGGATGGCCGACGGGGAGGAACGGGCGAGGAACTTTGGGGTATGCCCACTTTGTGCGCGTGCAGAACTCACGCACCCCGCACCCCCGCCCCGGTTCTAGGAGAGGCCGTTACGAGTATCCTGGGCCTATACAGTCACTGCGCATGCATCTGTTATTCTCTAACCACTGGTTGATCCGCACGAATGCATACCGGTGTCTTCCTTTGGAGCCGATACCTGGCTGGCGCAACACACGAGATCCTAGGGTCTGTTTATCGTCTGTAGCGCACAAGTAAGCACGAGCCAAGACCCTCGGCGCAGACCAAGATTCAATCAGTGCTGGGCGTAAGTCAGGCAGTGCACAGCGCGTCCGATGCGGCGCCGTGTGTTCTGAGCCAACAACGGTTATTCCTTGGATACTCCGCCTCTGAATCTGGCCTGCCACCGCCGCAGTCCTAGAATGGAGCGAAATGAGCATTCAATTGCCATACTGACGTATCGATGTAGACATGCACTTACTCGCTGCCAGTGGGCAAGGAGACGCCTCTCTGGGCAATCTTCCGGGCGACGGCACGTTGAGAGAGCTCTGATGTGCCGCGAAGCGGGCTGGACTTTGCTTGGAAGCTGAGTCAACGACGAGATATGTTGGAGATAGGCTCTCGTGCTTGCTGGTGCAGTATGAGGAAGCCTGTGCCGACAAGGCTTGCCACGGGTGCCCAGACGACAGCTACACGTACTTACGTTCTGGTATCACTGCCGGGCGCATTGTGCGGAGGAGATCCGCAATAGTGTTGTTCTTGCCAAGAATCTTTCTCAGCTCGGAGTCCAGCATCTAGCAAGCTTATGTAAGCAAATACTAGTACTAAGGCTGAGTACCATGAAGGCCATCGCCGGCGCTACGCAGTGGCTACGCCCCTTTGTCTGTATTTGTTTCTTGTGGCGGCTTGTTCACCGACCGTCGTGCTTGGCTCTTCTGCTAAGTACTTGTGACCCTCCTTCTAGACGTCGACTTGTGTTCAAAGTTGGTACGGCCAAGGAATTGGCATTCCGCAAGCGTGGCCAGTCTCGTCTCCTCACCCTCCATCGGGCATGTCGTTCGATCACTGAGGCCAGAATCTTGAGGACAGGCTATCCAACGATTGCCCCTTTTCTGACGATTTCTATTGACTATCAATCCCTAGCTTATTGTCTGAGGCCTGAAGATTGCGTTTCGTGCCATAACAAGTTTAATACAGACAAGACAGGATGACGACAAGTTCCGTTGATCACTGGTCTGCGATACTCACCTTCATACTCTTTGTCTTCTCCAGTATGTTCATCTCCTTAAGCCTCATCAGATTGATCCATACATTTTATTTTTCTATACTAGATGCAGCTGTCATCTACCCCGTCCGAGTTTCGGTGCCTACTTGGCTCATTTGTCATATTAGACCGCTCCTTGTCGCGACGCATATACTGGCCGAATCACGTTCTCCGGTCCGCAAGACAAATATACGCCTTAACTTCATTACAGTGCCCCTCATCTCCGTCCTCATACTGCTAGCCACTGGCGCGATCGACGGGACGGTTGTGCGCGATGGCATCGTAGGTTCCAACGGAGTGCAACCCCTGGACATCATGGCCCTCTTCATCTCTCTGGTGAGCCTCCATGCTGCGTCGACTTCTGAACATCTGGTACTTAAGGAAGTGGACCTGTAGGCGTATCTGAGCATCTCGCTCGATGCCACCGGCCTGCTGCGCTTCCTGGCGTTCTGGGTTGTAGGCAAGGGCGGTGGCTCCGGCCGGAGGCTGTTCGCCTACCTGTATGCGTTTTTCTTGATCTGCGGTGTAATTGTCGGGAATGTGGGTATCATATCGCCTAGATGTCATTCGCCGTTCTTCTCACCCGCCGTGCCAAGTAGGATCCTGTCATTCTATCCGGCACTGCCTTCCTCGCATATCTCACACGCGTCTCCGGGTGAGTATCAGTACGACAAAATCTCAGTCTATGCTTCGCGACGCGCTGATACTGATACGTGTGCGGCAGCATGACGAACCCGAAGGCATGGATCTTCTCGCAATTTGCAGCTGCTAACATGGGTATGTCTCCATCATGTTTGGTTGCATGTTCTCATTATCAGAGCCTCTTCCTGATGACATCATGCGACGAGTCCGTGTCAATGCGCGTTTCCAGCAACTGTGCATATATGTCTCTTATATAGCACGGCGACGCGGTCATATGCGTCCGTCCTGTGGGTTTTATCGACGTCGTCCGCATTCAACCAACCGACCTGAGCGCTGCTGTGGCCGGTCACTGAACTGCATCTACGTTGCGGTTTGTGACTTCTGCGCTGACATCAGCACATTTGTCGCCACATTTTTGCGCCACACAAAACTAGCGCATACAAGTCTCAGGCTGTGATCCGTTACGGCCTGCACCCCCTAATACGGTTCTTTCCGCAGCCTCCGTCGTCCTCGTATCTTCCAACCCGACCAACCTCGTCCTCAGCGGCGCCTTCACGCTCAAATGGACGTCATACATCGCGCACGTAATCCTACCCTTCCTCGCCGCGGCCATCACCGTATATCCGCTCCTGCTCTACATGTTCCGTTCCCCCGACCTGATCCCGGAGTCGCTAGACCTCGACCTAAATGAGGTCGGCGACATACGAGAGTACGTGCGTCTGTGTTTGATGCTCTGTAAATGCTGAATGGACAACTGCTCTGCGGTGTCGTCGTATAGGACACTCGTGGACAAGGGTGGTGCGATTTTCGGAAGTTGCCTGGTGCTCGTCACGCTTGGAGTACTCGTCGGCACGAGCACGGTCGGCGTCCCTGTCTGGGAGGTCACTGTCCCCCCTGCGTGCATCATGCTTGCGCGGGACATTTGGTGGGATTGGTCCCGGTACCGTTCCCTCCGAGTCCGCGGTGCAGGTGTAAACACCACCGCCGCAATGGATATAGAGCTCAAAGAGTTCCCCGAAGGTTCGGACTTGTCGACGCGGAACAGAACGGCGAATGGGAGGGTTGGCGAAGACGGAGACGAGCTGCAAGAAGCTAGGGAACGGCGCCTCGTGCAAGATGCTCCTCCACGCCTACCGCCGGGCTTCGTTGAGTTCGTGGCGCATCACCTTGCACGAGTGAAGCGTACGTTTCCCACCGTGTCCTCTATCGCATTGCGTCTACCCATCCCGCTCCTTCCCTTCGCATTCCTCACGTTCATCCTCGTCAACGCGCTGTCCACCCAAGGCTGGGTGGGCTTGTTCGCGGGCTGGTGGGGTGCGTGGGTCCGCGTGACGGGCGTGTTGGGCGCCGTCGGCGGGATGGGTTTCCTCTCGTGTATCTTCTGCAATGTCAGTTCCCTAATTGTCATCCTCATGTACGCGCAGGCGCGCGGACTAATTGCAATACACATTAGCTCTGCGGCACGAATATCGGCGCGACGATCCTCCTCGCGCGTCTCCTACAAATCTGGATCGCCGCCGCCTCGCCAGCAGACCGCGAGCGGTTCGGCGCCATCTACGCGCTCGCACTCGGCTCGAACTTTGGCGCGTTCACACTCACGTTTAGCGCGTCGCTCGCTGGGCTCCTGTGGAGGCGGATCCTCAGGCAGAAAGGAATTCATGTGCGTGCGCGAGAATTCCTTAGGGTCAACTTCCCGATCGCGGCTGTCGCGATGACAGTGGGGTGTGCGGTGTTAGTCGGCGAGGTGTATGTAGTGTACAGATAGAGATACGGAGTGGGTATGTGGCAGACTTGTACTCGATGTCTGCTCTGCACATTGGTATTCATTGGCCTGTGAAGATAGGATGTCAGAACTGAACGCGACATAGTACACTGCCGAGAATATAGTTGTGGCAGACTGGCCCTCACAATCTGTTTGGCGAGCACATTCGACGATCTTTTTAGGCTGCGTTGTGCGCCTATAGGTTCGTATGTGCGGCTCAGCCGCTCGTCGTGTAGTACACTGTACCAGAGCGAGGTCCAGTGGTCTGGGTTGGCAGGAATGCGAGGGCGACATTGAGGGCTCGAAGGACGGAGGGACAAGAAAGGAGAGCCTAAAGTTCGCTCATATTACAGAGTACTCAGTCTACGGTACAATTAGTACAGTCTACGGTCACGGTACGTAGCGCGTACGTAGAGCGCTTGGACCGGCGCTAGCCTCCCTACATACACTGGTAGACGCCGGGCGACACATGCTCTTTCTTGAAGTTCCTTCATCCCATCGGCGAACGCTGATGCCACACAATTTAGGCACGCCAGCTCTGCCGCAAGAGCTATGTGATCTACTCATCGATCATTTATGGGACGATCTATCTACGCTGCATACCTGTAGCTTTGTCTCGCTCGCATGGTTACATACATCCCGCAAACACAAATTCCGAACCATCGAGCTCCCTAAACGCAGAGATGTTGATGTGTTTCTCGCCATCTCCGATGTCAAGGCGGGCTTACTGGACTCGAGCAATATCCCGAGCCTCACCCGCGATCTCTGTTTGGGTAGCGACGATGTGGAGGACCGTGAATCGGTCTTGCTGAATCCCGGGCTGGGTGGCTTGCTCGCGCGATTCACGTCTATCGAGACATTACAACTGCGTTGTCTCCGGTTGTCTCCAGGTCTTCATTTGTACGAAGTAGCCGAACCCCTGAGAGTACTCGCAAGCAAGGTGCTAGTCTTCTGTATTCGGGCTATGTGTCTCCAGCTGTTGAATGAATCCTGACCTTTTCTCGTACTACAGGCCATCAACTTACATCTACGTGACCTAGCCGCGATGTTCCGAGACGATCTGGTACTTCTGCTCGCCTCATCGCCACGAAAGGCTACCATACACATCTCCAAGGGTTGCTGGGAGACAGGAGGAGCAACAATATCGACACCGCTTCGCCGGACTGCACCTATGTCCCTCATCTGTCCAGACGTCCACATCAGCAGCATGGTGGTGGATCTCTTCTCGTACATCTGTTTCTACGAGATCACGCGCCTCGCTTATGTCTCCCGCTGGCCGTTTTCTGCGACCGTCGATCGGCTCACTATCAATGACGACGAGCCCAACCATGCGGTCTTGGACTTTTCCGACCTTGGAGAACTGCACGAAATCTACCTCGGGCAGCTGATTACAAAGCTCCATCAATGCTCGGAACATGCTCTTGCTCAGGGAGTGGATGGCGGGGGTGCGTTGTCCCAGTGGTACAGACCACGGTACTCGACTGACCGAGAGACTGCCTTGCGTCATTCGTACAAGTTCAGAAATGCCCACTACGGTCCTGGACATCAAATACGTTCAGATCAATGCCCCCACGATTCTCGAGACGGGAACTCCATTTTCGCAGGTGCTCAAATTCGTGCTGCGTTGGAAGTTACTCCTCCCGCGCTGCATTCACTTCATTTTCGATGGCCTTGAACCCGACTACATCGACACAGAGGAATGCGATGAATTTGATTCTGACCTCTCAGCCCCCGCGGCCAGGTATCCTCAGCTGAAAGTCATATTCGACGTGCAATCCCCCGCTGAAGACGTCAAAGACTGGATGGAGATTGTCGTGACCTCCTTCCCTCGCCTTGTTGCCAGCGGAGCGCGCGTTGGGGTCCTCTGCAGTGCCACGAGAGGCAGCCTGCAAGGTGACTCGGAGCGGACTCGGAGTACGGTGGCGGAACATTGGTGGTCATAAGCACGCACGCGAAAAAACTTGTCAGTATCTCAACTTTGACCGCACTGACTGGCATGCTCATTTCACATTGTCAGGTAGTAGCAGGGCCTGTTTCCTCATGAAATTCACCATGTACTACTAAACAGGACGCAAGCCATGACATCCCTTCTAAATATACGATCACCCTGCATACATACTAACTTACGACCGCCAATGCTGGGCAGTCGGGTAGTCGGAACCCGCTCGCCTATCGCACCGCAAGCCGTAGGACTGCATACCACCCCGACGCGTGTCCCACCAGCGACGAGAGTATGGGAGCAGGCCGCGATGGCCTCGGTCCAGTCGGCAAGGCGCTTGGGAGGACACTCTGCGTCGAAGACGACCTTCAGCCGGCGGTTCTCGGCCGCGAGGCGAGCGATGCATCGTCCAGCTCTGCACGCTGCTTCGGGACGGCGTTCGCAGGCTCGAGCACGCACCTTTGCAGCAAGCACGATGACGCTTTTGGTGACTGCAGGCAGGACGAGTACTAGACACCAGGAGAGGTTCTCGAGCCGTATCCTGTCTACGTTCTTCATTTTTTTGGGCACCTGGAGGCTGAAAGGGCGACGAGTCGAATGGACGGTAAACGACCGGCGACATACTCCCTTTTCTTCGTGCCCAAGCGCAAATCGCGCGGAAGCTCTTCAAGTCGTTAACCCACCGCCCGAGAATATCTCCCACTATTCTTCGACATAGAGGCGTACTCAAGGCGTAGTCACACTCCTGTGCGATGTCAACGACTTCGCCGTCCCGGTACTTAATACTAGTCCTACTACTACTATAGTAGCTAGTAGTAGCGCCGCCGAACAAACATGTACAAATGATACGGTCGTCGGATTATATTCCTGTGCACGGATGAATATGACGAGCTACTTTTCCAGCATAGCCTACAGATGATACCTCATGCCTTTGGTTTCCAGCGAGCTCCTCCGTTTCACGGAACGACTATGTTACAGAATATTTGGGTAGTGACAACTTGTGAATGGTCTGTTAGCGCCCACTCTCGTACTTACTGCGGGCGTTCAGAACGTTCACTGAACACCTGTCCATCAACTGTCTGAGTCGATCCAGGCGTCCACCTGCGTCCACTTACTGCAACAACGCATCTGATCTAAAAGATACCTAACGACGCGAAAGCCATTCAGTTTGAAGGCTTTCACTCCTTCCTTCCGAAGGTAAGTTACATACCAGTACTAAATTACGGTATACTGGCCGAATCGGTACTACATCCCATCACCTAATACCCCACCGTCAGCATGCCACGCAATACAGGCTTGCCGGTTGTCCCCCAGGAACTCTGCGAGATCATCGTCGACTTCTCAAGGGACGATCTATCTACGCTGGCTGCCTGTAGCCTCGTCTCAAGCGCATGGCTACCGATTTCCCGCAAGCACACATTCTCTGCTATCACGCTTCGTACATCGAGCGACGTTGACGATCTCCTGACGATCTCCTCTGCGGGCTTGTTAGGCTCCAACCACATCCCGCGTCTCGTCCGTGATCTCTGCATCGGTGGCGATCGCGACGACAATCAATCGGTTCTGCTTAACCCCAGACTCCGTGACTTGTTCGAACAATTCACATCTGTCAAGACGTTGAGGCTGCGCTATCTCAAGTGGCTTGAAGTCTCCGCTGGACATGAACCTGTGAGAGTACTTGCGAGCAAGGTACTTACTATCGGAGTCCCGCACAGTGTTTGTTGAGCTGACGATTTACTAGGCTACCCACTTGCATATGCATTATCTCGTCTTCCATGCACAGGTCAACCTCATACAGCTACTCTGCTCCTCGCCTGAAAAGCGTTCTCTCAACATCACCGGGTTAGGATTCCATGTTATGGTCCCAGAAGCCCTGTGCCGGGCTGAGGATCTGGCTTTCATCTCTCCGGTTGTCCACATCGCTAGCATGACAACAAACTTTGTTTCATTCATCTGTTTTCACTTGACAATGCACTGGGCTTATATTTCCAATTGTCCGCTTTCGCTGTCCATTGACCGGCTCACTATCAACGACTATGGACCCGAACATACAGTCTCTTCTGCGCACGATCTGGACTCTATCACAACAATATACATCGATTTTCTGGAGATGCAGCTCGAGGACAGCGCGGAGCATGCTCTCGCACGTGGTGTAGATGACGAGGGTATGTCTTCTGATAAATGTTACCCACGATGCCCAATTGACTTGTAGTACCATTGCTTTGCTAGATATACCCACTACCGTCCTCAAAGTCGACTCTGTGCAGATCAATGGCCCCGTGATCCTGCAGAGATCAGCGGCGGTCTTCTCACAAATGCTGCTCCTCGCGCTGCGCCGGAGGCTGCTCCGTACGCGCCGCTTGCATTTTGTTCTTGACGGACTTCAACCCGAGGACGCCGAGCCAGTACAGTGCGATGATCTCGACGTTGCCCTTGCCAACCACGCAACGAAGGACCAACGGCTGGACGTCATCGTCTTCGACGTGCAGTCTCCGGCTGCTCGTCTCGCTGACTGGGTCGAGACCATCTCGAGCTGCGTCCCTCGCCTTCTCGCTCAATGCGGAGCGCACGTTGGGATCGTCTGCAGTGCCACGAGAGGCGGACTACAAGGCGAGCGGACTACGGTCGCGGAACATTGGTGGTCGTAGGCATGCACGCGATCATCTTCCAGTGTTTCATCGAAAGTGATACATATGCGTCTGTAAGCATTTTGACTGCTGAATTCAATGGATGACGCGCTCATTCCACATCGCTAGGGCGTTGCTGGTGGTAGCTGCATCAGAGAAACACTTGCCCCGCATACACATACCATCTCGCCTCAAGGACTACGACGTAGAGTACGAGCCCATTGGAATCCCGACCTTCTGTACTATGCACCTCTACCCATAGCCTGTCTCAGTACTTGTCTGTCGCCCGCATGGATGGCGACGAAGTCGCTTCCGGCCTGGATAACAGTAACGTCACAGCACCAGGGCTGGCCGAGGTCATGGATTACAGTACGGTAGGCACCAGGCTACCCAGCACTATCGACGACATAACATAACGAAGAATAAGCAAGTAATAACGGGGCGATCGCAAGAGTCCATGCGTATAGTAGCATGACTGAAACCAAGATTCAGACGGAAACTCGAAGCACAGAGACGGTGTGCACGGCTAGCATGACAGGAGCCGACTGTACAGCGTAACACGAGAACCGACCGACGAGCGGTGAGGAGTGTTCGGGCAAAGCGGGATTGACAGGAGGGGGGAGGGACGAGGAGAGATGAGTGATACAGACAGGCGGACAGCATGGGTGCGTACTGTACACATTTTAGCACTTGCGGCGCGAGCGCCGGCCTAAGGTAGGGAGTGTGGAGTATACAGGCGGTGAGGGACGGTCGGGGAGGGAGTGTATGTACAGTTGGACAGAACTCGACGAATGTCGAGGGATGGAGATATACAGCGACATACTGTACAGTGTCACGATGACGTACCAAACGCTACGATCGCTGAGTGACCGGGCGCAGGACAGCGAGTGGCGGATACTGAGCAGTGTTGCAGAGGATGAGGGGAGTCGAGCGCATATATGTTGATCGTGATGACGAGGAGTGTTGAGATGGAGACAGAGAGATGCGAAGATATGCACGGAAGACGGAGTGTGAGACAGAACAGTGGAGCGACAGAACAATATTGGTGACTAATAGAATAGCGAAGTATGCTCGCCCGACGGCCCTGCGGACGTCTTGGGGCGGTGGTGAACGAACCGAGCGACAGCTCGGTAGTCAGGAACTTGCTGTCGTCGTCGGAAGACAGAAGGGGTTTGCAGTCTGCAAGAGGGTGCAACGGCGGATCCGGTGCAAGGGAACGTAGGCGAAGAGGACGAAACGCTGAAGATGCGGCTGGGGCGTCTGCAAGTCCGCGCAGTATGTCGCAGCGACGATCATCTCGGATTCTCACCGAAAGAGCCCCGCGACCCTGCTCGACAAGCTCTTCTCCCTCCTCGGCTGGCCCTCGCCCTCCCTACACGTCTTCGGGAAGAAATGCACCGAGTCCGCCGGGTTCGGCGGCTCGCGGCTGAACAGGAGGGGGTACCCAGGCACGGGCGACGTCGGACGCATATTGAACTGTACGCGGTGGGGGAGCGCTGTCTTCTCAAAGTCGAAGTCGCCCTTCAAGATCTCCTCCGATCGGACATTGAGATCGACGTGCAGTGCGGCGATTTTTTCCTCGACGTCCGCCACGGGCACCCATACCTCGTACCCTGCCCACACGCGCGGGGGCGCCCAGCCCCGTAGCCCGACGTGCGGGTCGTCCGTGTGCCCACGACCTCCATCGCCCTCGTCATCAGCGTGTGCCCCATCGTCCTCGTCGTCCGCGTCCGCGTCGTCGTCAGATGTCACTGGGGACTGCGAGTGGATCGTCGCGAGGGAGAATGGTGCGCGACGGGCACGGGGAGAAGCGAGCGTCGGTGTTGAGCGTGAGAGGGGCGGGGAGTACGAGAGTGGCGGGGAGGATGGAGAAGACAGGTCGGGCGGCGGAGACATGGGTTTGGCGATCATGTCTACTGGCGTAGGACTGAGCGTGCACGTCCGTGGAGGGAGCAAGGCGTGCTCGGTCATGGAGTCATCGACGCGCGGGGAGTTTACACGGCTTGCGAAAGCATGTCGGCTGTCGGATCGTTGGTGATATGGCATGTCGTTTTCGTGATCATCACTGGTGGCGTCCCCGATAATTGAGTCGGCGTAACAGACGTCGGCCCACGCATCAAGGGGAGAGGCTACGAGAGCCATGTCGAGGCCGTGAAGGCACTCAGGATCGACGGGCGAAAGCGTGCTATCGACGATCTTCGCGGTGCTGAGTTGTAGTACAGGGCGCACCTCTAGTAGCAGGTCGTCTTGCAGCGTGATATCTGACTCCGAGTCTGAGTCCGAATCCGAGGGGACAAATGAGCGCACGTCGTCTGGCGGTAGGATCGGGTCGGGGATGTCGTCGAAGAGGACAGTGAGGTCGATGGGCGAGCTCGCGACCCTGGGTGTATGGACGGGTGACAACACAGAAGCGATCGTCGACGTCGGCAGGCGGGGCAATGGACGAGGACTGTACGGAGGCGAAGAGACCGATTGCTCGAAGGTCGAGGCTTGCGAGTCGGCGTACGCCGGGGGAAGAACCGACTCGGACGACATGGACATTAGTGGCTGCGCAGAGCCATCATACACCTGGAGAACACAGTCAGACGTCTATCCGAGACCATCAATAGTATTGTTGAGATTGTCGAGGTGGGGCCTTGACAGTGTGATGAGGCGAGATGATAACTCACATAGGGAAACACAGACGGATAGAGCGTGGAGACTGACATCGACGTGAAGAGGGAAACCGAGGCAAGAGAGATGAAAGTGCAAATCCGAGAGAGGGCTGTGAGGCCGCGTTGAAGATAGATGGCGGCCGCTGGCAACACTCGAGTGGCCAGTAGCGCACCGCCTCTGTGAGCGTTCGAGCTAAGAGCGAACTAAGGAGCTTGATGATGTCTGAGCCTAACGGTCGGGCGCGTCCGAGTCGGCTTCGGCGTTCGGCCAACGTGCGTTGATTTTCCAGGGCGAGAGTGGCGGAAGTGAAGAGTCGTCAGAACACAAGCAATCAGCCGCGCTGGGCGGTGAGCGACAGGGACATGAGCAGGGGGGCGAGGTGCGTAAGGTCATAGAGGAGGTCGCCAGAGACGCTTTTTCAGAGGCGAGACGTAATTGTCTCGTTGACCGTCACGAGCTCAAAGAAGACGACCATCGCCACCGTCAGATCTCGGTCGGACGACCGGCGTCCACCCAGCCACACCATAACTTCCACCGCGTCCACCGGTGTGTCCTTCTTGCCCGCACACACGAGATTGAAGCACATACGAGAGTTGTTATTCAGTCCATCGCGGTTGTTGGACTCCAAGAATGTCGTTGAGCCCACTCGTCATTGCGAGGAGAAATGATGGGCGCCTGACATTATGCGCGCCTCCATTCAGCCGGGCGCAGGGCTACAGGCAGCGGTTGCAAGCTCTACGAGAGTTGAGTTTGCAAGTCAACATGCCGCTGAACATGTCTGCGATTCAGTATACATACCAGCATCGTCTCAAGTGCCGACTCACAGCTGTCCTGTGCTCATCATTCGACTACAAATCTCTGATCCTCCGAGGTGAGATGCAGCCAAGGCCTGTCATGATGACAGCCAGAGATGCGTTCAGTTTCCAGAACACTGGCCCTATATGCGCGTATAATCAGTATCGTGCACTTCTGCCGAAGTTGTGCACCTTCTTTCGCCCATGTGCGGTCTTGCAGGCGCTTCGACGTGCACAGTGGCTCGTTCATGCTTTGCGGGAAGGTGGTCGTCTGGGACAAAACGGGGGCGAGGAGTTACCCAACAAGAGCGTCCCTTATATACTCGTATACCAATTGTGACAGGTAGTGAGCTACCGTAGAAGCGTCTACGAAGAAAATGTGAAGAGGTCAGCCACAAACTCACTACCTCCTCATCAAGCCACAAAATCGCCCAAATAGGCAAGTGTCCGCGACACCTCATGCGATGCCACCGGGATGCCCGAAGAATATGTATATGAGTGCAGAGGGCTGTTCACACGCGCATATGAACATCAGTGGGCACTGAGAACGCCAACGAAGAACTACTATTAGCTAGACTAGCTAGGTATGATGGGGTATGTCAGGGATGTATGAAAACAGTGGTTTTGGTAACCGACGAGATTCCTTCCGTTCGTGCTATTACTACTAGGTATCGTGTGTCACGTAATGTAATGTACCGTACTGCAAAGCAACGCAAGAAGCGTCCACGCAAGCGAGGTCGAAGAACGAATGGACAGATAACAGGTTCTAACAGGGCTGTATGGTATGGTGGTGTCGCAGCGATGCGGTGTTATAAAGTGATGTATAGTACTTTGAACTGTAGTTGTGGAGTGAATGGAATGGATGAGATGAGCAGTGCGAGCAGACGAGGAACGCAAATGAGGCCAAGAATGAGGGCAAGACGGAAAACGAGACGAACGGAGGCGAAGTGGGTAGATAGGAAGAACCAAGAGAGACGCACGACGAGAACGAGTCAAGCAAGAAGTCCGGTATACAACCACCGCGATGTTCAACACTCCGGGGTACGCGCAGGTCACCGCGACGCCCCGAGCGCGATCATGCTCTTTCTCTTCAGCTTTTTCGTGAAATTCTTCGCGCGCGCAAGCCACTTGCGCTCCGTCTTGGCCTCGCCGCTCCTGTCAGGCAAGGAGGACCTCGACCCCCTCGCCTTCGGCTCTGCAGGGGGAGGACCACTCGACGTCCCTGGCCTCGACGCTATCGGGCTGCCCGGCGGCGGCCCGCTTCCCGCGTAGACCACGCTACGGCTGGCCGCCCTCGCGCGCCCAGTGTGCTCCTGTCCGTCCGCCCGCAGCGTTTGTATGACCGTGCTAGAGGCAGAGTGGCTCGGGCCAGCCTCCTCGGTGGGCTCGCCCTCGTCCTCGGGGTGGTGCTCGACGGTGGCCTCCTCGACGGACACGCCGATGAGCATGCCGTTCAGGCCCGCGCGCGACGGCGTCTTGCTGCGCGAGAGCCGCCGCGAGAACGCCCGCGACAGCGACTGGCGCCCCGCGATGGTCGCCATCTGCACGATGGACTCTTCTTCTTGCGCCAGAGAGTTGGGGGAGCCTGCGGACGCCGGGTGCGCTTCCGCGGTAGACGCGAGCGAGTCCGCCGAGCCGTGTTGCTGGACGAGCCCGAGTCAGCGGGTGGGGAGGAGAGGAGAAGCGGGAGTCACTGACGTGGTTTTGTACGGCGTAGAACGCGCCGTTGTTGACGACGTACGCCGCCGCAGCCGTCGGTGCCTCCGCACGAGACGCGTCGCTGCTTCCGCTAGCAACGGGAGCCTGCATCTCGCGTCAACAGTGATCCACACAGCCCGACGCAAGCCATAACGCACCAGCCCAAATCTCGATACTGACACGCTCCCTCGTCTCCGCTCTCCAGCACCTGGCCGCGCCAGCGTAGCAATGGCGGAGGGCGCGGGTGTCAGCGTGCTGGTTCCGGAGGTGTGTGACGCTGCGTCGTCCCGGGCCGTCTGTGACATGGGCGACGACGCTCGCGCACCCTCTGCTGCTGCAGCGGCCTGTGCGCGCCGCGCGCTCTCCTCCTCGACGCGTTGGAAGATCTGCCAGCGCGTCAGAAACGACCGCGGCGGAGACCACAGCAATGACACGTACCTCCTCGATACGCGCATGGCGCTCCTTGCCCAAATCCGCCGTCTCGTTCGCGCTCATCTTGCTTACAGTCTGCGACAGCGCGAGGTTGGCAACGAACGCCTAGCCAAGCTCCAGTACAGGCTCAAGCGCAAGTCTCCCTAGCAGAGGCTCGCTCAGGTCGGTGCCAGCAAAGCCGCAGACGTCGGACGCGAGAAAAGGCGAGCGTAGTCTCCACGTAAGAATGCGAGACGAGCGATGGGGCTTCTGGAAGTCTTGCCGAGAGCCTTCCCGCGTTCGGGGCTGCCAGGCGTTGCGCGAGCGGGGTCCGCCAGAGGCGCGCGCCTTCGACGTGGTGGGCGGGCGTCGTTGGGGAAGGCAGGCAGTGCAGCGAGCGCGGTACTGGCGAAGACCTGCTAAGACGTCGTCGACGGGGGACACGGTGGCGAGCAAGTCGACGGCTACCTCGAACAGGGCCCTCGCGACGATCGCGTCTGGGCGCTTATGTCGGTACCGTAGCAGGGTCGGCGCTAAAGTAACAGGCTTTGTACCCTTCCCCTCACTCGAAGAGGTCTTCTTTAGGGTCTGCCTAGGGGAGACAAGGCTTTGTACAGTGTACTACCAAGATAATCGTTCTGTGAAACGGAGGGGCTCGCTACAAACTAAAGGCACGAGGTATCATCTGTATGGTTATGATGGAAAGGCAGAACGTCAAATTCATTCGTGCACAGGAATATAATACGACGACCGTATTATTTGTATATGGTTGTACGGCAGCCCTGAAAGTCCCTGGACGGCGAAGTCGTTGACATCGCGCAGGAGTACGCATCTATGTCGAAGACATGCACGCTCGTATCGCGGTCTTTCTCGTCTATGAGATTGGGCAGACCCAGTGATGTCAGTCCTCACCGGGACATGCTCCTGGGCGAGCGGCTGAAAGGGCGGTCGGTCAATGAGTTGAAGAGTTGCCGCGATTTGCGCTTGGGCAGGAAAAAAAGGGAGTATGTCACCCGGTCGTCTGCCGTCCATCCTTGTCCATGGCAGGCTCCCCAGGTGCTCAAGGAAATGACAAACATAGACACGCTGCGGCTGGAGAACCTCTCCTGGTCTCCATTACTCGTCCTGCCTGCAGTCGATAAAGCCGTCATCGCGCTTGCTGCAAAGGTGCGTGCTCGAGCTTGGTTTAGCACGCTCCCCATCACACTGATTCCTGCCGGCAGGCCTCCCATCTATATCTCCACTGGTCCGGTTACGTGTCACATACGGACTTGGCCCACGTACTCTCCACATCCCCTCACAGATCATTCGTCTCCTTCACGGAGTACCATCCTTGGGGTAGTGACGTCCCATCCATGAACACGTCACCATCGACAGGCTCGTAGCCACCTGGGAGTCGTACATCGATTTCCACACCGAGCTGCTCAGGATGTATGCGGTAGGGCACTCGCGGTTCACCGTCACCGTCGACCGGCTCACTCTCATGTACTGTGTCCCTGGCTATCCTCCGGGATCGCTGGACATTGAAGTCATCGAACTCGACACACACTGGCAAGTGAAGTGCGAGTCTGACCGGCTGAGCAAATCAGCCTGCAAGAACGGCCGTGACGGCAAGGGTACGTCGGCGATGCATGTTTCTCCCCTGCGGAACCTCAGTCATGCCTAGGCTTCAGCTCTGCAGGTCTGGTCATCCGGTCCTTGGACATCGACAATCCCACGATCCTGCATACGAGAGCCCCTTCTCCGTGTTCCTGACCTCCGCTGGAGAGCGCTGCTCATGAACCATATGTGCTTCATCCTCGACGGGCTCGAGCCTGCGGACGCCGTCCCGAAGCAGTGCGCAGAGCTGGATGACGCACTCGCTGGCCTCGCGGCCGAGAACCGCCGCTGGAGGTCGTCTTTGACGCGCAGTGTCCTCCCGAGCGGCTTACAGACTGGACGGAGGCCATCGCGACCTGCTTCCCTACTCTCATCGCCGGTGGCACACGCATCGGGGTGGTATGCAGTGCCACGGTGCGCGATGCAAAAGGCGAGCGTGTTCCAACTGCCCAGCATTCGTGGTTGTAGCTTTAGGATGCTACGGTCTCAATCTAAAAGTGTTTTGTATGCCGATACGTCGCGCGGACTGACTCTGCACAACAGCGCCCAACAGCAAGTGCCTCGTTGAGTCTTCGCAACGAACGCGCCGAGGCGCTTGCAGTTGTGCTCAGTACCCATGTCGGCTCGGTGTGAAAGTGTGACAGCCTGGCAAAGTCATCAGTAGTCAGTGATCAATGTACGAAGGCCACAAGATGAACCCCGGACACTAGTAGCCCGAATCTACGGATGGTGATTCGATGAAAGAGTAATGGCGAGGGGTGGGTTTCGATGCTAGGTGCGTATATAACAACCGACAACGGTTTTGAAGGTCCGATCGTCGATTTGGCTCAGTCATTGTACAACACGCCGAGACGAGGAGAGAACACACGCATCGGAAGGAGGTGAAATGATTCAAGTGAACATTAGTGATATATGGAGGTGTGGTACATTCAAAGCTAGAGCAGCATCATGTTGCAAGACAGCCCCCAATGCGACATCGTCCTCAGCTTGGTAGGCCACTCGGGGACTGCTGACAGCCTCTGATCGTCCGGGATACGACCGCCGCGATGTAGTCGCGTACGTTGGAAGAGCACTAGATAACAGACATCCCGCGGCCATGATGCAGGCCAGCGGGCCACCCGATTTGAGCGCCGTCAACGACCCATGTGCGAACGGTGGAATGTCGGTTCTTGATGATGTGGCCTTCGATGGCTGAGTTCGAGGACGACGTTACAACCCGGGTGGATGTCTCAAAGCGTGCCGTGTCGCACCTGTCAACGACACCGTGTGCGATGACGGGTTCAAAGCCTTACTCACCTTCGAACGGTTCCAGCATGTCTCTGCTTTGCCCGACTTGTCCTGTATAGAGGTTCGCACGCCGGCTAGTGTCTGGGAGATGCCCAAGTGTGGCCAGAAGTAGTCACTCCAGGTACCGGCACGCCTCTAGGCACAGACTAGGAGCCCTCGACCATGATCGATGACGGGTGACCACAACTTGAAGCTGCCGGCGCTCGTCTGGAAGAATGGATTGACTTGGTCGACATGAACTCCGACTGGGCTTGCCGTAAACGAATTGTGCAAATGGAGCGATGTCTTGAAAGGCACCATGTTCAGTATGAGCATTTGAAGCGTGACAAGGAGCTTACCCAGCCGCCCCATGCCCATGGCGATGGTCACTGATCCTCCGATGACAGAAAGCGCGACCGTGTATGAACCGTAGGTCAAACTACTAGTAGACTCGCGGAACAGTACTCCGTCCGTCCCGTTTGTCCCGTCTCCATCGAGGACTGGGTCGCGTCACTCGGAGAGACGGATCGAAGCCGAGCACACTTGAAGTAGGGCGATATTGAGCGGATGCGGCGACAGTGAGCTCGGCTATAGGTGGTCGATGAAGCGTGCGATCCAGGCTCCAGAGCGAGCACTGTCACGGTCTTGGGGCACGGATCTGAGTTGTTCCAGGGGTTCGCTCGACCTTGAACGGATGTCGAGGATTCCACGGGGCTGCTCGGAGCTCCTTAAGACGCAGCCCAAATTTGAGCTTGCGCTTCAGCCATGCGGCAGCATGGGTGGAAAACTGTGGCGTTGCACGGAGAGTCGGAAGTAGCATGGTGGCGAGGTCCGAGAGCCTGTAGACGAGTCTGGTACGCGCTGGATCTTCCTCTAGATGGCGGATGGCGGGAGGGGGGTTACTACGGCCACATACCAACGCTGCGCAGAGCACTCACCGATGGTCCGACCCCGACTGCGCTGAACATGCCGCTGGCCCGGAAGCATAGATCAACACGGCGCGTTCCATGCTGAGGGGGCTGACTCGCTCTAGGTAGCGTCGGCAGCCCCCTGGGAAGTTGCAGAAGGCGCTTCGTCGCTCGTCGACCGCCCTTGCTAAGAACACCGCCTTGCGTCGCAGACCTACGGCTTGGCCATCGGGCCACCACGCCTCGGTCCCTCATGCACTTGGACTCCCCGGTTCGGCGTGCACGTCTGGGCCTAGTTTTCTCTGCTACAAGTCTGCCTGACAGCGGTATAGCATGTCAGAGCTCGCCCGGAGCAGGTCGCGTTCGTTCGCAGTTGGCTGCGAGTGCTGGATGGTCTGTACACTGCGGGTGGCGAGTTAGCGGGCGGGCAGTCAGCACGGACGAAGCGAGGCGTACTAGGTGGGTATATGCGTGGTGCATACGTCGAGGGTCGATGGGACACCGTCGTCGGCGAGGTTGGTAGGTATGCATGCTCGTGATTGATAAACGGAGGACTCGCGCTGTGGGGAGTGAGGGTTGATGGTCTCTACCTGAGTTTTTGGTTCCCTTTTATGCGTGCGCGGGCGGCGCGGCCTTGGTAACCAGCACGAGGTGACGATACATCGCCGGATTGGGCAGGTCCTTGTGGCCCGGCCGTGGTCAAAGCGATTAGGGGATGCGCGAGTGGCCCGTGGCGCGTTAGCCGAGCCAATTGTCTCCTAGAAATGGCATGTGGTCGATCTCATTAATTAGCAAATTCAGCAACTTTCTTCCTGGGTTCCTCGAGGAGTTGGGAGCCTGACCCGTGTCTACCCGTGTCAGGCAGCCGCTACAGCAACTTCAGAGTTCTACATCGAGGCACATCGAGGTCTGTTCGCTTAGAGAGGGGTCAGTAAACCTAGAGCTCGCGCAGAAGATCACCGGGCCGTCATGCTTGGCCGATCCGGGGACAGGGTTGCGCTCTGCGCATTCGTGGCCGCAAATGGGACCTCAACAGGGAGGGTGGTTCTGCCGTGAAACGACTTGACATGGAGCAACTTACCACTTGATAGTACGGGTGAACCGCCTGAGGATTCCGGCCACAATCTGAAGGCGCGTCTTCCCACTATAAAGAGTAACGACTACGCATCGTTGTCGGTACTTTCTGTCCGCACTGGAGTTCGGCAAAAACCGTTCCTCTCCATTGACAGTGCTCGCCTTGCACAATGCGGACGACGTGCGTAATGTTGGTTCGGAAATGGCCAGGTGAAACAAAGACATCTATTTCAGTCAGAGACAATCGGGTGAAAGAGAATAGACATGCGGTGTGGACGGGTAGTGGTGCGCTGAGTGTGGTATGTAGGAGGCCGCGGCGGCTGGAGGGGGGGCGCCACATGGTCGACGTGTAAGATCCAGATCTGCGTCAGGACTCAGCAAGCCACCCGCGCGCCTCTACTCCGACGTCGCCGCATCTCACAACCTCACACGTCGTGTGCGCGCACTGTACGTCGCCATTTTCCTTTGTATGTGACCATACACTCCGAAAGCGCCTGCATGCAGAGTACAAGGCGACTCGCACAGGCAGCACACGCGTCGGGGCCATATACCTCGACTTTGTTCGAGGGCACTCGTGGGGCTCATGCAGCCAGATGGTATGATCCGGCGCGCAGACGCGATCGATGAGATTCATGGTTGGAGCTCTCGTACTAACTACGTGCACATCAGTAAAGGCATTCTACGGGCCGCAAGTCAGAGCAGCGACGAAGTATTGATTCTCTTCGAATGAGGGGCGTATTGACAGGTATGAAAGTGGTATGTGCCGAGGACTCACCCAGCGTCGATGCTCGCACTCAACGCCCAGCCTCATGTCCTGTATACACCGTATAACGTGTGATATAGGACCTACTAGCAGCGAGGCTATAGGCATAGTGGCGAGGTGCCACGGTACGACGTGAAATAAGGACTTCTGCGACGAGGACACATGCCTTATCAGACCTGGCCGATTATTGAGTGAGCGAAACACCCAATATGACTGTTAATCGAGAATCTTACTGGCATATTTGAGCCATGCGAGGCTTCTGCGCGCGTGCTTAAGACCACCAATGCTGGGCGACAGGAGGCCGCTCGCCATCCATGTCTTCTCCTGAAGTACAGACAATCCCGACGCGCGTTCCACGCGCGACAAGCGCAGGAAAGCACGCAGAGATGGCCCCGATCCAGTCCGCAAGGCGCTCCGCAGGGCAATGCGCATCAAAGATGATATCGATTCGGGGACCGTTGGTTACTAGGCGCACGAGGGCATGGTCCAGGTCAGCGCAGCGTTTCGGGATAGCATCCTTGGGGTCGAGACCGTCGAGGATGAAGTGCATGCGACGCGCGAGGAAGATTCTCAAGTCCAGCAGGGTGTTCAAATACATCGAGCCGAAGGTAATTCTCCGCAGAACTGTAGATGCGGGGATGCGCAAGGATTTGATGTCCAGGGTGGGCAAGTCTAAAGTCGCGAGAAAGCAATTCTGAGTCTGCAGCACCATCCCGCGTTAAACCACGTACCTCCTTCGTCTAGGCCTCGACTCCGCGCTCCGAGTTTTAGGAAGTCGAGCCACATCTTGAGCCACGTCTGTTTGCGTTGGATGAGGTCGTGCCAATAGCCTCCGCTGGTTATGCCGGCCAGGACTTGGCCGTCGCCGCTTATGTCAACCCTATCGATGGTCATTCCAAAGGCACAGCGAGTGACGTATGCTTCGCGCATAACTAGATGAACTGTAGTGAACAAGTCAAGGTCGGTGACCAAGCGGCCGATGTGGACTTCCCGATGGACAGGAATCATCTTCGGACTCGTGCGGAACATTTGGCCTTGGGACAGGTACTCCTGCATGTGAAGGGATGATCGTCTGGGTGAAGAAGAGAGCAGATGCACCATGTCATCACCGTACGTGAACGATAGATTGGACAGGTGTAGATGAGCCGCCTAGACATGCAGGCGTAGGAAGATGTCAGCAACTAAATATAAATCTTTCTACGATGCATCGTACCTGACTGGCGAGCTCTATCACAGCAGCAGCATCAACATGCGACCAAACAAGATGATCCAGGCGCAAGGTCTCCACGGACGTGAACTGTTTGAACATGTCGGGCAGCCGGGCATTCAGTGTCGTGGGCTCGAAGCTACTTGCTATACTTGAAGGCCCTTCGTATGGTGTCCAAGACCCTTCGTATGGTGTCCAATCAAGACAAAGATCACGAACAAGGTGAGGAATGTCGGTGGAATCCAATAACGGCGAAGTGATGATGGCCTCGAAAGCCGCAAGGTCTATGTATGGTCTGAGGCTGATGCACGAGAACCTGTGCTTGCGAGACGTATGCAGCCATGTTCGTGATACAAGACTGCACGTCCTGAGCGTGTCGGAGGGGTCGACTTTCCACGCGGAATCGATGATGTTGTCGCAGATCTCCTGGGGCAGAGCTGGCAAGCCCGGGTCGCGCGACATGACGATACGGTGCTCAATGATGAAGTAGAGGTATAGTAAGCACTGGTGAAAGAGGGAGTAAGTGGACAGCCTGAGAGGGGAAGTCGCGATGTATGAACCAAGTATGCCCAGCGAGCGTACTACTTGCCTTACATAATACAAAGCGTACGCGTAGCGTAGGCCTCCTGCAAGCGCCCAGCGTGAGTGGTCCCAGGCCGAATATGGAAATACCTCTCTCGAACCTACTCTACCTCTCTCCATCACCTACTACATAGGCATACCTCGACGACCTGGCGTATCGCAGCTTCTGTTGACGTACAACTCAGCCTAAATTCGGGCTCGGAACGCGCATTGCTGACGTTCGGGCCACATCCAGACTGCCTGAGTGACTGAAGGTACGTGCAGTCACCGCTACTTAGATTGTAGAATGCGGCCTGAGCTCCAGGCTCACAGTCGACAAGTGACTGAAAGAGACAGCCCTCGTTCAATTTTAATATCACCAAGCAGTACGCAGCCCCCTGCATGTCACTCACCTCGCGCTCGCCACGGCTTCCGCAGGAGCTATACGACTGTAACATGATCATCGACTTCTCGTTTGACGAGCCTTCTACGCTGGTGGCATGTAGTCTGGTGTCGCGCACATGGTTACCTTCGTCTCGCATGCACATCTTCTCGTACATCGAGATTACGTTGCCAGTGGACATCTCTGCGTTCCTTGCCATAACCTCCTCAGAGCTGTTGGACGCGAGCCGCATCCCACTTCTTGTCCGCGATCTCCTAGTAGTAGGTTGGAACCACTACGAGCCGGAGCTATATAACGTCGGACTCGATACAAGGCTGCCCGGCCTCCTGAAGAAGTTTGCATTGGTCAAAACGCTGCGGTTGCATACCGTGCGTTGGACATTCGGGCCGTCTGCACTGTTACCCGCAGTAGCGGACGCTTTGATGGCGCTTGCGAGTCAGGTATGTATTTGCTGACTTCTCCTGCATGTGTTGATCAATTCTCAACGCATTTATGTCCAGGTTGTCCATTTACACTTGCATGCTGTTGAATTTGGGACTTTCGATAATGCGTTGCATTTCCTCTTCACGTCGCCTCGAAGATGCTCCCTCCACCTCACGTCATGGGGCTACTCGGCAGACAAGGCTATCCCCTGGGATGCAGCTGCCAAACAGCCCTTGTGCAAAGTGGTCAGAATCGGCACATCGGTGCTCACTCTCAGCGCATACTTTCGTCTCTACTTGACCATGCGCGAAGCTTCTGTCTTCCACTGGCCAATGTCCATGGTGATCGATAAGCTCACCTTTGACGAAGAAGATGTCTATCTTACTACAAACCGAGATTCCAGCCTCGATAATCACCCGTGGCCATGGTATGGTATCAAGGATATACCACAAAAACTCACCGAGTTGGAGGAAAACGCTGTGGCACATGGTCTGGGAGTTGGAACGTGTATGTTGCCTGAAGATACTTCCAGCGTGGCGGCACTGCTGACATGTCCTGTAGCCCAGAACCCTCCCTCGACCCATCTACACGTCGAAACACTTGAAATCAACATCCCTGCAATCCTGCAAGCGTTTACTGTCTTCTCGCGAACCCTGAACTTTCTCCTCAATTCCAGATTGCTACTCGCGCACCGTGTGCACTTCGTCCTCCAACTGGCGTTTCTCGGCCGCAAGGCCTGCAAGTGTGTCGTCCAGCTCTGCGCACTGCTTCGGGACGGCGTCAGCAGGCTCGAGCCCGTCGAGGATGAAGCACATATGGTTCATGAGCAGCGCTCTCCAGCGGAGGTCAGGAACACGGAGAAGGGGCTCTCGTATGCAGGATCGTGGGATTGTCGATGTCCAAGGACCGGATGACCAGACCTGCAGAGCTGAAGCCTAGGCATGATTCAGGTTCCGCAGGGGAGAAACATGCATCGCTGACGTACCCTTGCCGTCACGGCCGTTTTCGCAGGCTGTTTCGCTTAGCCGGTCAAACTCGCACTTCACTTCCCAGTGTGTCTCGAGTTCGATGTCCTCAAGGTCCAGCCGCTGTCCCAGAGGATAGCCAGGAACACGGTGCATGAGAGTGAGCCGGTCGACGGCGACCGTGAACGGCGAGTGCTCTACCGCATATGCATACATTCTGAGCAGCGCGGTGTGGAATTCGACGTACGACTCCCAGGTGGCCACGAGCCTGTCGATGGTGACGTGCTCATGGATGGGCCGTCGCTCCGTCTCGTTGGTGATTCTTGGGACCTCACTACCCCAAGTCTGGTACTGCGTGAAGGAGACGAATGATCGGTGAGGGGATGTGGAGAGTATGTGGGCCAAGTCCGTATCTGACATCCAACCGGACCAGTGGAGATATAGGTAGGAGGCCTGCCGGCAGGAATCAGTGTGATGGAGAGCGTGCTAACCGAGTTCAAGCACACACCTTTGCAGCAAGCGCGATGACGGCTTCATCAACTGCAGGCAGGACGAGTGCGGGACACCAGGAAAGGTTCTCGAGCCGCAGCGTGTCTACGTTCGTCATTTTCTTGAGCACTGCAGGGAGTCTGCCATCGACGAGGATGGACGGCAGACGACCGGCGACATACTCCCTTTTCTTCGTGCCCAAGCACAAGTCGCGGACACCCATCATAACGGTATCCAACCGCTCTAGGGTCGGCGTGCCCGAGATGAGATCCAGGAATGGAGTGACATCGCTGGGTACGCCGAGTCTGATAGACGAGGGCGCGGTGTGTCCAACGTCACGGAGCTCCCGAAACGAATAGCGCGCCATCCGTGCTAGGTGATACTCGCTGTGTTCAAGTTAATACTGTAGTCCGAGGCACGAAGTGGACTGTGCTACTTAGTGCACGTTGCGAGGCTGGTTGCCGGCGGGATCGTAGGTCACTGGAAGACTGTGCTGCAGTAGAAGGTAGTAGAGAGAGGTATATAGTAGGTATCCGAGTCGCAAGCCTGTGCGCAATCCAAACTACGTCCTCCGCCGGAAGAGAGACGGTTTCCATATTTGGACCACTCACGCTGGGCGCTTGCAGGAAGCCACGCGTAAGCTTAGTATTATGTAAGGCAATTAGTACACTCGCTGGGCACACTTGGTTACAAGTTGGTTCATACATCGCGACTTTCACTCTGAGGCTGTCTACTTGTTACCTCTTTCACCAGTGCTGACTATACCTCTACTTCATCATTGAGCACCGTATCGTCATGTCGCGCGACCCGGGCTTGCCAGCTCTGCCCCAGGAGATCTGCGACAACATCATTGATTCCGCGTGGAAAGACACCTCTACGCTCAGGACGTGCAGTCTTGTGTCCCGAGCATGGTTGCATACGTCTCGCAAGCACAAGTTCTCGCGCATTAAGGTCAGGCCATACATGATACTCGCCGCTTTGGAGGCCGTCATCACTTCACCGTTACTGGAATCCACCGACATTCCTCACCTTGTTCGTGATCTTTGTATTGATTGGACACCATCCGAAGGGTCTTCAAGTTTGGGAAGTCGATTCGAGCCTGCGACGCTGAATGCCCGGCTGCCCGACATGTTGACACAGTTCACGTCCGTGGACATCTTGCGCCTGGAGTGTCTTCCCTGGTCGCATTTTGATGGTGTAGCCCGGGCAGAGGCTGCTGTGATAGAGCTCGCCGGAAAGGTACGATTCATAGCAGAGAGCGTCGCGCATTTAGTCGTTGACATCTTCCTACGCTTGCATATCTAGGTCGCTCATCTACACCTGTCCGATCTGTCGTTCACGTACGGTGATGATCTGGTGCATCTGCTCTCTTCCTCACCAAGACGATCGTCCCTCCACATGCAGGAGTGTCTGTTCCAAGGCCGAATGCTGCGCACGAGCGTGAAGATTCCTGTACATCGGGAAGCTCATGTCGGCCACTTGGTCACCGACCTTGAGTCGTTCGCTGAATTCAACCTAGTTATGCGCGAAGCATATGTCTCTCGCTGGGCCTTTGGAATGACCATCAATAAACTTGTCATTAACGGCGACGGCAACGCCCTGACTGACCTCGCCGAGTTTAACTTTATGGAAGACTACATCGCGGACAGATATGGGCATCTCGTCATTCTAAAACACAGAGCCCACAGTCGAGGCCTAGACGATGGAGGTACGTGGTCCAACGAGGGGTGGTGCTGCAGACTCAGATTTGACTTCTCCGACTTCAGACCTGCCTACCACCACCCTGGACATCAAGTCCTTGCGCATCCCTGCATCTATCATTCTGCGGAGACATACATTCGGCTTCATGTACCTGCATTTTTTGCTATACTGGAGAATGCTGCTCGCGCGTCGCGTGCACTTCATCCTCGACGGTTTCGACCTCGAGAATGCTATCCCGGCAAACTGCACTACCCTGGACCGTGCCTTCGGGCGCCTAGTAGCCAACCGTGCCCAAACGGATATCGTCAAGTTCGACGCGCATTGCCCTGCGGAGCGTCTCGCGGACTGGATCGCGGCCATATCTGCGTGTTTTCCTGCGCTTGTCGCAGGCGGAAAGCACGTCGGGATGGTCTGTACTTCGGGAGAAGATCCGGATGGCGAGCGGCTCCCTGTCGCCCAGCATTGGTGGTCTTGAACACGCGCGTGAAAGCCTTGCGTGGCTCAACCATTCCTGTAAGAGTCTCGTTCAACAGTCATACTTTACGGTTCGCTCACTCGAGAATCGGCCAGGTCTGATCAGAAGTTCAATCATATCCTCACCGCCAGTGCCCTGTTCTCGCATCGCACCGCGGGGCCTCGCCAGTAGGCCTGTAGAGCCTCGCCGCTAGGTCCTATATCGCGCGCCATGTAGTGTATGCAGGACATGAGGCTGGACGTCGAGTGGTAGCCTGAGCGTGGCGATCCGCACATTGCGAGCACCGAAACGTCGCTGGGTGAGTTCCCAGCGCATATCGCTTTCATGTATGTCGATGCGTCCCGTATCCGGGGGGTCATGTGTCGCTATCTGAACTTGTATAACACCTCCTCTTCGTCGCCTACTTACACACAGTACGCGTTCTTGAATACTCGCCTGGAGCGGGCGGGCGTTGAACGTTGATGCCTGGACCTCCGTCCCTCGATCCGAAGCACCTGGCACCTCGAAACGCGAGCCTCATTCCCTACGACCGCAAGCTACACGCCGGAGCAAACCATAGGTAGTTCCGCCATTCACTCGTTTGCTTCAGTCTGAGGGCTCAGGGTCGCTTTCCGGAGCCTGAGCTGCGCTGCACAATGATAGGGTTGAACGTTGAAGACTTATCTCTGCATCTGAATGCAAGCTCCCTTCGATGGCTGTGCACTGATGCCTACACCTATGCATGCGTGCGTCCGGATCATGCCCATAAGATCGCGCTTATGGTCCGATTCATTGAAGTGCCTGCATTGTTTGGCAAACAATGCCCCACTATTGTTTTGCGTAATGCCTTTAGCTTGGCTTACTTACAACAATACCCTTGTTGTTACGTGCTTCACTGATGTGTACAGAAACACATTGTTCACGGTTTGTAACGCACGTAAAGAGGCGCAGACGGCGCGCCTCGGCCTCTGCAACGTGTCTTCCTCTTTCCACGATGAACAAACCGATCTTTGGCGACGCGCAAGGTGCCTTTTCTGATGTGTCGGCTCCCGACATGAGGCCCACACGTGTGCGGCGGTGAAGAGCTCGGATTTTTGCCTTCTCATATCTCTGGCCCAGCCCATCATCACGACCGCCATCCCTATCCCTATGCTTCAGCCTCCAATGGCCCACAACTACAACATTTCTGTCGACACCTCGCTGGAGAAGGTGAAACGGCATCCAAAGTACTATCTCTCCGGCGGAGACATTCATTTCTTGGTGCGCATCGTCGCCTGTGTTGGAGCTGTCGTCGGGTGCGCTGACGACGATCTTTCAGGTTGAGAATTACCTGTTCCGTGTACATCGTTATTTCTTCGAGCGCGAGTCGGCGTACTTCCGCGAGAAGTTCGCCGTCGCGGCACCGCCTGGCCAACAGCCCAAGGGCTCGTCAGACGGGAACGCGTTTCCTCTGGAGGATGTATTAGCTAACGACTTTGCACGATTTCTCTGGGTGTTCTACAACCCGTGAGTTGTTCTCATCCCTGCTCTACATCATCTCATTCCGTGTCAGGAAATACTCCATCTACGATGCTACGGTTGACGATTGGTCAGCCATCCTGAAGCTGGCATTCGACTGGCGGTTCTCGGAGGTCAAGAAGCTCTGCGTGCGGGAGCTCGAGAAGTTCGAGATCGCGGCGCTGCAGAAGATCGAGCTCTACCAGGCGTACGAGCTGGACAAGAAGCTCCTCATTCCTTCCTACATCGCGATGTGTATGCGGCCCGAGCCGCTGTCCATCAAGGAGGGTCGCCAGCTCGGGCTCGAGACTGCGCTGCTTCTTGCAACTGCGCGAGAGTCCGCGCGTGGGCGGCCATCGAGCAGCCCCGGCCAGATCTGCTCCTCGCCCGTCACCGTCGAGAGCGACGACATGGTCACGATCATCAAGGATGTTTTTGGCATCATTGCCGGCCCGCCCTCCCCTTCTCTCACTCCGCTCGAGAACACTGGGAAAGTGTCGCCCTTCACGCCTCTTGTTATGAACGGCACGAACAGTACCACCACGACACCTAAGAAGCCAACGCTCGTCGCCCCTTCGCAGGCTGCAGCGACGACGGCCATCAACGCGAGTTTCGATTTATCGCCGACGCCCACCCTGGCTGCTAGAGATGCAGTCAAGTCCCCAGGTCAATTCGCCTCGAACTCTTCCCCTACTATTCTCAGCGGACGACTGAACTCTGTATTTGCTCCAATGCAGGGAACGGTACGCCCACCTCCGCTGGAGCCGCCGCCACGGGTACCCTCGCCGGTGGCGCAGACGCCAATCGAATCGCCAGTGGTCGAGACGCCGGCGCCGCAAACGCCGGTTCTGGAGACACCTCCGGCGCCAAAGGCCGACTCGGAGGGCTTGACGAAGCTGACAAGGAAGGAGAGGGAAAGGCTGAAAAAGAAGCGGCAGCAGGAGGAGAAAAAGAAGGAGGCCGCTCTACCCCAGTCGCCCGGCGCGGGGGCAAAGGCCGGGGAGGAAACAACCGGGGCGGATAGTACCAGTACTCCCGATGTTACTTCGTCGCAGTCGCAATCCGATGCTCCCATCCTTGTTGACATTGCTACTTCGCCGACCACCGCTCAACCCCAGCAGCCTCGAGACGCGCACGAGATGAAAGACGACACATCGACTACTACCGACAAGCCAAAGGAAGACGAATCGAGTGTCTTGGATGCAGGGAACGATCGAAGCTCGGACCCTTCACCGCATGAGGCTGGCTCGGCTGGCAGCCAGGACCTGCAGGCAGATGGTGAACGTAAAGCGGAAGGAGGTGCTGGGGAGTCAACGACTGACGCAGCGCCAGAGTCTGAGACGCCCAAAGTCGCTGTTACAGATACGTCTGCTGCCACTGCTGACTCGGCTACTGAAAGCACCCCTGCTGCTGAAGATACCAGTGCAGAAGCGTCAGCGAATGCTCAGGCTGGCGCTGAGGCGTTGGCGAGTACAACCACCGGCGAGAGCGCGGCACCATTGACAGAGTCTTCCATCGACGGCGCCGCGTCAGCTCAGTCTAACGACGACGCCAGTACGAAAGCTGACGTATCGGTGACCACTCCCGCAGGTGGATCAGATCCTGCATCGGAGGGCGGTGATAAGACAGAGGCCTTCGTAAAAGATGACAAGACTGCCTCTGAGGGGAACAACGTGTCAGACGCGGACGTAAATGACAAGACAGAACCTGCAGACGCGCCGGCCCCTCCTGCATCCACCCCCGAGGCGCCTACCGAGAGCACTTCCCAGCCCACGAGCGGTGATGCCGTGACCACGGAGACTACCAGCGAGGTACCTGCATTTGGTGAGACGAAGCCGACTCCTGGAACTGAGGACTCCGCGCCGTCGTCAAGCACGGACCAGCCTGCGTCGTCTACGATTGGCACAGAAAGCGAGCAGCCTGCCGATGTTGCCCCAACGCCCACTCGCACCTCGACCCCGAAGCCGAAGAATAGGAAGAAGAAGGGCGCCGCTGCGAAGGCCGAACAAATCGCTTCTACTACTTCAGGCAGCCCTTCCACCTCTGAGCCAGCTCGTACCTCGACGCCAAAGCCAAACAACTCGGCTAAGAGCGAGATACCTGCTACTACACCTGATGCAGAAGAGAAGCCCGTGACGCCTACAAAGGAGATCCCTGCGACGCCTGCCACCGAGCAGAAGCCTCCCACGTCCGACGTAGAGAAGCCTACGACACCTGCTGCCGAGGAAAAGCCTTCGACACCCACTGCTGAGGCAAAGCCTCCGACACCCACTGCTGAGGCAAAGCCTTCGACACTCTCAGCTGAGGCGAAGCCTTCGACACCTGCTGCTGAGGAGAAGTCTTCGATACCGACGCCAGAACAGCCTGCAGATCCAGTCGCGGAGCCGGCTCGCAGCCAGACGCCCAAGCCAGAGCCTCTGAAGAAGGAACCTCCTGCGGCTCAGACAGCCGGGCTCGACCAGTCCGCGGATGCTGCTCCACAAGTTCCTCGTACCCCAGCCTCGGCCTCGAAGTTGAATCCCTGGAAGAACAGCGAGACATCCGCTACGACTGCGGACGACCAGCAGACCGCTGCGTCATCCGTGGCGGGCGAGACGTCTGCCCAACCAAGCGCAGAGTCAGCGCGGTCACAGACCCCGAAGCCAGCCGTGTGGGGCAAGGGACCTCCTACGGCACCTACCAATCCCTGGAACAAGAATGCTCCAGCAGCCGCGGCTCCTAGCCAGCAACCGACCACGCCCGCCGCGCCACCACCTAATCCCTGGAATAAGAGCACGTCGTCCGCACCGTCTGCCAATGCCTGGAACAACAAGACGCCTCCCGTTCCGACCCCCAACCAGCGAGCTACGCCAGCCGCGGGGAGCATGCAGCCTGCAGGTCCCGCTTCCGCTAGCGCGTCTGGTCGCAGCACGACGCCGAAGCCGACCATCGACACCAACGTGCCAACTCCGTGGAACAACGTGCCAACTCCGTGGAACAATGTGCCAACTCCGTGGAGCAAGGGCAAGTACACCCAGATGATAGCGAAGGCGACGGGGAAGAAGTCACCGTCGTTCTGGAACGTGTTCACCGGCGGAGACGAGAGCGAGGACGAGATTCAGAAGCCGGAGCCCAACGCGAAGAGCAACGGGTCGCCGATCCCTGGTGCATGGCAGGATAGCAGAGGCCCCACCCCCAATCCAGACGAACAGCCAAAGCCTGCCCAGCCGGCCGAGCTCGCCGCTCTCGCCCAGAAGGCGAAGGACATGTCTATGAGTGACAAGATTGAGTGGGATTTCGGGGACGAGAACCCAGTAGGGTAGACCGTTCGTGGACTCGTGGATACCCGGCTTACGTATGTTTCGCGCTGTTCTGCTGTTCTCTGAGACGTATGTATGTGTGGCTTCGGGTTTGGTGACATGCTTTCTTCGGTTCTCCTTCGGTCCATGGTAGTCGCGTTGTCTGTAGACCCTGGTGGTCATATGTAATTGTACTGCTCACGCGCCACGTCCGTAATGACAATATACGAATTTCTCTACTCATTCAGAAGTTTACTCGACAGGACAGCGTGAGGCATATCCGACGAGACTTGTAACCAGATTAATCCTACTCTGCTGACCCACACGAGATCCTAGTTAGATCGCGGACACAATCACAGAACGATAGTAACTCCAGGGTCGAAGAAGCCGTATACATTGGTGAATCGCTACGTTCAGGGATAGATCGTCCTTGACCATGATCCGGGCCGCCGATCGCGTGCTTAGCATGTACTACGAGTACCCGACTCGATGTACAGCCTAAGCCAATCCGGCGACGGAGGGCATGACAAGAGTTGTCAATCCAACGGAAAGGATGTACGATAGCGCTGCGAAGGAAGGTTAGAATGATATATCTGTTAGGTGGGATTCGAGTACCTACCCGCAGCGTGTCGTATCATCGTGTAGATGTGCCCGGGAGCAACGAGCCTTCGTCGTCGTCAGGGAGCGTCCCGGCGACTACATTACATTGTTTGTGTTGAGCGAGGGGGCAAGCCTGCAGCTCAGTCGAGGTCGCCGAAGAGCACAGTCGTCTCCGGCTTGACGAAGACTGCCGCAATGCCCTGTTCGTCGTACAGAAGCACATTGTAGACTTCCGCTACGAGTCAGCATTGCCGTCATGAACGTGGCAGCAACTGAGCATTACCTTTGTCGAATGACTTGAGCACTTTCATCGCCCAAGGTCCGGAAAGCCCACCCGTCTCCGATGCACGACGGTGCGAACCGCCGTCCGTATTGTGTAGAGCCCACTCCTCAACGATGGGAGTACCCGTCAAACCCATTGCGTCCAGAGCCCGTGCTCGCTCTGCCGGGACCACCGCCTTCCACCATGCCCATAGGTAGAGGATCATGAAGTCTTGTGCCAGGAACGTGGTGTTGATCCACCCGCGCTCCATCAGCCAGCCGATGCGCACGAACGGGTCGGCAAACAGTGGACCCAACAGAGACTCTTCGGCGAGGTACAGCCCCGCCATGATGTACGCGAGGTTGAGCAGGTACAGTCGAGGATGTGCGAGTTCACGGCGGATGTCGTCCACGATCATGTTGATGATAGGAAGGCGACTGATGAATGAAAGAATGGGAGGGGCCCCGTAAAGCAGGATGGCGGGCACGCAGTAGATGGAGACCGCGACGAGGAGAATGAGCATCTCAAACTCTGTCACCGTGTGGGGGCCGTCGTCGCCATCGTCGGCGGCGACATCGACGATGGCCTTCCTGGTCGAGTTGAGGTCGACAATGTTGCACACCTCGATGTGCATGGTGCTGTTGACGTGAGGGTAGACGGCGTCGGATTCCCACGTCCGTGTTGTTGAAAGCGTTCTTGGGAGCGGCCTCGCCGTCGAAGGTAACCACGAAGGAAATGTCCATGTCCAGACGGTCACCAGTACCGTTGGCCAAGTCCATCCCTCCTAGGGTGTCGACGAGAACGAAGTCAAGGTCGAAGTAAACCGAGCTGTGTGACCATGGCATTCATAACGATGGCGTAGTGGAGGGAAGAAGAGGACGTACCCATAACCGATGTCGCTGAGCGACATGTCCGAGAGCCAGATAAATTCCGGGGAGGCCAGAGCGGCCGAGTTGCGAATGGTGTCGACGATGTCGCCGACGACGCCTGCGGTCCCGTCGACAAGATCGCCGACGAGGGCCGCAGTGCCCTCTACAGCGGGGCTGGCGGGAATCGAGGCGTGAGTCAGATGTCCCAACAAGTAGGCATCGAGCACACTCACCTAGAGGGCAAGTACAGCAGGAAGTCCTCCATGACGGCCGGCGTCAGGAGGAGTGTACTGGGGATGAGCCCGACGTTGAACGTCGGAGGGAGGCTGGGCAGCACGCCGATGAGGGCCAGCGCGCCACCAAGCAAGATGAGAATGGGGAGCATGTGCGATACGCAGTGGACAGTGGTGGTTCAAGTTCAAGTTGGATGAGGGGGGAAAGTCGAACCTGGGCGGGCTATATATGGCGAGAGGCGGCTGATATGTTGAACTTGCGATCGCCGTCACCCTCGATCGTTGTCCATTTTTGGATGCCGGTGTGCCAGCCAGCCTCTCTGCGGCCAGCCAACCTCCTGGAACAAAGAGCTCGATATCGAGGCGAAGGATAATGTAAAATGGCTGGCTGACGGCGTCAGCAGCATACAAACTGGTTCATGAAGAAAGCAGTCAGTCAGTTAGGCGCGTGAACATATGGATGTGCGTACGCACAGCGCGAGTATTGCTAGTGTCTGTTGCCATAGAAGAACGACAAGCGCTTTCATGGAGTATTGCTGACTTGTTCTCTGGATCTCAGAGGGACACCAGCCTCGGTACTTGTGGACGATTGTCGCTTTTTGAGTACCCACCGTCCTGACACCACCGCGCTCAATGGGCAGCGGTGCATCAGGTATCAGTATCCCGCGGGCGCTGCTAGGATGACGGAAAAGCGCAGAACCAGATAGCCTTTTCACGATGGATGCGTTCGCAGTCAAGACAATGCATCACACAGACGTCTCTTCAGATGCGCATACACAGTGCTACACGCGTATACGTGCATGTGCGTGCTGTAAGCCGAACGGGTCTCTGTGATAGGCCAATTGAACGCAGCGACATGCATGAAAGACCTGGAACCGCCTGCGATTGCTGGCGAGTGTCAAAGTTGTGTGGAACGAGCAATGGCAGGAGCGTGGCACGCCAGTGGTATACGCGGTCAGCTGACCGCGGTGTGTCTGGGTTCGTACGACACGTCCGGCGGCATCCGCGCAACTTGCACAATAGCTGAACCACTCTCCTGCACGCGTAACGAGAGCCTAACCATAAACCATACATTCCTGCGCAAGAGGAACCCATCTAGCTGCATGAGCCTGCCGTGTATAGAGGATAGCCAGCGCGCAGCGACAGGATTGAGGTATATGACCCCGAGGCGCGTATGAGTCGCAGCGATGACAAACAACCTTGCACCGGCAACACTCTGCATGCAGGCATTTCAGCGTACGGCCATTTACGAACGGAAATGGCGACGTACACTGGCAGAGAATATGGCGTTCCGCGACGCGTGAAGTCTCCGTTGGTGGCACGCAACATGCGGGGCCGTCGATCGTCGAGGCATGAAATCTCACCAAGTCTGCAATGGCCAAGAAGTCCCTCTCATGCAAATGTCCCTGCGACTCCTGGAGTCTGGAAACAAACTCTGAACTTGAATACGGGCCAAGACCGACTCAGCACGCCGAGGCCCGAAGGATGGTCGTGCGATGCGCACAATGAAGACCATCTGGGAGTATTCTTGAAGTCCAAGTGCTGTGAAATCTTGCGAGACGGGGGCACAGCGGAAAGAGGCCTATGGTCGGCGGCGATGCCATTGCCACGGAAGCGAGTCGGTGTCGAGGACGAGGAGGAGGAGGAGGCGCGGGTGGCTGCTGAGGCAGATCTGGATCTTACACGTCGGCGGCCCGGCTATTCGGCGCGCCGCCGGCCTCCAGCCGCCACCAACGAGCTCACTAACGCCCACAACTGTGCCTCGACCCGCCATCCATCCATTGTGACTTATGCCTATTCTGCATATATTCTCCACCAGAAACTCTGTGAATACGATGTCTACCCAACACTCAACCGTGTTTGTTTCGCTGCATCATTTCCGCACCAACACCGTGATGCACGGCGTCTGCGTGCGATGTGCAAGATGAGCACTATACTGGAGGTGGACGGTTTGTGTCGCACCCCTGAGTGGCACAGACCGTATTATATCCAGGAACATATGTGGCCATGACTACCGTGGCCGGCAGATTACTTTTTCAGAACGTGGCCGGGATGCTGCTAAACCATGTTGGTGAGTTGCTTCAAGTCAAGTCGCTTCCGACAGAAATGCCCCGCTGATCAAGGGGTCATTCGCCGCCTAAGAATGCGCACTGAACTCATCCCTGTCCCCGCAATGGCCAATCAATTTTCTGCGCGATCACCAGGGTCGCTGACTTCACCTTCAATAAACGGATTTCGATGCTATAGACCTGTGAAGTTGTTGTAGGGGCGAGCTGACACGCGTAAGGCTCCTAAATTATCCAGCGATCCAGAAAGAACATTCCCAGAGGTGCCTACAATGGCACCGACCACATGCCATTTCTAGGAGACAAATGGCTCGGCTAACGCGCCACTGGCCACTCGCGCATCCCCTGATCGCTTTGACCACGGCTGGGCCACAAGGACCTGCCCAATCCGGCGTTGTATCGCCTTTCGGCCTGGTTTCCAAGGGCCGGCCACCGCCGCCCGCGCACGTATAAAAGCGACGCGAAAACTCAGGTAGAGACCATCACCCTCACTCCCCACAGCGCGAGTCCTCCGTGTATCAATCACAATGCACACCTACCATCCTCGCCGACGACGGCGTCCCAGCGACGCTCGACGTATGCACCACGCATATACCCACCTAGTATGTCTCGTCCCGTCTATGTCGATTACCACCCCTTGCTAACCACCTGCGCAGTGTACAGACCATCCAGCATTCGCAGCCAACCGCGAACAACCACGACCTGCTCCGCGCGAGCTCTGACTCGTTATCCCGCCATCAGGAAGACTGGCGGCAGACAATGTAAGCCCAGAGGTGCTCGCCGACCGGGGCGTCCAAGTCCATGAGGGACCTAGGCTCGACCGTCCGCTATCCAAGCCGCAGGTCTTCGACACCAGGCGGCGGCGCGCGTGGCGAAGACGGTCGACGAGGAGTGAAGGCGCGCGGTCTGTGACTTCCCAGCAGGCCAAGCTAGTCGTCTCGCAGCGCTCGTTATCTTCCCTCGTGCAAGCTGGAACGAGGCCAGGCTGTGTGTGGCCTGCAGGACGCCCCGTGTCAAGACGCGCTTCCGGGGCTATTGCTGCGCTTGCCGCATGCGCAGACGGGAATCGGTAAGTGCTCTGCAGTGTTGGTTTGTCGCCGCGCTGCTCACCCTCCCGCCATCCGCCGTCTATAGGAAGACCCAGCGCGTCCTAGAGACTCTCGTCGACAGGCTCCCCGGGCGACGTGGAGTGGACTCTGCTCGGATCGCTCAAAACCGTCCATCGGGACCGTGACAGCGCCCGCTCTGGAGCCTGGACCGCACGGCTGGTAGACCAGCTATAGCCGGTGGTCGCGTGTTGACACACGTTGGTGCTAGGGAAGCGGCCGAGCTGAACTCTGAGACTGCGATCACTGCCGACGCATACGCCTATTATCGCGGCGCGTATTTCAACACCCCGTCGGGCCCGACTTTGCTCGGTTTCGACCGGTCTCACACGATGTCACGTCGTGAATCACGGGAGGACGGGACGGATGGTATACCGGGGGCGGATGGGTGAGTCCCTTGTCATCTTTCAACCTGAAGACATTCTCATACTGATTGTGGTGGCCCCCCAGGGCATCGTTCCATTCGCAAAATCAGTCTGCTGCAGCAGGCTCATGAGGCCATCTCGGCGAAGTAAATCCTTACTTCCAGATGAGCGCCAGCAGCTCGTGGGCACCCTTCATCCTGGCGGTGGTGTAGGCTTGGTGGGCCAATTTGTTGACCACTTTGCTGTCCGTGCTCCCGTCCTCGCGCGTCTGACTTCTCACATCCGTGCCGATGAACTTGTTGCTCTTGCGAAACAGGTCTCGGATGCTCGTAGCTCGCTTGCGCTTCTCCTCAACCTTCTGGGGCCGGGCCGAGGGCTGCCGATCTGTACCTACGGGCGTGCCGGTATCTGGAGCGATGCATTTTGGGCGCGTATGGCCATCTCCGGGACACTAGCCGGCGTCGGAACCAGTCCACAGGACAAGTCGGGCAAAGCAGAGAGAGGCCGGAGGCGTTCACAGGCGAGAATCATCTATCCATTGTCGTGTACAAGATCATCGACAGGCGGTCGTACGTTGTAGAGTGCGACGGCGCAAGCTTACGGGCGCTCAACCGGCTTGCAAGGCTGCTCCTGCGCAGGCTGCATATCCCGTCTGCGTTCGCGGCCATCGGGCCACATCGTCAAGAACCGACCATCCCGCCGTTCGCACATGGGTCGTCGACGACCCTCAAATTGGTTGGTCCGATGGCCGTATCCTGGCTGGAGGATATCTGCTACCTGGTGGTCGCCCGACGGAAGCGACAACAACGCCACGGTTGCAGCTCTGGCGCGGCGCAGGGGCCGACAGCACTCTCGAGTGGCCTACCAGTTTGAGGACGACCTCCCATTGGCATGGACTGCACGGTTGGGCCGCTTGCCCAATACTCACTCGCCTGTGATGTCATCACCCACTGCCGCCGACGGTAGATCCACCACCTCTGACTGGTCCTCAAAGCGGCTGCCGAGGGAAAGCAGAAGCTCCATATGCCACGGACGCGCCTGTACCAGCACCGCAGCCACCGATCCCTCTCATGCTTCAGCCGGAACTCACGGCGGAACAAACAAGTCGGCTTTGTACCTTACGCACGCGTCGATGCGCGTCTCGGGTGGCTCGATTGACCACCCGTTTTCAACGCGGCGGAAGGGCGACTTCGAGCCCCATGTGCGCACCCACTTCACGTACAGAGTCTGCGGTCCAGAGTGGGTCTCGAGAAATACCGTGCTGGCGTTAGATGTACCACACCTCCATATATCCGTAATGTTCTCTTGAATCATTATGTTTCTTTTCTCCCGAAGCGTGTCTCTTTTGCTCGTCTCCGCGTGTTACACAATATCTGAGCCAAATCGACGATCGGACCTTCCAAACGGTCGGTTAGGAATAAGCGCTCATCATCGTCCTTGCGCAGATCTTGATCTCAGATGCGGTGACGCGTTCTCATAGTAACGCGTGGCGTTGTTCAGATTCAGCTTCACCGGAAGCTGAACGAAAACCTTGCCAACTTGACCATGACGGCTACACGAGAGAAACTAGTGGTCGCACAGTGCGTATCCCACACAATCTCTCCATTGTAACTAACTCAAATCGACTGCGTGGGGTCTAGTTTCATGGTCGGAAACACATACGTTTGTGGCCGGCATGTAGACGGAACGACATAGCAGCCAACTTGAATTATTACACAGCCGTATACCGTACACGACTGGATCGAGGACATCACGCTCGCTGGTCGCAACGGTGTGTGAGTCGCCTGCTTCACAGCACCGACGCTGTTGATTCAGCCCTGTACTCTCTGTAGCGACGGTTTTGCCCTCAACATCGGGAAGGAAGACTGGCAGATATCGCGCGTTGCAGACTGCTATGAAGCGACAACTCAAGCCAGTATATTGCGCCCCTTCAAGCTCTTCCTCAGTCTCGATATGACGTCCGTGTTATCGTTTCTGTCCTGCGTACCCAGTATCATTCACGACTGCGCTCAGCTCCATCTCTGGTGCAACCGCCGATGACGCCCACCTGATCCGCGACTATGTTTCGCGTTTTTCCGACCACCCAAGTCAGCTGCGGTATCATGGAAAGGTGCTCTTATCGACGTTCTCCGGGGAGAACAGCTTATTCGGTCAAGAAGACTTGGACAGAGCCTGGTCGTTCGTCAGGGAAAGCCTAGAACCCACAGCCGGTGAAGTACGTGAGCTCACATGGGATCATCTCCATTCTCAAGTGAGACAGATACATTTTGTCCCGGCCTTCTTCATCGACCCGGCACGGTACGGGGCTATATCTTCCCTGGACGGTATCTTCAACGTCAGTTGCATCTCCTACGACGACCAGGGGAGATATCAACTCATATTGCTACTAGTGGAACGGAGGCTGGCCTATGCATTTGACTCCTCGATCATCTCGCCATGAGATTCATATGCCAAAGCTAGACGGCGACCTTGCCCATCTCAAGCGCCTCGGAGGGCGAACGTTCATGGCCGCGGTTTCGCCGTGGTTCTTCACGGTACGTCGTGGCCTAGACTTCACGAACTCCCCGATTCCTAACGACTAGCAGCATTATGGGCCTGACTCGTGGAACAAGAACGTGCGTGCATGTCCTCTGGTTCGGTAGGCTCACACCGAACGGATGAATAAGTGGATATATCGCGGAGACGACTGGTTGTTCGTCCGGAGGTGGGAGCAGCTCATCGCCATGCGTGACCAGATCGACATTGTGCAGATTGTGTCTTTCAACGGTCTGGGCCTCTCTTCCTTCTATCTCATCTCCCCTGACGCAGTGCGCAGACTATGGCGAGTCGCACTACGTAGGGCCCATCAAAGGAGCGCAGCCCAACTCGCAAGCATGGGTCGACGGCTTCCCGCACGAGCCGTGGCTGCACCTCAACAAGTACTACGCCCGTGCGTTCAAAGAGGGCGTGTATCCTGCCATCGAGGTGGACACCATCTACATGTGGGCACGGCCACATCTCAAGGACGCTGTGACGAACGACCCCGTTCCGCGGCCACGAAATTGGGAGCTCGTACGTGACCCCCTACCTCTGCCTCGCAACGAACACACAGTGATGATCCGGTTCTAGACCGACGACATGATCTGGATAGTCATCTTCGCCGTTGCCCCAGCGGTGGTCACGATAGTTTCGTCGGAAGGCGGAATGGACGCCCAGTTCGTCGACGTGCCCGCGGGCGTGACGAAGCTGTCTCACCCAGTGGACCCACGCGGTCACATGGCAGCAGCGATGGAGAGAAATGGCGTCCTCGTCGCGCTGTGCTGTCCTGAGCGGGATGGGTTCCGATTCCAGGAACGGCCGGAGGTGTACAACTTTAACGTGTACTGTGCGATGTCTAAGCCTCGTTGACGGGCTTCTGAATCACGTCCGAAGGATGGGGCTATGCCACATCTCTGCATCCGTGCTCAGTGAAGGATTCGCCTACCTTCTGATCATGTTTGTCGCCGGATGGCGGTTCGTCGCACAGGACATCCAAATACGGGTCGACCATAATCACTGATCAAGCGCACATCCGTAGACAGACTGTGCGACACTCCTCCATGTCTCCTTGCTGACCGCATACTCCTCCGCGTACTCGACCTCCAGATGGTGCAGCCGCTTCCCGACAATGACCAAGCTGTGCAGCGGCTCCCCGAAGACCTCCGCCGGCTGCGCGAGAAGCTCCTCGAGCGTTCCGCAGACGATGCGCTGATGGTCTTCTCCGCCGACTCTCGATAGCGCGATGGCGAGTGTTGCTTCTGGCCGAAGTATACCCTCTCCGCGGAGCGATTCAATCTCAGTGATTTGTGAGACGGCTTGAGGGATGGACATGTATCTCGGTGGCTCGTAGATCTTGCGTCCCCTGCATGCAGGCATTGAGCGGTTAGGCGGAGAAACTCTGCGGAAGCTTACCTGGCTAGGTTCTCTTCGCTCTGTTCCTTTATCTTGATGTCGAGCAGCACGAGAGTGTGCATGCCCAGACCCATATTTTCCTTGATGCGGTCGTAGAAACTGTCCGGCTTCCATGTCTCGGTGAAGAATACGAGGGACACGGTCTGCCCAAAGTTGTACAGCTGCAGACCGCAAGCCCCTACAGCGTTCATGATCGACGCGTTGTGTATCACGCGCGTCGGTATTTTGAGCGAGCGCGCTCGGATGATGATGTCGGTGTGCGTAGTGGCCCTATTTACGGTCAGAACCCAACCAACAGTTGAGGATGTTTGGCTACCCAAAGGGATCGCCGACGACGAGCAAGGATACGTCTTCCTTGTCTGCGTCTCGTAGAATTGCGTCGCTTTCGGTCTCGACCATGTCGCGATCGGCGAGGATCAGTTCTTTGCCGTAAAATGCTTCCTTACGCACATAATTGTCATACGGTATTTCTAGATGGTTGGCTGCACTTACCAATCGTTCCTTCTGCACCATCAATATACTGGTGTACGCCTCGAGATATACTCTCGAAGAACGTTTGACCACCTAAGCATGCCATTTCAGTACGAGTCGACCTTTCGTGTCAAAAAAAATTGTCTACCTCCAAGCCTCGCACTGTGACGTCTTTTTCATCGCACAGACCCAATCCAACGAGATAGAACATGGTGAGAATAGCTCTCTGCCTAGACCTTTGGAAGTATGGCTTGACTTTGCAAAGTTCACGGAGATATGGGCCCAGAGCCGTAGCATGTGACGGTCTGACTGTTTATCTTGACTTGCCTTATTTGGATGTGGGGGCATGCTGAGCGAGCGTTGGCCGCTAACGGCGCGATTCGAGGCCCTCACAGACTCACGCTATGCACTCGGGTTCGGTGATGGCCTCGACCCCTCACACAGCTTGTCTCTGCTCCTCCATGAACTCCTACAATGTCTGCGCAATCGCCGGACTGAGTATATAGAGCACCCGTTTTGGTCAGTACCGACAGCAGCGCGTACCGTCGTATTGTTGACAATTTCCTAGAATATTTCTACACTGCTTGTAGACGCTTCATATCGGATTGCAAACGTACGCGCGGTCTTCAATTATTCTGTTGAAAATGCCAGGCGAGTGAATGTTCCCTTCTGGTTCTATTTTCTTGCTGTGCAATCGCCCTGGGATGTTTCAAGCCGGCGCAACGGTCTGCGCTGCGCATTGCAGGCTTAAGACAAGTCCATATTGACTTCTATGCGTTTCATTCGTCGTTCGGCAACAAGGAACCACTCTTTGTGTAGCGCACCAGACGTGCAGCGAGGTGAAAGCTCCGTACTCGAGCAGGCCGCAGCCAAGCGATCTTCATCGCAGCCAGTCGCCTGCCCATGTACACTCAAGTATCCACGGCACAAGGCGACATGCTACAGGGATGGGAGACTGCTCGTGCCTTCTAAAGCCTGGCGTTTTCATATCAAGGTTGCCTACGGCAATGTAGGTCGCCCTATGCAGCGCCGAAGCCGTCAGGTATCTGCGGTATACCGGCTGGCCATCGTTTGCGCGACGTTCGTGACACAGCGCGTGGCGTCGACGCCTTTTCGCCTCCCCTCTTTGTGCCCCCGCTGCTCGGTCTGCGTTATACCGTATTGAGGCTCTCATCGTGCTGCTAGCGGTTGCCTGCGATGCGTTATGGAACTGCATGCTCGCGGCCCGCGGGGCACACACAGCGGCCGCCAAGCGATGTGAAAGCGCGATTGTGTTGTGTTGTAGTTGGCTGGTGATGGCTAGGCCAAATCGTTTGCGCCAGCTAGCCCGAACGAGCCTTCCCGCTTCACTGCATACCACAGCGTTAGGAGACGAATTGCACCGGATCACCTTGATCCACAATGGCAACGACTCTTGCTGCGGCGCAATTGGGGCGACGCCTGACTATCGACACCGAAGCGCGAATGTATCACTGGCGCCCGGAGCTTGTCTGTCTGTTTGCTTCAGAACCCCAGTCTACAAAGTTCGAGGATGATGCCCGAGGGTTCAATTCTTGTGTGACAGTCGTCGGCCACAGTGGCATCATCGGGTTCTCGATTATGGCCAATGACATCGTCACATCGTGTACGAGCCGTCTAATGACAGGAGGTCTTGGCGGAGGGCCATCACCTTCTCGTGCATGAGTGTGGCCTTGTCGCCGAGTCTCTTACCTTTATCTGCTAGCGGCCAATTGCACTACTGCATTCCATGACGCAGGAGGGCTGGTGCCAGGCTACGTGCCCGCAGTGTGTCTAGTGGTCGAAGCTCGGCATCATGTCGATAACCTTAATGCGCGCCCTTTCCACACGACGAGTACCCTCGTTCTAGGATGCCGTCACGGAATGTCGGCATTGACCATACCACGCCTTCCTGCAGCGTCTTGTACACGTCGAACTTCGTAGCGCGCTCCTGATCAGTCGGTCTACGTCATCGCTCGTGTATCGACCGCCCTTTGCGCGGCTGGCGCACGGACCTTTGAACGTTGCCTCCGCATTGCAGCGCTCTAGAACCAGACAACATGCGTACGCACCCCGCGAAGCCCAGTGCGCGCATACCTCGGCGTTTCCGTCAGCGAACGCACAGTTACACTTGGTTTACGTACCACCGCAGAACCTCAGAACTGACCCCACACTATATAGAACTTCCGATGAAACGCGCGCGCACGAGCAGTACCAGCGACGTTGGGTCGCCGCGCGAGATGACGGCGGACATGGTAGAGCTCGCGTTCAACCCGCGGAAGATTCCCCTCGACATCCTGCCGCTGATATTCGAGCACCTCGTCGATCGGCGCGACCTGCACGTCTGCGCGCAGCTGTGCAGCACGTTCCATGCGGCGGCGACGCCGCTCCTGTACCGGACGCTCGACTCGCGCGTGAGGAAGACACGGCTCGGAGTGCGTATTGCCGCAGCATCTGCTATTCGTTGATACGTATGCGTCACTGCACAGCGACCGGTGGTCTGCCACCCCGCGGGCACACTGCTGAAGAAGCCCGAGTACGCAAAATACGTGCGCCATGTTAGAGAGACAGGTGAGCTGCAGCGCACGCCCGTCGAGAGATGCTGAATCGGTGCGCAGGCGCGATTGGCTTCAGCAAGCCGGAGCTGTTGCACGACTGCCAGCAGGCAGTGAAGTTATGCACGAACATCCAGAGCTTCAGCTGGAGCGACCAGAGCCCCGACGCATCGCACAACGACGAAGTGCTCCTCGCATTCCTGAACATCCTCCAGACCCTCAAGCTGAAGCAGCTCACTATTCGTACGTACCTAAGCCTCGGCGAAGAAGTGTGGGACAAGCTGCAAGAGTTCCGGGGGCTGACGAAGGTCGCGCTGTGGGTGATGGAGGGGCCGCCGCGGGTCCTGCAGGGGTGGTCGGAGCATCTAGGTTCGACGCTGACCCACCTAGAGCTAGGAGTCGGTGTCGTCTCGAGTCACATCACCCATCACCGATCTCACTCCCAGCTTTCCATGCAGCGTTCCGCCGGCGTCCCCGCGTCGATCCTCATCTCCGTCTTCTCGCACCTCACGCACCTCCGCTCGCTCCGCCTCAAGGGCGCCCCGACGAGCGCGATCCTCGAGATCCTCCGCACCCTCCCCAAGCTCGAGTCCCTCGACACGGAGTACTTCGGCTCCGGCCTCTCGCACTGGCCTGCCGAGCCCACCGCGCGCCTCCGCGAGCTTACCGTGCGCACGAGCTCTATCGACGTCCAGGGCCCGCAGCAGTTGTGGTCCTGGATCCTCCAGCTGCTCCCGCATCCCTCCTTGCAGTCGTTCACCCTGAATGCATTCTCGACGCAGGGCGACGCGCCGCTGCCTCGCCGTTTCCTGCTCGACATGGCAAAGACGCACGGGACGACGCTGACGCACTTCAACGTGTCATCTGCGCTGTTGACCCTCGACGACGTGGAATGCCTCTGCACGATCTTCCCCGCTCTGGAGACATTGTCGTGCTCGCTCGCCTTTTGCCAGGAAGCCGTGAGTGCATCATCTAATGCAGCGCGCGGGTTGTGTTGATCAGCCCTCGGTTTGCAGAAGCAAGTAGAAGCGGCGACCGTGAACGGCCGCAACCTGCGCGAGCTGCGCCTGCACACAAGCTGGGTGCCGTCCCGCTACGGCACCGAGCAGGTCACCATCCCCTTCGCGCTCGAAAATGCGAGAACGCTGATGCTCCGCGAGAAGTCCCGCATCCGAGTGATCGGTGTTGGCCGTGAGCTGTACACGGTACGCATACATGGTCCCTAATCCCAACTTGTGCGACATGCTGACCATTTCGCTGGTGTGCCAGGGCCAATGGGTGCGCCATGCATCGCGGGATGAACTGGTGTTCGAGGTCGTCCGCGATATCGTGTATGATGCTTGATATGTGTTGTCTCCTCTATGCCTCTTCTGTTGTTGTATGTCTCTTGGATTATCCGGCGAGGTCGATGCATATCGATGTCCTGTGGCACAAGGTTGCTTCCTGTATTTTACTGTAGGATCGTATGTACCATGCGATATGGGCTGTACTATAGCAGTGCGATATGGATGCATACAGAGCGCAGGAGCGGGAAGGTCGATGACGATAGTGGAAGATGAGTAGCTCACCCGGAGAATATGTAGTGGTACATCGCGCGTTACATGCCTCTACCCCGGCCCCTACCTCCGCGTATTGGCCCTCCGCGCATTGCACCCCGGCCTCTTTGCGGCATTCCACGACCTGGGGGCAGCCGTGGATGTCAGTGGAAGCGGCTGAATGCGACAACTGCGACGCACCTCGGTTGCCCGCGCCGCTGACGTGCGCTCCGCGTGCACTCCTGCCTGCCTCCCTTGCCCGGGTCTGCTCTTCCTTCACTGCGTCCAACAGCGTGTCCGGCACCCGCAGGTACTTGATCTGCACATCCGCACGACAACGCGTTCGTGAGTGCGCTCGAAGCGTAAGAGCGGCATGAGACGCACTGTGCTGCCCCGGATGTAGCACTCCTTCAGCTTCCAGAACTTGTCGCCATCCGCGCTCGTCTGGTACACCTCTCTCAGTGTGATGTTCATGAAGTTGTCGCAGTTGACGAGATGCCCGTTGAACGTCTCTCCGTTCTTCAACTCAACTAACTAGGCGTCGCCTGGCGGTTCAGTGTCGCGTTTGTATACCATGGCCAGACGCTTACCATGGGTTTATTTTGTGCTGCATTCAGAAGGGACAAAGGTAACTAGACAGAATGGGATCAACGCCTGCATCGGAGACTACTAGAAGAAACATACCATGGCTATACAGGATGTAGGAGAGAGGTAAGGAGGATGTGGCTTCTGGCGGGTGGCTGCTCGAGACAACGTGCCCCGCCGCCGCGACCTGCAACGCGGTCACGTACGCCTGTTTGCAACTTTGACTTCAGCCCTGTTTGACATCCCACTTTGCTTCCTGTAGTGCTTCCACAATCATGAGCAGCTGTGTCTCGCTCTCCTCACGTCTCCGGATGTGGCATTCATATTCTATGATTTCTCTCATGCGGTCAGAACATCCCCGGATTGCGACCGTCACAACATTCGCACAACGATAACGTTTGCTCAGCGGTATCGTGAACTCATCGTTATGTACGGCTCGCTGTGCGTGCTCAGCGGTCACCAGGTGCTGACTCGAGCAGGCCGCAGCTGCGCAGGCACGCACCATATGCTCGCATGAGAGCGCCGAAGATCGCTGCTCGTTATCATACGCAGCCCAGGGGCAAGACGCCCTCGAAGGTCGCCTTCAACCTCCAAGACCAACGTCATGATCATCGACGACGAGGACCCGGCTTCGCCCTCGAAAGACCAGCAGGCTCTTCCAGCGGTTCAACACGCCCAGGACGACGGGCCTCCCCCTGCATACACCGCCCCCGATCCGGGTCCGTCTCAGGTTATCGCTCCGGTTCATGACCCGCGATATGCGCCCTACGATCCTCTGCTCGACCCGGAGAGACGATTTGAGAAGGGGGAACCAGCTGGAAGGCGGTTCATGAAGGCGTTTGCTGTCGCTGCTCTGATATGGGCTCTGCTTGTTGCCCTTACCCAAGGCACATTGCTTTGGACGCGTGTCAATGCGAGAACCGGCGTGGTGAGTCTCCATAATCATAAAACATCTTCACTCTACGGTGCTGTCCTTCGTACCACCTCGACTTGTGAAGTATATGCTTCCAAGTGATCATCCGTTCAGCTCCCTGTTTCCATTCTGCCATGCTGATCCCGCTTGCTAGCCTGGTTACATGAAGCGACCTGTAAGACTGGTCCCAGCAGACGGCCGAATAATAGAGTGCCGCACGGGACAGTCTCGATGGGCTGCACATGATGGAGGGCTTCGTTCCATGTCCCTCGAGATGCCTATGCCATCGGACGCCTTCTATCTATTTGCTCGCGGCAGCTACTCTTCAGGTCACCTAAATGTAGTGCACGACACCGACTGGACGCTGCGCGACACTATCAAAATTGACATCCAAGTTCATACGACATCCCCAGACACCTTGGCCGGAGCCACCATTTGCCGGATGCAGCGGAAGGAAGGGGAGCAGGGGCTCGCGCTGCTGGTGCGTTGTTCTCGAATGATTCCGGACCTCAGTTGACAACCAGTATTATGTAGACCCCGGATGACACGTCAGCCTATGCGCAAATGACTTGGTCCATAAAAGTCCAACTACCCCTCTCCTTGAACTCGGACCCCTTGTATTTCCCTGCATTTGAAACGACCCTTCCACGCTTCACCCAAACGTTCGACGATATGCATGATGACGTCGTATTTGGTTTCCTCAGGCTCGCATCGACAAACGGCAAGATCCACGCACATGTAAGTGATCATCAGTGACGTGACATGCTATGATGCTCAACGTCGCCCCCAGTCTGTACACGCAAACACTGCGGAGCTGCTCACCAGCAACGGCGAGGTTGCTGGTGACTTCATGGCGAGCCATCTCGAGATTGTAGCATCAAACCAGCCTATCAAGGCGAACATCACTATCATCGCAGATGACACGAACAATGGCACGCTCAAACTGAAGTCTTCCAACGGGTGGGTGCTCTCTTTGTCCCACAGACAGTCAATCGCTGACAGCACCGCTCGCCAGGGAGATCCACTCAACCGTGACCCTGCTCGACGCGCAGCCCGCCTCCGGCGAGGGGACGTTTAGCGTCATCGCACGCACGACCAACGCCGCGCTCGAACTCGCCGTAGTCGACCTCCCGCTCGACGCAGACGTCCACGTGAGCGCGAAGACGTCTCAGGGCAGCGCGACGCTGCGCCTGCCGCACACGTTCGAGGGCGACTTCCAGCTGCGCACGTCAAACTCGTTGCCGGACGTGCTCTTCGGGCCGGGCGTGCGCGACCCGAGCGGCAGGGGGCGCGTCAGGCGGATGTCGAAGGAACGGGTGGGCAGGAACAGGATGATCGGGGCGGTGGGGTGGGTCGGTCCCGGGGTCTGGCCGAGAGAGCCCTCGGATGATCAGGAGGAAGTGCGGCCACGGCAGGGTCTGCGGGAAAGAGTGCGAGAGCGCCATGACCAGTATCTCCAGCTGGCTAGCGCGCTCGGAGAGAAAGAGGGGCATCGGGACGCAGGTGTGCAGACGTCGGACGATGATTGGGACGTAGAGTGGCAAGGAGGAAGTGCTGCCCCGCGCGGGGGAAGACATCTCAGCAGCTCCGCGCTTGTGGTGACTTCGAACGGGCCAGCGTTGTTGGATCTAACATGATTTATTCCGTTTGGTATGTCTTTGCTATCGGGAACGCTGCCCTACTGGAAGCTCTGTGTGTATCACCCTGTACATTATACCAATATCATCTCCATATGTATTTGGCTCATCAGACACGTTCGAGTGCGCGATACACATTCCAGCCTCCGTGCGCGGTGTATCTCCAGTAGTGTCTGACATCGGACGGAGTGCTGCATTCGCTTCGGACGGCGTTCACAAGCACCCTTGATAGCATGGGAGTATGTTCTGGGCCAACCATTCACTTGGTACATAGCGGATGACAGCTGACAGTGTTAACAGATCGTCTCCGTCTCTGAATGTATTCGGGATCCTAGCGGCGAGTGCACTATTAGCGCATACGTGGGGCTGATGTCCCAGGGCTCTCCGTCCGCTTTCAAACTGTTTCTTCATTCCCGCTTGAGCAGCATGTTAGCGAGCCCAGACCAAGGAAATACGGTACTTTCCGGCTAGATGTTCACCGCACTTCGTCTTCCTGAGTAGCATGAAGTCCGTGCACGGGGGCGGAAAGCTGCGGTTGGATCCCTTGAGCATGATATCGAGCCTATCTAGGAGTACAGGTACAAGCACGCTCCAGACATTGTCAGTCACCATCTTATCGTACAAACACCAAGATTCATCCCGCGCGCACATCCAGACAGACAGCCCTCATACCAGGAAGAAAACAGGACAATCACAACCAAGCAGACAAGGAACTGAAAAAGCCCCGAGGAGCCTCGTCGCCGGCCACTGAAGCCAGGAAATCCTCGATCGCTTTCTGCGACGAGCCGTTCTCGCCCCAAGCCTGCATGATCCGCTGCTTGAGCCGCTGGGCGTTAGCCCGCCTGCGCTGGCCGTCTTCTCCGAACGCCTTCGACAACACCTGTTGTGCCTCGGCGGAGAACGCCTCTAATGTGCCTTCCGGTGCCTTTCCGAGACGATACGCTGGTTGCAGGCCAGGCCCGGAACGGACCTGGAACAACTCGTAGCCATTCTGAAGCCTGTCGCTGATGCGAGCAGCGTTGGTCGCCTGGTCCAATATGAACGGCCAGCATATCCTGAATAGTTGAATACGTCCGGCGATCAGCGGATTCGTGAATGACGCGGATAGAATCAAGCTCACAATGGGACTCCTTCTGTCATGGCCTCTGTCACGCTATTGTGACCTGCATGTGTGAGGAAGAAACCTGTAGCCTGAAAATCGGATAGGTCATAAAAATGCTATGGTGGGTCAATGGAGCCGAGCCGTACGCTGTGGCTGAGAACGAGCTGCTGAGGACACCACTTGGTCACCAGGCAGTCGGGATAGCTGCTCAGCTTGTCCGTAACGAAGTCGGGTAGAGGGATGTAAGGCGATGAATGATTCAGTATCTGCAGACATCATCAATAATCATGCATTTAGTAAAGTATTGGGTAGGGCGCCTACGAAGGGGATCTTCTTCTCCATGGCGATTTCGAGGAAGGCAGCAAGTTTCTCAGGCTCCATCGGGAAGAATATCGTTCCAAAGGATATCTGGAAGTACGAACGATCAATTTCTCCCTTGCATAAGGGATTGTGAGGCTTACATAGAGAACAGTGTGCTTGCCATGACTGGCTACTTTGGCATCCAGGAAGCTCTCTACCTTAGTAGCATCCGATCCCTCTAGTTTCTCGAAAGCAGCCGCTTGGGCACCAGAAGGAATGAGGGGTCCACACGCATAGACGGGCCGCGATGACTCCGCCAGCCAATCCCTAAGGGTTGCGATAGCCTCTGGTTCGTAGCACTCCGGCCCCGCAAACACTAGTCCATCGCATTCTGCCATAGTACTGCAGGGCACCATCCAGTCAGTTCCAGGTACACCCACATGGCAGACGGCTTACTCGTAGGTCCTAAGATTCACACCACCAAGCAGTGCCGCCGGAGCAATGGGCTACACAGTCGAGGTGAGTAGCGGGCATCCACACGCATGTGCAAGAGAAGCTTACGCGCTGCGGCTGAACTTCATAGTCATACATCGGCGGTAGACCTGGCATGCGGATGAGAGACCCTTTGCCCGTCAAGGTGATCTACTTCATTCATCAATTGAGGATTCTTGGTACACATGTCCTCCACCTACCTGCCCTGCTGCCTCCTCAACGCTGACACCTGTCAGTTTGGCGATTTCTTCGCTTCTCGCACGAAGATTGCCCTTTCCGCCCTGTCTCTCGGGGCCACCGACGCAGAAGAGCGACGTCGCTGAACATGCAAACCAGAACAAGACCTTGACTGGTTTCTTACTAGTCCTGCGGACAGCCTCGATGGGAGCCCTGCCGAAGAACTATACAACATCGTCAACAGTGCGAGACTATATTATGTGATAGCACTTACATCTACCAGGACCGCGTCCGGGCTGCACACACTCTCAATGTCCGTTTCCGTCTTCACACATCTCACAGGCTGCAGGTTGACGAGCTTCTCGTATGCATCGGCGAAGGCGTTCAGAAGCACGCTGCTGTCCAGCGGGGTGGTATCGTCACGCGGCAGAGCTATCGTTCTGTACCAGCCGTCGGAACGCCGTTCGGATATCTCGATGAATGCAAACGCAGACGCACCGGATGTGACTCAAAAGGCTAGAATCCTGATCCGTAAAGTTCCTCCTTAACTCCGTCTGCACCCTGTCATAGAATGTGGGCGTGGTAAACAGCGTGATCAGAATGTTGGGCCGCATTTTCACGACCCGAGCCGCGAAGTTGCACCAAGAGCGCATGTGGCCTGCGATGATGAACGAGTTATCAGTGACATACTCCCAACAACGAACAGCAACAGCGATGTGCTTACCCCATGCTTCGTAGACGAAGAAAACCAAGTGCCGTTGTGGAGACGCCGAGCTCGCAGTAGCGCCCATAGTGTTGACAGGCTCAGGGGAAGTCTTCGAAGGGGAATGAAGAGCAGACGAGATACGAAGGTACGGAGCCGCTATCGATGTATAAGTACGAAATCCGAGGTGGGACCACAAGCAAATTCTTGGGCCGGGCATAACTTCCCCTTACAGACGACACTCGCTGAACAGTCACTGGCACTGCAACATATATTGTAACATAGTTAGCTACGCACCCGTTCATAGCTAGCAGAGTGCGCTTGAGCTTAAGCAAACCTACCTTGACCATATATGGAAATCGCTGTGGGTTTCACGGAGGCTATGGTGAGTCTAAAAGACGAAAAGGGAGTTTGTTAGACGTCAACTAGCAGCCGGACACAGGCAACTGGAGCGGCGCATGCATGCTTGTCCGATAGGATCGTGCTTTCCGGCTTCTGTTCACATCGGCACCACTCAGCGGCGGTACGCCCGGGGACCGTGATCAGGGTACGAACGCCTTGGACGCTCCCGAAATGACGTGCTTGCCGACGGACCAGAGGGCGGGGATCACAGCAACTTGAAGCCTGAAGGTCAGCCAGAGCTCGAGGCCCGTGTCGTACAGCGAGCAGTGACAGGAATATAGCGGGCATACAGCGGCCACATGCGAGGGCTATCCCACGGGTTGGGTTGTTCTGTCGGCGAATCGACAGAAGGCTTCCGTGAAATCGAGAGTATCTTAGAGCTCGCCGAAACATGACTCCGTCCTATCGAGTACCATCAGTGTGTCACTGAGCTAATTTGGAGAGGGTCACTTAGACTCAGGACCAGGAGCACGGTTATTCCTGCATACAAGTGATGCATCACTGCACGTGGAAAGTTGGAAGGATATTACGCACCAGATTAAACCGTTGATCAATAAGGAGAATCGGCAGAAGAAACGATGTATTTTTTGCTTAACGATTGCTCTGTGCAGACAGGCCTGACGCGTCTGTAAGAAAACGATGCACATCAAGGAGGTAGTGCATATCAGTAGGGTATGTGACGGTTGCACATGTATTGGTGACGCCACTGTGTGCAATGCACGCCGACATTCATACTCATATTGACATTCGCCGTGGCCGTTCCTCACGGCAGCCATCACGTATATTATCGGCAACCAGCACCAAATCGCCGACGGGAATGGAGCGCTTGCTTATCGTCGCCGTGAGCATTTCGCAAAGTGCGGGGAGATTGGACGAACGCTCACCGACTGGCCACCTTCCCATGGCGCCGGCAGACAGCGAAACGCTACGCCACCTCGGCGATAATCAGACGAGAACCAACATGACAGGAATGGGACAGTGACAGGGAAGTCGGGCGAATAGTTAGGCACGCTCTGCGCATACGTTTACACCATAAAGTTAGGGTTGCGCCCGCGCGCGTATGACTCAGGCCGTTTGCTCCGCTCCATCCACGCCGAATGCTTCAGCAACCATGCGATACACGTCCGGCGCGATTTTGGTCGCAGGTCTCCGTATGTTCCTCTTGGGATCTGTCAGCGACGGCTTGCCAGGCCGCGCGTTCACCGGCTGCCCAGCCTCTCGGGGCTTGCGGGAGGGGTGTGACGACAGAGGTGCAGGGTCGACTCCCGACCGGCGGCTACCAGCGGCGCTGGTCGGGTTTTGGTAATGATGCTTTGGTCGCAGTGGCGTCCCTCTGTCGATCTGCTCCCGCAGCTGCGCGACGCGCACCATGGTCTCGAGCCCGAGGCATGCAGCCTCCTCCAGGGTGAGTGCGTCCGGGCGCTGGCAGAGGGCGGCATATGCTGCGAGCGTCCATCGGCCAGATATGTCGAATCTCCGCGAGAGGGTGATCTTGTCAATGGGGTTGATGGCTAGCTTTTGGAGCTCGTGGATGGCGAGGGCGCGGATGTCGCTGAACTCCCATCGCGTGGATAGGTGCAGGATGGACGTCCACTCGTCTTGTGTGTGGGCCCTGCAGACGCCGAAGTCCCTATGAAAACAGGGTGATCAATAGCCTCACAACGTTGTCAGAAAATGACGACCTACGCGGGGTATATGATCCACAACAAGCGTTCGAAATCGACTCTCGAGATGCCGAAAAGGACCAAGGGGTGCTCGTCCCCGGATCCTTCCATGGGCACTCCGACGGGTTGTGGAAGCTCGAGAAGTTCCCTCCATATGGGGGAGTGCCTCGTAAATGACGAACGGAACACTCTGAACAACGTATCCTCCACCTAACGAACCTTGAATGAGTACGGTGCAGGAGAGTGGATGCATAGCAACTCACGAGCAATGTCAGATTGCCATCATTAAAGTAAAATTCTTCGTGATACAGTGGTAGAAGGGGAGCGTCAATGGGGATAGTTGACACGGACATCGTGTCCTCGGAGTGCATACGTCGGGAAGCGTTCAGAAGCCCAGGCATTGACTCAAGTCTGCAGGGACGCACGCACACAGGGCCGTAAAGCCACTTGATATATAGTTTCTTCGACACTGTAACATCAGGGGAACTCGCAAGTGGGCATGGCTGAAGGGCACGTCAGTTATCACCATGCATGAGAGCACAAGTTCGTGTGAAGAGCCTGGACAATGGCCCCACTCAGCTGCAATGCATGCATACCAACCGCCAGTCGCGCGGACACTAGAGGTACAGGGACAAACGACGCACAAATCCAAGCAAACACCCTTCATCTTCCACCACACCCGTAGTCCGCACGAATCCCGCTATGTGGACGCGCTTGCAGGCTTTCGCTGCTCGAGTACTCGCTCAAACTCCTCGAACGTCGCCTTCCCAAGGATAGCGAAGACGACATGGTCGAAGGTCGACTTGAACCTCGCCCCAGGCTCCACGAGCAGATCCGCCCATACGTTCGCCACGAGGTTGACGTTATTCCTGAACACGCCCGTCCCAAAGCTGCCCAGCACCAAGCTCTTCACGCCCTGCTTCTCGAACAGATACAAGATCCGCGCCATCCGCTCGCGCATGACCGTTTCGACCTTGCCCTCTACCGCAGCGTCATCCAGACGGTCGTGTAGTCTCTGCCGCACGACGCCCGCGTTGACGGCTGCGCTCGTGAGCACGTCGACGTCGAGGGGCTCGATCCAGCCCCCGTCGTCGTCCCGGAAGACGATGACGCCCGGCGAGTATATCATCGCATGCGTGTAGAATCCGTCTTTCCGGTCCTTCTCGTGCACCGAGTAGAACGTCTGCGAGAGACTGGTAGTGAGAGTGGGATAGAGCGTGGACGAGCGTGCGATGGATTCCTCCTGCGCCTGCGCGCCGTTCTTGAAGCCGCCTCCTGGTTTCGTCGCTGACGCAAAGTTCAGGATGCCCACCCTCGACGGTGGGGCACCCGTCTGGCCTGCTTGCTGGACGGCAGACAACAGGCGGGCTCCCTCCAGCGTGGAGACCTCGAGGACAGACAGATCCGTATCAGCAGACCGCTCTGGTCTAGAAGATCGCGCGGCAGACCAGCCGGAGAGGAGTGAATCAGGAGCGTAGTACTGTGTCTTCTTCTTGGCGAGGGCCACAGACGTGCGTAGGTCGTGTTTCTTCCCATTCAGAGTGTAAGTTCCCTCCTCAATAGCGTCCAAAGTCTCCTCGGCTATCTTCCTCAGCCGTCCGCGTCGATCTTCCGGTTTAGCAGCCTGGGCCGATGCCTCTGCGTTCATACATGCAGCATACACGACAGGAGACACAGCGTACCTTGCTAAAGAACTTCTGGATCGACATGCTGATCCTCGTCGAAGCTAACCTTGTCTCCCGTAGGTAGACCCTAAAAAAGACCTCTTTGAGAGGGAGAGGACGCAGGCACGGAATTAGCCTCCGACAGCACTGCCGCTGAACCTTCCTGACATGCTCGCGCCTTCGCGACAAACTACAGAGTCTGATTGCAATATATGTTGACCAAGTGTGTCAAATAGATCATAGAGAGCATAGAGAGCACTGAAGCCGAGCTATGCAGGTGGTGGTGAAAGCTAAGCTGCGACTGCCGAAGGTGGCTTGAACAGTGCTTGAACCTGGTTAGTAGTCATGCTCGTTCGACGGTGCCACATCTTTCACCTGCTCCATCTCCTCAACAACCCGCCCAACACTCACGTTACGGTCGTAGAAGTGTTTCTACTGCACTACAAGCACTGGGACAGCAAGACAAAGGTATGAGTGAGCTCGTAGTCTTCGCACTGCCGATGGACAGGAAGGGGACCCGTATCAACAGATCATTTAGCTACCAGGCTGAAGAATCAAAAAAACCGGTACTGATACATATGGACCAGGTGTGTCTCACAGTGCCAGTTCGCATGAAAAGAGACACTCATATCTGACCACGCTCACGCCAACTTGAATGGCTGCCGCAGTTTGTATAAACGGCGATGGTTGTCGGCTTCCAATCGTTGAACGACGATGTTCTCGCCCTGGTCATCGCGCTCATCTCGCGCAGAGATATGAAAAACCTCGCCCTGACTTCTCGCACCGTTAGCCCCGTCGCCCGGCGGCGCCTTCTCTCCTCCCTACGCCTCAAAGCGCCAGTCAACAATCTCGAATTCCACAACTATGTGCTCGAAGAGGACGACAGGCAGCGTATACAGTACTTGCACAAGCTCACCATCCTATGCTCACTATCCCCTTGGTATCACGAGCCTGAGTCCGCCGACGTCTACTCCCCGCTTGCTACCGTCCTCGTGAGGGCACGAAACCTATGGGCGCTTGTCGTGTCCGAACTAGAGGGGCAGCTTGCGACGGAAGGCGGGGGCGTATTGGGCGATGCAATCGCGTCGGTGCGTGGCTTGCGCGAGCTCGAGCTGGACTGCGTCGCCACGCGGGGTATGGCACTCTGTGAGAGGTTGACCTGCAAACCGAGTGTAGTCCGTCTCCAGGCGCTGTCGCTGCACTCAATACCAAATCCTCGTGCTGAAGTACAGCCTGCAACTCTTGCTGGGCTCGAAATCCTGCGGAACGCGTCGGCGATCACGTTACACAACTTCCAGCTTATATGCGACGAGGAGGAGGAGGTACCGCTTCCACAACCACACGCCTATCGATGGAACCGCGCTCGTAGTTTAAGTCTAAAGAACATGGACCCGGTTGCACTTGCCCCATTGTGCCCAAACCTCGGGTACCTCCAAGTGGCATTCTGGCAGGCAGACGACGATGGCAGTGGGACAACCTACGGCGACGATTACCATTACACCCGCACTGCAGAGTTCACAGATGATGTCCATGTTGCTTGCCACCTGCGCGTCTTGGACATCTACAACAAAGTGAACTGGAACTGCGAAAAATCGCAAATTTACGACACCATTACCCTCACGGTGCGCATGACCCTCCCCGTCGTGCTGTCTATGCAATTTCACTATGGTGACACGACACTGTGGACGGAGCTCGCAACACTGTCCAAGCACGCAGACGCCCGGCTACGTTACCTCGATGTCCTCATGCATGACGACGTGTCCGGGGACTCGGATGCGCAAGTGTGGTTGGTATGTCCGCTTACCCCAAGTCATCCTTTTCCGTCCGTTTGATGCATGAGTACCACCGCAGGACCAATGTCTCCCTCTATTCTCCGACAGCGATCTCCTCTGCATCCGCCTCAGGCTCGTTGACCAGATTGACAGAGTCATCGACGCGGAGGAGTTCGAATCAATGGTCGATGATGAGGATGAGCTTGTGAGCGACCATTGGGAAGACATACAGAACGAGGCGCCCCAGGTGATTGCGAAAGCGATCCCGTCCCTCCGCTATGTTGCCGTGTCGAGCGGGTACATGGTCGAGAACGACGCAGCACCTGGAGGGTCGAGCTTCCGTGGACAGGCACAGTGGTGGCGCGTCGTGGGTGACGAAGAAGGCTCAGGGGTTGCAGGAAGTGATCAAGGATCGCGGTCGGTGGAGGTCGATGAAGAAGACTCAGAGGATGCGGAAAGTGGTGAGGGAGAGGGGCTGATCGAGATCGATGAAGAGGAGGGAGAACGGATTGATGAGTACCTGCGCAGCGAGGCCTTCGCGAAGACCTTGAAGCTGTAGGGTGAGTCGCTGCAGTTTTCTTAATATGATGTCGACGCTGTGCTCAGAGTCCCGCCCATCAGTATATTGGCGGATTCGCGCACACCCATTCGGCCCCGCTCAAGGATCAGCACGCGGGGTCTCGCGAAAACCTGACGTTGCTGTCACGAAAGTGATGAGTCCGCAACAACATCGCACGAGCACGCACTGAGCGCTCAACCTCGGACGAGCGAGCAACCGTGGTCGTTAGTTCACTAACAAAGAACGATTGTGCTGCACAACTTCGTCGGTTTGGAACAGTGTGAGACAGGGTTTGCATACACTATCAGCATGCGTAACCCCCAAGTGTCACCGCGTCGTATTCCAGTTAAAAGAAAATAATGACTATCGTCCTACACTGTAACCCTCGCCTACCTGTACAAAAGCCGGAACAAACGACACCAACGTAATCGTTGGCCATAGAAACACCTTCTCCAGCGCGACTCACCAACCTACAGGTACAAAGCAACGCCCATATTCGAGGTCGACGCCACCACGCGGCCGTACTCCCTCTGCTTCGCGGGCAGCCACGCCACGGACCCGCTCACATCCGCGCCGCTGATCCTGTTGATCTGCACCTGGCGTCTGCGCCCGCGGCCGGCGGGGTCCGCCGCGCCGTCGTCGACGCGCACCTGCGGCGAGATCCAGCGCGAGCCGTGCAGCGCGAAGCTGCCTTCGAACGCGGGGTGCAGGACGAGGTCGACCGGCGAGTTGCTCGTCCGCGCGGCGAGCGTGAGGACGTGCTCCGCGGGCGCGTACGGGAGCACGACCCGCACCGGGCTGTTACTGCTGTGTGTATCGACGTCGAAGAGCCCGCCCGTGCCGGAGGACGTCGTGGAGAACAGGCTCACGTTCGTGTTGATCGGGCTGGGGCGTGTGGTGTCAGTGGGTGTGCGGCAGCGGATACGGCGTGAGAGGCTTACCCGTTGGTGGTCTGCAGCCGCGCCTTGGTCACCTCGCCGGCGTTGTCGTTGAACAGGCCGAGGACGACGCTGATCGGCCCGTTGGAGGTCTGCAGGTCGAGGGTGTGCGAGGTGTTGAAGTGGCCATCGATGATGCCGTTGGTCGAGCGAACCGAAGCTGCATCTGCTACGATAGACTGTGGTGCGGTCAGGGATTGGTTCAAGTAAGGCACGCTAAGGACGTACGTGAACGTGGACGGGCGTGTTCCTCGTCGACAGGGACAGCTCCTTGAAGTGAATCGTGTCCTTGAGGTCCCCGACATGGTGCACGAAGGTCGGGAGCTCAGTGCTCAACTTGTTGACAGTCACCACGGAGCCGTCGGACGAAGGCGGAAGTCGGACGTGGATCCTGAACTGCATCCTGTGGCGGTGGTCATGACCGTTCCATTGACGAGGAGCCTGTATGATAAGCCGACTCAGACTACGCTTCAGTGCGCTGGGCATCGAGTACTTACGAAGATTCCTACGCCGTCCTTTCCGTCGTCAGGACGCAATTGGCAGACCTTGGTAAGCTCCTCGAAATGATGCTGGCTATTGAAGTAGCCCAGTACGTCGACCTTCACGCTATCCGCGCCAGGCTCGCCGCTGTTCGAGATCTCGATGACGCCGTTTGCCATGTTAGACGAGCCATGGGACACGAAGAACAGCTCCTCGGAGCCGAGAGGGAGCTCGAAGGATGTCTCCGCGACGTGCTCGAAGTGGTTCACGGGGAGCACGCCCTCCGGGTCGAACTCCCACTCAGCAAGCGTGCAATCTTCAGGGACGTGGGCTGGGTTCTGATGCATGCCGTAGCCGTTGACGTGCTCTCCTAGGAAGCGTGACTGCATGAGGAGGTATGTCAGGGTTCTGATGCAGGTCAGCATGAAATGGTACTGCTCACCAGACGAGGCGCAACCCGGTGCGCAACGTATATGAAGAGGCATGTGAAGACGAACGCGTGCAAGAATCTCTTCAACGCCCTGAACCTTGCTCGCCGGCGCGCCTGCCTCTCCGGGAGCGCAGATCCCGCGACTGTGTACGTCGCCTGGTAGTCCGGGCACGGCACGAGTGCGGGCACGCTGGGCGCGGTGGACGCCCCCTTCTCGACGTCCGAAGAAGCAGCGTGGGGGTTTTGGTAGGACATGGTGGACTGGGGATCTGAGGGGGGCACTGCATATCACACTATATATTCGTGTGGACCTTGGAGCGCCCAGCCGCGTCGACTGCGTACATACACGAGCCCCGAGACTAGACTGCGGCGCTGTTGTGCGTAGTAGAAACTGCGCATGCTCAGTCTGCATAAGTACGCCGGACCGCATGAGGGACTTACCGCGCAGTGCCTGGCACACCTCAGAGAGCCTGCGCTTGACTGCATCGAGGCGGGCAACGAATCCGATCGCCCGGCGGCTGCCGCGTCCCGTCGATCGCGCGCTGCGCTCGACGCCTACTTTTGCCCGCGCGTCGTCGCCTCCGTCTGTCCTCTTGCTACCATCCCGCCAGTCTCGACCTCCGACTCGCAGGGCCCGCTATTCGTGCTGTCCTCCCGTTCCGCCGCCGCCGCCTCCTCGTCCCGCCCCCTGTGCCTGCCCTCCGCTGATGCACCTGTCCGAGACGCGTCGATAGACACCGCCCATGCCCCATATCTCGTGTGTTCCGGCTTCCCAGCGTGCGTTTTTCTTTTTTCTCGCTCAGTCTCGCGCATTTATCGAGCAACCTCGCCTCTCGCAGTCGCGCCCTCGACTTGCTTTCTCCCCCTCCCGTCCCAGCGCGTCGCCTGCGCCGTACAAACGCACGACCAGAGCATCCGCAAGCACCAGACGATGCTGCACCATCTTTTCCGGGGCAAATCTATCCATAGCTTCGCTCGCGGTGCGACGTTCTGCTCGACGCTACGCCAAGCGCCCGACCTCCTTTCCTCCACACGCCCTCACACCGCCGACACCTTCCAAACGGTCCTCTAGGCGCCTCTGCTTACCCGCTTTGCGTGGCACTCGGCCGACAGCGCGTGTCTCATGTTCGTCCAGCTCACCGCGCGCTGGCAAACTCGATCCGGGCGGCACACGGCGACAAGTAACGCATCGCCCATCGTACGAACCCGTCGCAAGTGTTTCGAGGCAAGTTGATGCATCGAACGTCGTGCTACGCGGCATTCAGTGCGGCCTGCCCAGGCGAGTTCTGTGCGCGAGCCTCGTCTCTCAACGCCTTCTCCCGGCTCATCGCGTTGAACAGCACGAGTTGTAGTGCATACGCCCTGCGTGTCGTCTGGCTCGCCGGCCTTCCAAGGCTCATTCCCTCCTCAGCGAGCAGTACATCTGCGCCGCGCGTCGCCGCGCACCCTCTCAGGCTCTCCCTCGCGCGATGCACGAACGCGTTCGGCTCTGTATCTGCCGTCCTCAACACTGGTTGCGTACGCGATGACATCCCGCCACCAGCCGAACGTGCATCCTCGGCGTACATCCCCCTGCATTCGACGTTACCTACCGCGAGCGAATCCGTCTCACCGTCGTCTCTGCGCCATGAACCGGACCCATGCGCATTCCAACGCCTACCCAAAGCTCCACGCGTCCGTCGCCATCTGCTACCGTACACACTCCGACGCGGGACGTCCTCGCCCATCCACAGCCATCGACGCAACGCTCATCCGCGTGTTTGCCAGGTCCGGCCGTGTGGCCAACGTCGTGCGCAACGTCGACGATCTGCGTCGCCGTCAGCAAGGTCTGGGGACCACAATGGAGGCAAGACGACCTACCTCTGTAACTCGACGCAGGTCGCGTCCATCGAGGTCGTCGTTCACTCGACGCTGGGTGTTGACGACAGCCCGCTCGCTCGACGTGCCACTCTGTAGGATACGGTTAGTACTCTCGCACTTTCTTAGACCAGGAGCAGACGACTTACCGATGGCCTCGCTGGGTCCCCAGCACGCGCTCTTATACCCCTCGCTCGTCAGCGCAATGACAGCCCGCCGGCCTCCGGGCGCATCGTGCACCGTGCGAGGTGTTTGCTGAAGCGAGCGCGCCGCGACCTTCGTACGATTGGCGGCGGCGGCGTCGTCGGTAGCACACATGTCGGGGGAACGCCGCTGCTGCACCAGGTGCGTGATTCCATGCATTGCCAGAAACCCAGGCGGACGGTGCGTGCGCGCTGATCGGGCGTACGAGGTGCCGACGTTCCTCCTCCTCCATGGGTTGCGTCGCAAGAGAACGCTGTGTAGCAGACAAGCGGGCATTCGCCCATCGTGCTCGAGTCCCCTCGTGCCGGCGAGCGCGACGATGTAAGTGGAACCCGCACCGTAGCAGTAGCCGCAGCACATGGTGACTCGCGCGATTGGAACGGGCTGCGGCGTCGGGGCGTACGAGCACCACTGCTCTTCCATGCGTCGCAACACACTCATCTCGTCCAGCGCACGAGTGCCGCCGCCACACTCGCTTCCGAGAACTCTGACCGACCAGGCGCGGCCCACTGATCCCCGCGGAGCTCTGTGAGGTCGCGGACAGCTGTATCGCAAGAAGATCCCAGTAGAAGTCGGTGCCGACTTCCTGAAACTCGCGACGCAGAAGCAGACCGTCTCCCCAACGTGCGCCCGTCCGCCGAATGGCAATGCGTACGTCCGCTGCACCGGGGCTCGCACTGCAATAGCTTCCAGAGGTGGTCGTCTCGCGATGAGGTGAGTCTCGCTGCGGCGTTCTACTGCACTGACGTTCTCTGCTTCGGTTCATTCGGCAGCGAGGCGGGGGGCATTGACTAGGCGAGCAGCGAGCTGGGAAGGATGAACACGGGCGATGATGGGCATGAGGACATGGAGGGACCGCGCAGTGCCGCAGCGATCAAGGCGTATCATTCGAGCCGGGACACGCATCTTCGCCCTCGTACGACGCGTGGGTGCGATAGGACGAGTGGGGACGGCGGTGGGGAATATGTACAGCGAGCACGCATCGACGCATGCCCCGACGGCTCGCAATGAGATGCTCCTCCGGCGTGCGCGACGGTTGTCGTGCACGTTGAGCTCGAGTGCTGCTCGACGTAGGTACGGAATTCATGTACATAGCATCGCGAGCAATAGATATATTGTGTTCTCTACATATCGACAACGGGTATATGGTGCGCGGGGCGACCTGAATCGTTGCACGATATGTATCAGACGAACCGAGCGCGCTGGTACACCGGACGGGACGTGAGGCCGTCGATTTCCATGAGTCAACACAGCACAACGCGCGCAGGCGGCTTTCCCATGGGTCCTGCGAGCCTCGAGGCGACGACATACCTGCATGATTCAACCATCCGCCCTCAGCCGAGTTCCCGCCCATCTCCGCCATCCTTCAAGCTACCAGTCATGCCTGCGTAACGGACATCAATTGCGAACGCCCCGTGCTCAGGAGAATCCAGGCGGAGGCCGCGCGTTGGACGGCCGAGGTCGAAGGGAAACTGCACATCAGTAGACGGTCGCGATGTAATCCGCACTTCCCAGCCGGAATGCGTCGAGACAGTGTGAGCACTTACCTGCTCGACGAAGACAGTGCACCGGTACTGCCGCGCAAGCGATAGCGGGCATCCTGCTGCGCCGTGCGTCGAACCGGACACAGGTGTAAGCTTTTGATGACAGCGCGTGGGCTGCGTGCTCGCGCGCATCGAAACAAAGTATATAAGCTGTATCTCAACGAGTGGGTGGATTGCATACAAAACACATACCTTGTTGTGATGTCGAGCATCACTCAACTGCGTGTACTCGACCTGGCGAGCCCGAGCTGTTTCGAGGCGGTCGAACCTCCTGCACTTTGCGGTTCCGCGTCGACGGGCATGCGGACACGCTGTGAACAGCAATAGCGCCGCGAAGACCAAGGGAACGCCTGCAACGAGGAACGGGGGAGTGAGGAATGAGTGTGGTTGAGATGACGCGAACTCTTCCGCCCAGCGACCAATGCATCAAGAGTTGGACAGGCTCGAGCTTGTAGCCTGCTGGCAGCTCGAGCGAGCTACAGAGAGGGCTCGCGGTCCGACGACTCGGACATGAGCCTTCGGATTGTAAGCTCGACGGCTCGGAGTTCCCCACGAAGTGGACATCCCTGATCTTGTACTACTGAGCGCGCCAGCAGGTGACCCCGTCTCGTAACGAAGCTATCAAGGACAGCTTGGGATGCTGTGTCACGGACGCGGAGAGGCCCACAGTGCGTGGTGCAGTAAATCCGAGCAACATATCCATATGAGTGTCGATAGTTGCACGCTCTCCGTAGCATGCTCGTTATTCGAGCCTGAGGCTACCCACGGATTCTGCGCCATAGCCGAGGCGATGATGTGATCCGCGTTGTACACAGAGTGAACGGGGCGACGCACAGTTACAGGTAGCACAACTCTGTCGTCCCGGTAAAGTTGATGTAATCGTGCGAGAGCGTACATAGTACGCATCGCTACTGACCAAGACTGCCCTCTCGGTCGTCGTAGGTCTTCTATCGACGTCCGCTTAGCGAACGTTGCCTGTGGACAGCAAATGCGGGCCTCCTTGCGACTGCAGATACACCGTGACATTTGGATGCGACACGCACCTCCCGCCTTGTTTAATGAATACGAAGCACGCCGCACGGTCAGTCAATCGACTTTGCAAAACTGTTGTTACGTTGCCTTGCGCTGGGCACTGCTCAGTGCGAACGACTCGCGCGGCTTAGTACAGTCTTCACTCAGGTTCCGCTGCACGCATCCTTCACTTCAAGGTCGCACACTGCTGCCCCCGGCAGTGCTCCGCCGAATGAATACACTTACACATGCCGGCGCCGCTGAGCATCGAGTCGTGATCTGCTCTGAGATGTGCGCCTGCGTGTTCCAGTCCGCTATTGTGTCGTCGATGCCGATGCTGAAACCGTTATGAAAGAGCCAGTAGCCGACAACCTGCTGCAGGCCCGTGAACAGAGTCCTCATCGCCTCTGGGCTCTTCTCGTGGAAGCATATGTGGATCAAGCCGCCCTGAGAAGCTCCGACTGTCTTCTTGTCGACGATGCCAAGGTCACACTGTCTTAGAGACAGTACGACACAGATGTCGATCTCTCGAACCACGGCCACGGTGGCTGGCCACAATTACGCCAGGGCAGACCCGCAAGGGGCAAGGCGCTCCCCGCACACATCGGCAAAGGTTGTCCGTCAGTGACCAACGACGGTATTTACGCCCGTCTGCGCTCATTCAAGTCCGTGCGCCGGGTGCACAAGCTATCATATAGCCCTCGCGCACATACCCTAGTACACTGTAGCTGTCGGACTTCGTACACGAACCACAGCGCGGACGTCGCAGCTTCGGACCGCTCGTCTGGTGACTGATCCGGCGGTGCGCGACTCGGAGTGGAGGTGGCGATCTCATGCGAGGCTCCCCTTCGTGTCGCGCCGATCTCTACGCAAGCATTGTGTCAAATGCTCGGTGTGTCACGCTCGACGATAACAGCAGTCCGCTGCTCTAGAATTACATGTCTTTCCCATGCTGCTCGAGAAAAGCCTTGCGCGGCCTCGCCGACGTGAGACGCGGGCAGGCACCAGACACCCCAAATGGGCATGCTGAAGCAATGTTATCCAGAATAGATGGGCCCAAGGCCCCGGAATATGTCCACGGAAAGTGGGAGTCGCACTGTTCTCAGTGGGGATCAGCCGCACGCCGTACGACATTGTTCATCTACCAAGGCTTTCAGGGAAGCCACGGGATGTGCCGCCGTGCCCGTCGGCTCCGACAACTGACGACAAGAACCAATGGCAAAAGCGAAACGGCTCGCGGATGACGCGCAGTGCTCTGTGCGGGATCATATCTGCCTGGGTTGCACGGAGACCACAGACAGACCCCAAAACACGTCCTCTCGCGAGAACAGGACGGTGTCTTTCCAGTAATGCTGGCACATACAGAACCTTACGAGCTGTGCATCCGCTGCATGTACCAGGCCCGCGGACTTCTGACGGCACAGAGTCCTTCCGCATGCAGTCAACAGTGGCTCGCGCACTCGGTGAAAGACGTGGCTAGCCCATGAGCCGAACACGGTGCCACTGACGCATTGTCTTCCCCCCGCTTCCATACTTCACACAAGTAGACACCCGGGATGATCGCAGGGCGGGTACCACCAGATTCGTCCTTGCAAATCAAAAGGTACAGCCTCCGAGTCACTGACACCGCCGGCCGGAACGACAGCATTAATCCCGGCGACATACAACTCAACTAGGCTGGCTGGTGATGTAGCCGGCCAGCCATAGCGAGAGTATCCGTGTGCACGATGCGGCAAATAGTGGAACGTCCGTCTGCCGCGCTCGAGACCACACTGCAGGCACATAGGACTCAAAAGCTCTTGATTGACCTCACTGCCAAACAGAACGGTATACATGCATTGCGACTGAGCAATGATGTATACACTCATTCATTGCGCGAACACCTCGGGAGGGCAGAACGTCCCCGAGTGATCCTATCTGACGTCTCTACGTCTCAAAAGGGAAGATTGGGCTAGCGGCCACCGACCGCACTGGTCGCATGCAGATCGTGACCCCACGTTTGGTACGTGTTTTTTCTCCCATGGCCGTAGGCGTGACCTGTAGGTCCCTCGGCGACATGACATGTGTACAGACTCACCGGCGTAATGCTCCCCAGGCAGTAGCGCCTCAGATCCCGCTCCCGGTCTCCGGTCGCGCCATTCGATTGCAACCTCTTCGACAGGATGTGTCAGGCGGAGCATGGTACAGTGACACTGCGTTGTGACACCACAGTCGCGAGCATGCGCGGAAAGCAGAGACGTGTAGCATTCGGCGAGGCCTATGGGTGAAGGGAGACAGGATGTGTGGAGAGCAGAGAGAAGACATTGACAAGGAAGGAATTGCCGCGCTTGGACATGCTGAGCCACCGGGTCCAAGTTCGAGCGTGAGTGGTCCCTTTTGTAGCGGATGCAGCAGTGATTTGCACTGTAGATTCGGCCCACAGAGAGTTGATGACAAAGAACGCGTTGAGAAAGGTGCTGCGCGCGCATATAGGCCGGAATACCAGAGCAGGTCGACATCAAATGGATGGACAAGCGGGAGAGAAAGTCGTGCTGTGGCTGAGGCGCGAGTTCAAGTTGTGGCTGAAGTGCATTTCGCGCGCGACGAACCGCGTCACGACTTAGGCTTGTGACCGTGTTCAAGTTGCATCTGTGTCTGTCTCCGGGCTCTCATTTGCGTACAGACACTCTTGTCCGCCTTCACGTCTGCGCCAGACGTTTCCTTCCAGTAATATCCAGAGACGGCCTGTTGATATTCAACCCAAGCACTAGTCTCGGGCTCGCCGAGGTTCCGAGTCACCGTGATTCGGACTGCCACGGCAAAGTTGAACATGGTTCCATCGTTGAAGGATCCGAGTCCGCGCGGCACACGAACATTGACGCAGACCAGTGTTGTCGGTCGTAACAAAGGCTTTTGCGCAATCTCCGCATTCCTATCTTGGTAATACGATCGTGCTACATGCAGGGCCTCGACCGGAGGGTTCTAATCGGGCACTAGACGGTGGTGAGTAAACACTTTCTGTTACGTTGCCAAAGTACAAATCTGCAGAGGTCGAGATATCCGAGCTTATAAGAGCTGGAGTGTCTTGAAGTCTGATGCTGCTGATGCACCAGTCAAGACAGAGGACGTGTCGACTTCATTCATCTACTACAGCTGTGGATACGTAGAGTACAAATGATCCACCTGTCAAAACAGGACTGAACCATCTACGCCACTCGACGTGCCCGCTGCAGGTCCAGCGTCGGCCAGGTCCGAGAGTCTGGAGATGTCTCCGGCTGTACTCGTATTGCTTATACTACAGAACTCGGAAACCAACAGCCATCATATTACTTCACAGTTGCGGGTTCGCATTTACTTCCACATGCTTGTGAGTTGCGGCTGCTGACAATTCGCATCTCATCTATTCTCAGGGTCCTACTATCTACTGTCCTCGATCGTCCCTTTCTCAAATGTAGGCAATTATGATCGCTCTCCGGCAACTCTCCGGCGCGTAACAATGAGCGGCTGTACGTGTTTTGATGTGAATCACAGTAGAGTCCGGTAATAATTCCGAGGCCAGCATACTACTCAGATACCACTAGTACGGGGTCCGATTGTTCAAGAGGCCGTGTTCGCACTTCATTAGCACTGGCAAGTGCAGTCTTGTTCTTCGGTGTATATATGCTGCTCAAAGGGATATTCAGTAATGATTTTGTGTGCAGTGATTCTTGTATCAAGTAAGCAATGTACTTCTGCAGCAACAATAGGAGTCTGATGAGAATGCAGATATTACACGGAGAATGGCCAAACTTCCATATGAGGTAAGTAATCTGCTATTGTGCGCTGCGCATCTGGAGCCTAGGACGATCACGCCGTTCACTGTGTGGATGTCAATCTGTGACAAAACAGGAGTGAGTATCTCTGTTTATTCCGCACCATCAGGGAAAATCACAATTGCTACATTGGATAATGTAGCAGGTGTAGCCAGTATAGGCTCATTGCGAACCCCCTACTTTATAGCAGCTCATAGATTGCCGGCTCAGACTATAGCTGTCTGTAGCGCCACTGCCAATCAACATAGAACAACATAGAGCACTATAGATCTACTAGACTGATAGTGCAATAGACTGATAGGCTTATGTAGAGTGATATATGGAAGTATAATCAGTAGTCAAGTGCATATTAATTGTACTTGTTGCTAGCACTCGTCACGGAATTGAACCATCGGACAGTACGAGAATATTAGATCAAATGTATTGCAAGGCTGCAATGCTACGGTATTCAATATCCTACGGTGTTCGACGATTATGATTGAAGCGTGCTAGTAATGTAAGGCAGCAGTCACAGTGGTCCGTAATATGTATATGAAACCAACTATAGGGGTATTGATTAGCAGTGAGTAAGTCTGTTGAGTACGAGAAGACTGCAGGCTAAGACATACAACGGGTCAGCCAATGATCTGTCCCGACGGCAGCAAGTGCAAACGCACCAAGAAACGTCCCATCTATGCGTCATTGGCATCATCAGAATCACCAGCGTCCAGGGCTTGCTGGAGTGCGCGCGTCAAGGCATCGCGTGAGAGTGTAATGGCGGTGCTATCTGTATCCTCCGCGCCAGAGTGGAATCTGTACAATCAACAATGAGCAAGACCCCGGTTACAATCAATTGAGAGTAGACTATACCGCGCTTCTTTGTAGAGCTTCTTGCGAAGCTTGAGCAATAAACGGTGCGCGGCGTCGGACAAGTCGTCAAAAGCTAGAAGATTCTCCTTGTGGGAGAGGTAGATTGGCTTGTATTCGTTCTCGTAGAAGCTCACGCCAGCGTGCTTCCCTGTTCCCCATTCGTCGATGCAACACTGAACCTAAATATACATCAGCATTGCACACAGAAGGCGAGCTTGAACAACGTACCGCTGTGAGAACGAGAGCGATTGTCCCAATGGAAATTGCCGGACTGAAGAATTCCTTAAAAATGACGCCTTCGTCGCTTCTGTTCACAAACCAGGTTGCATTGATCGCCTTCTGGATGATCGGATGACGGTATATGCCCTTGCGTTCTGCATCTGCACCCTGGGGCTGATTGATAGCAGGATCCTGTCAAGCAGACATTACGTGAATACTCGTCAACGTGCAATGTTGCAACACTTAGCATCCATACCTCATACGCAAATGCTGATTCATTTGTGAGGGCGACCGCTTTATCACGGTTCTCACGTATGGCTTTCTTGGCGGAAGAGCCGTTGAAACCATACAAGCTCTCGACGAGTGGTCGAACCTTGCTCTTGAGCTCGCCGCGGAGCTGCGATGTACGCGCAGTGATCTCAATTGTATGCCGTCAGTTAATGATGTCATTTGACTGCATGAATGACTTACAATCTTGATCACACGTTGATCAGCGGCATAGTTGACGTTGAGTGTCTTACAAGCCTCGCCCCAGCAAATCTGGGCCCATTCTTCTTCAAGCAAGTCGGTCGGAAACGCGTTGATAGTAGACACTCGGCATCTGTACAATGAATTAGCGATATTGAGAAGAGCCTTCACGTCGGCATCGTAGTCCTTGGCACGCGGACCATGTTTAGACGGAGTGCCAATGACCTCTGGACAAGATATATCTTCGTACAAAGGGAACTCTTAAGATCAGCATCTCACAGACGTTGATATACAGCAAGAAGATGGCTTACCGCCGTTCATGGAGCTTCCTTCGTCCCCACTTCCTTCGTCATCCTCCTTATCCTCTAGCACTTTGCGCTGCTGCTCCTGGTCGTCATCATCAACATCGTCATATGGAGAGACACCCTGATGCGGAGGAGGACTACTGGAACGTGGCGAAGATGGCACACGTTCGACAGGCTGGTCATCATCTTGCTGACTAAAGTATTCCTCGTCGTCTTGAAAGTCTGCAGCATCGTAGACGTATGGATTCACATGATGCTCGTTGCCGGACTGATCATCGTCGTATTCCAGATCGTTGTAGAAACCGTTACCAATGTCGCTTCCCTCGTCATTGTCTCGGCCCAGTGGTTCGGGACTGTCGGCTTTGGGCCCACGGCGGCGATGATCCTCGGGCGCCATTTCTTCGTCATCACTTAGAGGTGGAACACGTCCAGCGTTGCCAGGACGTCCTGAAGATATCAAACAATCAGTATTGTTCGACATCTTACTAGTATCGGATTGACTCTGAGGTTCACCGGTGGAGCGGCTCTGCGTCGTGTTGGAGCCAGAGAAGACCTGTCTTGCCGTCGAAGCAACTTGAACATTGCGTTGATCTGACAAACATCTGTGAGTTTTGATCAAGCCATGCATGGAAAGAGCTGACCTTGTCGTTGTTCTGACTGATTTGCGGTTCCGTAGCGCTTGAGAGTTGCTGGCGGTGGTGTTCCCGAGCGCCTTGCTATCAATCTTGAAGGCAGCGATGACGATGACTCGGAGTGTCTCGCCACAGCCTGAGGCCTTGAAGGCGGTGGCTGCTTGGAGTGTTGTGGTACAGACGACCTTACAGTAGGTGGTGGTAGTGGCGCCGGCGCCGAAGGCTCAGAGCGTCGAGCACTCTGCTGAGCCTGAGTCGCTTTGGGCGGGACCTTTTCTTTACGCTTGATAAGGTTCTTGAACGGCACATTGTTAGGTTTCGAGCTTGTGACACTCTGCGTAGTGAACTTATGCGGTGATTAAGTAACCTGACGAGTCAATTTGTGGAAGATTGGCACGCACCGTTGATGTCGAGTTGCCGTTGTTACCACTGTGCGATGTACGAGGCTTCTTACCTGGCTTAGCACCAGATGCCCTGTTCTCAGAACTCTCGTCTGCAGGCCGCTTCTGTCCCTTACGGCTCTGCGCCGCCTCTTGGTCTTCGTCTGTGCAGTCAAAATTGATTGATAGACAAGCTTAAAGGAAGACTCAGGAAAACGTACCGAGTTGGCGCTGTTTCGCAGATGGACGGCGTTCACGTCTTGGAGGTTCATCCGGTGCACTGCTCGACTGTTGCCTAGACCTCTGGGACATCGCAAGAGGAAGTGAGCGTTGTAAATGAATGGAATGGACAGGTAAGGGATGATACCGTGCACTGGCAACGTCTGTCAGGCTTCAGTGAAGTCGGGACGTGGCAGAATAGTCACACGACTCGTCGGCAACTTATTGGCTGGGGTCCTGGTTGGGGTCCTAGTCATGTGGATGGACGTGAATACTGGCCTGGATGCTGACAAATAACGGCAATTGTGAATGTCAGCCCGATCGTGTGCAGGTTTCCAAACGTACAGGTCGCACCCAGTAGCCCAACACTAGCTGACTGTAACTCTTGCCACTCAGCCTTCTGGATCCCTAGATGCCTCGCTGTGGTTACTGCAAACGTCAGGTGCCTACAACGAAAGGTGTTCGAGTTCATGTCCGGAACTCACCACCATGCCGCCTCAAATGGGAACGTCAACTCGCCCGAGTCGCGCAGGCAATCGCGTCTTCTCAGAACATCGCTGCTGTTGCTGCTGTTGCCGCAGCATCCTATACGGCGAGCTCTGCCAGTGCACACGACGATGTTGCTCACACACAACCTGACGACGTCGATGACCCAATGGATGGAGGCCAATCTGAGTCATCGCACCAGACACAAGTCGAGGACGTACCAGAGGACGAGGAAGACGCCCGCCGATACGTCGAGTGTTACCCCGGCGTCGTCGCAACGATCATCCGGGAGGATAACACGCTCTTCGAACAATGGTGCGCGATGCGTGCTGAAGCTGGGGTTGACGAGTGGGCGCCGTTCAAGGATGAGGAAGAGTGGGAGTTGTTCCGGTGGCTGATCAAGCACGTTGGTCAGACCAAAATTGACGAGTTCCTTAAACTGTCGATTGTACGCACCATGCCTCTTTTCTCCATCGTTTTCGAGCACATTGACGAACTTGAACCTTTCTGTAGATACGAAGGAACTGTGGCTTGTCGGCCGACAGCAAGTACAAGTTCTTTCAGCAGATTGACGACCTACCTACTGGAGTCCCGTGGCACTGCGACATGATTTCTGTTCAAGGTGATCGTATGGGCGATGATGGGAAGTTCATGCAGGAACAGCTCGAGCTGTGGCGGCGCGAACCTATTGAATGCGTAGAGGAGCTGATTGGGAACCCTATATTCGACGGAAGTATTGCCTATGGACCAGAGAGAGTTTATACAGAGGAGGCGGCTACCATACGGCGGTACGACGAGATGTGGACAGCCGATTGGTGGTGGAATATGCAGGTACGTCCGCATGACGTTGCGATCACCCGACCTGTCTGAGAAGACTCAATGACGTTGCTCCCATAGGGGAAGTTGCCAGAGGGTGCAACAATCGCACCTGTAATCCTCGCGTCTGATGCCACGAAGCTCACCAACTTCGGCGGCGATAAGAAGGCATGGCCTGTGTATCTATCCATTGGGAACATCTCAAAATCGGTACGGCGTCAGCCTTCGCAGCGCGCAACGATCCTTGTTGGCTACATACCTGTCTCGAAGCTCGAGTGCTTCCATGATTCGACTCGCAGCCTTGCCGGCTATCGCCTCTTCCACCATTGCATGTCGCTCATCCTCAAGTCCCTTCGCGAACCGGGCCTCAACGGGAAGGAGATGACTTGCGCAGACCGCGGTGTCCGGAAGGTCCATCCGATTGTTGCGGCATATGTCGCTGATTATCCCGAACAATGCCTCGTTTGCTGCTGCAAGGAGAACAGTTGCCCGCGCTGCACCGCGCCGCCCCTCCAGCGCGGCGAGCAGCTTCACTGTGATCCGCGCGATGTTGAAAGCACCAAAGATGCGTTGCGCGAGCACCAGAACGGAAACGACTCACCACGCTTCACTTCCGAACAATTGCGGCCCGTCTACGAGCCCTTCTGGGCGGACCTTCCCCACTGCGACATCTTCTCGTCTATCATGCCGGACATCCTGCATCAGCTCCATAAGGGAGTATTCAAGGATCACTTACTGTCGTGGTGTACATTGATCGTGGGCACGGACGAAATGGACCGCCGCTTCCGCGCGATGACCAACTTCCCAGGCCTTCGACACTTCCGCAACGGCATCTCGCACGTATCGCAGTGGACGGGCAAAGAGCACAAGGAAATGCAGCGTATTTTTGTAGCGCTCTTAGCCGGTGCTGTGCCTACGGAGGTCCTGGAGGTGGCGCGCGCACTCGTGGACTTTATCTACTACGCGCAACTTCAGTCTCATGATGACACAACACTCACTCACCTGCAGTCGGCTCTCGACACGTTCCATCGCCATAAGGACGTTTTCATCAGGCTCGGGATTCGGGAGCATTTCAATATTCCGAAGATACACGCCCTCCTTCACTACGTCGAGGCGATCCGCTCTCGTGGTTCTTGCGATGGCTACAATACCGAACTCCCTGAGCGCTTGCATATTGAGCTAGCGAAGAATGCTTACCGCGCAAGCAACCATCGTGACTATATGGAGCAGATGGTGACGTGGCTCGCACGCCAGGAAGCGGTGGACTTGCATGCTACTTACATCGCTTGGTTCCAAGGTCTTCGTGCGGAAGAAACGGCGGAGGAGTTGGAGGAACCAGACTTAGAGCCTGACGAAGAAGAACCTGACGAAGACGTTGCCCCTCCACTGCTCCCGGATGGTGACGAAGTAGAAAGCGGAAACACGTACTCAATTGCAAAGCACTGCCCTCTTCCCAATCTATCCCTACGCTGCCTGCTCACTGACCACGGCGCAACCGAGTTCCTACCCGCCTTGACCGAATTTGTCCGCACCGAGCTACCCCGTTGCGAACTACGCCCGAACCACATGGACCGCTACGACGTTTACAAGAATATATGGGTCAGTTATCCAGGGGATCCTCACGGCGACGTACCAGAGCATACCGACCGCATCCGGGCAGTTGCCGCCAAAGCAGGGAGAGGGCGAAAGCAGGCTACGGCTGCGTACTTTGATACCGCGTTCATCGTCGACCCGGATGTTCCTTTCGATGGAGTTGAAGGTAAGAGCAGACGTTCTGTCACGGGTGAGTACAGTCATACAGAAGGGCAGTGAACACTTACCTGATTCGGCAAGACCATCCAGGAACAAGGATAGCGCGTGTGCGCGTCATCTTCAATCTTCCAGCACAATTTGGATCGCGGCCTCACCCCCTCGCATATGTCGAATGGTACACACCGTTGCGGCGCAAGGATCCGGGCACCGGTCTCTACCTGGTCTCCCGCTCAACACGTAACGGCAAGGCAAACGCTAGCATCGTCAGTGTTGACCAGATCCGCCGCGCCGCGCATTTAGTCCCGAAATATGGCAGAGAGATAAGCAGAGAACTCACCAAAGATAGTTCACTCGACGTCGCAACAGAATTCCGGGTGAATTCGTACATTTCAGTTGACCTTAGATCCGTGACAGTTTGAATTGGTGTACTAGTAGCCAGATAAGCTACTCTTTGTCTATGAATTGCATACCCGTGCTGAAATGCGATGTATATGTTGCGACTTGCGGCACTGTTCGAGTCTGCATCTCGGACTTATAATACTCGAGCGATGATCGCATAAGCGCCCACGTTAAAGTACCTCCCCACCTCAGCGTCGATGATTAAGCCTCGAAAATTGGAATGTGGACAGAATAGACCTACAAAGTGTGATTCGTGCAAACACACATCTTCGGGAATTGCATTTGCTCGCACAAGTTCAATAGTTTTGCTGAGCAGCTGCGCCACCGCGACCGGCGCTTCTACTATTGACGCGCCCAAACAAGGCGCGTGGTTCTGTGCTTCCCTTGCCACTACCCACCATCTTCTTGTACTGTCCCTCTGCATCATACAACGCCCCCAACCTTTACATTCTATGTCATCGCACACCTGGCAGCACGATGGTCACCGCGGTCCGGGCCAGCCATGCAAACATCCCCGTCAAAAACACGTCACCACCTTTCCGAGTCGTCGCGCGGCCTCTCCGGCGCCCACCTACCCACTATGCCGCGAACCAAGGAAAGGAAATGCTATGTTCACCGGTTCTAATGAGTAGGAAGACGAAGCAGGAGAGGCACAAGGCATCAAAATCGGTGAGTAGATGACTCTTTCGACCGAGCATACCTCGAACATGCGAGCGATATGTGCTGCTCCTATCCCCCCTACTCTACCTATCTTACATATCTCGCTACCAAGTGTGCATAAACGAGTTGCTCAGTGCAGACCTGCGTTGATGTTCGCGTTGGGGGTCGGCCCGGGTGGTTGCATCCGCGGTCTGCGGGCACTCTCAACTATCCACTTGGTCCGAGTAAGCACCCATCAATGACCATCCCCTATCCTGTCCCCTCGTCCCGTTCCCCAACCCCTCCTTTTGATATTCCGGGCTGATATACCTGTGAGTGGCAGAATACTTGGCATCCTCGTCCTCCTCAACATGGCGTGAACGAGGATTGCGAACAAGCTCCCTTGCATCGACCGCCTTCACCTGGACAAAGTGCGTGCACTGCGGCTTGCCTTGAACCTCGACACAACTTGAATGTACGTCCCGCGCGTGTCTTCGACGTGCCCCAAAGGAGGAGCCAGGATGAGGCATGCTGGGTGTACCGGCCAGCAACTCACGTCGCGCGGCATCGCCACTTGACAACAACACGACACGGGTCACGCGCCGTACGCAATGGCGAGCATGAACGCGAGGCTCGGGACACAGCCGGCGTACGACCGCATGCCAACAGCGTCATCATTCGCCGTGGCGGGACGCGCCTCGCTGACACAAGCACAGTGCGCTGCCTACGTACGTACTAACTGCTTACTAGTACTCACTACTGACGCCTGCCCATGTAGCACAACCCACTCGTCTCGCTCCCCTTGCATCTCAGTCACCACCGGCATCGACAAACGTCGAACCGAGCAACCAGCGCCCGTGATTCTCATCTGTGCGATCTTACCGGGAAGGTACCATGACGGCCTGCCGCACTTCGCATGCCCTCGCGCCCCCGACGCGCAACATCCAGCTGACCAGGTGCCGACGCAAGGATGCCTTGAGGAGCTAGACGGTGAGCACGACCCTACATGTCGTGCACGTGCCAGTTGACAACTGCAAGGCCTGCAGAGTATACACGTCAGCAATGCACTTCGTACCGCGAACCACCGGATGGCCACTGCTCGGATGTGTGCTGGCTGGTTACAGATCTGCCGTCTTGTACATGTCCGGTTGTGTACTATACTAGTCAGGAAAATGTAATGCTAGTGGATTGACACTACAGAGATAAATTACATTTTGGGCGGCTTCCTGATGTCAGAACCGCCGCAAAGTCTATGATCACAACCATTTCTCTCGATACCATTATCAACGGTACTATGACACAACCTATTCTACAGCTGCAATGGACTGCTATCTACCGTAAGATATTCCTATGGCACCCTATCTACCACCTATGATCGTCTACAAGGTGCTATGGACGACTATATAGTAGGCGCCAGCGGCTATGACACAGATAGCACCTATCCTGGCTATGTATCTAGGGCAGCTGCTATGCCTAAAATACCTTTTTCCTGATGACATGAACAGAAGGTAGGCGCACTATGTAGCCTGCCGGCTCCTTGAATGTTCCAGCCTTGTCATCCCTGTCTGATGTCAGTCCGAGTCATTGAAGGTAGCTGTATAAGGTTAGTATGTTCCAGGCATGACGGACGTAAGCTCGGCTTAGCTGAAATGTCAGAATGAGAGCAGACGAGAGCATATGAATGGACACTTGTTGAGTTGAATGATCTCAGATGATGTGAATTATACCATTTTGAGTTCCGAGGAATCATTGATCAGCCAGATTGGACAAGCATGCAGCATCCGAAGAGATCCGATCACACGGAAATTGTGGCACTGACCTGAGGCGAGCATCACAGCGAGTCCAAACATTGCCCAAACTATTCTGACGTGAGTCTGGCACTCAAAGTACAAGAGCCGAGTAGTACCTGCAGTATATAATATGGTAGGCAGAAGACAGACTTACTGCCCAGCCCCATTTATGCCCCTCCCCCGTACGTACCGGCGACCCCGCCCATGGGTCGGCTCGTCGGTAAGTGCCATTCATCCATATTGCCGTGAACTCGCACTGACCATTGCTCCCCGATCATCTCGATCTTGTATCAGCCACCCGAGCATCTACTAGAGTACCGGCAGCAGTGAGTACCTGGTCCTTTGTCACTGCATACAAAGCTATACTCACTGTGTATCCTACTCTTGGCAGTATCTCGACAAGAACGTTTCAAACCGGCGCAGATGTGCATGATCCGCGTCGCGCGAAGACACTGAATGTACGTACCTACCCAATATGGTAGTTACACTCAGACGCTCATGGCGCCTGACCTGTCTAGCCACCGTCGAAGCTTGGGATCGACTTGTACTCCAACACGACAAGCAGCGCACAAGCCCGGATTTTGGCGTGGGACTGTCAGGTATGTTGGTTCATCTGTGCTCGCGCACGACAACGCGATCATGTAGCTTACGCCAGTGGCTCGAAGCACACCGGTTTCCGGGACTTACACCACGAAGCGGTTGCTGTTGAATGTCAAACGGTAGCACGCATTGTTCATCGAGCCCCCGACTTCGCGACGGTTAGCATGGCAGACATAGTGCACATAGTCTCCGTGTAAGTTGGAAATCATTGATGGGACGTAGTACTGATGGACGGTGGTAACATCGGTTCAGGTTCAATAAATCGAAAGCCTGCAGATATGGTGCGGGCTGACTAGCTTGAGAGGTGCGGAACCGCAAACATCCAACCACACTATGTGTAATACACCTACACAGGCCATAACCACTGTGTTTGTTGGCCAGACGTCTCCGGGCCGACTCAGTATGCAAGCATGCAGGTGTCATGCTTAAGTAGGTACGTCTCGTCGAAGTCTGCCATGTAGCGAAGTACGGTCACTGATGGCAAATACAGGGCACTTGTCCTGTCCGAGTGCGCCCTCTCTCTCTGTCCGTCGAGTTTCTGGAGCAAGTGAGCCCACCGAGGCAGTGCGCCCCTCATTCACGTGACACCAACGACACGTCCATGCAAAGCTTCCGTCTCTGTATAGGTAGATGATGTCGACAGGTAAGTTACACGTCAGACCCTGCGTGGCACGTCGTGTCGGCACGTCATTGACCGCAAATAGATATACGGACGCATGAAGGTCAGGTTTGGAACCTTGGGACTCGTCGGGACTCCGCTGATTGTGCCGGTCATTGTCATGCTGTAAGTATCCAGCCATCCGTCGCATAATGATTTGTGCTGATATCAAGTCACGTATGTGTGTAGATCTGTTTCATGTAGTCGAATAGAATGGATACTTGCGTACTTGTCTGATTGACGATGTCCGTCGATTGGAAGGCACACCAGCCTGAGCCGGGAACGTCTGCTAGTATTGTAAGTCGAGCTTGCGGTGCGGCCGATAATCGACCTTTTGCGGTCACAGCCACTGCCGGTACTGTAAACGGCCCACACGAGCACACTTGCATTGCGACGCAGGTACATTCTTCAGCCATCGAGTGGCATTCGTCCATGACCCATAGTGAAAGAACAAAAGGACGAGGACAACAAGTCCTTCGTTCCTTTCCTGTTTTGCTGTATTGCATATTGCGTGAGCAAATGAAATTCGTACTTGTCTACATCTGCTAATGCTTGTCCACGACTAGGTATTGCATCGAATGTCAGAGTGCAACTCGTATCAATGTGTGATCGATGATGTGTACTATAGTACTATGGTTTGACGACCGGTGAGCGTGGTGAACGGTTCAACGCCGCTGATGTATCTGTCCGGATGTGTTAGGACGGCAATGTATATACAGATCGGCGTCCGGCGAGCGACGTGTCACGATCATGTGCGAAGGTACGCAATACTCAGCTTCAGACCCTCCAAGTCAATGCGCCGACCTGCCCTCCATAGCTAGTATCAGCTGGCAATCAATGCTAGGCGGGCTCCGTGCGCCTTGCTCCCCACTGCTAGGCCCGGTATGTTCAACAATATATGTATGAAATATTACCGCAGGTATGTCAAAGCGATGTTTGCGCGCGTGCACGGCCACTCACGTCTTGGCCGTCAGGAAGAGCGTCGCACTATTCACTAAGCCCTTGCGTCGAGCAGCGCGCCAGCACTGCGCGGGTGAACTGTCTGACGTCACCTCTGCTCGGTGCCCTCTTGCGTTCGGTCACGCACAGCGATGTATGTATAGATCGGCGCCCCGCGAGCGGGTACTTTGCAACGGTGCGCAGACAGCAAGTTGGCGCGTCGGACGGTGAGCTGCGACTGTGCACTGTCTACGTCGATCGTTTGCTGACGGCCGCAAGTGTTGTGCAGGTAGACCGGGTTCGGCAGGGCGAGGCTCATACAGGGGCTTGTCCAGTGCAACAACATATCGAAGCCTAACAAGCGACATCACCTTGAAGACACGGCACTGTGGCATCGCGGCCAAAGCGCGATGTATGTATGGATCGCCGTCCGGCGAGCGAGGCTCACGGCCATGTGCTGAGGTACGTCGCGAACAGCGGTCGATGCACTCATGTAGTACTAGCTACTGTAGCGTCAGGCCTGTGAAGTCACTACACGGTTCGTTCATCACACTGGCCAGGCCCAGCCCCGTATGATAATGTATATATGGATCGTCTTCCGGCGAGCGGCATGTCGGCTAAGGTACGTAGACGGTGAAATCTGCGTGCGGGACGAGTATTGATGCGTCTGCTAGACTCGCGGCGTGCGTCCGCCGATGCATGCAAGCAGCGCGTCAGCGCTGCTCTCCGACGTCGCCCCGATAACCGTAGCATTGAGGTTCACGGCCACCACCGATGCTAGACGGCCCTAGCCGGCGAGCAGGCCAAAAGCATAGGTAAGTCTTTGTTGTTGTCTTGTGCTGGCTGTGCTGATTGTCTGTTCTTTGCGCAGAACGTCGAACGGCACTAGCGTGCTCGACGTACGCAGACGCAGAAGACACTGCTCGCGCGTGCTGTCGCCGCGACTTTGAACACCAAGTTCCCTCTGCAATAGTTGACAAGTACATCGGCCGAGTAGTACGCGAGATGTTCGGCTATGCGCGCGAGAACGAGCCATGTGTGATCTTCATGGACGAGATCGACGCTATTGGCGGGCGACGGTTCTCGGAGGGTACGAGAGATCCAGCGCACCTTGATGGAGGTGTGCTGCTCACGATGCCCTATCGTCGCCAGCTCCTCAACCAGATGGATGGCTTCGACGCGCTTGAATAGACCAAGCTCATCATGGCGACAATTCGGCCGGATACACTCGACCTCGCACTCCTCCGACCAGGACGGCTAGACGGCAAGGTCGAGATCCCACTGGCCAACGAACAGGCACGGCTAGAAATGGTGAAGATTCATTTCGGGCCTGTGAACAAGGGTGGCGAGATTGACTACGAGGCTATTGTCAAGGTTCGTTCTCTGTCATTCCGTGGCAAGTACGCAGCGTGTCTGACCGCCTCTGCCCTGGTAGCTCGCGAACGGCTTCAACGGCGCGGACCTGCATGTTCGCTACTCGGGATGATCGGTCGGTGCCCATAATCAAGGTGTCATCATCTTGCACAGCTCACATCCGGCGACGGAGGACGCAAGGATAGATCGTCGCCCGGCGAGTGTTCACGGAGTTGTCCCGCGCCGCCGCTGGGCCGACATGCGCGAGGTGTTTCCGAGGTGGGCCATGCGTTCTGCGAGTACGGTGAGTTGCAAGCTTGTACTGTTACTGCACATTCCACTCACGGAATCTGTATAACCGACCTCTCCCGCGCAAGCGCGACAACATATCGACGCCCGGCGGCGTGAAGGTGAGTCATTCTGCGGTGTACATGTTCGCTGACGTTCCACACAATAGGCATTCATTGACTCGGCTATGTACATAGCTGATCGGTGCGTTTGCCGGGGGAAGGGGACCTTTTTTCTTGCCACACACATGTACATACCGAGTCTCGTTTGCGCGACGCACGAAATGCACTGGTACCCGATAATCCGCGAGCTCCCTACGGGGAGGCGAATCTATGGCCGAAAAAAACAAGATTTTTAGCCGGACTTGGGGCGCTTTTCGCGTTTTTTACCTTGCCCCCGCCAATCCCCGCCCGCCGTCGTAAGCACCCGTCATTCTCCTGCGACGATCCCCGCCCCGCCCCCACGCCGCATTCGCACGCCGTGTCCGTCCCATACAATCAACTTCTCCAGCGCAACTCACCAACCTACAGATACAAAGCAACGCCCATATTCGAGGTCGACGCCACCACGCTGCCGTACTCCCTCTGCTTCGCAGGCAGCCACGCCACGGACCCGCTCACATCCGCGCCGCTGATCCTGTTGACCTGCACCTGGCGCCTGCGCCCGCGGCCCGCGGGGTCCACCACGCCGTCGTCGACGTGCACCTGTGGCGAGATCCAGCGCGAGCCGTGCAGCGCGAAGCTGCCCTCGAACGCGGGGTGCAGGACGAGGTCGACCGGCGAGTTGCTCGTCCGCGCGGCGAGCGTGAGGACGTGCTCCGCGGGCGCGTACGGGAGCACGACCCGCACCGGGCTGTTGCTGCTGTGTGTATCGACGTCGAAGAGCCCGCCCGTGCCGGAGGACGTCGTGGAGAACAGGCTCACGTTCGTGTTGATCGGGCTGGGGCGTGTGGTGTCAGTGGGTGTGCGGCAGCGGATACGGCGTGAGAGGCTTACCCGTTGGTGGTCTGCAGCCGCGCCTTGGTCACCTCGCCGGCGTTGTCGTTGAACAGGCCGAGGACGACGCTGATCGGCCCGTTGGAGGTCTGCAGGTCGAGGGTGTGCGAGGTGTTGAAGTGGCCGTCGATAATGCCGTTGGTCGAGCGAACCGAAGCTACACCTGCTACGACAGACTGCGGTGCGGTCAGGGATTGGTTCAAGTAAGGCACGCTAAGGACGTACGTGAACGTGGACGGGCGTGTTCCTCGTCGACAGGGACAGCTCCTTGAAGTGAATCGTGTCCTTGAGGTCCCCGACATGGTGCACGAAGGTCGGGAGCTCAGTGCGCAACTTGTTGACAGTCACCACGGAGCCGTCGGACGAAGGCGGAAGTCGGACGTGGATCCTGAACTGCATCCTGTGGCGGTGGTCATGACCGTTCCATTGACGAGGAGCCTGTATGATAAGCCGACTCAGACTACGCTTCAGTGCGCTGGGCATCGAGTACTTACGAAGATTCCTACGCCGTCCTTTCCGTCGTCAGGACGCAATTGGCAGACCTTGGTAAGCTCCTCGAAATGATGCTGGCTATTGAAGTAGCCCAGTACGTCGACCTTCACGCTATCCGCGCCAGGCTCGCCGCTGTTCGAGATCTCGATGACGCCGTTTGCCATGTTAGACGAGCCATGGGACACGAAGAACAGCTCCTCGGAGTCGAGAGGGAGCTCGAAGGATGTCTCCGCGACGTGCTCGAAGTGGTTCACGGGGAGCACGCCCTCCGGGTCGAACTCCCACTCAGCAAGCGTGCAATCTTCAGGGACGTGGGCTGGGTTCTGATGCATGCCGTAGCCGTTGACGTGCTCTCCTAGGAAGCGTGACTGCATGAGGAGGTATGTCAGGGTTCTGATGCAGGTCAGCATGAAATGGTACTGCTCACCAGACGAGGCGCAACCCGGTGCGCAACGTATATGAAGAGGCATGTGAAGACGAACGCGTGCAAGAATCTCTTCAACGCCCTGAACCTTGCTCGCCGGCGCGCCTGCCTCTCCGGGAGCGCAGATCCCGCGACTGTGTACGTCGCCTGGTAGTCCGGGCACGGCACGAGTGCGGGCACGCTGGGCGCGGTGGACGCCCCCTTCTCGACGTCCGAAGAAGCAGCGTGGGGGTTTTGGTAGGACATGGTGGACTGGGGATCTGAGGGGGGCACTGCATATCACACTATATATTCGTGTGGACCTTGGAGCGCCCAGCCGCGTCGACTGCGTACATACACGAGCCCCGAGACTAGACTGCGGCGCTGTTGTGCGTAGTAGAAACTGCGCATGCTCAGTCTGCATAAGTACGCCGGACCGCATGAGGGACTTACCGCGCAGTGCCTGGCACACCTCAGAGAGCCTGCGCTTGACTGCATCGAGGCGGGCAACGAATCCGATCGCCCGGCGGCTGCCGCGTCCCGTCGATCGCGCGCTGCGCTCGACGCCTACTTTTGCCCGCGCGTCGTCGCCTCCGTCTGTCCTCTTGCTACCATCCCGCCAGTCTCGACCTCCGACTCGCAGGGCCCGCTATTCGTGCTGTCCTCCCGTTCCGCCGCCGCCGCCTCCTCGTCCCGCCCCCTGTGCCTGCCCTCCGCTGATGCACCTGTCCGAGACGCGTCGATAGACACCGCCCATGCCCCATATCTCGTGTGTTCCGGCTTCCCAGCGTGCGTTTTTCTTTTTTCTCGCTCAGTCTCGCGCATTTATCGAGCAACCTCGCCTCTCGCAGTCGCGCCCTCGACTTGCTTTCTCCCCCTCCCGTCCCAGCGCGTCGCCTGCGCCGTACAAACGCACGACCAGAGCATCCGCAAGCACCAGACGATGCTGCACCATCTTTTCCGGGGCAAATCTATCCATAGCTTCGCTCGCGGTGCGACGTTCTGCTCGACGCTACGCCAAGCGCCCGACCTCCTTTCCTCCACACGCCCTCACACCGCCGACACCTTCCAAACGGTCCTCTAGGCGCCTCTGCTTACCCGCTTTGCGTGGCACTCGGCCGACAGCGCGTGTCTCATGTTCGTCCAGCTCACCGCGCGCTGGCAAACTCGATCCGGGCGGCACACGGCGACAAGTAACGCATCGCCCATCGTACGAACCCGTCGCAAGTGTTTCGAGGCAAGTTGATGCATCGAACGTCGTGCTACGCGGCATTCAGTGCGGCCTGCCCAGGCGAGTTCTGTGCGCGAGCCTCGTCTCTCAACGCCTTCTCCCGGCTCATCGCGTTGAACAGCACGAGTTGTAGTGCATACGCCCTGCGTGTCGTCTGGCTCGCCGGCCTTCCAAGGCTCATTCCCTCCTCAGCGAGCAGTACATCTGCGCCGCGCGTCGCCGCGCACCCTCTCAGGCTCTCCCTCGCGCGATGCACGAACGCGTTCGGCTCTGTATCTGCCGTCCTCAACACTGGTTGCGTACGCGATGACATCCCGCCACCAGCCGAACGTGCATCCTCGGCGTACATCCCCCTGCATTCGACGTTACCTACCGCGAGCGAATCCGTCTCACCGTCGTCTCTGCGCCATGAACCGGACCCATGCGCATTCCAACGCCTACCCAAAGCTCCACGCGTCCGTCGCCATCTGCTACCGTACACACTCCGACGCGGGACGTCCTCGCCCATCCACAGCCATCGACGCAACGCTCATCCGCGTGTTTGCCAGGTCCGGCCGTGTGGCCAACGTCGTGCGCAACGTCGACGATCTGCGTCGCCGTCAGCAAGGTCTGGGGACCACAATGGAGGCAAGACGACCTACCTCTGTAACTCGACGCAGGTCGCGTCCATCGAGGTCGTCGTTCACTCGACGCTGGGTGTTGACGACAGCCCGCTCGCTCGACGTGCCACTCTGTAGGATACGGTTAGTACTCTCGCACTTTCTTAGACCAGGAGCAGACGACTTACCGATGGCCTCGCTGGGTCCCCAGCACGCGCTCTTATACCCCTCGCTCGTCAGCGCAATGACAGCCCGCCGGCCTCCGGGCGCATCGTGCACCGTGCGAGGTGTTTGCTGAAGCGAGCGCGCCGCGACCTTCGTACGATTGGCGGCGGCGGCGTCGTCGGTAGCACACATGTCGGGGGAACGCCGCTGCTGCACCAGGTGCGTGATTCCATGCATTGCCAGAAACCCAGGCGGACGGTGCGTGCGCGCTGATCGGGCGTACGAGGTGCCGACGTTCCTCCTCCTCCATGGGTTGCGTCGCAAGAGAACGCTGTGTAGCAGACAAGCGGGCATTCGCCCATCGTGCTCGAGTCCCCTCGTGCCGGCGAGCGCGACGATGTAAGTGGAACCCGCACCGTAGCAGTAGCCGCAGCGCATGGTGACTCGCGCGATTGGAACGGGCTGCGGCGTCGGGGCGTACGAGCACCACTGCTCTTCCATGCGTCGCAACACACTCATCTCGTCCAGCGCACGAGTGCCGCCGCCACACTCGCTTCCGAGAACTCTGACCGACCAGGCGCGGCCCACTGATCCCCGCGGAGCTCTGTGAGGTCGCGGACAGCTGTATCGCAAGAAGATCCCAGTAGAAGTCGGTGCCGACTTCCTGAAACTCGCGACGCAGAAGCAGACCGTCTCCCCAACGTGCGCCCGTCCGCCGAATGGCAATGCGTACGTCCGCTGCACCGGGGCTCGCACTGCAATAGCTTCCAGAGGTGGTCGTCTCGCGATGAGGTGAGTCTCGCTGCGGCGTTCTACTGCACTGACGTTCTCTGCTTCGGTTCATTCGGCAGCGAGGCGGGGGGCATTGACTAGGCGAGCAGCGAGCTGGGAAGGATGAACACGGGCGATGATGGGCATGAGGACATGGAGGGACCGCGCAGTGCCGCAGCGATCAAGGCGTATCATTCGAGCCGGGACACGCATCTTCGCCCTCGTACGACGCGTGGGTGCGATAGGACGAGTGGGGACGGCGGTGGGGAATATGTACAGCGAGCACGCATCGACGCATGCCCCGACGGCTCGCAATGAGATGCTCCTCCGGCGTGCGCGACGGTTGTCGTGCACGTTGAGCTCGAGTGCTGCTCGACGTAGGTACGGAATTCATGTACATAGCATCGCGAGCAATAGATATATTGTGTTCTCTACATATCGACAACGGGTATATGGTGCGCGGGGCGACCTGAATCGTTGCACGATATGTATCAGACGAACCGAGCGCGCTGGTACACCGGACGGGACGTGAGGCCGTCGATTTCCATGAGTCAACACAGCACAACGCGCGCAGGCGGCTTTCCCATGGGTCCTGCAGCTGCGAGCCTCGAGGCGACGACATACCTGCATGATTCAACCATCCGCCCTCAGCCGAGTTCCCGCCCATCTCCGCCATCCTTCAAGCTACCAGTCATGCCTGCGTAACGGACATCAATTGCGAACGCCCCGTGCTCAGGAAAATCCAGGCGGAGGCCGCGCGTTGGACGGCCGAGGTCGAAGGGAAACTGCACATCAGTAGACGGTCGCGATGTAATCCGCACTTCCCAGCCGGAATGCGTCGAGACAGTGTGAGCACTTACCTGCTCGACGAAGACAGTGCACCGGTACTGCCGCACAAGCGATAGCGGGCATCCTGCTGCGCCGTGCGTCGAACCGGACACAGGTGTAAGCTTTTGATGACAGCGCGTGGGCTGCGTGCTCGCGCGCATCGAAACAAAGTATATAAGCTGTATCTCAACGAGTGGGTGGATTGCATACAAAACACATACCTTGTTGTGATGTCGAGCATCACTCAACTGCGTGTACTCGACCTGGCGAGCCCGAGCTGTTTCGAGGCGGTCGAACCTCCTGCACTTTGCGGTTCCGCGTCGACGGGCATGCGGACACGCTGTGAACAGCAATAGCGCCGCGAAGACCAAGGGAACGCCTGCAACGAGGAACGGGGGAGTGAGGAATGAGTGTGGTTGAGATGACGCGAACTCTTCCGCCCAGCGACCAATGCATCAAGAGTTGGACAGGCTCGAGCTTGTAGCCTGCTGGCAGCTCGAGCGAGCTACAGAGAGGGCTCGCGGTCCGACGACTCGGACATGAGCCTTCGGATTGTAAGCTCGACGGCTCGGAGTTCCCCACGAAGTGGACATCCCTGATCTTGTACTACTGAGCGCGCCAGCAGGTGACCCCGTCTCGTAACGAAGCTATCAAGGACAGCTTGGGATGCTGTGTCACGGACGCGGAGAGGCCCACAGTGCGTGGTGCAGTAAATCCGAGCAACATATCCATATGAGTGTCGATAGTTGCACGCTCTCCGTAGCATGCTCGTTATTCGAGCCTGAGGCTACCCACGGATTCTGCGCCATAGCCGAGGCGATGATGTGATCCGCGTTGTACACAGAGTGAACGGGGCGACGCACAGTTACAGGTAGCACAACTCTGTCGTCCCGGTAAAGTTGATGTAATCGTGCGAGAGCGTACATAGTACGCATCGCTACTGACCAAGACTGCCCTCTCGGTCGTCGTAGGTCTTCTATCGACGTCCGCTTAGCGAACGTTGCCTGTGGACAGCAAATGCGGGCCTCCTTGCGACTGCAGATACACCGTGACATTTGGATGCGACACGCACCTCCCGCCTTGTTTAATGAATACGAAGCACGCCGCACGGTCAGTCAATCGACTTTGCAAAACTGTTGTTACGTTGCCTTGCGCTGGGCACTGCTCAGTGCGAACGACTCGCGCGGCTTAGTACAGTCTTCACTCAGGTTCCGCTGCACGCATCCTTCACTTCAAGGTCGCACACTGCTGCCCCCGGCAGTGCTCCGCCGAATGAATACACTTACACATGCCGGCGCCGCTGAGCATCGAGTCGTGATCTGCTCTGAGATGTGCGCCTGCGTGTTCCAGTCCGCTATTGTGTCGTCGATGCCGATGCTGAAACCGTTATGAAAGAGCCAGTAGCCGACAACCTGCTGCAGGCCCGTGAACAGAGTCCTCATCGCCTCTGGGCTCTTCTCGTGGAAGCATATGTGGATCAAGCCGCCCTGAGAAGCTCCGACTGTCTTCTTGTCGACGATGCCAAGGTCACACTGTCTTAGAGACAGTACGACACAGATGTCGATCTCTCGAACCACGGCCACGGTGGCTGGCCACAATTACGCCAGGGCAGACCCGCAAGGGGCAAGGCGCTCCCCGCACACATCGGCAAAGGTTGTCCGTCAGTGACCAACGACGGTATTTACGCCCGTCTGCGCTCATTCAAGTCCGTGCGCCGGGTGCACAAGCTATCATATAGCCCTCGCGCACATACCCTAGTACACTGTAGCTGTCGGACTTCGTACACGAACCACAGCGCGGACGTCGCAGCTTCGGACCGCTCGTCTGGTGACTGATCCGGCGGTGCGCGACTCGGAGTGGAGGTGGCGATCTCATGCGAGGCTCCCCTTCGTGTCGCGCCGATCTCTACGCAAGCATTGTGTCAAATGCTCGGTGTGTCACGCTCGACGATAACAGCAGTCCGCTGCTCTAGAATCACATGTCTTTCCCATGCTGCTCGAGAAAAGCCTTGCGCGGCCTCGCCGACGTGAGACGCGGGCAGGCACCAGACACCCCAAATGGGCATGCTGAAGCAATGTTATCCAGAATAGATGGGCCCAAGGCCCCGGAATATGTCCACGGAAAGTGGGAGTCGCACTGTTCTCAGTGGGGATCAGCCGCACGCCGTACGACATTGTTCATCTACCAAGGCTTTCAGGGAAGCCACGGGATGTGCCGCCGTGCCCGTCGGCTCCGACAACTGACGACAAGAACCAATGGCAAAAGCGAAACGGCTCGCGGATGACGCGCAGTGCTCTGTGCGGGATCATATCTGCCTGGGTTGCACGGAGACCACAGACAGACCCCAAAACACGTCCTCTCGCGAGAACAGGACGGTGTCTTTCCAGTAATGCTGGCACATACAGAACCTTACGAGCTGTGCATCCGCTGCATGTACCAGGCCCGCGGACTTCTGACGGCACAGAGTCCTTCCGCATGCAGTCAACAGTGGCTCGCGCACTCGGTGAAAGACGTGGCTAGCCCATGAGCCGAACACGGTGCCACTGACGCATTGTCTTCCCCCCGCTTCCATACTTCACACAAGTAGACACCCGGGATGATCGCAGGGCGGGTACCACCAGATTCGTCCTTGCAAATCAAAAGGTACAGCCTCCGAGTCACTGACACCGCCGGCCGGAACGACAGCATTAATCCCGGCGACATACAACTCAACTAGGCTGGCTGGTGATGTAGCCGGCCAGCCATAGCGAGAGTATCCGTGTGCACGATGCGGCAAATAGTGGAACGTCCGTCTGCCGCGCTCGAGACCACACTGCAGGCACATAGGACTCAAAAGCTCTTGATTGACCTCACTGCCAAACAGAACGGTATACATGCATTGCGACTGAGCAATGATGTATACACTCATTCATTGCGCGAACACCTCGGGAGAGCAGAACGTCCCCGAGTGATCCTATCTGACGTCTCTACGTCTCAAAAGGGAAGATTGGGCTAGCGGCCACCGACCGCACTGGTCGCATGCAGATCGTGACCCCACGTTTGGTACGTGTTTTTTCTCCCATGGCCGTAGGCGTGACCTGTAGGTCCCTCGGCGACATGACATGTGTACAGACTCACCGGCGTAATGCTCCCCAGGCAGTAGCGCCTCAGATCCCGCTCCCGGTCTCCGGTCGCGCCATTCAATTGCAACCTCTTCGACAGGATGTGTCAGGCGGAGCATGGTACAGTGACACTGCGTTGTGACACCACAGTCGCGAGCATGCGCGGAAAGCAGAGACGTGTAGCATTCGGCGAGGCCTATGGGTGAAGGGAGACAGGATGTGTGGAGAGCAGAGAGAAGACATTGACAAGGAAGGAATTGCCGCGCTTGGACATGCTGAGCCACCGGGTCCAAGTTCGAGCGTGAGTGGTCCCTTTTGTAGCGGATGCAGCAGTGATTTGCACTGTAGATTCGGCCCACAGAGAGTTGATGACAAAGAACGCGTTGAGAAAGGTGCTGCGCGCGCATATAGGCCGGAATACCAGAGCAGGTCGACATCAAATGGATGGACAAGCGGGAGAGAAAGTCGTGCTGTGGCTGAGGCGCGAGTTCAAGTTGTGGCTGAAGTGCATTTCGCGCGCGACGAACCGCGTCACGACTTAGGCTTGTGACCGTGTTCAAGTTGCATCTGTGTCTGTCTCCGGGCTCTCATTTGCGTACAGACACTCTTGTCCGCCTTCACGTCTGCGCCAGACGTTTCCTTCCAGTAATATCCAGAGACGGCCTGTTGATATTCAACCCAAGCACTAGTCTCGGGCTCGCCGAGGTTCCGAGTCACCGTGATTCGGACTGCCACGGC